ATTATGACCTCTCTAAATTCAATACTGGAGTTTTGTAACACACGATTTAATTAGTCTCTAGCCGAAGACGGTAAAGAGTAGTTAGACAGACAGAGTTTTATGCTTTAAAAACAAAAAGAAAAAGAAAGAGTTTTATGAAATTTACAAGTTCTCGTATTATATTCAACTAGTTTAGTGTTTTCTAAATCTTAGTGCTGTTTTATTGTTTGGTAATAACAGTTCAATAAACTTTATCGATCATTTTGCTAATTTACCCTTCATTCTGTTTAATATCATTTGTTGGAAAAAAAAGAAAGAAATCTGTTTAATATCATTCAACATTCAAAACTATATAGTATTTTTTTTAAATGCGAAAATTAGTAAAGGTTTCCGATGGTTAGACAAAATAAAATAAAATAAAAATTAAGTTTCATTGAAAAGAAATTGACCAAACACTAGAGTAAGCTTTCCCTTTGTCGAATGAAGAAGATGGAATAAATGATGAAATGAATACGAATCTGTTTCACATATAATTCTCATTCTCATCAACGGTATCTAAAGTGCGCCAACCGTGCGCACAGGCAGAGCCATGTCCTACGCATCCCTCAGCGTCAAGGACCTGACCAGCCTTGTTTCGAGATCCGGAACCGGTTCGTCTTCCTCGGCTAAGCCTCCGGGTCAGACCCGACCCGTCAAGGTCATCCCGCTCCAGCACCCGGACACCTCCAATGGGTCCCGTCCTCCCTCGATCCCTTTCGACGATATCTTCTCCGGTTGGACGGCGAAGATCAAGCGCATGAGCCTCGTCGATTGGATTGATACTCTTTTCCCTTGCTCCCGATGGATTCGAACTTACCGATGGAGCGAGTATTTTAAGCTCGATCTCATGGCCGGTATCACCGTCGGTGTAATGCTTGTTCCTCAGGTATATTCTCTAGCTTTTTTGTTTTCCATTTCTATCGCTCACTTATGTTTCGTTGGAGCTTAAGGAAGCTGGAATCATTGGCTTTACATAAGGAACCTGGAATTATTGGCTTCACTCGTAGACAACTTTCCTTGTTGTATAGCTTAAGAGATTACTACTTATTGAAATTTTTAGTAAAATTTTGATTTGAATAACTATCTTTTGATTGATTTGACCAGGCAATGTCGTATGCAAAACTAGCTGGCCTTCCACCAATATACGGTCTATGTGAGTGTATTGTGATACAAACTCTTGAGTTCTTGATTCAACCAAATGCCTAATACTGTCAACTTATTCATTTTCATAAATTTTGGTGCAGATTCATCATTTGTGCCGATATTTGTGTATGCCATATTCGGCTCATCCCGTCAGCTTGCAATTGGACCTGTAGCATTGGTGTCTCTTCTCGTCTCTAATGCTTTGGGCGATATCGCTGATTCGTCCGAGGAGTTACATATTGAACTGGCCATTTTGTTGGCGCTTTTGGTTGGAATCTTGGAGTGCATCATGGGGCTCTTGAGGTGACAATATTATTTATCTTTGGAAATCAGAGAATTGGAACCGTTTATTATCTCGGCTGCTGCTCGTTTTAAGTATCAAAAGTCCTCTATATATTTCTGTGTCATGACTCATGAGCATGCCACCTTGTTTGTGTTTTTCAAACCAGGCTTGGATGGCTTATTCGTTTCATAAGTCACTCGGTCATATCTGGATTTACAACTGCTTCGGCCATTGTGATTGGATTGTCTCAAGTGAAATATTTCCTGGGGTATAGCATTGCCAGGAGCAGCAAGATTGTTCCCATAGTAGAGAGCATAATAGCTGGAGCTGATAAGGTTGCTAATGGCTATAACTTTTAGTGTATCTGGCTCTCCATATATCCTCGTAGACAGTTTTTTGGGTCGTCATGCGATGATGATTCTTTCTTTTGCAGTATATCATGATTTTTATTGGTGACTCTGTTTGGTTGAGAATGCCTTTTGTTTCTACTTATTTGTACTTAATTCAGATAGATCTCTATTTTCTCTTTTGTAGTTTCAATGGCCACCTTTCTTGATGGGGTCTCTCATTCTGGTGATCCTTCAAGTGATGAAGCATGTGGTAAGAGGTTTATTCTTTTCGACGTTACCAGGGAAACACCACTTAAGTTTATTAACGTGATATGGTCGTGGTTTTCATTGCAGGGAAAAGCAAGGAAGGATCTTCAGTTCTTGCGAGCAGCAGCACCGCTTACAGGGATTGTGCTCGGTACAACCATTGCAAAAGTGTTCCATCCACCTTCTATCTCCCTGGTCAGATCGCTGAAAAAACAGACAATATTGCTACATAGTGGTTAAGTGTTTGTATTAATAGCAAAATTTTGTATGTTTCAGGTGGGAGAAATACCTCAGGGCCTTCCAACATTTTCTTTCCCAAGAAGTTTTGATCATGCGAAAACATTGTTTCCAACATCAGCTCTCATAACTGGTGTTGCCATCTTGGTGGGACATCATCATCATTAATTTCTACGGCATATGGAGACTGCAGCATGTTTAAATTTTTTATGTTTTGTTGTTCCGTAATGAAGTAGTTCAACATTTTCTATCCAGGAATCTGTGGGAATTGCCAAAGCACTTGCAGCAAAAAACAGATACGAGTTGGATTCAAATTCGGAGGTATTTTTCTTGACTAAAGGAAATTCAGTAGTAGCCTAACTGTTGTAGACAATATTGCTGTTCTTTTTTCTCTTTCACGGCCATTTTCATTGGAAGCTCAACTGTTTCTCCTCTCACTTAACAGTTGTTTGGTCTTGGTGTTGCAAATATATTGGGGTCATTATTTTCTGCATACCCAGCTACAGGTACGTTATCTTGAGATGATAAAAGTCATTGAATTGACAAATACGTATATAATTTTTCCTGTAGATATTATGGTTTTACAGTCCATCTTATAAACTAATAACCTAAATTTGACGAAGCTGTGAATGTCCTGAATGCAAAATTTAGGCTCCTTTTCTAGGTCAGCTGTGAATAATGAAAGTGAAGCTAAGACTGGCCTATCAGGACTTATAACAGGAATCATCATTGGATGCTCTCTACTGTTCTTGACACCGGTGTTTAAATACATACCGCAGGTCTGTCTTACTGCTCTTTCTATAACTTTGGAGAATTGTGAAAAACTAGATTCTGGCTTCTAACTTTCATCGTGTTGCTTATCTCTCTCGACTTCACAGTGTGCGTTGGCAGCTATAGTGATCTCTGCTGTTAGTGGCTTGGTAAGTTGGAATAAACCTACATGCCAAGGACCGGAGATGAGTTTTGCTTCTGGTTTCTCATTAACACTTTCCGTATGTTTACCATTAGGTGGACTATGATGAAGCTATTTTCCTGTGGCGTGTGGACAAGAGGGATTTTACTCTATGGATAATCACTAGCACCACAACTTTGTTCGTCGGAATAGAGATCGGTGTCCTTGTTGGTGTGAGTATATAGAGAGTCTTAGTATGTTCAGATTGACCTGACTAATGTGTATGTATCACTCACTCAGTTGCAATACTTTCAATTTTAGGTTGGTTTTTCACTAGCATTCGTTATCCACGAGTCTGCAAACCCTCATATCGGTAAGAGGAGTTCTGTTAAATCGCCTCTTGGTCACATGCGTTTTGAGAGTGCCAATTTTCTGACATTGTCTCATATCTTATCCTGTCTATGTCCTGGTAGCTGTCTTGGGGCGTCTTCCAGGCACCACTGTGTACAGAAACACGAAGCAGTATCCAGAGGCTTACACATACAACGGGATTGTGATTGTGCGAATTGATTCTCCTATTTACTTTGCTAACATAAGCTACATCAAGGACAGGTGAGACTGGCATTTATTAGTCCTTGTCATATGAATCTATAGGAAAGAACAACAAGCCGTTTCTTTTTCCAAAGTGCAGGCTACGAGAATATGAAGTTGCTGTTGACAAATACACAAACCGGGGACCGGAGATGGAGAGAATCTCTTTTGTTATCCTTGAAATGTCTCGTAAGTCCCAAAATATATCCGTTGAATCTGAATTATTCATGTTTTTGAAGAGAATACTGAAACCACCTTAAAAAATACAAACAATTCCGCAGCTGTTACGCACATAGACTCGAGCGCCGTGGAGGCCTTGAAAGAGCTGTATCAGGAGTATAAAACAAGGGACATCCAGCTGGCGATTTCGAATCCGAACAAAGATGTTCACATGACAATAGCAAGATCAGGAATGGTTGAGCTCGTTGGAAAAGAATGGTACTTTGTGAGGGTACACGACGCGGTACAGGTGTGTCTTCAATACGTACAGAGCTCTAACGTGGAAGACAAGAAACCAAGTTTCTTCAGAAGGTATGGGAGCGGCAACAACAGTTCATCATACGCTGATCTTCAATCCGCCAACACTCTGTTGAAGGAGCCATTGTTGTCAATGGACAAATAAAGCCATCATCTAGTGTACTGTACGTAACTATGTTGTATATTTGTTGGTTGCGATTTTTTGTGTAAACAAAACCATCTCCACATTGTTTGTATCACACATGAAACATTGTTACACTACTTTAACCGGAAAAATAGAAATTTATCCAAATAAAAATAGGCCTTTTGTGACATTGGAACAGAGCAATCATCGTTTGCTTTTGTACTTCAATTACTCGAAAGAATTACAGTATATTGTAGAAATGAGTTTTGCTTTGAAACGCATCAAAATGGCTGTTTGAATCTACATGAAAAACAAACAAAATAAAGCCCAAGAGTCTCTCTGGGCCTTATATCACTTTCAAGACGCATATCGAAATAGAAAGAAATCCTTTAATTGTCTTTTGATCCTCGCAAAGCCCCAAGATTTCACCAGAGCCCTTGGATCCGATATCTCCTCTCGACTGTTCGAATCTTAGACGGCGGCGGCAATGGGTTGATGTAGAATCTCATTTGTTATCATCCTCCAGAGCAGCAGGCGTCACAATTCTCTTCAGCTTGTTGTAGCGCTTCGTTTGATCGCATAGAGCTCGAAACTTGCTCTGAATTTATAAGCGAAACAGTTTTTTTCTTCTCCCACTGAATGTGTGATTTGATCGCTCGTACGGGTCGGCTCCAGCAGCGGTACGAGAATGGCTGCCGCCTCATTGCTGGGTAACGTATTTGAACCTTCCTTGTTCCTTTCTCTAAGCTCTTTCGCTGCATACAATGTCTACTCCTGGATTTGGGTTCGCTAGCTGTGCCTTTGATTGTGTATTGGCTTTGTGATTCCTTGTCATTGATTGCATTAACGTGGATCCAATAGACGATTGATAGTTTAACCTTGATCATCGCTCTGTTTTCCTTTTTCTGATCAGTGAAGAAACGTTGTATGGGATATCTGATATTTGGTTGTGTGCATCGGTTCAGGTGCATTCCATTTAGGTATAGAAACTCAGAAGAAACTGGCGATTCTAACAGTGGGAAGGTTGTTGAAGTGCTAATGATCAGTTCGTCTAGTGGACCTGGACTTTTGTTTCCCAAGGTACACAAACAAAGCTTTCTATAGTCATTACATTTCTCACCTTTCCTAACCAAGTTTCTTGTTCGATTTGATGGATATAGGGAGGGTGGGAAAATGATGAGACAGTCAGGGAGGCTGCAGCCAGGGAAGCTGTGGAAGAAGCAGGAGTTCGGGGGATTTTAATGGTAAAACCTTTATGTCAAACCCTTCTTTTCAGATCTTCTGTATGTCTTGTAGCAAACGGGAGTGATTTAAAAAAACTTGCAGGATTTGTTGGGAGAATATGAGTTCAAGAGCAAGAGTCACCAAGACGAGTTTTGCCCAGAAGGTGTATGTAAAGCGGCAATGTACGCACTGTATGTGAAGGAAGAGCTGGAGTCGTGGCCGGAGCAGGAAACGAGAAGTCGGACATGGCTCACCATTACTGAAGCTTTAGAGAAATGTCGGCACGCATGGATGAAATGTGCATTGGAGGATGGCTTTTGTAAATGGCACCAGGACAAAGGACACCAGTTACTCCTATAACCCACATCTTCTCTTTTCTTTCTGCCATTCATTGCTTGGCCAACATAGGAGCTTTTTTTTTGTTTTGTTTTAGTACGACTTTTTAGTTTAATTAGTTGTCCCTTTGCCATCTAATATACAGTATGTGAATTTCATTCTTTTCTTACAAAGTTACATGAAAGAAATTACTGGTGGGAGACGTTTTAAAAGCGAGAGTAGTTTTTATGTGCACATCCGACTTAGTTGGTGAAAAGACTTGTTAATAACACTAACAAAAGCTGTCCGTACATTCGATTCAGTATTTTATACAAAGAAAAAAGAACATATATAAACGAGGATATGAACAAAAAGAGACGTGAGATTTGAAAGTGCTGTCTACGACATAATAGATGATAACATCATACATCCCTAAATATATCCTACCACTCTATAGTTTAAGCTTTTTATTAACAAAAATATTAATAAATCATCATGAGAGATACAAAGAGATAGAGATCGATAGATATAAGATTACCTGTTGGCACAAGGGGCTTGGAGAGCTTTATATTGTCTTTGTAATGCACAGAGCAGCCCTCATGCATTGCCTAATGATCAATCTTCCAGATTCAAAACAAAATCATACACAAAGGGAGATTCAGCCAGAAGTTTCATCTAGAACTATATCTGCAGGATCACCTATCCATGGCCGGCCTTCTCTCCACAAAAACTTTATCCTCAATTTCCCATTTGCATCAACTCCCACAACATGTCCTTTACTTGCATGTGTCTCCATTCCCCAACCCCACCGAGGTGTAACCAGTCCGTCCTTTATCTTAACCCGGTCTCCAATTCTGAACGGCCTTATACGTTCCATTTCCCCGGCTTTGCAAAGCCATAGCTTGTCTAGGAAACAGAAAGATACCCATAAGTCTCCATCCTGCATTCTGTGAACCACCCCTGTGCTTGAAGGGTTCACCTCTCCCCACTGGTAACTGGGTGTTGAGATGCTCGGCTTAACTCTAACCCAGTCCCCTATTTTTAGCTCTTCTTCCTCTATGGTTTCCACTTCCGACGGGTCGAGCATCCATGTTTTAGAGCCGGCTGGTGTGTATATCCGTAGCTTACCATCCGCATCAATGGCTGCTATGGTTCCTACACTCCCGTGGCTGTGATTTGACCAACCAAACCTAGGCTGTTTCACTGCCAGGTTGACTCGAGTTTTTTGCCCGACTGCAAGCTTCTTTGCTTTCTCTAGATGCGAAGAAGGACCCGCCCATCTTTCTTGCTCGCCACAAAACGAAACGGAAGTGGTTCCGTCCCACTCGTCTTTCTCATATCCTACTCCATGCACTACACCAACACTTCCTGGTCCAATGGACTTCCAACTAGGAGCAGCTTCTCTAAGTCTTACCCATTCTCCAACTTCAAACATAGGCTCCACTTCCAAGTCTGCTGGATCTCCTCTCCACAACCCAGGCAATCCAAAGAAAGCAACCCTTACCTCTCCATCAGCATGAACAGTGGTTATGATACCTCGTGAATCGGGCTTAGCTCCTCTCCAGCCCCATCTTGGTTCTGTCAAGCCCTTCTGGAAATGCACAAACTGGCCAACTTTGAGAGCTGGAATCTTCTCTAAATCTGTGTAATGAGTATTCCATCTTCCTTTCCGGAAACAACAAGCCAGCTCCAAGTAACCTGTTTCCTGTATGCTGTGAACGACAGCAATACTCTCCCTTCCTACATTAAACCAGTCATAGCTTGGTCTGGTTCCCAGGCTTGGCTTTGAGCGCACCCAATCACCGACTTCAAAACCTGAGAGCAGCTCTGCATCTCCAGGTGAAACTCTCCACAATGTCTGTCTACCAATCACCTGTGCCTACAGGAGAACAAAAACAATCCAACCCTCGATTTTGAGTTAATGCTGAAAACAAAAAGCTGAGGACAGCCCATTCAATTTGGGAAATGATCCATTCCAGAAACTTACACTCAGAGTCCCATCCATGTCGATTCTCATTATTTTACCAATAGTTGCTGGAGTCTCATTTGACCATCCAAGTCGTGGTTGGGTGATGGTTGGTGTCATATGAATCTCTTGCCCCACATGAAAGGGTACAACATTTTCAACATCTGTCACAGAACATGAAAAAGGCTTGCTCCTGAAACAGAAAGCTATCCCCACATCACCATCTTCATCTAAGCTGTGCACCACACCAATACTATTTCGAGTAATGTCTTCCCATCCATATTTCGGGGATGACACAGACGCCTTCACTCTGACCCAGTCACCAACCTGCTTGTGGTACAAAGGCTCAGTGTTAAAAGGATGAAAAGCTCTTGACATGCTGAACATCTAACTGAGATTCATTAAAGAATAGACAACCAAATTTTCTCATCCTTGTACACTCCATAAGATAGCCAGCTTTACCTTGAAATCATCAATCTTTTCCATGTCCGATGGATCTGCCTGCCATGGTATAGGTCGGTTTGGTATTTCAATTATAAGGAGACCATCATTCTCTATTTCGCTAATTTTACCAACACTGTGATGAGTTTCACCACCCCAAGCATATCGAGGTTCAGCAACTGACCGCTTTACGCACACCCGATCACCAATCTATACATTAAGAAAATTGTTGGATTAAGCTTCTGATATGGAGTAAAGACAGTTTGTAAGAAGTTTACATAATAGCATATTACCCTGAAGGGGGCAACGGGTTCAACTTCCTCGGGTTCACAATGCCAGGGATTTGGAAGATAACTTAACTCCACGAGAAGGCTGCTATCTGGCCTTACACAATAAACAATCCCCATACTCCCTGGGACAACAGATCCCAAACCATGTTTTGCTGAAGTCAGATTCTGACGGATACGGACCCAGTCTCCAACTTTGAACTCTTCCACACGTTCCATTTCAGCAGGATCAGCTTTCCAGCCTCGAGATGCTCCAGGAAACCCAACTCGTAGGATCCCATCCTCATCAACACATAAAACAGTACCCACACTATCACGTGATTGGCCACGCCAACCAAACCTAAAATGAAATCAGTCAACACCATACATGGTTAAAACACCGGTAAATGAATAACACCACGATTTCTAATAGCTTTTCTAACAGCTTATCTAGCTCCAACTTGATAGTTTTGGCTGGTCTAGAACCGAAGCTTAATTATTGAGGACCATAAAGACAAAGAGGACGCTTTTACAAGTCAGAAAAGTTCACGGTAGAAAATCTTTCATCCAAGATATAGGGCATAGAAAATGTGCATAAAGGGAAAGCACTTGCAAACCTTGGCTCTTTGACATCTGCTCTGAGTCTAACATGCTGGCCCCTGTCCAATGGAATCAGCTTAACAACTTCATTTGCCAAAACACGAGCTTCACCAGAACAAAATGCGATGATCATGTCCTCCTTCTCAAGAATGGTTTGCACAAACCCCACACTCTTAGGTTTAGCACCTTGCCAACCATGTAAGGGTGTTGTTACGCCTCTCTTGAACTTCACCCAATCCCCTACCTCATAGCTGAGAATTTTAAACCAGTTTCAGTTAACTGAGTAAAGGTGCATAAAAGCAAAGATTTCAGAAGAAGTCCTCACATTGTAGGTGATAGATGAACTCCCCTTTTTGTTAGTGCCTCCATCAGATCCTCTGAAATCCATTCTCTTGGAAGGGCTTCTAAGAAGTCACGTACTGTCTTGCCACTGTTTTTCAACAATTATAAAACTTATGATAATAGGAAGGAAATGACAATGGAAATTCAAAATGCTAGCTTTTTGAAGTAAATTTTGTGCGAGTGTATTTCAAAACCCCTGGCAAAGGAAACTAACATTACCCCAGTGCAATGAATATACCCCTTTATTTCAACTATTTAATATTTATAATAGAAACAAATTAGTGCTTGCCTGTGGTTTCTGACGTCCACAGCAGCATCAGGACTCCTAAGCATCACAATTAACCAATCAAGGTTTTCACGTATCATCTTTGCTGCATCTGCTGCTATATGGAATGCGTTGTCTCCTTCATCATCCTTATAATAATTCAAATAGAAGAAGACAAGTCAAGTGACAAGGTAAAAAGAGCACATGATGAAAGCCAGCTCTGACAACATGAAGACCTTACGTAATGTGGAACCTACAAACATCAGATGCACAAAGCCTTGCCACTAATTTTGCAAAAAAACGTATTTTCCGAACCATGATTTACATAGCTACTTAAACACCGATTTTCATAGCCTACTTTTACATATATTCAAGGAACTGATCATCATTATACAGCAATTAGAAACGATAGAAAATATAGTCTTGGCAGTAAAGGAGATTGTCAATAACAAATAACTCTTAAAGCATAGGGGAGCCTTCAAAATTACCTGTATATTGCAGTCCGAACCAGATTCAAGAAGTAGGCTAACACAGGCGTTCGCCCCTCTGGCCAAAGCCATATGAAGGGGAATTGTATTGTGAACATTCCGGATGTTCGCATTCACACCAGCATCGAGAATGACCTATCAATTTAGACAAATGTGGTTGGCTGTAAGACAGAATATAGTAATCCAAATTAAAGATATGAGTGTAATGTAATAAAATCCATCAAAACTGAAGATAAATTGGCACTGCATTCTTCAATTTTTCCCTCAATAACTATCACTGCGATTTTTGAGTCACACCATATATCATTTACTTCATTGATAGGGAAAACGTTGAACTCTTAGATTTAAGAAATGTATGGTGCTCCGCAACAGCATTTCTATCAACAGATTCGACACTGACAACATAATACTATTCTTCCTCTTTAAAACATCAACTTTAACACATTAGTGGTAGGAAAGCATCTTACTCTCACAAGTTCCACATTGTTAGCCATAGCAGCAGTATGCAACGCTGTTCGCCCATGCTGAGAATCTTGCGCAGTCGGATCTGCCCCAGCCGCAAGCAATATCTGGACTAGCTCTCTACCTTCTGCAGCAGTATAAATGCTAAGTAAACTGATTTATATAACAAATAGAATTAAGACAAAGCATCCAATGAATTGAACTTTGACTCCACACAATTGCAAGAAATAGCAGGAAATTTTTCAAATAACACCTTTTTTCGTAGCGTACAAAATTACAACTAACTGGTCAAACACTGGAAATGTTGCTTAAAACATTCTTATCGTGTAGAGAAGGCCAACTATCGTTTCTTAGCAACAAAAGATAAAACCCCGTAAAGGTCCACACACAAAAGATAAAATTTCATAAAAACACAAGTCTTCTTCCCTAAAATTGGCATTGCCAAAAAGCCCTGGACTCAAATAGATAACATCAACATCATATACTTATATGAAGCAAATTAGCAAACAAAAGATACTATGATATCATCATTACCCTTTTCATGATCTTTCCTTATCGCAGCAGACATACACAGAGCAGTGCCAACTGGACTTGGAATATTAATTGCCTGAGAAATTTCTTCTGGACTGGAAACTTCCACCCATCTCTTGATAACAGCAACGTTCCATATTGCTACACACATATGCAACGGCCTGAAACAAACATAAAAGTATAAAGATCTATCGCATCAACTTTGGTCTAGGTGGCGTATACCTAGCATACAAGAGTTCAGTTTTCTACTTACGTCAGGCCCTTTGCATTTGAAATGGCCATCGATCTAGATCCCCCATTTTCCAATATAACAACGGCACAATCTGTGTATTTTTTGGCAACAGCTCGATGTAGCACAGTTTCACCTTCATCATCCACTGCATTTGGATCAGCTCCAGCTACCAGCAATTCCTATAATGAGCAGAAAGTAAACATTAAGATGATAATAGATATAAAACTAGCCTGAGTTCCAATATACTTCCGATAAGTGTAAGATTTGTGCAGATGTGGTGGAAGCTTTAAAGTGACTGATAACTTCCTCAGGTACAGAGACTTACACGCATACAATCAGGTTGACCATGGTACGAACACACATGCGCAACAGATGGGCCTGATCCATCCCGCAGTCTGGACCTAACATTAGCCCCCTTTTTTATGAGTACATGAACACATTGTGGAGATCCGGCTGCTAAAGCAAAGACGAGAGGAGGATCCCCATCTTTGTCCACGATATCTACATTCGCCTCCCCATACTCTAATATAGCCTCCACAAGTTCGACACTGCCACGTCTGCAAGCTAAGTGAAGAGCAGATTGACCATCAGAGTTTTGCGCCTCTAATAGAAATCGCACAGAGCTTCCACCGCTTCCAGATGCAGCCTTTGCTAGTATATTTCTACTCCAAAACAAAGACCAAACCAATGTCGTTGAGAAAAGTTGTGTATAGCTAGACAAATCAAAAGGATTAACTTAAGATTCCTAACAGATACCAACCTTACACCGTGAACGTCTCCCTCCAAAACAACCCGATGTAGGTTGTTAGGGTTATCCTGTAAGACCCCGTTGTTAGTTGTCCGAGTTTCTTCTACAATGTTTACTCCACATACTTTGGTAAACCCACTACGTCATACACAAAATAATAAAATTGTTAGACGCGAGAATATAGGCATGACGACACAAGCAATCTTGGCCGTTGATGCTATATTACTTAAACACAAGTGAAACGGTCTTCTTTACTGAGACTTATGACAACTCTTACTTATCAGGGCTTGCTGAAGGGCTGCGTGGTATCTCTTGAAGATGACGAAGAAATGTAGCAAGCATTGCATTAAAAGTTGGCCTTTTCGACGGTTTAAACTGAAGACATTCGCCAATCATTTTCCATAATTCTCGAGGGATTCCCACACCTACTATACGTTCATACTGTGGTGGTACTTTCCGGGCTTTGACAACAGCTTGAAAAATTTCTTCTCTACTAAGACCGTCCCACCTGGAAATATAAGTGATAGTTAGCACAACGGCGGACACAAAACACAAATGAAGTATGCAGTAGGAAGAGGCTTCACATACGGAGTGGAGCCAGTGCACATCTCAACCAACGTACAACCAAAACTCCATGCATCTGACTCTGGAGATACACCACTTGCATCCTCCCAAAAAAGTTTTTTCACTGGCCCCCAAGCCTCTGGCGCAGTGTAGTGTGGACTAAGTGTAATACAGTCCGTACATAGAGTAACTTTCGAGGAATCAAACTCTGGTCTAGTTTTCTGGCATGCTGGCTTCTTCAGGATGGGAGCAAGCCCATAATCAGAAACCACAGCATTGCCATTTGCATCCAAAAGAAGATTGGAAGGTTTTATATTCATACATATAACACCTGCTGCATGGAGTTCTGCAACCCCTCGAGCAACATCAGCCCCATATCTACAGTTGGTAAAAATTTCATATCACAACCAGAGCAATGGAATAATACAGGATGTACCACATGAATTGGAGTGCTAAAGTACCAGAACATCCAAAACTAAAGCTATCTAAGTAGTTGCCTTTAAGCAAATGACACTAGAATCTGAAAATCTGCGCACTTTCTATATCTTTCTAACAGCAATTTCGATAAACCAAGTCGGGTTTAGTCCAGAAAATTCCAATTACGAAACAGACTATCAAAGTTTGAAACTTTATGCAGAGAGATTATCACAGTAAAGCAAGAAACTAAGCATAGAGTATAAGAGAATCAGTAGAGAACCTTAGGATCTGCTCTAAAGTGAGCCTGCCTTCATTGCGTTGCATCTCAGACTGTACAGAGCCATAGCACCTATCCATCAAAAGACAGAGAGATCCATCCATCTTCACAACCCCATGGAAAGTACAAACATTCCGACACCACATGGATGCCTTCCGCAAGCTCTCAAGCTGTCCCTGCATCCAATCCACATCCATTTCCTCCGTCAAGGACATCTTTTTCACCGCCACACGGTGCTTACACCTCCCACCGCCGCCTGCAACAGTCGCATCCCACATCTCAACTCCTCCGGGACTACTGCCCTCTTCCCCAATCTGCTTCACCAGCTTCATCTCCGGGTGAGCTCCGACCTCGATCACCGGACCACACGAGCTATTATGCGAACTGGAGGCGTGGAATCCGCGGGCGGAACGAGCAGCTCCGTCTTCGTCGCTCCCGTCGTCATCTTCGTCGTCTTCGTCCTCATCGTCCGTGTAATCGCAGTCGAAGTTGCCGCCGCCGGACGCGCCGTGAATGAGGGAAAGCATAGCGAAGTTCTTCCGCAGACCTTGGACAGAGTTCCCGACGACGGAGACCTGGCGGCAACGGGGGCAAGTGAGGGTGGTGTCGGCAGAGGTAGAGAACATCTTGGACAAGCAATCCCTGCAGAAGCCATGGCCGCATTGAAGCAACAAAGGAGCTCTCTCGTCCTCATTATACCGCGTGTGGCACACGGAACAACAAGGCACCTTGGTCCTCGCCACCATGAGAGCTCGGAAGGAGAAAGCCCTAAATTTTATCCAGGGGAAGGTCGCGGCGAGATCAGAGAGTAGAAGGAGTGTGAAAAGGGAATCACTTTTGGGAGCTGCTCAGAACATAGTATCGAATAGAAAGTGGACAAAGTCGATCCAGATCACGGAGATGAGCACAGATCCATGGAGATGAAAAGGGGAATTTGAAAGGTAGATCAAAAATTGGCTGAGAAAATCAGACACGTTGAGTCGAGCAAGAAAAAAATTGTAAGAAAATGTGAAAAAGGTTCTTCCTCAGGGTTTTATATGCTGATTTATTTTCTTTTTCTTTTTTTCCTATGTTTTTTTACAATTAATTTTATGGACGAAGGTGTTTCTACTCTCGAGTTGGGTGAGTCGAGAGCTCTGCTGGTTCATCGGTTTTGACGGGTTGGGGCATTTGGAGTTTAGCCAGAACCCCTTTTCTGACTAACCCAAATGAGTAAATGTCAACAGCCATCAGATTATATATGAACCACCCTTTGAGTCATTGACCATAAGGAAACAAAAACAAAATTATTTAATTATGGAAATAGGCAAATAGCTTTTCTTTATCATAACCTGAGCCTGAATCATCATCTTGTTTCCTTTTATAACTTTCTTTTAAAATATTACTTTGATTCAATCTTTTAAGTTTTGACTACCTCACTCTGACGTGGGGTATGTGTAAGTACATGTGTTTATGCTTCTGATGATTACGATGAGTCCATAATCAGTCTTTTATGTATTTAGTTTTTCTCCATTTTGATTTTCAGCCAAAACTTTCCTCTAAGCAAACTTTGAAAAATTCTTCATTTTAAGTCTTCATGAAACACATATTTAGAATAGTCATATAGAGATGAGAAACTACTGGCAGTAAGAGGACAACAAGATTTTCATCTACCCATCTCTAGTCATGCATCTTTAACTATCAAACATCTGCTTCAAGTGGACTATGTTACGAAGTGATGGTCCGCACAAGTCAACTGCAGTATCATCATTCATAGCATTGAGTAGAACATGGTCACAATACACTATGAATCAATGGAAGCTTGACTCTTCCATTTTTTACACTGTTCTGGATCCTGGACATACAACATTGATCTCTTTTGTTTCCGGTGAATGGTGATGATTCGTGTTTAGTGCAAGTACATCTGGAACCATAACATCACAAATATCCATAAATCTATCTTCAAGCTTTCCTAAACAGTCTCCACTAACACATAATCAAATCCAGTAATGATACAACACATTTGATCGCCGTTTAGCACTTTATGCTCTTTTGATTCTCCATTTACCAACCAAATTATTCCAAATATAAATATAATATAATTTGTTTGATTCTTAAAAATATTCGATTGAACAGCAAAAAGAAGCATTTCTTAATTTTATTTTCTCCCGCTTTATGCTCTCTCTCCTTCACTTCTCCACTTCTCTAACTGTCCCCTTTTCTCTCAAACCCTAGCTAAAATCCCAGCTCTGCTCTTCGATTTCTCCGTTTCCCACTCAGCAATGGCACCAATTGATCCTCACTCTTTCACCGAATCCTCTCATCCTCTCACCACCCATGTCGCTCTCTCCCTTTACCTCGATTTCAACACCTCCATCATCCATGGCTCCGCTCTCCTCTCTCTCTCCTCCGCCTTCTCCGGCAACCTGTCTCTTGATTCCCGGTGCATTTCCATCGATACGATCCTCGATCCTCAAACTCTCGAGCGTCTTCCTTTCTCCGTCTCCGCAGAGCCGGATCGAATCCGAGGCACCGAAGTAGTCGTAGTCCTCTCTGGTCAATCCTCAGTGCTCGTCGTCTACTCCACTTCGCCTTCCGCCTCCGCTCTCCAGTGGCTATCGCCGCTTCAAACCTTCTCCAAAACGCACCCCTACGTCTACACGCAGTGCCAAGCGATTCACGCCAGATCCATTTTCCCATGCCAGGACACGCCCGCCGCGAGGATCCGGTACGACGTCGTCATGAACATCCCGACTTCGCTCTCTGCCGTCATGTCTGCCCGCCACGTCCGTCGTAGGCTTCCGGTTCCAGAGGAGGCCAAACATCTCGAGGCCGGGTCACTGGGGTCGTCACTGTGGTCTGCCGAGGATAGAGTCGTGGAAGAGTTCGTAATGGAACAGCCTATTCCGCCGTATCTTTTTGCGTTCGCTGTAGGTGCGCTCGGGTTTCGGGAGGTGGGACCTAGGACTCGGGTATACGCAGAGTCTGCCGCCGTCGAAGTTCTAGATGCGGCTGCCCTGGAGTTTGCAGGGACGGAGGAGATGATCAAGCAAGGGGAGAAGCTGTTTGGCGATTACGAGTGGGAGCGATTTGACTTACTGGTGCTGCCTCCGAGTTTCCCTTATGGAGGGATGGAGAATCCAAGAATGGTTTTCCTGACGCCCACTGTAATCAAGGGGGACGCCTCTGGGGCTCAAGTTGTAGCCCACGAGCTCGCGCATAGCTGGACTGGAAATTTGATCACTAACATCAACAACGAACATTTCTGGTTGAATGAGGTATTATTTTGATTCACTGCGCTTGTGATTTCCCCAAGCTACTATACCTCAGTTTCTGCTTCAAGATTAAAAAAAACGAAGAAGATGTGTTAGCTTTGTAATTTCAAATGTTTTTGCTTCCTTTAGCTACAAATAGGAACACAAAAGCATGAGAGTTTGGTTTGGGGATATGGATTACTAATGATGTGTAAACTGTGTATCCGTTTTTAGAGTTTGCCTTGTTGATGGTAAAAGTCTGATTTTATATGTTCATGAAAATAGGGGTTCACAACTTACGCAGAGAGGAGAATTGTGGAGGTTGTTCAAGGGGCGGATATAGCTACTTTGAACATTGGCATTGGTTGGAAGGGTCTAAACGATGAAATGGAACGATTTAAAGACAACTTGGAGTGCACAAAACTGAAGAACAACCAAGAAGGTGTTGATCCAGACGATGTCTACTCTCAGGTCCCATATGAAAAAGGATTCCAATTTGTGTTTCGAATTGAACGCCAGGTTCGTTGAGTAAACGCCTCTACTTGTGTTTTCCATATGTAATGTTTATTGTAGTGGTCATCTATTTACTGGCAAACTTTCAGGTTGGAAGGACAGCTTTTGATGACTTCCTCAAGAAGTACATTGCCACTTTCAAGTTCAAGTCGATCGATACAGATACATTTCTCGAATTCCTGAAAGCAAACATCCCTGGCATAGAGAAAGAGATCAACCTACAGCTGTGGACTGAGGGCGTTGGCATACCAGAAGATGCATATGAGCCAGTCTCAAACATTTACACAAAGATCATATCCCTGGCAAAAGAGTTTAAGCAAGGAAAGATGCCAAGTGAGGATGAAGTTGCTGAGTGGAGTGGACAGGAATGGGAGCTCTACTTGGAGAATCTTCCTAAAACATGCGAACCTTCTCAGGTACTATTCACACGTCTTTTCTTCCTCTTTAGATAATTTGTTAGGTGCATTTGACTTAGGATGGAGAAAAAGCACATGAACTAAGTGATAAGCTTTCATAAAAAGAGAAAGAGATTCAGTCAATGCATAACTCCACATCAACCTAAGTTGCAGTCCATTAGCGTTGGATCTTTAGAGTTGGGTTATTGAATCGTTGTGGAAAATTCTTGTTTGTAATAGACGATGCAAGATCAATAGAGAATGGTTCTGTAACTGTTCGCTGGTGATCATATTCCAAACCTATGACTAAAACTCTGTTGGCTTATTGATGAATCAGATCACGGCCTTGGACAAGCGGTACAGACTGGCAGAATCGAAGGACTACGAAGTGAAGGTGTCGTTTCTGCAACTTGCAATCTCATCCAAGTGCAGTGAGTACCATGGGGAAGTGGAGAAAACTCTAAAACAGGTGGGAAGGATGAAGTACCTGCGTCCACTCTTCACTGCCCTTGCACAATCTGGTGGAAACGAAGAGAAGCAGCTGGCGAAACAGGTCTTTGAAGAAGCTCGTGAAACTTACCACCCCATTGCTCAGGGAGTGGTTGAGTCTATCCTCTCTAAGTACATTTGAGAGGACGCATTCCAAAAATAATAACATTTGAATAAAACCGAATGACTTGAATAATTGTTGTTGCTCTCTAGTCATAAACAAAAGGAATTTGCTTTGCGGGTACATTACATTCTCTCTGAGATTAGTAAAAAGCTTACTTCAACTATGCATTATTACTCTCATCTTCCAGTTTCTTGACATAAGCCTTGAGCGTCATTATAACCTCAATCGCCGGTGCTTGTAAAGTAGAGACGAGATTAATCGCCGGAGATTGCAGAGAACCGAGCAGCTTAGCGTAGACCTCAGCGCGAGTGGGCATTGTCTCGAGAACTTTGAAATTGTCTGGAGCGTAGAACTTACCTTCGAAAACGGCGCCGGCAAAGTCATTGTCTTCGAGCTTGCGTTCCTTCTGGAAACTCCGGTAGGGTTTGATGGCGGTGGGGATTTCGTCGGTTTGGACAAAGAGCCAAGCGTTCATTCCCTTCATACAAGGCTTGAGAGCTTCCCATTTGGTGCCTTCGATGGCCTTGAAGACCAAAGTGTTCTTGGCGACGACGAGCTTGGTGGTCTCTGGGAGAGTTCTCCGGAGGTCTTGGAACTGCTTGACGGTGAGGCCTTTGTAGTTGATGGCGGCGAGGAGGTGGCAGTTCTCGAGGTGGGACTTGACGGTCTCCACGGTTTCTTCCTTTTTGGTGCGAGACACGGCGGATCTGATGATTGGGAGACGAGGGTAGTTTCCGGCTTTCGAGATTTTGGAATTAAGGGCTAAGGTTCTGTTATGGCAGAGAGGAGACAAGGAAGAAGAGAAGGAGAGAAGACCGGCTTCCATTTTTGCTCAGAGAAGAAGATGAGGAGACTCTGTGTGGGTGTGTGTAGTGGAGGGAGGAGATAGATCAACAAAACAATCTCTTTTCTTTTTTGATTTATTAAAGTTCACGGAGAAAAGGATTTAACTGACGGAACTATTAACTCCGTCACAGGTTAAACGCATTTCTTATCCTTGAGTCTGGTTCTCAAGTAGAGCATACAATTTTGTCTTAATTGTATCGTTCCAGAAAGATATCGTTCTGCTCTTTTATGCACAGGGATAATGGAAGATGTGTCTTCGCCATCTAACTAACACAAAGTTTCTTGAACATTGTCTCAAACCAGATTTCATAATTTACTCGAGTTCATAATTTAACCAGAGAAAACAAAAATTAACAGAAAGAAAGGGAGTATAAATGGAAAAAGTAAACTTTCTGTCGGCAAAAAGTTGCTGTATTGTAACGGTCGTCCCCTATGATTTGTCTCTTGAGGATGTGAGTTAGAGATTGTCCCAATTAGGGATATTGGCAGTAGCTTCATTCACCATCTTCACAAGAGTAACCTGCACCACCACCAACCACAACACACACTATGTATCAAGAGTCGTTCCCGAACTTAGGATAGCATTTGCGTATGAAGTCAATAAGTTAACCCTATGGATGGATATTACTGCAGCATTTTGTTGTACAAAGGATCAGATGAAGTGGTACGTATATAACTTACCACACTTTCCGGAACACCAGGAGGTGGCATGGAAATGTTCCTCGGAGGAGGACCTCGCAGATGCGATCTCTTATCGAATCGCCACTCTCCTATTTTGCCATATGTCAGCTCACCCTGTATGTAACAATCCATAATGTCGTTATGTTAAAAATATATCAGACTGGTATAAGTAAAGCTACCACTGAGTTCTGAAGGCGGATCATTGGAACATCCTACTTTAAGGACCTTTGTCTAAGGTTGCAACAAAACTTAGTATGTTCACGAGTGTCTAATAAGAAAAACTAAGCAAAAGCGAATGACCACAAGATTGAATAAGGATTGAGAGAATACTTGTAACAAATGACTCAGGATGTAAATCATGTTCGCTAATTTACTTGCCAAGAACAAAATATAAAACAATCATGTCAAGCAGAAATCACCTTCATGTTGTAATCGCAGCCATAGGTGTAATGGATGATAAACCTCCCTTGGGTAGATGGATCCCATGGAGGCTGAAAGATAATAGTGAGAGCAGTTACTAATACGGAGCCAAAAAAAGAATTTTGTAGCATTGACAAGAAAAACTTCGACATGGTATATGATATCATTCACAGTAACCAGCACACGGCCAATTCCTACCTGAAGCATGAAATCCTTCCGAAGTATGTGCCGCACTCCGTGCAGAGCAGAGGCAATTGCGTAACCATACCTTACCAAACAGAAAAAGAGAAGAAGACAGTTGTCAGAAAACAATGATGGGATTCAAAAGGCGAAGAAGCCAAATAATGAACAAAGATTCTCTTTCCAGGACTAACATTTCCAGCACCCATCCAAATGCTTTATCAGTTTCAGGATCGTTTTTCATTGTCAACGAGACGTTCATCCATGTAGGAGCAATCTTCTCAAGTGATTCCTGCATAAGAAAGTAGATGCATGTCAACATCAAGTTTAAATGCATAAACAGAAGCAACCACATGTTCCTCTAAACAATCTCTGGGGCCCAAGGCCAATATAAGAGACAAAGATAACCACATTTATAGCACGGATAATCAAACACACCTTGCTTATAATAACAGGAGAATTCCCGATGGGGTCGATATTAGTCACCGGGCCCATCTCCACTGGAAAGTACTTTCTGACTATGTTTTCATACTTCTCAGGTGTAATATAGAAAAACGGAAAAGCAGCTGGGAATCCTCCAACAGCCAGATTAGGAAGAGGATTAACAAATATATGATCAGGCTCTGCCATCAGCACATAGCTGCACCAACATTATCAAACATGCAGGAGATTTAGCAAACAGTAAACCATTTTCTGATAGCAAAGGAGGAGACAGGACTTACTCTTCCTTGATAGTAGCTCTTTCAAGCCATTGTACAAACGCCCATGGTCTATTCAAGACAACATAACCCTACATACCAAAAAAGAGTGATTCAATTGTAAGAAAACAGCAACAAAACTGAGAGCAAGTGAAGAGAGGGAACACAACTCTCACCCGATCAAGACCAGGAGGAAGAGGATCAACCACAAATGTTGGTATTTCGTCCATCAAGTTATCAGCATTACCAGAATGCAGAATGCGGGTAAAGCCTCCCATACCTGAACCAGGAAGATCTTTCTTCTGCTTATACCAATAATACATGATACGACACTGCCATTTATTGTAAGCTGCGTCTGTGGCTGTTAACGCAACGTGAAACGGCGCTGAAGAAGTCTTGGCCTTTCTATTAGGCATCTGAACAACAGGATCAAGAAGTGGACTTCCATCTGAGTTACTCACACCAGATCTATTGTGGACTATAAGAGTCAGAAGATTGTATGTCACAACAAAGAAGCCGAAACCCAGCAGAAACAGAAGCAAGCCCGATGCTTTTCCCATTGATTTATTGATTCTCGATCAATAAGTACAATTACAAAAGCAAAACTTGAGCTCAGGTATTGGGGATTAGCAGCATAAATGTCACCACATAACAAATGCAGTGGACCCCTCTGCTCACAAATTCATTCCTGCAAATATATAGTTAGGGGACGAAAAAGTCAATCGTTGGAAGTGATAAAGTTAATGCAGCTTTGAGAATTGAGAGCCACACACTAAGATCAGGCTATCATAAACAACATCTCCAATTTATGAGAAATCAATCGAAATCGATCGAGGAGAAGAGTAAACGAGACGAAATCAGCTAAGTTTCAATTTTATCCCCATTGGATCGAAGAAATTCATAATTTATACGCAAAGAAAGTGTGAAATTCCAGGGTAAGAAAAAAAAAACTAAAAGATCTAAAGAAGACTTACAACAGTCAGAAGCGAATTTGGGAGTATGACAGAAGAATTGGAGTAAAATTTTGAAGCTTACGGATTAGAACAGAGAGACCAAAGGGGGAAGGGGGGGAGAAGAAGAAGGTAAGTCGCCGGAGAATAACAAGAAAGATCGGAAGAGTAATAATTAATGCGAAGCGGGAGTTGACCAACGGCGTATCATTAACGATTTATTATACACTTGCCCAAATGGTGTTAGGATCGTGCCAAAACTTATCCCGTGGATACAAAACAATCATACAAGAAACCAAAAAAAAAAAGATTAAACCAATGAGGTTAGGTTGAACAAATGCAGTGTGTGTGCAGGCACGTCTTTGTGTAGAAAGGATTACAGAAGAATCTCCCAGCTTCTGGTTTGCTTTGATTCTACAACATTTTTCGAATTGTCTTCACAGTATCTGATTGTAGCTACCATATTCACTGAAAGAGAGACTAAATAATAGTAGAACAAATGACGGACGAATTTCGTTAATGGATGAAATCACAAAAGAGATGATACCATGTTAAAACTCAGGGAAGATATCCATATAATATAAAAAAGGGGGTAAAAAGTAGCAAAAACAAAACAAAAACTCAGTAATTTGGTTCCAAGGAGTGAAACTCCCTCCCATACAAAATTTATTCAATAGAAAGAAAAAACTTATCGTCGAAATGATAAATTTCCCCCTGCTCTCTCCTCTCTAGTTTTACGGAAAAAGATTTCATCAACATCTTTGTTTTTTATAAGTCTGAAACTGCAATAAATCGAGAAAATAAAAGAAAATGGAGCCGAAGCTTCATGGGTGAGTGGCGGTGGTGATCGGTACTTAACCAGATCCGGATCCGTACTTCTTTCCGAGGACAAGTAACTGCAGCTTGTCGTAGCCAGAGAGCACACCAGCACCTGCAATGGCACGGAGGATGTTTGCACCAGCTCCCTTGAAGAGAGACTTGGCTCCTTCGTTCTTCAGGATCTGCTTGAACGCATCCATCGAGCTCTTGTACTTGACGGCTTCACCTGATGTCATCATCATTCTTCTGCGAACAGTGTCAATTGGGTACGATGCAAGACCTGCACCGTTGGTGATGAGCCATCCAAGAGCAAAACTTGCGAAGAAACTGTCCTGAAATATCCAGAAAGATGAACAACATTAGAAACAATAAAGGCAGGATAATCTTATGGACTTGATCCAGATAAAAGAGCAAAAACAAACCTGCAAGTCACCAGGGAGAAGAGGCTTCAAGGAGTCGTACAGACCAAAGTAGAGACCACGGTACACAATGATACCAACACAGGAGATGTTGAATCCACGGTAAAGTCCAGCGATACCATCAGACTTGAGGGTCTTCCTGTAGACATCAACCAGACCATTGAATTGCCTCTCACCTCCCTTCTTGGCAGCCTTAGAGTCATTGGCAAGACGGGTACGTGCGTAGTCAAGAGAGTACACAAACAAGAGGGACGAGGCTCCAGCAGCACCTCCGGATCCCAAGTTACCGGCAAACCACTTCCAGTAACCATCCCTGTCCTTCTTGAAGTTGAAAAGCCTCTTGAAGTAATCTTTGAAGGCAAAGTTCAAAGCCTAGCCAGTGAGAGGAGATCAGATCAGTAAACAATGCATCATATAGTACCAAACAAATTTCAAGGAGCAAAGAAGTGAAATTTAACCAACCTGAGTGGGGAAGTAACGGATGACATTGGCGGTGTTTCCCCTCCACAAGGAGCCGAATCCCTCATCCTTGATGGTCCTGCCGAAACATTCACCAATACCCTTGTAGGGCTCAGAGAGCCTGCCAGCCTTGAGCATCTCATCCTGGTTTTGAATCAAAAGCTTGACACGCTCGATGGGAGCAGCAGCGGTCTTCGACACAGCAGCGGAGACACCACCCATCAGGAAATCGATAGCAAAGCTGGAGAAACCCCTCTCTGCTGGAGCTTGGGCAAACACAGGCGAAGTGGTGGTGGACACGATCTGAGATGTGGCCGCAAGAGGATACTGGAATGCAGCATTCGAGTAGTTCCCGTAAGTTGCACACCTTTGGTATGCAGAAGGCCTCTGAAAAGCCGATGCATAACCATGGACATCCTGAGATACGCTCGAGCGCAAGAATTGGCCAGAGGCCTTCTGCAGGATCGTTGGGTGCTGCGTCTGTTCAACCATTTTGACCTCTACAAAAAACAACCTTTATTCGTCAAACAAGACATCACTTACGTTGTAAACACCAGAAAAAAGCATCTATGCGTCCAGAATGAAACACTTATTGACCATAAACATAGCAGAGATCACAGGTAAACAAAAAAAAGGCTTGATAAGAAAAATCAGATCGGTGGATTTTCTAAGAGATGAGCAAATACAGATCGGTGAGCTCTAAATGAGATCTAGCAATATATCAATCCAATTTTACACTGTGAAATGATGTGACCTAGAAACTAAAACATGATTATATTCCTGTAGCAGAATCTCAACGATAATGACGTCCAAACAACAGATCCATACAAACAGTATCTAAATGGCGTAAAATAAAAGGCAACAGAGCTGAATCATTTCGAGGATTACACGAGCAGATCGAAGAAAACATTAAAACCAAGCAGATCTAATCGATCAAAGCATTCACACGATCTAGATTCAACTAAATCCAGCAAATACGCAGGGAAATGATCAGATCTTCGACAGGAAACTATCATTTCACCTTGGAATGTGTTAGACAGTAAATGAAACAGATCGATAAAATAAGATGAACAAAATGGAGAAACAACGGGATTTAAAGCAATCAGAGATCTGAGAGCAGCCTAAACTTACCAAAGGGAATCGATGGCAAAGAGAAATTCAAGGAGGAGCGAGAGATTCTTCGCCCTTTCTTGTAGGAGGTGAGCGAAGAAGAAGAATGAGAGAACTTTCTTTGTGGCGAGGAGGCGAGTATTTGTTGGCCTTTTTATTGGCTCGAGAAATAGGGTCGCAAGTAGTGAGTGAAAATAATCAGGTGTAATCCTCTCCTATACACGCTCAAGTGCTGTTGGTCCGTTAGATCGTCGGGATTGAAAAGGAGATGGATTTTAAACCGTCGATTATGATTAGTAAAGGAAATTATAGGTTTATGGAAATGTATCAAGAGTTATTGACCCTAGATCTTGCCAGCCATTATGTGCGAATGTTAATGGCCGATTGACGGATTTTTTAGTCAACTGTCCACACGATGACGTTTTAAGCATTTCTGGAATATAATTTTCTTTTTTTTTTTGCTACAAGATTTCACTAAAATATATAAAAAACTACAATAGTAAAATGTAAAAACAATAAGCCAGTTAAAAATAAAATGCTACGGGTATTGTTTTTCAATAGTTTTTTTTTTTTTTTTTTTTTTTTAGAACTATTGTTTTTCAATAGTTTCAACTTTCAAGTATGGTCATTTTAATTCTCTGATTGATTTCTGATTGATTTTAGCATATAGTGTGCGGAATTCACTTTGTTCAGGTAGTACAATTATTCATGTCTCTGATCGAAGAAACATGTTTTGAGCAAAGTTGCGTTACACTAACTTATAACACAAGTGTTTGGAATGGATCCGTAAAACTACAAAGGCGTTGGATGCACGTACGAGCGACTTTTCTTGTTAGCTTGGGGTGATTTATAGCAATTAGAATATGCCATTTCCGGTTTCGTGACTTGGTTTTACGTTTAGTTTATGTTGCTCTTAGCTTTCAAAAATCCGAATGGTTTAAATAGAGAAACACGATTTGGGAAATCAGACCAATGAAAAGGGTTATGATCGAGGCGAAACTATTCTCGGACATAACTGTTTTGACTCAAGTCTGTTTCATTGTGAAAATGTCAAATGTGTATACACAAATAAATGTGTGGCATATCATAAAATCTTGATATTACACATTTTACACCATATGTCATTTAAACCCTGATTTTCCACAGGAACATGTTTGCATATCCGATCTGGACAAAACGGAGTGGATCATTAATCGCAAAAAAAAGTCATAATACACCCATATGCAAACAGCCAAACATGACCCTTGTGGAAAATCAGGGTTAAACCAATAAAAAAATGTCAGATTTTGATCTTAAAAAATGTTCATGCTTTCACCGTAGAACCGGGTTATTTTGCTTTGAACCCAGATAAAACCGACCTACGAACCGATCTTCTCTGCCTTGAACTCAAAATTGAGAAGAAAACCCTAACCTCTCTCGACTTCCCTCCTCTTCTCTTAGCTTCTTCTCAGCTCTTGATTGTCAATCAATTCCCGACGAGACCCACGCTCGTTACAAGATAACCCAACATTCGCATAATTCACTCCTCACCTATACGGAATTTCTCCGTGGGCAAATAATGTACGGCGAATCGATGCAGCAGCTCCCACCAGTACAGAATCAACACCTGGTGGGCCCAGGCGGCGATGCTCACAGGGGCGCACCGATGCAGCACATGCCGATGATGCGTCAGCCCTCAGCCTCTTCTTCTAATATGAATCCTGACTACTACCATCCCTCTGGCCAAAATCAATTCGAGCGTAAGTATCAGTGGTTTTAGCTCTCAAAGGTATCGTAGCCTCAAGCTCTACTATGCGTTCTCATGTCTCTCTCTGATGTTGCAGATTATATAGACAATTCTGTGGCCAAACGAATGCGAAAGCATACACAGAGAAGAGCTGTTGATTATACGAGCACCGTTGTGAGATATATTGAGGTAATGTATTCCAATTCTTCGTTAGACCCTTTTTTACCGATTGATTATATCTCTCTCTTCGTTTTCTGTAAAATCGTATTCATTAGATAGCATTGTCTTTATATCATGTATTTACTCCGTATACATGTTTTTGTTCAGGCTCGAACATGGCAGAGAGACTCAAGGGATATGACTTCTTTGCAACCAACCCCTGCTGCAGCAGTTGATGTAGGATTGTTTTCTGGATTTATGCAATAGTTTCTTGATCTGAGTAACGGAGTAATTTACTGATCGCACGTGTATATCAATGTTTCAGATGCTTCCCACAGTTGCTTATTCAGATAATCCATCCACAAGTTTTGCGGCAAAGTATGTTCACACATCTGTAAACAAGAAGCGGTTTTCAATCAACTGTGTAGTGGTATGTCCCTCCAAAAGCTGAGTCTTTCTTTGTTTGCCACGCTTTATCTATCGAAGAAAGCGACATCGTTCTCTTTGTTTTATACTCTTTTTATGCCAAATTAATGCGATCATTCCTGATTGTATTTTTTTTTTTTTTTTTGTGTTTAGTGGACACCTTCAGGAAGACGTCTTATCACAGGCTCCGATAGTGGGGAGTTTACTCTTTGGAATGGGCAATCTTTCAACTTTGAAATGATTCTTCAGGTTCGCTTATCAGATTGTGTACTGTACTTCTGCTTAGATCTCTATATAGTTGTTGCTCCTGATATTTACTGTTGAAAACTGATGTCAATATTCAGGCACATGACCTACCTATAAGGTCAATGGTTTGGAGCCACAATGACAATTACATGGTCTCTGGCGATGATGGAGGCACAATAAAGTATACTCCCATTCCACCCCTCGAGGTAATGATGTAAATTAGAAGCTCAGAAATCGATGATTCAATTTTTGCTTATGAATCAGGTATTGGCAGAATAACATGAACAATGTGAAAGCCAATAAATCTGCTCACAAGGAATCAGTTCGTGGTTTAAGGTAGAAAAATTGATATATTAAACTGTATTAAATGCATCTGGCCAAGTTTTAACATCTGTATCAATCAGTTTCTGTAAAACAGATTTGAAGTTCTGCTCGTGTTCTGATGATAAAACTGTTAAAGTGTGGGATTTTGGCAAGTGCATTGAAGAACGCTCATTAAGTGGTAATGTGATTTCAACAGTTTGGAACTTTTTAGTTGCTTGTTTTTCTATTTTGAAATCAGAAGGCCATTGAAGATGTGTGTTTTCAGAACTGGGCCCTAATTAAAATTCGATTTGGTGTCATGCCATGTCAAAAATAGTTCGTTTTCGAGGCTCCAAAATTGTGCTGGAAACAAGTTTCATATCCTTTTGAAGGCCTGTTTTTATTGTTTTTTTCTTCACAATTTGCTATTTCTGAGAAATATTGAAGTGACCAAATGGTTCTTTATATTTTGAGGCAGGCCATTTTGGGGATGTCAAGTGCGTTGACTGGCACCCCACAAAGTCCCTACTAGTTTCTGGTACGTCATCTTATAGACTTCTGATTTTGAATAATACAGTAAGAAAGAAACCGCTGTGTACTTGAGAGCTGCTTCTCTGTAGTACTTATCAATGGATTATTAACCGTTTTAATCCGTGTGTTCAGGTGGAAAAGACTATCTTGTCAAACTCTGGGATGCTAGAACTGGGACAGAGCTTTGCTCACTGTAAGTGGCACAAAACGTAATCTTTCTTATTATTATTTTCAAGTTTAAAGCTTTGCCTAATTTGATGGCCTATTCCCAATTTTGCAGTCATGGTCACAAAAACGTGGTGCTTAGTGTGAAGTGGAACCAAAATGGCAATTGGCTTTTAACAGCCTCGAAAGATCAAGTAATCAAGGTAAGACTCGCCCTTTGTATGGTGTATATTTATTTGTAAACAAGACTTTTTTTTTTTTCCTGTGCATTATCGAATTGGAAGCATAATATATGACATCATGGATGTAATCCGCAGCTGTATGATATAAGGACGATGAAGGAGCTTGAATCCTTTCGTGGACACAAGAAAGATGTTACATGTAAGCTGTCAAATTCTGTAATGATAATGTCTCTTAGCACGTGAAATCAGACAGAATGCATGTATACTTTTTTGCACCTTGTCTAGGACTCCACATATGAGACTTTTCTTATGATGCCATGGATGATGGCTATTAATTTTGTTTCTCGGGCATTTCTTATTTGCAACTATATCTAACTAAAAGTTTCCCGACTCTTTTAAGCATTGGCGTGGCATCCCTTCCATGAAGAATATTTTGTCAGTGGGAGCGCTGACGGAGCCATTTGCCATTGGATTGTGGGGTAAGCAATACTGAGAAGCATTTTGCTATCTTATCTTATTGTTCATGCTTCTATAGCGTTGAGCCTTTAATCACTTATCAGGATTTGTCAAATCATTTTTCTTGTCTACATTTTGGATCCTAATGTACAATTTATTTTGTGGTTTAATTTGAAGTGTTTCTAAATGTGATACTCTTCTTAATTACCAGGCATGAAAACCCGCAGATTGAAATCCCAAATGCTCATGATAGTAATCCAAAAGATAACAACAGTGTCTGGGATCTTGCATGGCATCCTATTGGATATCTTCTTTGCAGGTAGCGGTTAAGATTATTTGTTGCTATGAGTTCCTTGCAATATAACTCTATGATGTTCTGTGGTTAGCTATGCTCTTGAATTAAAAAAATGCTTCAGATGTTGATTTCCCTCCTTAATATCTGCAGTGGTAGCAATGATCACAATACCAAGTTCTGGTGCAGAAATAGGCCCGGAGATAATCCCCGAGATGTAACTACGCAGAACCAAGGTTTTTTTCTTGGCTATTATTATCTGATTTTTTCCAGTACGCATTGCAATGGAAAGGGTGTGTGCTAATGCATGATTCTATGCTCTTATCCATTGTCTTAACTTGGCCCTCCGAGACATCTCTGGCCATTAGTATCTCATCTACTGTCTAAAAGCTCGCACTTCCAAGTTTCATTATTGCCAGAACCTAGTGTTTTTAAAAATTGTTTATGAAGCAATTAAGCTATGATACTAATAATTAGAATAATTTTGTATCAGGCTATAATGAACAAGGTTTTGGCAACCGCCTGCCTGATAATTTCCAGTCATCTGAGGCATTGCCAGCATTTGTTCCTGGGCTGACACGGAATGAAGGGACCATCCCAGGGATAGGAATCGCAATGCCATTTGATGCATCGTCTCAAGGGGAACACAAGCAGCCTCTTGCATTGGGGCCTCCTCCGCTGCCACCTGGTCCCCACCCATCGCTGGTTGGGAGTAGCCAGCAGCAAGGGTACCAGCAACAGCACCACCAAGGCCGTCCCCAGCAAATGCCTCCAATGGGCAATATGCCTCATCATCTTCAGCTACCACCATCATCTCATATGCCATTGCACCCTCATCCTCATCATCCTCGGCCTATGCAAATGCCTCCTCAAGGCCACATGCCGCCTTCCTCAATGGCGATGTCTCATCAGATGCCCGGATCAATGGTATGTCTCTCAGATCTCTTGTAATTCGACCCCTCTTTGCTTTATCTCCTGTCGAAGTAGATATTAATGTTGGGTTGTTGTTGGAGTAGGGAATGCAAGGGGGCATGAATCCGCAAAGTCATTATATGGGTGCTCCTTCGGGAGTATATCAAGGACCACCAAGCAGTGGTGGACCCCAAATGTATCCCCAAGGACGTGGCTTCAACCGTCCACAAATGATGCCTGGCTTCAACAACCCTTTCCAACAGGTTCTCTCTTAAGTCTTAACACTCTTCTACTGTTAAGATTTCACTTTAATATTTGACATTGTCTGAACGATGACATGAATAATCTTACATTACAGCTCGTTTGAAACTTACGCTAGCTATGGTATGACTAGAAACTGTAAAGCTTTACTAATTTGATTTTCTTTGTGTTAATCTGTGCAGCAGCAGCAGCCGCAGCCGCCTCTACCTGCAGGTCCTCCGCCGAACACAAATCAGTCACATCAGTAGACCACCCTTTGTATAAGTACATAGATTCTGTTTGTATACTTTGGCCAATTCTTTTCAAGGAGTTGGTTCCAAGATTATTCAACGCTATGAAATGATTTAATGATGCTTTAGCTTACTCTTCAGAAGTTTTAGTGGCCTCACATGTCACATACTCTTGTTTGGTTTCGTTAACAAATTTCTTTAAGAACAAATACTATTGTCTCCGAGTTTTGATTTTTCTTAAATAAAGACTTGTGTTTTTCTATTTTGATGCCAAATTAGTCCTTTTGCTCAAATTTTACTCTTGTCAAGTTCTGTCATTACAATGGAAATTTAACGTACACAAGTGATTATATCATGTACTTAAATCAAGTTGATCTAGCTAGTTTGAAGAATAATACTTTTGTTTTGGTAAAATTTCCCGAGATGAAAAATTCAGTAGATTTCTTTCTTGTATAACTAGTAGCAAAAATAAATGAGATAACGTTAGATTACATATTCTGTTTCTTCCATCCACTAAGATACCACCACCACTATTACGTTGCAACAAAACTAGTCAGAAATATAAAACCATTCAGATTTGACGAAACTAATCCTGATTTGGAGATGTTGCCTTGGAGGAATCTTGCCGTTTCTTCACAAAAAGCCTGCCTATATCCTCTGTGGCAACATTGCTCCTGCAGATATATTATCTCAAGTTATGCCATCGATCCATAAGTGTTTTTAAACAAGAGATTGCATCTAATATAGGAATTGGCTCTCATCAAGGTCACGGAATTTCAAAATTGTATCATGCGCAAAAACCCCTTTCATCGTGTGTATATCATTGTTAACAACATTAATACCCTATTTATCATCTTACGATACTTTTCTAGACTTGAGAAACAGAGTCAAAACTGAGATGAAACAAGACAGCCATTAACTAACCTTCCCTTGAGCTGAGGAGGCACAAGCACATTTCCAAAAGTATCTGGAATATTCTTTGAATGAGGCAAGTTTCCTCTTGGTAGCTTGGGACGGCGAGGAAGAGAAGAATGACTCCCATTTAACTCCCTTTTGCGTAATGCACTCTGCGCCATTGCAGCTTCAACAACGGAAGCATGGTCACCGCCACCACTCACCTGTGTGATCGTTGGTGACTCCAGAAGAAACAAAGCATCTGGTAGCTGAGGAAGTTCGTCACTCTTTTCCTTCTCATTTATACATCTCCTACAAAAGCACAAACGCTCAACTTATAAATTAAGCAACTTGGACTATCATCACCCAAAACTTGACACAACAATGCTTATAGCTTAATTCGTATTCAGCATCAGAATTGAGTGAGATCGGAATTGAAAAAAAGGATTTCACTTTGGCAACCTAGAAAATTTAACAATACTCTACTACACAAAATATAAGAAAACGATGGGAAACAAATACTCTGCTTCACAATACACCAGTGGTGAGAAACTAAGCTATGTGAATCAAAGTCTTCATAGCTGTTATCAGATTAATTCCAGAAACTCTACATACATAATCTAGGCAGCTTTGATTGCAAATCAAAAAGTAACAGGAAACAGGCTAATCATCGAAAATCCACGATTGGGAAACCTAAAATCACTCACTGTGTATTTCGAGGAAGAGATTGAGCTACAGAGGGTTTTTGTTGCGGTTGTGGTGGTAATGGTAGTGGTTCCTTCTTCTCGGCGGCGGGCAAAACATCGTCGTCGGACGAAGAATCGTCGTAGTCTACCAGTGACATATCTCCTCCTCCCTCCTTCTCGATTTCTTCCTTCTCAAAACGATGTCGCTTAAGCCCTGCCTTCACACGCTGCTCTATAATGCAAAGAAGACGTCCTAAATCGTAAATTAACTTACTTTACTATATGCTATAAATTGATTTATGTGTTTAGATCAGATTATTAATTAAATAAATGAAAATACTTTTTGGAGAAAAAAAGGATTGCACAGAGAAGATCCTATGTAAACACTGTCTTGTACACTTGACTTGTGCAATTAACCAAATGCAATTGAGTGTGAAACAAACAAGTGTGTGAACAAAAAGGAAAGAAAATTTGATACACATGTTGAGTGTGTGTGACAATCCAACAAGAAACAACATTGGGAAACGTATGTAAGTATATACAGGACATGAGACATCCAAATCCACTCATCTCAAGCTGCTCTGTTTGTTCCAGCTAGGTAGAGATCGTTCCGAATTAATGCTTAGATCGTTCAACAGAGTACCATTGCAAGACTTCAACGGGCCAATGCTAAATCCCTTTAACCCTGGAGACCGTTGCTGGTACGAACTTGGCCTAGTACTATTCCCAATCCTGACTTTGCTTGGTGCTTCACTCATAACCGAAGTGGTCAAACATAACTTGTTCTTATACGGAGAGTAACTCTCTGACTGCGTGTCGAAACTTCTCGGTCTTATCCTCGGGGAACTCAAAGATCTCGACTTTGCCTTTGCAGACTCTGTTGCTACCATATAAGTTGGCGTAGTGACACTGACCGGTCCAAGGTTTTGTTGTTGTTCCTCTTCACCTATTGAAACTTGTCTTCTGTGACTATTATTCACCAATCTTCTTGGAGATGAGTTTCTTGGAGTTTTATTCAAAGTTTCTTCTTTCGGTTTTGCTTTTAAAGACAAGTCGAGATCTTCAAGCTCCTTGCTCTTGGTTCGTTGTGTATCTACCCATTCGTCTAGCCAGTACTTCCATTTCGTGTTACTCCGTCTCTGGTATGACTCTGCAGATTTCTGATGTTCGTGTACACAAAGAAACAGTTTTCAGGTAACCATTATGAAACTTGTAATGCAATTAAGCCAAATCAAGAATAGAGTACCCGGTGAGTGACTGCATATTCCTTGATCCTTTCTCTTCTTAACGAAGCTTCTTTCTTGCTCATGAAAACAGCTTGTGCCTCTTCCTTTGTTAGCAGACTATCGTCCCATCTCTTTTGACCGTTTGTCTCCACCTGTACAACACATAATATTACTGCACCAGTTTCAAAGAATTACCTCTTTTTTGTTCAAGTCAGAATATGTAGTACCTTGAGTATGTTCTCGGTGAATATCTGAAACTTATTGCTGCTATCTTGATCATAATCTCTGTGAGGACCTCTGGGAATTTGTGTTCTCTTACCACAGACCTGTGACTGAATGTTCACAACAGACTGCAAGCATTTTAGTGTAGTCATTGCCTGGCGTCTCACGGCACGGCCTCTGATATATGCTTGGAGCTTCACTATTCCTTTCAACGCACGTAGAGCTTTCCTTGCCTGCAATGAATTTCAAAAAACATTATCTTACTCAACTATACAGCTACTACAAGGTAATTACATCAAAAAGGGTACAGAATCGTACAAGATGACCACGAAAGGCTGTCTGAATCCGAGTAGCAGCAAGAACTTCTTCTTCTATATTTAGAAACATTTGATATTGGACTACCAGATCAGAAGTTTCTGGTGATGTTGAACCTTCTAGCTTTTCTATGGAATCTAACTGTTGATGACTACAAGATACTTGGCTGACTTCACCGACATCTGACACACTTTCCTCTTTCTGTTCCTCGAGCGATTCGTTTCTTGTGGCTTGCTCTGGTGGTGCTGTAATGGAAGGTAGTCTTTTCTTAACCTTGAGCTTCCAAAATGTCCATCTTCTTCTCTTCTCTTTCTGCAAATAAACACATAAAGAAGAATGAAAAAAGAAGCAGAAACCATCACCAGCAAGAAGAATGAGAGAGAATTGTTATTTTTCTTGTAATTCACCTTTTCTGAGTGAGCTTCTGAGATAAAAATCCTTTTCAATATAGTGAACAAGCCTTTCTTCTTTGCCATTGTTGTACAATCATCACCTGGTTTGTTGCTCTGGGAATGCTCCAACAAATCAGTCAACCAAATCTGAACAAGAGTAGAACTAATTATTCAAACAATGACCAATCATATCAAATCAAATCAAATCACAACGGATACATATTGCCTGAAAATCTAAAAAATGCAAATCTATCAGTATCATTTTCCTTAAAACCCCAGATTTGACAAATCATACTCCAGATCAATAATAGTCTGATTCTAGGGAAAAACAAAAGCCGCAAATATTTCCTGAAAAGGGTGATAAAGATCTCCCTAGAGAATTGGATCACACAAGACACCAAAACCGAAACAAAAGTACTTAATTAAAAGAAGAATAAGGCACAACGAAATGAAGGTACATCACAAAAATGAAGCCTGTGTCCAAGATTTGAAACAAAACATAAGAAAGAAAGAAAACAAAAAAAAACTTAACTTGTGGTGGGTGGTGTAAGAGATTTTCACAAAAAAAAGTTTGCTAAGTTGAATGAATATGCGGAATATCAACAGAAACAAGATTGAAGATTTCAGACAAGAGGCTTTGTTCAACAGCGAAGATGACTGTTCATCAAATTATATGTATGTGAACAAGAGAGATGGTTGTTCTCTTTCTCCACTGTGCCGACAAGTTAACGTGCCACTTCATTTCCTCTTCAAAAATTATTCTTTTACCCCTCAAATCCTCCACACTCCTAATTTTTATCCCTTTTAAATTAAAAGTTGATTTTGTTCTTATACTATACAATATTAAGGTTATAATGGCGTGAATAATATGTTTAAGATCTGCATCGCTATCGATTTGTCTTTAAATGTCACTCAGAGGTTCTATTTAAATATCCTCAGACAGATCGCAACTCAGAAATGCTTTATTTATATTAATGTCATGATAGTGACCACCAATCCAAGAAGAGCTACATCAGTTTAAACCAACTTTGCTAAAAGTGAACATAATGTATAAACAAAATCAAGACCATAAATGTTTCCTTAGCAACTAATCGTGCTTTTGTACGTGGTTCACAGCATAAGTCAACTTTGAAGACTTTATTTGCAAACAATTAGGTTTACGTATCTATGATAATGAAACCAAATGGTCAAATGACAATGACAGCACTTCATATTGTTCATATGGCAAACAAACAAATTCCCTGTGTCTTTTCACTCTCAATAGCCTTGTGTACAGATCTAGTTGCATTTTTCTATATCACACATTTTTTACTTCCGCTTTTAGTATAGCTAGATCTTAAGAAAACATATTTAAAGCGTTAATTATTCAGAAATAGTAATTGACGAAATTAAACACTTTAAAGAAACAAAAAAAAGTTCCCACACCAACAATGGTTAAGTTAGCCCAATAATAAGCATGAGTCCAGTGAGGCCCATCTCACTAAGTTAATTTTCCTCCTCTGACCAGTTTTCTTCTTTCCTTTGCTCTCGACAAAGCAGCTGATCGAATCGACTTCTCTCATTTCTAGGGTTCCAATCAGATATCTGCAACAAAAATGGCTTTGGCTGGTCGTATCAGATCGGGAATCTCCTTCTTCAAGAACATCTCCGTATCAGATTCCGTCTCCTCTGCTAGATCCCATCCCCGTGGATTGCCGCTTATCCCTGCGGTAATCGAATTCTTAAGAATTGAATCTCAAAGTCCTTTTTTCTTTTGTTAGGAATCGATTTTCCTAATTTCAGTGGATCCGATCGTATGATACTCTTGATTGCTGTAGAGAATGGAATTATCGTATTATCTCGTTTACATTGCTCGGCATTTGTTTTCCAGAGAATGTTATCAGCTAACTCCTTACTTTGAATTGTTCATCGCAGTTGAGAGCTTATGCAACAGAGTCGACTCAAAAAGTGAAGGTACAGTTCCTTATTTGTGCTACACCTACTTTCTCGAGTCACTTCTACTTTTTTTAGTTAATTTTGTGCCAAAGGTGATTGCATCTACATATTTCATAGATGTGAGAATCGCCACAATAGCTTGGATTGTGGATAAGCATAAAATGAACAAGATGTATAGCTTTTATTTTGTGATAATTCCCTCTGGAAGTGTATCTGGTTTTGATATACTTGATGTGTTCTTACACTGTGTATGTTGTTTCAGGTGCCTGTGGCTTTAGTTGGTGAAAATGGCAACTTCGCCTCGTGGCTGTACATTGCAGCTGTGAAAATGAATTCCTTGGAGAAGATTGAGTCGGATCTCTCTGAGCTAGTTGAGGCAATGAAGACAAGCCCTATTTTCGCGCAGTTTACAAAGGATCCCTCTGTTCCTAGACAGACAAGACTTGCTGCTATCAGGGATGTTTGTGATGAAGCAAAGTTCGCCGAACCCACCAAGAACTTCCTCTGTATGTAATATAGTTTGAAAGTGCGTTGCTTAATGTTTTGGTTGATTATGCTGTTGTTTTGATCAAATCGCTGTTTGCTTTTTCTAAAACAGCTTTGTTGGCTGAGAATGGGAAGCTGAAGAACCTAGACGCGATTGTGAAGAAATTCATGCAGCTAACAACAGCTCACAGGGGAGACGTCCAAGTTTTGGTCACCACAGTCATGGTAAGCTCTATTTTACTACTGTTATGTTATTTGTTGAAGAACCATGACACGTATTGTTGATTTTAAACAAATGTTTTGGAACAACAGCCGCTTCCCGCTGCTGAGGAGAAGGAGCTGAAGGAGACTCTCCAGGAGATCATTGGAGAAGGGAAGAAAGTAACTGTGATTCAAAAGGTATGATGTGATGTGATGTCGTATCACATGCTCGTCACTGATTATTAGTAAGCTGCGATCTAATCTTTGGTGGTGATGTGCTTTTGCAGATTGATCCAAGTATCTACGGTGGACTAATTGTAGAGTTTCAGCAAAAGGTGTTGGACATGTCTATCAGGACAAGGGCACAGCAGATGGAGAGGCTCCTCCGTGAACCTGTTGACATCAGCAGCCTCTGAAAATCTTTTGAGAATTTTCCCCTAAGAAACATGTTTGTGATGCCCACCAATTTGACAAATAAATATGACCCTCCGGGAAAACAGTATACAGCCACTTTTCGTTTTTGAATTTTGTCATTGCGTTTACATTTTGTTGTTTGCTTCAAAATAAGCAAGATTTATTTCAGTGAGATTGTTTTGTCCTGGTTTTGGGTTTATATATCTGAAATGGATGGTCAATTTGGTGGATAAAACTACATATTATGTGGTAAAGTGTACTAATTAGGTTATCACTACTCATAAGTCACGAGTAATGAAAGGTGGGAGAGCCACGAAACAAACACAAGTAGATTAATGTGCCACGAAGCTGAATATAATTTGTCAAGCGAGAACACCGTCATTTTTTTTTTGACATATAACCCCCTGAGGCCATGAGTATAAAAAAAAAATGAACAAAATAGTAAAAACCAAATTGACGATTTCTCGAACACTATTTTTAAAGAAGTAATCTTCGTTTTGCATCGGCCATCCCTAACCTTAGGATTTCTGTTCTTCCTAGAGCGAAACCCTAGATTCGGCCATTTCCCATTGAGCAAAGATGCTACGTGTAGCAGGGAGGAGGCTTTTCTCTGTTTCGCAGAGATCTACGACTGCGACCTCCTTCGTTCTGTCCCGAGACCATACCCTATCCGATGGCGGCGACTCCTCGACCGCCCCTAGATCTGTCCCTTCTGCAGATCTTACGTGTATCAATTCTCACTACCAGAGCCTTATGAGAGGTCTGCCGATTTACATCTCTATCTCTCTCTCGATTGATTTCAATTTCATTTCTAGTCTCGATTGAATGATTTATTCAAATCAATTTGTTTTCCTCATTTGAGTAATGATTGGGATTCCCAGTTTCGTCTCTAGAAGATGATCCGTAGGAACAAACGTTGTTATCTGTTTTGAATTCCATGAACTAGACGGTTTATTAGACCATTTCGTTTTTTTTTCCCTAGTTTTTCCAGCTTCTTGCTGGAATAGCTGTGCTTCGTATTACTTCTTTAGGCTAGCATGAAAATGGGCAGTTGAATTTATTGATCGGATATGAATTGATCATTTTTTGGGATAATCCTTTGCTTGATGAGGAAAGCTTCCTGTTTGTAAAATCCTTGGGGTGCGTTATCGCTTGTGTGATTCACGCGATGGAAAGCTTCTCGTTTTTCTCATGTATTTCTTCATCATTAGGGAGATGGATGTTTTATCGTCTGTGGGCACATCATTACACTTACTGTATTCTTGGTTTATAGCAGCCAAAAGCCATGCTAGGGAACTTGCATCAGTAAAAGAATCAGGAATTTAATTTTTGTTGACCAAAATGGCCATGATTGCAATCTTAGCTTTGGGAGATTTGTTTTGTTTTAAGCATCTCTACAATGCACAGCACCGATTAGAGTAGTTTCGTTTTACTTAATTTATATAATGGTAGAATTGTTTGAATGTATCTGTTATACTTCTGCATTAGTCTTATACCTCATTGATTTAATGGTCACATCTTGAGAATGGCAGTAGTCCATCTCTTGCTTAATACTTCTTGTTGTAGAACACTTGACTGAAAACAAGTTTGCTTTGATGAGAATATTACTAATGTTTCATGCCCTTTTCAGGTTTCTCCTCTCAAGTGCTTGCTCAGGGAAACGAGGTTGGTTTTGGTTCGGAACTACCAGCCACTGTTGAAGCGGTCAAGACACCTAACTCGAAGATTGTGTATGATGACCATAACCATGAGCGTTACCCACCTGGTGACCCTAGCAAGCGTGCATTCGCCTACTTTGTCTTGTCGGGTGGGAGGTTTGTTTACGCCTCTGTTCTCCGACTTCTTGTTCTGAAGCTCATTGTTAGTATGTCAGCAAGTAAAGATGTCCTTGCCCTTGCGTCCCTCGAGGTTGACCTCGGAAGCATCGAGCCAGGAACCACTGTTACAGTCAAGTGGCGTGGAAAGCCCGTCTTCATCAGGAGAAGAACGGAAGATGACATCAAGCTGGCTAACAGTGTTGATGTTGGATCTCTGAGAGACCCACAAGAAGACTCGGTCAGGGTCAAGAATCCAGAATGGCTAGTTGTGGTTGGAGTCTGCACTCATTTGGGATGCATCCCCTTGCCTAATGCTGGTGATTACGGTGGTTGGTTTTGTCCGTGTCATGGTTCGCATTACGACATCTCAGGAAGGATTAGGAAAGGTCCTGCACCATACAACCTAGAAGTACCTACCTACAGCTTCTTGGAAGAGAACAAGTTACTCATTGGTTGATGTCAAGAGTCTTGTCTTAAAGAATTAAATCTGTTTTTGTTTTAATATTTTCCGGCACTTGAGCGTGCAAGCTCGCTTTCCTTACACTTTGGTCTGTCAGCAAAGATTGTCTTGTTTTGCTGAATAATACAAACTCGTCATTGTATGACTTAGCATGTGTCTCACCTGGTGAAAAACACTGTTCATAGTCTGTTTTTATTGTTTGAAAAGAATTTTGGATTTTGAATAGTGTCATGACTTATTTTTTTCCCCTATGGTTGGTAACAGAGATTTCTTTCGTATATTAAATTTCAAGAGACTCGTCCCAAATTGAGACTGATAGGGGGCTTCAATCCTTATTCCTTATCCCCATCTTCGCCCAGGCTAACTTGGAGGTGGGAAGAGTTGAGAACAAAGTGGCGAACGGGTGCAAAAACAATTTTGTTCGTGTTCTGGACCGCCACTTTGTTCATGTTAAAGAAAAAACACCTTTAGGTGTTGCTTGTGGATCCTCCTATGAACGTTTTAATTCTCGCAAAGAACAAAATTTGCAGAAGTTTCTCTGTTTACTTGCATCTACCTGGACACATCTGTGTACTGTGTGGCATATTCAGATATTTGTGAAATCTAACTCGCTAAAAAAAATCCTTTAATGGGATTTTTTGTTGGTTATGTCGGGTAAAATAAAATTTAGGGAAATTGCAGCCAATATACATAAAAAACCATAATATTAAGAATATATCAGTAACAAACGTTTGAATACGATATACTGTATATTTTATATAATATTTACCATAATAACCTCCTTGAAACAAAAAGAAACACTTTTCTTAAATTTTCTCTTCTTTTCACTTTCAGTTTTTTTCTTCTTCTTCTCTCTCCCTCACGATGGATAATCTTCCAATTCCCTTTTGGCTTTTTGCCGATTTCTGTTCCTCCACTTTGATTGAATTTCATCTTTGGCTGTAATTTTTCTCAGTTTCCCTCACTCTATTCTAATTGGATTTCTTTGTGGTTTACAAGGTTAAAAATGGTAGTGTTTAGGGTTTGGGAATGTAAGGTTTGGGTTTACAGATTCGTGTTTAGGGTTTATTGTTTAATTATTTGAGTTGTTGTATTGATTTTCTCTTGCTCTAATCAAATTGGATTTCTATGTAGTTTCTGTAATTTCTCTATTTTCTGGGTTATTTTGAAAAGTTGGTTCTAGGGTTCTTGGTAGATTACAGATGAAGAGAACCAGACCTTGGGTTTTGCTGAATTGTCAATTGTGGGCGAATTTTACAGAGAAGATTTGGGTTTACAGATTCTAAAATTTATGGATCTAAACAAAACTCAGGTTAATTATGTCATTGAGATCAATTGGCCCTTGCGATGATTTCTCTCCAATACTGTTTTCTTTTTCAATTTGCATCTCCATTGTTGGCATTGATGTATCATTTGGACCGACGAAGAACGTCAACCGACAACAGTATTGGCGAACAGTATCTGTGGGTTTCAAAGGAAGGCAAATCCAATTCCAATCTTTTTTTGTACCTCCGTGTCTTGACTGCCGCAGTTTTGCCGTCACTGCTCCAATTGATAATTTTCATTTCTAGATTTCGATTGAAACCTATTTTCTCATTTTTGGTTAATTGCTTTAATGAAATTGTAGCTGTCAAGTTGTATACTATTTGTCTGTCTGTTTGATAATTACATATAGTAGTATAGTAATATAGTTTCTATTTTGTATGAAATATAACTGAATATAATTAATTCGTTTAAAACTCAATTGTATATGGCAAAGAATCTATTCTTGTGGTGAATTTTTCTAAATTGTATTTTAGACACAATCTCATCAAAATCTCCATTGTTGGCATTGATGTATCATTTGGACCGACGAAGAACGTCAACCGACAACAGTATTGGCGAACAGTATCTGTGGGTTTCAAAGGAAGGCAAATCCAATTCCAATCTTTTTTTGTACCTCCGTGTCTTGACTGCCGCAGTTTTGCCGTCACTGCTCCAATTGATAATTTTCATTTCTAGATTTCGATTAAAACCTATTTTCTCATTTTTGGTTAATTGCTTTAATGAAATTGTAGCTGTCAAGTTGTATACTATTTGTCTGTCTGTTTGATAATTACATATAGTAGTATAGTAATATAGTTTCTATTTTGTATGAAATATAACTGAATATAATTAATTCGTTTAAAACTCAATTGTATATGGCAAAGAATCTATTCTTGTGGTGAATTTTTCTAAATTGTATTTTAGACACAATCTCATCAAAATTATTGTATTGTATTTTCAAATATACCAAACAAACAGTATACAAAAATCAAGAACATATAAACAGTATAGAAATCAAGAGCATAGTATAGAAAAAACATAACACTATCAGTTTCTCTATATAAGGGCAAAATCGTTCAAAAATATTTCTCTTTGTTACTGACTTAATTTTGAGTTTACAATAGCTATATTCTTAATTTTGACACTCAATACTATTATCTACCAAATTAACCCTAGAATTTATCTCAACTACAACCAAAAAGTTTTAACAAAAAAATACATATCATAAAACAATTTTTTTTAACTAGGATCAAACCGAAACAAAAATAAATAACAGAAGAGGCCATGCAATCAAAATCCTCTAGTATGATTTGAGAAATATTCCCTAACAAAATATTAAATAGTTAAACAATAAACAAATGGGATTGACCTTTTCTTTTGTAGAAGACTAATTTTAAGGGACTCTTCTTCTCTTTGCATCGGCCGACTCCTCCCTAACCTCGGGACTCCGTTCTCGCTATCGCCAAACCCTAGATTCAGCCATTACCCATTGAGCAGAGATGCTGCGAGTAGCAGGGAGGAGGCTTTTTTCTGTTTCGCAGAGATCTACGACTGCCACCTCCTTCGTCCTCTCCCGAGACCATACCCTCTCCGATGGCGGCGACTTCTCGACCGCCCCCAGATCTGTCCCATCTGCAGATCTTTCGTGTATCAATTCTCACTACCAGAGCCTTATTAGAGGTCTCAACCCACTCTCTCTCTCTCTCACTCTGGATTTGTTTCAATTATTGTTTTCATTCTGGTGTTGTTTCCTGTTATTTTGATCGCATCATTTTTCAAAAATCAATATTTTTTTTTGCTTGCGCTCCTGGAATAATTGAGCGATTTCTAGTGTCAAATCTGCACGATGATCCATGGGAACAAACGTGTTATCTATTTCGAATTCCATGAACTAGAGCTTGATCTACCATTTCGATTCATTCTTCTCCTTGCCAGAATTATTTTGCCTTCTGTATTTACTTTTTAGTTTTTCGCCAAAAAGTAAATTGACATTTGAGTTGATTGATTGGGTGTAAATTGACCAGCTCTGAGACCATCCTTTGTCTGATGAGGAAGGTTTAAATCCATTGGGGTGCGTAATCCAAATTTTCACTGGCGTTCTGATTTCTAAAACTTCGATCTTTTGTATCTATGCATTTCTTCATTATTAAGGAGATGCATGTTTTATCGTGTGTGAGCAGTTTATGTTAAAAGGCATTCTGTGGAACTTGCATCTGTAGTTTTATTTTGTTAAGCAAAAGAGTAATGTTTGCAATCTTATAGCTTGGTAGTGTTGTAAGCATTTCTTTATTGCACAGCATCTCATCATAGAATTTGCTTTCTTGATTGGAGTACCCTTTAGTCTTCTCTGAATTTGATGTTATGATAGAATCGCTTTGGTACACTTGAAAAGATGTTTGCTTTGATGTGAATATATTGATGTTTTTCATGCTGTTTTCAGGTTTCTCTTCTCAAGTCCTTACTCAAGGTAACGAGGTAGGTTTTGGTTCAGAACACCCAGCCACAGTCGAAGCTATCAAAACTCCTAACTCGAAGATTGTGTATGATGACCATAACCATGAGCGTTACCCACCTGGTGACCCTAGCAAGCGTGCGTTCGCCTACTTTGTCTTGTCGGGTGGGAGGTTTGTTTACGCCTCTGTTCTCCGACTTCTTGTTCTGAAGCTCATTGTGAGTATGTCAGCAAGTAAAGATGTCCTTGCCCTTGCGTCCCTCGAGGTCGACCTCGGAAGCATCGAGCCAGGAACCACTGTTACAGTCAAGTGGCGTGGAAAGCCTGTCTTCATCAGGAGAAGAACAGAAGATGACATCAAGCTGGCTAACAGTGTTGATGTTGGATCTCTGAGAGACCCACAAGAAGACTCGGTCAGGGTCAAGAATCCAGAATGGTTAGTTGTGGTTGGAGTCTGCACTCATTTGGGATGCATCCCTTTGCCTAATGCTGGTGACTATGGTGGTTGGTTTTGTCCGTGTCACGGTTCGCATTACGACATCTCAGGAAGGATTAGGAAAGGTCCTGCACCGTACAACCTGGAAGTGCCAACATACAGCTTCTTGGAAGAGAATAAGTTACTCATTGGTTGATGAATAAAAAGCACAAACAGTCAGTGTCTGGCTCTCGATGAACTTTCATCTTTTTTTTTCTTCTTTTTTCTTGATTCTTATTCTGCTATTTGGAGCAAGATTGTCTTGTTTTTGCTGAATAATAAAAACCTTGTCATAATTATTGAATGTATACTTAAGCTTTTTGTTTATCCATCGCCGGTGAAAGACACTGTTCATAGTCTGTTTTTTCCTATGTGTGAGATAGATCTTTCGGTATCTCGAGCTTCTAGGCGTCATCACAAATTAAAAGTTGTGTTTACAGCAAGTAGTAACATAACATGAAGTTCCAGAAACATTGTAGATAAAACAATACAGATAGAAGTTGGTCTTAAACACAAATACGATGACACCGTGGGTGATGCAATCCTCCTCAATTTTAAAATTGTCCGCGTTGTGTGACGATTTGATGCCATCTGAATTCTAGGATACAGCTAAAACTCTCATAATTTGCGAAACCAAAACCAGAAGCTAAAGAATTCTATTGTTTTGTTGATGTGTGTTCAGAGTGAGGCCATATGCTCTCGTTTTATAGTCTAGTGGAGAGATTTGGACAAAAGGCAAGTACAATAAATGTCAATCTTGGAGAGGAAGCGACAGAAATGAATGCTGAGCTTGGAGAGGAAGTATTATTTCACACTTGATCAAAATACATAGCAACACTGATAGGTTATTGGGCCCGAAAATTCATCCGAACCCAAACCCAAACATATATTGCGAGTCAAATTAATCTCTTATTTTATTTGGAATTTTGTTAAGACATAAAACGTTTGACCTTTTTAGCTAATGATTGGATCCGGACCGTAGCAGTAGCACCCCTCGGCTACCCTACTCAGGTGTCCTGATTGCATACACAAAAGCCAAACTCTGACCCTTGCTAACTAACAACGGCCATTACTACTAATCACAAAACCAAGCAACCTCTCATGTTAATCATAAGACACCGCTCTATGGGTTTATTATTTTATTTATTGGTACATGGTTATTTCGGACAAGCTGTTGTACTGTATTCTTTACATTATGTTTAAACTAAATTTTGAGACCTTTCTTTTTAAAACTAACTGATAAAAAAAAAGTGAATTAAAAAGTTTGTACTGCTAAAATACATAAAAGAAAACTTTTTTTTTTCTTCCAACATAATCACATTTACAATTTTGGTAATCTAACAAATCGACATCAAAATTGTGTTAACAAAATATATTTCATAATGTCTTAGATAATGTATATGACATCATTAGGACGTGGAAATGTCAAATGGTCAACTATAAGCAGCAGCAGCATATATCTATACATCCCCATCATCATATTATAAAGTATGCTTAATTCGTCGTCTGCGTTCCCGACCTAACCCATCCACATTCACCAACCCCATTTTTCCCCCTTTGCTTGTTTTTATCCTCCGATCAAACCAAGAAAACATTTCATATCCCACCAACTCAAAAATGGCGACCATTTCGAATCTCGCTAATCTTACCCCCGCCACTGCTGTCAACTCCAGATCTTCTTCTTCTTCCTCCGTCGTACCCAGATCCTTCCTCAATTTCCGCGGTTTCGACTCCAAGCTTTCCTCTTCTCAGCTTTCCCTTCGTTTCAACAACCATCAATCCAGACCTTCCCTCTTGTAAGTATTTCTTCTATGCATGTGTTTTATCTCTGTATATCCAATGAACTTGTATTCGCTTTTCTTTTAGCTGGAAACGTACCTCGAATCTCATGCTGGTTAGTTTTGTGTGTGTGTAATTTACTAATTTGATTGTGTCTCCTGTTTCTCTTTGGTTTAATTTTGCAGTGTGAGGTGTTCAGTCTCTGGCGGAAATGGAAGTGCTGGGAAGAGAACGACTCTTCACGATCTATATGAGAAAGAAGGCCAGAGTCCTTGGTATGATAATCTCTGCCGTCCCGTCACTGATCTTCTCCCTTATATTGCTCGTGGCGTTAGAGGCGTTACTAGCAACCCTGCGGTATATTTATCATCTCTCTCTCTCTCTGTGTTTGTGTTTGGCTTTGCTTTTACTCTCTAGTTTGTTCATCTGTCTTTACTCCTTCCTTCACTGTACAAACATTTGCAGATCTTCCAAAAAGCCATATCCACTTCAAATGCTTATAATGATCAGTTCAGGTACTCCTTTACTATACATATGGATTCATCTTTGGCATTTGGCTGATATGTTTACTGTATCTTTGACTGGAACTTAATTTTCTATCTTGATTTTGGATGGATACGCTATTAGGACACTTGTGGAGTCTGGAAAGGACATTGAAAGCGCTTACTGGGAACTAGTGGTGAAGGATATTCAGGATGCTTGCAAGCTATTTGAGCCAATCTATGACCAGACAGAAGGTGCGGATGGATATGTCTCTGTTGAAGTCTCACCTAGGCTTGCTGATGATACCCAAGGCACTGTTGAAGCTTCTAAGTATCTTCACAAGGTTGTGAACCGCCGTAACGTCTACATCAAGATTCCTGCTACTGCTCCTTGCATTCCTTCCATCAGGGATGTCATTGCATCCGGAATCAGTGTCAATGTCACTGTAAGTTCTCACAAAGTGTTCTCATTTATTCATTCTTGGATGCTATGCTGTTGTGTTTTATGAATCTTATTTCTCTTATAGTCTTATATTATGATGATGATGATATGGCCTTGTTCTGTTTATGTTTCAGCTTATCTTCTCAATCGCCAGATATGAAGCGGTGATCGATGCGTATTTGGAAGGCCTAGAGGCGTCTGGACTTGATGACCTCTCAAGAGTTACTAGTGTTGCTTCCTTCTTTGTCAGCCGGGTCGATACTCTCATGGACAAGATGCTTGAGCAAATCGGTACCCCAGAGGCCCTAGAGCTCCGTGGCAAGGTAAAGCTTGGTTGACAGTCTTACACGGTTATTGAGAATCGAGTATGAATGAGCTTATGACACAAGGATATGTTGTTGTTGCTCTTGCAGGCAGCTGTGGCACAAGCAGCATTGGCATACAAGCTGTACCAGAAGAAATTCTCAGGGCCAAGATGGGAAGCTCTTGTGAAGAAAGGTGCTAAGAAACAGAGGCTTCTCTGGGCATCGACAAGCGTTAAGAACCCGGCTTACTCTGACACCTTATATGTGGCTCCTCTCATCGGACCTGACACTGTGAGTCGTCTTTTTTGTTTCACTGACCTATCAGTATTTTGTGAATATATTACCAAACAGGGTTTGAAAATGTTTTCTCTTTTTTTTTTTTTTTGTAGGTGTCAACGATGCCGGATCAGGCACTGGAGGCGTTCGTAGACCATGGAACAGTGAAGAGGACGATAGATGCGAATGTGTCAGAAGCGGAAGGGATATACAGTGCGATAGAGAAGCTGGGGATAGACTGGAACAAGGTAGGAGAACAGTTGGAAGAAGAAGGTGTTGATTCTTTCAAGAACTGTTTCGAGTCTCTGCTTGTTACACTGCAGGACAAGGCCAACACTCTTAAACCAGCCACCCATTGAGGATAAAGCTTTTCCACATCGTTGTTTGACTTTTGGAGTCATCTTTCTGTTTTGTGTTTTGGTGAGATAATGAATTAAATAAATGAAGAAGCTTTGGCGTTGTTCTTCAATCTTCACCCTTTAGAGTTGTGATATGGCTTTTGCTTGATTTGATTAGTAATGTTTCCTCTTTTTTTAAACTGAATTTGTGTAACAGATAATTTTTTTTTTTTTTTTGCAAAGATACGTAAAATATGATCAACAAACTATGAATCGAATGTCTACTTAAACAACAACTATTGAAAAACAAATAATTAGAGAGACAAAATAGAGTAATATATATAGTTACGTTTCATTACTTTATGAAAAACGGATCCTTTTCGCAAAACCGCATTGTTTCCCATAATATTCATGCATAATCTCAAGATTTTTTGAAGACATTGTCGCGGAAAGATTTTTTGAAGACATATTCACTCAACATGATTAATATGGGGTTAGGTGGATTTCCAACTCAATTTCTGGAGCAGGTGCATTCGACATTTCTAGTCTTTCAATTAGACCTTAATATAGATCAAATTTCGGGCAAATTTTGTGCATGTCAGATGACAATTCTAAGCAAATTTGATGAATTTGATTTCACCTACTTGTTGTTGTAGAAAGATTTTCACAAACATTAACTACAATATGTTTATGTGCCAAAACACATAAATATTTTCACAAACAGACATTGATAAAAACGTTTTTTCTCTTTTGACATCCAAAATCTTGATATTATCTAACTAATATATCATAAGGTAACTAACAACAATTAACATAGAACAATCAACATAAATATCCTGAGAGAGAGAATGGATTTAACCTTTTGATTATTTTTCACTAAAATTTCGGTATGATGCTTCAAAGGAGATTTTTTACGTTTTTACGGTATTTGCAATTATATTTTCACTAAAAAAAAGTTGTCGAGCCAAACCACTATTGGTTTGGTATTGTTTTCAGTTTAAATGGAATTTGAATTTGGACCATAAAACTATTTTTAAATTAATTTGGATTATATGTAATTTGACATCAAACTGTGGACTTATTTTGGGAATACTGTGAGAAGAAGCCTCCTCCTAGAAGTCTCTACAGAAAAAAAAAAAAAAAAAACTGAGGCACGAATTAATCTCTCATCTTTCTCTTCGGACTCTAACGTACAACAAAATTCGGTTCTTCAGTATCACCTTCATGGCGTCGATTTCAGCCTTTGGCTACCTCCCTCCGTCTTCGCCTCAATCCACTTCTCTCACCGGAGCTTCCTCCACCACCGTACGACGCCGCACCATCCCAGTATTTCTTCTTCTTCTTCTTCCCTTCGCTCACTGAATTCTCTCATTTTGATTCTCAGAGATGCCGGACGACTGTAGCTGCTCGATTAGCTGACCAACCAGATGAATCCTCTCCTCTTCGGTCTTCTGGTAGGCTTCTGCAATTTCAATTTTCCCGTTTCTGAGGATAAAAATACGAGTTTGAAATTTTTATTGCGTCAGTAGTGAATTTGAAGTATGATTTGTTTCGAAAACAGGTGGAAATTGTGGATGTGTTGTCATTTCTGGAGAGTTTGATCGCAGAAGATTGATGGTTTCTGCTGTTAGTTTGTTGATTGGAGCGTTTGCATACGATGCTAAAGATGGAGCGGTTGCATCAGCTTCCCAGTTCGCTGACAGTAAGAGAATTTCAATTCCTTATGAAAACTTTCTTAAAGGTTACATTGTAAGTAATTGGTAGGACTTCGATTAGTCCCTTGTCATTTGTAATTTGGAATGCTGTTTGATCTTACTTTGTTCTCTGTGAAGAGTTTGCATTAGTGAGAGAGAGATGAATTTCTCTTTTGCTGGTAGCTGATCCAACTTTCTTCTTACGTTGCGTGCGCAGTGCCAGCGCTCAGAGGGAAAGATTATGGCAAAACGAAAATGAAGTATCCAGACTATACAGAAACACAATCTGGCCTTCAGTATAAGGTCACTCCTCCTCATTAGTGCCATGTCTTGTAATACCTTGTATGGTTTATTGGTTAGGATAAGCGGTGATCTGTTCATCTCGATGGATGCAGGATTTGCGTATAGGAACTGGGCCTAAGCCAAAGAAGGGAGAAAAAGTAGTGGTAAGGAGATTTCTGCATATCTGTTGTTTATAACGTTGGGCTCAAGTTTAGCTTGAAGTTTGACATAGATAGAGAATTTGGAATTTGGTTACAATGTTTCAAAGACGGTAAGTTGTTAGAGTTATTACAAAAAAAGTTGAGCTGGGTATGTCAGGTTGACTGGGACGGTTACACGATAGGTTACTATGGCCGCATATTTGAAGCTCGCAATAAAACAAAAGGGGGTTCTTTTGAGGTATGAACTCGTTTAGATTCTTGTTGGTTTCCCTAGCAACAGTGATTCAGGATCTTTAGCTGTGTGTTATTGTTTGTGAATCTGTAGGGTGATGAGAAGGAGTTTTTTAAATTTACCTTGGGATCCAATGAGGTGGGTGACAATTCTAAGCTCTTCTAGTTCCTATATTAGTTTTTACCGGTTTTTAAAGCATGGACTCTATTTGCTGAGGGTATGAATTGTTTATGCTTGGATACTGAATGGCGTTGGTGTTTCAGGTGATACCTGCCTTCGAGGAGGCTGTCTCTGGGATGGCTATTGGTGGTATAAGAAGGTTTCTTTCTCATATCTCTCACTCTACACATCCTCCATAGGTTTTGTCATTAGGAAGTTCATATAGTAATCAGAAACTTACCTCCTTGGATCTTTCTTGGTTCTCTTTCATTAACATGAATTGTAGAAGGAGAGATTCTCAGTCTTCACACAAATGATCTATGTGAAAGGATGAATCAGTGTAACAATTAGCTCGGTATTGCAGGATAATTGTACCTCCAGAACTAGGATACCCGGAAAATGACTACAACAAGAGTGCCCCGAGGCCGATGACTTTCTCTGTGAGCCTCTTTTGTTTGTTTCATGTATTAATGTATGTATCGATGGATGTATGCATGAAAAAGACGTAATTTGCAATGTTGTCTTTATTTTTGCTTTGCTCAGGGACAACGTGCATTAGATTTTGTGCTGAGGAACCAAGGCCTCATAGACAAGACACTTCTCTTCGATGTTGAACTCCTTAAAATTGTACCCAATTGATTTAAACATCGACAGTCTACACTGACCGTATATATATATATATATATTTATGATGCGTATCCTTGATCAGCATAATTGTGGGTACATTATGCTCAGTTTATATCATAACTGTTAGCCTTTCATTACAATCTTTGATGACTTGTACTCATGTGATGGCATTCACTTGGAACAGCTCCACTTGATTGCTGAACCAACACATTTCTATCTGTGATTTTAATCTGTGGCAGCTGTCTTTGCGTCCGTGTTATAGAGTGTTAACTGTATGTAATTGCTGCTATATGTTTATGTTAGCATGACTCGGAAGTGGCAAACATCGATGGTGCTAATATGACTGGTGCTATCCGATATGCTTCCCTTACCTTTTTTTCTAAAGGTATTTGCATGACAAGTTACTCGCACCTCTCCACGTTCGAGTCCAATGTACTGTTCTGTATCTACATCGTTCTCTGCTTTAGGTACTTCTCTCATTCCTTGTTTCTAAATATTAGCTAGAAAATTGGGATGCTGCATATTTCATAGAAGAAACACCCCACGGAGGAGTTTTCTTCTTCCTCTCGTCCCTAGAAAATCTACAACATTGAAATTATAGAGAGAAAAAAAAAACTGTCAAAGTACTCCCTGTTGTTGTTCCAACGATGTCAAAGTACTCCCCTGTCAGTGTTTTTACATGTGACCAAAAGCCGGCCCTTCCTCTAATTTTTTTTAAATCTTTTTCCTCCTCCTTTCTCTTTATGGATGTTCGAAATTGAAGTTGAAAATTGAAAGAGAAATGATCGTGGTTTCGAAAATCAAAAATTGAAGTTGAACATGCAACAAAGGACTAGTTGGAAATATTAAAGAAAATAAATAATAATCATAGTCTGAAAACAAAAAACAATAAAGGAAACAACCAATTAAGAAAATGAAGTGACACGTGTCAGGCACACTAATGACTTAATGAAGATATTGTTTTAACTATTAAGTAAACCTATCTATGCCAGCAGTGTCAGGCCCAGCCCAATAAGATCATTTATTAAGAGAGACACAGAGCACAACCCTAAATTCCAAAAAAAAGTCTTATCATTCGCTGTCATATTTAGAACGAAACCAAGTTTGATCGTGATCATCCGCAGTCCTCCGACGAATCCATGGGCGACGAAAGCGTGTTGCAAACCCAGAAATTTCCGCTGCTGAGTTTTTACAAGGGTAAGATCTATCTATGTCTCTTTCTCTCTAGCTTGGAAATTGATTGTCTAAGATCTAATGTATTGGTAATTGCTGGTAATTGGTGTAGAAGGGGAGGCTAAGACATGTGTGTTTTGGGATTTGAATGATTATCCAATTCCTAGTGGTGTCAATCCTGGTTCCATGTGTGAGAAGATTAAAGATGCTATTTGGGAGCAGGGTATTGATGGGGATGTGTCAATTCACGCTTATGTTGATGTCTCGGAACGTGAATATGGGGATGCTGGATTCCAACTGGAAGTTTTTCCCGAATGTGAAGGTGAGTTCCTCTTTTAAAACTCGTCTTTTTCTCTAATCAAATAATATGGATAATAATTTGATATACTTATCTTATTGAAGGGGGTAAACATACAAGACATTCCGCCATGCTTGCTGACATGGCGATATGGGCAGTGATTAATCCCAAACCATGTAATGTTTTTATACTCGCAAAGGTAACGGACGACTTCTTGGCTACACATCTTAGATCTTGTTGTACCAGAATTTACGGACAAGGGAGGGCTCCTGCTCAAAGTGGTTCTACGTTTCTGACTTGCATCTTCGACTTCGCTCTACGAAGACGACGAAGACGACCAAGACGATCAGTGTCACGCCGGTGACACTATCGACAAGCCTGTGAGAGAGGAAGAACAGAGTAAATTTGGATTTCAGTACTTAGATGTGGTTTTCTTGTTTTCACTTTCCTGGTTTTGCCTGTTGTATCATTTATACAATATACACCGTAAGTTTGGACTCATCTTAATAATTTAGAGTTTGGGTTATTTGTTATGAGTTTACACTGTTGTTATATTTAGTATTATCAACAGAAATGCAAGTGACATTAGTCCAGCCTTCAAGATACCACCACTCTTATAGAAACACCAAATGAGACTTGAGAATTGCAGAAGGAGAAACATAATTCCAAAACCAGTGGATTCATCAAAGAGAAGGTTACAAGTAATAATCGAAAACATGATCAGTTCAAGTATTGTGTATATGCAGTGTTGTGTTGTATACGTATATGCCTATACACAACGATAGTAATCAGCAAAAGCTATAGCTCCACAGATGAAATAATCTTGCCTTTTGGTTTCACGAGTGCAACCTAGCTGCAATAGAAGCAACCTGAGCTTCCATCTGTGTGGCCCGAACTTTCTCAGCCGTGGCTCGGTGGAAGAACTGCCCTCTCGACAACAACCTCACATTCCTCAGATACTGATCAAATGGTAACAACCCATCTCGAAACGACTTATCCATCAAATAAACAGTATCTTCGATGGCTAAATCCGATGCATTGCAATCTAACATCTGTTTGGATAGTGCTACAGTGCACTCAAAGGCATTACCTACATCCAAATCTACTGGCACATTCTTGGCTTTCCCGTTGTTCTCTACAATCCAGGAATCGAGAAAATCGGTATTCATGGCCATAGCCTGTAATTGCTGCTCTAAGGTTTCCTTCTCGTCCACCATTTCCTGCAAACCTCTGTTGAGCTCTTCTTCTCTCCTCTTGAGCCCAGCTTGTAAGCTCAGTAGTTCTTCCGCCTCCGCTTCTCAGGCACTCCTCATCGTGACGAGATCCACGTGAACCATCTCCACCATCTTATTGATCGCGTTCTTCTTGTAAACCTCCGCCGCATCATCCGTACGCTGCTGCTGTTGCTGGTGGTGGCCATATGGAGACGGAGGAGGCCGCGAATATCCGGATCCGATCGAAGGAGAAGGCGAAGGCGGATGGGGACGGCGCTGAGCGTAAAGCGGCGGATCGCGGGAGAAGGCGGCGCTGAGCTGAGCGGCGAGATCGAGGAGATTTGAGCTAGGGTAAACCCAGTTGTGGAGGTAGGGGAGAGAGACGAGGCCGGAAGGAGAGACGTTGGAGTGAGGGCGCTTGATGATCATGTCGCGCGTGGGGTTGACGTAGACGCAAGGAGGGTGGCTAGGGTATGATTCCAGGAGCCAGATGACGACGGGGATGTTGTAGCTGACGCCTTGGAAAGGCATCGGGACTGTGCCGTCGGCCTGGAGGAGGATCACGGAGCGGCCATCGTTGTGAGTAAACGCCGCCGTTTTGGGCTCGAGGGAAGCGTAAGAAGAGATTAGGCTGAGGAGGTGTTGTCGGATCAGCCATTTGGTGGTCTCGGCGTACGGGAGAGCGGAGGGGCCACGCTGGGAGAGCACGGAGGAAAGGAAGTGCTGGATCTGTTGCATCTTCGCCGGATCGGTCGCCGGAGGAGCCATCGGCTGTCAGATTCGAATTGAAGACGACGACCGATGAGAAATTCTCTACATCCAATTAGGGAATAAACTACTCTAAAGCCAAATATTTAAATTCCAAATTCTTGAGTCTTAACCATAAACTTTTAAAACTAGTAAACTCTAGATCATAACTTCTTTAAGCTTCAAATTTTAATCCTAAAAAAGTAAAAAATAGTCTCCTAAACTAAAAAATGTTAAGGTTTTAAGAGATTTGAGACTAATTTCTTTAATTGAGTTTTCATTTCCAAACCCGATGATCTTAATAGTCATCATAAATTGTACAATGAGTTTAGGCTGTGACCAGTTTCTATTTATTCTTGACTTCACTATCAATTTAACTATTTAAGCCTCTCTTGCAAGTGTGGATACATTCATTGGAAAAAAATAAAGATGAAATCTGAAAAGCACTAAATGTCACGGTCTCTGCGGCACGGGAAACCGGACGCGGTCGGTACAATAGTTATAGATGGTGTATCTCTGACGAACCCATTTGAGACGCTTATACTGGTTAACGTCCAAGTCTTGAAACTCCTTCTGATCCCACCAACGTTTCCCCTGCGTCTCGCAGAACTTAGCGGTCATTCAGGCCGGTTTTGGTTTTCCGTGGCGAATCCATTTCTGGGTTTTTCTTCAAAGTCAGTGAGGATTGTAATGGATTTGGGCGGAGATAGGGAAATGAACGAACAACCGAAGGAGAAGACAGCAAAAGAATCAAAGAGAGCTTTTATCTCTTACTTTGTTTTCCTTCTTTTGCAATGGACAATGTTCTCCAACGGTCAAATTCTGTTGGTGGGTGGTCGAGATTATATAAATAATACAGGAGCGGGATCTAAATTTGTAGATTGGTCTAGGCCAAGCAGGAGTGTGAAGGCTATCAAGGACGCTAATGGAGATATAGTCTCTGCCATCATGGAGCTTACCACCTAAATCCCAAACCGTTTCTCTTCTTAGATGTGGTTTTCGTGTTTTTACTTCCCCCGCTTTGTAAGTGGTTTTGCTTGTTGCATCATCATACTTCATAGTTCATACACCGTAAGTCAATACTATTATTTATGTGTTTCTGGACACAAACAAGTGGCCTTTCACATCTGAATCCATCGTCACTGTAAAGTGTTTTTTTTTGCTGAAATTGGGATTTGTGTTCCTTTTATTTTACTTTTGGTTTCAATCAATGATACTTCTAGGAAGAATTTGACAACCACTATAACTTACCAGGTTTTTCTTATCCAAGTCTCTGCTCGTATTTTCTATGCCAAATCATCTTTGAGCATGATATATAGAAAATTAGAAATGTATACATTTTCAATGGTTTTGAATTTTTGATGCTGGGAGGCACTAGCAAATGGTTCAACAAGATCGCACTGGAGGGATGCTGGCTTGGGTGATCGAAGATAATATTGACAAAAATGTACTGAAATCCAAGTCATTGACCTTTGATCAGTTAACATGTTAAAACGTCCTATGACTGATCGAAGATAATATTGACAAAAATGTACTGAAATCCAAGTCATTGACCTTTGATCAGTTAACATGTTAAAACGTCCTGTGCCTTGTGAATATACAGTACAATTCGGTGTGCTAACCATTGAAAAAATTACAAGACTAGCAGAATTAAAGCCGGTACGCCTTGCCCTGTCTTTACCATTCGATCGGTGTGTGCGCTAGTCTCGTTCTTGTTTTGATTACTATATTTTCCATTCACTGTTCGGTTTAAGATAAAATGTGGCCTTTTTGAGAACATCCAGATAAAATGGCCTCAAAGTCCATTTGTAGCAAGTTGGAAAGTATAATAACCAGCTTTTGCGTCGGTAACTTGGACACTAGTATCTGTGATTATTCCTCGCAACCCAAAAGCTTTTACTTTTCTGGTTTGCAAATTCTCCTCTCTTGCATATGATCAAAGTTAACCTTATATTATTATTATGTAGCTAACAAAAAAACAAAAAAAAACTGAGAGAGATATCTATCTAGTGTGAGCTCATTATTAGCTCACTATTCAATGGATTTAATTAGGAAGATTTAGGACTTTTTTTTTATCTTATTCGACAAATCGGAACAGATACCACAAGACTCCGCAATATATCTTTGATTAACTGCCTTCACATTTAAGTAAAAGATCAACACCTGTCAGCCCCGAAATCAATCGCGAGTACTTGGATGGAGGTGCGTTTTCTTTCCCGGTGTAAATTGGTGGGTGTTGAGTAAACAGAGACAAGTTTTAAGACAAGAGGAAAAGCGAGCAAGAATCATCCACAAAGTGATGAACAAATGTCAGTCAGATTTCAAAGCAACGACGGTCTTACAATATTGTAAAAGCTAAGACATCCGCTTTGGTGAACCAACGATTTCAAATTCATGGCTTCGGCAGTAAGCTAAGCTATCAGGTCCGATTTGGTGGCGACCACATCGCGGAGCATCTGGGTTGATGAGTGCCTCATGATGTGCTGAGACCACACAGAAACCTTTGTCTTCTAACATTTTACGAATCTGGAGAACTTGGGTTCTTGTTCCATTTCCTCCTTGTTTGATGAGAGCATCAGCACATTTGTTGGAGCATCCATCATATATACAAAGGTGAGAAAGGTCATTATAATCATGTCAAGTCTCGCTCGTTTAACCCCTTTAAAAGGAAAGACTTTGAATCGGACTTGTTCCAATTGGTCAATCAATTCAGGCGACCAGGTATTCTCAGCACCGTAAAGCCAGATTTGCAATTCCCCACGATAACCTTCCTTTGTAATAGCCGAATGGATCTGAATCCCAATCGAAAGAGGATCGAAATTTTCAGGGATTGAGTAATCCGACATGTCCCATAAGACATATGTTTTACGGACTGACACAAACACAAACACACAAAAAAAAAGAATCAAACAATCAGAATGAAATATAATCCAGATCATAGACAAAATATACTATGTATGTACGACATCTTACTGCGTTGGCGGCCACGGGGAACGGGGAACAATCTGGACACGGTTTCGTCGGTGTTCTCAAGCACAACTCTCGGAAGTGGGGGCCCTGCACAAAACGGAAAACGGAAAACGCAAATTACAAATAAACAAAGAGCAGAGATACACATTATATCATGATTCATGAACAAAGGGATACATATTACTTACAAGGGAAGGGAGGTGGGGGTAAGGAGGAGCGGGGGATGGAAGGCAGGGCAGGCATGCGGACGGGAGGCGGAGCAGGCATGGGGACGGGACTGGGGCCGGACTTACATTCACGCGCTGCACATAAAACAATTACTACAAATCAACAACAGATCCAGATATCACACATATCATATACAATTTCGAGCAAAGGGATGCATATTACCGCTATGGCGTCGGATAGGGCGTCGGATAAGGGAAGACATGGTTTCGTCGGAGATATCAAGAGCCCCTGCGAATGAAGAGTTATTTGTTCAAACGACAGAGACTTAGGGTTTATACATGAAGCTCTCTATTGGCCCAGGCCTAGTTAATTCCCAATTATATATATAGATATCGTTTTCCTATTTTGAAATTGAGCAAGAACGACAATTTAATATTTTTGCACTAATAGGTTTTTATCGTATTTTTGAAACTGAAAACAATCAAGATGAAATATAACCAAGAATAATACCGCGAGGGCGACGGGGTGATTTACGGGGTCCGCTGCCACCGGGAGACATGGTTTCGTCGGCGGATATCAAGAGACCCTGCGGCGGATGAAGAGTTTTTTGTTCAAACACCCGATTCGATTTTCTGAAGAGAGATACATGAAGCTCCCTATTGGCGGACTGTTGTCCATGGCCCAAGCCTAGTTCGCAAGTGTTTGGGCTCAATATTGAAATGGTCTAACCAAACTAACCCATTATTATGTATATAAAATGATAATAATAATAAAGTTGTTTGTGCAAAAATATTATAACCAAACACATCAATGTTTAAATGGTCTAAAAATAAGAATTATAACCACTTGTTGCGCTGAAAAGGAATAGTTAAATCTTGCAAGTTCTAGTTGCATTTGTGCATTAACCAACGCAAAGACACACAATTTTCTTGCATACCCACAACACTAATAACTTCATAAGTCTCACTTTTACCATTTCATGCTGCGAATTCATTGTATAATGAAGGATGTGGGTTAATTTGAGACATACTTTGAGACAAAAACAAGACTTTTTGCTATACAGTACATTGTTTTTTTGTCTTGTTGGTGAATCAGACTCCATCGATTTCTTGGTATGTCCCAGTAGTAATGATACCACTGAACACCACTCATCTATCCAAGCCTTTAGATTACTTTTTCTTTTCTTTTTTTACTTTATTCATAGTTATACCATCACCTTTGATTTTCCTATTTCAAAACCCAATCAAAAGCTAAGTACGTTTTTCAAAGGTTTACACATTTTGACTGACAGTTGGTGCTTTCATCAGTTCCAAGTTGACATACAACAAAGCAGTTACCACAATTTACCATACAGATTAGTCACGGAGGAGCTTCGGAGTTACGGCCAAAGAAGAAAAGAAAGTAACAGAAAACATATCAGTATGATATTGTATATGAGCACTCAAGTGATGATCATATTATTTCTGAGTTGGCTGGGCTCTACTACTACTACTACTGCAATTCTTTCTCAAGTTCATCGAATTCCCATCCATCAACCTCATCTGCAGAGTAATCACGAGCCACCTTACCAAATTCAGATTCAAGCTCAGCTAGTTCCGCTTCAGGGTTGAATTCCTGACTGGAACCAGCAGCAGTGAGCGGTGCCTTGGGAGGATTGCTCAACTCTGGCTTTTGGGTCGGAGTAGTAGATTCAACAGGAGCATCCATGCTAGTGCTGGGACTGGGGGATTTGGGTGTTGAAGCACTGCTTTTAGGTGATGGAGTCTCTATCTCTAACGTTGGCCTCGCTATGGATTCGAATTGCTGCCTCATTTTCTCCATGTCATCAAATAGCTCTTTCACTCGCCGGTCGTCCTTCCTGGTATAGTGTAGGAGTTTAGAACTCAACATAACAAAACTCTACCAATTAGTAAAAGCTAAGAGAGTTCACTTTCCACTCACTTTTCCAGTTTGCTTTGAAGAGCCTGGAAATGCTCTTTCATGTTATCCACAATGCTGAAGGTGGTTATGATCTATGTTTTTTGATAAACCAGATCAGTAACGAGGAAGAGCAACCGAAAAAGAGAAAAAATAACAAAGCACATCAACGCAGAGTCGAATTTACGTCCCCTATTAGTTGGATCTCAGTGACTGCGACCTACTAAGCAGCAATTATTACCTTGGTCTCATAGTCTAGATACTCCATCTCCAGACTTTTCCTCGGGTCTGAAACTTGATTGTCCCCCTGATCTGCACTTGGTGGCATCTCCGACCTGTCACCACACGCATGCGAAAACTGTCACCATTACTACTAGGCAAGTCAACTCAAAATGGAGGTACTAGCGAGAAACCAAGCTAAAATAGGAACAATCCAATTCAACAAGAGACATTTACCCTGGACCCAGATTCTTCAGATTTTCCACATAATTTTCTATACGACTTATTAGAGGTGTCACCTCCTTCTGTACAAGATGAATTTTTGTGTTAGCTCTATCATTTGCCAATTAATAGTTTAAAGTTTCCATAAAAACACAGAGGTTACCCTGTACGCAGAGAGTATATTAAAGGTCACATCCGAGAAGTAATCCTCATGCTTCTCCAATTCGTCCCTAAGACATGGATCCACTGGATTATTCATTGTGGTTGTGCAGCAAAGCACAATTTATTGCGAGAAACAGCTGAGAGTTGATAGAAATACAAAGTCTGCTTATCCTTCGTTTCGGTGTATGAGCATCGAAGAAGCCATGTATCCTCAAGAAAGTTAATCCATGTCTTGATAACTTCTGCCTCTTTCTTACAAGCTACAACTGATTTGGACAGGTCATCCTCCTGCGTGCAGAATCATTAGAAGCAAATTATTTCATGCGGATATTACAAATATGAGAGCTACTCATCTAAAAGAAAATGTTACCTTTGTTTTCAGGTGAGCGATTATCTGATTGTTGGCTTCACCAAATTGATCCCTCTCCTCCGTTGCGTTACGGAACCGAGCTTGGGCAGCAGCTAAAGATATATTAACCTACATGGAAATTTTCATCTGTTTAAGCGTGGTATGTAAATCTCCAGGATAAAGCAGGAAACCATATAGATAAAGCGGATTTAAACACCTTCTTCAGTTCAGCTTCCAGCTCATCTCTTTGTTTCTCAAGTTGTGCAATTTCCGCACCCAATTCCTGTACATAATAAATATTAGGAAAGAAACTCAATACTGGCAGCTGATGAACATGCCGAAGATTAGTGCTACTGTGTATGAGTTTTTTTTTTGGGCCACTGAATAGCCAAAAGAATAAATAAAAGCCAAAGAAAATGACCTTTTCCTTTTCACCGGTTTCATTTGCTTTCACCACACGAGCTTTTAGTGCCTCTTCTTTCTGAAGTCTGCGAAAAGAAATGCTGACTCTTATTGCTCAAGCGCTTACCAAAACCTCATCCTTGTAACTCGAAAAGACTGTAGCAAGATCCTGCATACTGCTGACTATGGCATCATGAACTTCCTTTGCTCCATTCAGACAAAGCCTGAAAAAAATGTTAAGCTCTATAAATAAACCCATTAGGTATGAACAAAAAGAAGTCCAGCACTCTTTTTCGAAGTCAATTTTTCGCCATGCAATTTGGAATGCCAGCTAACTCACCCAAACATCTCCAGGAGTAGCGTGATTTCATCGTCATGCGGTGGTTCAATAATCTGTAATAGAACAGTAATACCATGGAGAAAGGGGAGTGTTTGTTATACTTATCAGAGAGCCACCAAAAGATGAAGTTTAGCTTGCGAAAGAATACCATGGACAGAACGATGCCCTCCAGAGCTTGACTTTGCAGAAAAACATCACGGAAGTTTAGAGGCTCACCTCCTATATCTGGATCGTAATACAAAACCTACACATTGAAAAGGATCTTCTGAAAGAATTCTATTGGAAAAGGTAATATATATATACCACATGAAATTAGAAGCAGAATAAATCTAAGAAACTCACTTTCAGTCACACTCTTTATCAAAAAGTATACTATTCTCCTATACAAAAGAAGGGAACACAAATAGTATACCCATTCACGTCTCTTTGCTTCATTAGAAGCAAGTAGTTCCTCGGAGGTCATTTGTTTATCACTTTGAGTAGCTTTATCGATCTCCTTAAGCACAGATAGCCATCTGGTAATCAGCAATGCTCTTTCATGACCTCTGTATGACACTGCAGCTTCTTCCAATCTCTGAATCGTCTGATTAACACTCTTAAAGGCCCCAGCACCCTGCAAAGTTGCATCATGCAAGTCTTAAACTAATGCTAATGTTCCAGCTGCTCAAGAGAGTATGATACTAGCTAATATCTGCTTTGAAAGATTATAACATTTATGAAGAACCAAGTAAAACAAATATGGTTGAAATGTCACAGCACACTCAAAATTTCTTAATAGCAAAATCATAAGGAGAATCTAGAAAAGATAGACCTAAATCACCAATCACAAACGGGAAAAATTAAAAGGAAAGGAGAAATTACAATGCGGTCTTGAAGCAATTTGGCTCCTTCAGCGACGGCTTGGCCAGCCTGCTGGACGACGGAGTCGGCATAGTTCCTAACGGTTCGTGTGATATTTTTGCGGTTTCCGACCTCCACCGCCTTATTCACGGCCGTTCGCAGCCACGACATGCTCTCGTCGATATTTCTGGTCTACAACGGAGTGAATCTCCTCGGGAAGAAACCAATTTTAGAGACTAAAATACCGAAATGAGAACGGTCAATGTTTTACTCGGTGAAAGTTTGAGGATTGCAATTTGCAGTCGACTGCTAAAAATAAAATACGATTTAAGAAATGTATAGTAGACACTTGGGTCGGATCTCGGATACTTTATCCACCCTAAATTAATTGGTACAAGGCCAAAACAGATTGCATTGCCGAAGAGGGCCCCACCTTTTCATACCCAAACACTTCAGATTCTCTTCTTCTCCGGAGCGATCAGATTTCACCGACGACGACGAGGGCTTAGCCTTCTCTTACTTTCCTTCGGAGAAACAAAAAGCTTAGAGCGACGGTTATATACATACCTATACTGTATATATAGACGGAGAGATAGATATTGAGAGAGAGAGCACTCCTTTTCTCAATCAGAATTAGGGTTTTAACACAGGAGAGAAGAACCACTACTACTCACAAGCAAGGGTAAAAAAATGTCGGGTCTCCATCGATCAAGTTCATCGAAGAACGTTGGATACTTGCTTCCCTCGAAGGAACTTCTTGACGATCTTTGCAGGTATTATTAATCAAATCGAATGTTCTTCCTTTTTGATTTTGGTTCGTGTAGAAATTGAAGCGATGAGCTCGAATTGGTTGCGGTACTGATGTTAGTGACGGTTTTACGGATGAATTATTGTTTGCAGTCGATTTGTTCTGAATGTCCCTGAAGAAGATCAACAGTCATTCGAGAGGATTTTGTTTCTGGTGGAGAGTGCTTACTGGTACTATGAAGATAATGCTGTAGAAAACGATCCAACGCTAAAGTCGCTCTCCTTGAAAGAGTTTACTTCGCTCTGTATCCTTTCTCGTTGTTATTTCCGTTTGATTTCGTTGCCTTCTGATTAATTATTCGTTCTTCCTGCTAATTTTCTTATCCTCACTGTTGGTAAAATGCTCGTAAATGAGAGGAGTATGGTTCCGTTTCTCATCAGTGTACAATCTGTTTGTTTTGCCATTTATTTCTCTGGATCTTTTCTCTTGACGTGAGCTAGTATTCAACAGCTGTGCTGTGCTGAGACCTTACGTTGCTAACATTGGTGACATATTCAAAGACTTCACTTCTTACAAGTGTCGAGTTCCGGTCACTGGGGCAATCATCCTGGATGAGACATACGAACGGGTTAGATTGGGTGATTTTAGGATTTTCATATATATATTTTGTATTGGTTTTAAGCTTACTTGTTAGTTCATGCTTACATTTGCTTGTTTTTGTTGGGGATTTTCAGTGCTTGTTGGTAAAGGGATGGAAAGGATCAAGCTGGAGCTTTCCCCGCGGGAAGAAGAGTAAGGATGAAGAAGACCATGCCTGTGCTGTACGTGAGGTTAGTTTCGATTCTTTTACTTTCTCGTCTCCTGCGTGGTTCATTTGTTTTGTACTTTTGCAGCAAACTTGATCGATCCAGTCTTTACTCACAAGTGCATATTTAAAAGGAATTGTATGTTATTAGCATAAGATCGTTTATTGGCTGAGATTAAATATATATGTTAGGCTGTCACAAAATAAACTCACGTAGTGGATGCATTGACATTTGAAGATGTGTCAGTGTCAACATAATGTGCAGAGAGAACCTCTCATATATCTTCAGCTTACAATGGGGGTATCTCAGTATCACACTGGAGCTAATATTAATCTAACAGTTTGATCATAGTGCATCCTCCTTAGGTACTGGAAATAGGTTCTCATACTTGAGCTAGTATAGTTGAGCAAGGATAATGCTGTTCTTAGGTCACCAATAGACAGGACCTTTTGCAAATGAGATTTTTCTGCTGCTGTCAGTATGTTGTAGCTCTCTCTACTGTTATTCTTTGGTGCAATTTGTGCTGATGATTGTTTGCTTAAACTCGTATCATGGGTTAATGATAAAAAAGCTGAATGTTTTGTCACTCTTCTGTTCTGTTCTTCTATGTTAAACACAGGTTTTAGAGGAAACTGGGTTTGATGTCTCAAACCTGCTAAAAAAAGAAGAATATATTGAGTTTACGTTCAGGGAGCAAAGAGTACGACTTTTCATAGTTGCTGGGGTGACAGATGATAGTTTTTGCACCACTCACGAAGAAGGAAATCAGTGTATGTATATCACAATCAACCTTGTGGGTGTGATCTTGTCTGCTGCGTATGTATGGTGAGTCTCTTACGTTGAGCTGTTGTGGAATAATTGTAGGAAATCGCATGGCATAGGCTTGATCACCTTCAGCCAGCAAGTAATGAGGTGATAACTCATGGAGTTGCTGGTCTCAAGTTGTACATGGTGGCACCTTTTCTTGCGTGAGTAGTGCCTTCCTTATTTATCCACATGAAATTCTTGGGTTATTTTCGTTATTTGGTGCAGAGCATTATTGAATTTACAAACATGTGCAGATCTTTGAAGTCATGGATATCGAAGCATCCTCCTCGTGTAGCACGGAGACCTGACAAGCCCCTTAAAGGTTTGACATCCTTTCTTTTTTAACCAAACGTTCATAAAAAGATAGGTTTGTGGGCAGAGATTTGACTTGATATGCTTTGTATAGCACTCTGGGTGTATAATGCAAGGACTAGTGTTGGAGGGAACGGGACAGCAACAGCAACAGCAACAGCAATAGCAACAGCAACAACAATAGCAACAGCAACAAGAACAACGGAAAGCAACAATAAAAAGCCTGAAGTCGAGCGTCCTCAGGAAACAGTACCAGGAAGTAGTCTCAGAAGCTTCAAGTTCAACACGTCAGCAATCCTCCAGGCGATGGAATCTGGTTTTTCAGCTTGACTAGGCAGTCATATGTGGGTGGTACTCTGGGAGCTATAAATGCGGTTGGATTGGTGGATTGGTGGATTTGGTGTATAGCAAAACCGTTGCATATGTTCATACGCTTGTACCTTGTTACTGGTTTCGTATTTGGTTTATGCCTCTCGTTTCTTTTAGACAGAACAGGTTGTTGTACATGATGATGGTTACTTGATTAGTGGTGAATCCTTTTGAATTTTGATCATGGCTTTAGACTGCGACCACCTAAACGTTTTGTTTTGATCATCTTCTGAATTGTGACAACTGTTTCATCGAAACATGTCCGCTAAATCGAGACTCGAGAGAGTAAGTCCGCCTTTTCACTGGATCCGGTTAAATGTATATACCGATGAAACAAAAAATATAACCTGTTTTGACATTGTAACTTAACTTACTTTAGTTTCAGGGTGGGTGAAGAAATGGTGACCTAAATTTGGCAAGGGTGACCTAAATTTGTCCTCAAGCATCTCTACCATGTGAAAGTATACCGAAGTCCAATTGTTCAATAAGCTCACAAAGCCCAATTAGTCAACAAGGCCCATGTCTACAGAAAGATGGTTCATTTACATGGGAAAGCAGAGGAAGTTAGTAAGAGCACAGTACGGAAGAATGGAAAAGCAGAGGAAGTAAGAGCAGGTAGCTCAGAGATCCCACTACACAATTAATACGACCCTCTCTTGTTTTTGGAGTGTGGTTTGATGATTGACAGATGTCACTAGATCCTTTAGTGTGGGAAAACCCTAGAATCTTCTCTAGCTGTATAAATAGAAATCATCTATGTAAGAGGCAGGGATTGTCAATGAAGAACATATTTTCTCACAGATAAAAGTCTCTTTCATTTATTCACACCATGGCCCCCCGTTCCAAAAACAAAGGGTCCAAAAAAGGACATGGTTCCAACGCAGCTGCTTCCACCTCCAACGTACCTATTTCCACCTCCAACGTACCGGAAGAACCTGCTCCCACCGAAGAACCCCCAATAGCTACAGAATTTGTTGATGTGTACTGGGACCTCAACACCTGTCCTCTGGCATATCCTGCGGATGGTATAGTGGGAAGGATCGAAACGGCTCTTAACGAGGTCAATGCAAATTCAAACTCTCTACGATACGCTCTTTCCGATACAAGAGTTATCTGTGGAAATGTTAACGCATTGAGTAAAGAGGATTGGGATAGTCTTCAATCTTATGGTTTCAAATTGGAACCATGTGAAGATAGACGTGCTTATTGCAACAATCATAACCAAGGCCAAAGGAAGCCCAAGGATCCTCCTCCAGATCTGGAGTTGGAAGTGCATTTGACCGATCAGTCACTCAATCCCGTAACCACGAACATTTTGCTAATCTCTAGCGATTACCATTTTGGGGAGTCAATGGACATCAACCGCGTGAATGGCTACACAATTTTCTTAGCACTCTCCGGGGAGATACAGGGAACCGGCTACCAAGAGTATGGAATCGGCTACGAAGAGTATGGGCACTATGCTTGGTACTGGGAATGGATGGAGTATGATGGAACAGGTCTGTATACCCCTACCCCTGAACTGTATTATTCTGTTATGTCTTTTGTGTATTATGGTGTTAATTGTATCTTCCCTACAGCAGTTATTTAAGAGCAGAAAATCTCCTGTTTAAGAGTTTCAGAGTTTCATTTGATTATCTTTGCAATTTCCAATGCATAAAATGAGAAACAAAGACAAAAAAAAAAAGAGGGAAAACAAAAACAGTTGTTTCACAAATTCTGTTACAAGCAAAGAGCTGAAACATAACTAATCCTACGACTGACTAAATATACCTGAGCCGCAGAGTACACAATCCCTAAAACTCCCAGAAGCCGAACCTGAAACACGTCGGTTATCACCACCGCTGCAAAGCTAAGTGGCACCGTCAGCATCGGCGACGCGTCTGTGTGTTTACTTGTGTAACTCCACACGTACCTGTTGAATATTATGTGACCAGGTGCTGTGAGTATCAGGAGAGCGATGTTCTTCACTGCAAAGAACCATTCGCGCCCTCCAATCTCTACTCCCCAACCTGTGTTTCCACCGAACCAAACTTCTTCCCATACAGTGTATAAAGAGGACAACGCCAAGTACGTTGATATGGCTAGTGTAACCGGGAAGTATCTCTGCTTATCGCCGAACCCGGATAAGAGATCAGAGTCTTGGTTCAGGAGAAGCAAAATTGGAGCCAGGAAGAATATCGCTTGGCTTGAACCGCCTGAGATGTGGATGTTGAGGATTAAGCATATCGCAAAGCACATGATGGTGGCTACGTTACCAACCGCAGGCATCCAGGCCGCTCCATCTTCTGACATTTTCTCTACTGCAAAGGTTTGGATCGAGGTGGCTCGGCGTTGCTGCATCAACCTCATTCGCGACGGGAACATCCCCCGAGCGCCGCCTTGGGTGGTTTTTGACTGACCACTCCTCTCAGAGAATTTCTCACGCAAAAGCGAAGTGAGCTCAAACTTAATCAGGAGCGCTACAAGCATAAATATCGCTGCATAGAGGCCTAGGAGAGATGTTCTTGCACCTTCAATGGCCAACATGGTCGTGACTTTCTTATCCTCCTCCCTTGCATCCCAACCCCACGCAACATTATCGCTGAAAACGTTTTTTATTCTGACCTGCCCTTCTAACAAATATGTCACTGGAAATAGAGCCACGAGAAGAGCAAACACCCAGGGTAGCAGCTTTGTACTTGAGGCAGATGGGAAATGGGTGAAGATGACAAACACTGAGGCACACACCATTGTTACAACGATCAGGGCGTGTAGAACAGCAGCTTGTAGAAAGAACTCTGCAGATATGTAAAAACCGAGAGCTAAACCCATGGCGACGGAGTAGAATGCTCTCAATTCTACCACGTATTTGATTGGGATAAGAGATGTGGCAGCCGCAAGAATCAAAAGGAGTGCCACAATAAGCAACCAAGACGGCCAAGTCGGTTTGGATGCCATGAATCCGTAGATGGAGATGTCATCAGCTGACTGACGAGCAGCCTTGATCATTTCTGAATGGTAACTCCACGTCATAGGCATCGGTGGCTGCATCAGAATAAACATGCATCCAGTTGCCACTACCAATACCAAACTTCTCTTAGCTGACTGCAAAAAACAAGAAAATTCTCCTCATCAGGAAAAAGCAGGAACTAAACCATCTCTTTTCAGTACTTTAAACTCTTAAAATCAAGACCTGAGTTCCAGCACGACTACAAGTCTACAACTAGATAGAGTCTTCCTACACTATGGAGTTTAAATGGAAGTTTATAACACAACGTTAAAGAACAACCTTTAAGTGGATGTAACCTCTGATATTAATCAACAGACTCATAACATGTTAAATGACCTCATAAGAACCAAGAACTAAAGGCTTGCTAAAGTCCGACCTAAGAATTTTTCGGAAAAAAAAGTATAACAGACATACCAGGACATGTGAAAAGTGGAGGGCAACAATTGGTATACAGGCCAGACCAATTAACACGATGGAGAAACCAAGAAGCAAGCCATCAGACGGAGGTCTTCCATTCCACCACTGTAGAGCATCAAATATTGTTTCCCGGCAAAACCAAACAGAGACAGCAACCACTACGGCATGAGCATAACCTTGCCATGATTTCATTTTAGAGGCAGATTTCGACTTCTCCCTGCACATTCCACCAACAGGGTAAAATAGAATCAGTGTTAAAATTCAAGATGAGATGATACTTGTAAAAGTTAAAATGCCATAGTACATACTTGTATAGCAGTAAGGGAGGGGAAACAGCCAGCAATAGAGCTGCAGACACCCATACGATTGATTTTGATGACAGGAAGAGCATAGCCAACTTTGCTGAATACAGACAGGTCAAGATCCATACTGCCTTCTGTCCAATCCGATGATCAGCAAATAGTCTTCTCACCACAGCCAATCCAACAAGCGTCGTCAAGATAACCATGTAGCTAGGGTACATCACATCGTCTTCCATTCCGTAATAGTATATGCTTGAGTAATTGAAAAAGCGGTCCTCAATGTAACACAGCAATAACGCGTGGGCCACCATACCAGCTTCAGTCAGGAAGTGAAATTTTGATGGGAGAAGAACAAGACCAGGGATGACCATGGCTATGATAATGTTAGCCACTATAAGCTTGCAGAATGATTTGAGGAACATGCCGGCTAACCATATGTTCAAATCCCAGTAATTATGCATTACGAACCATACTACCATCAAGCTTCCAAGAGCAACAAATGCAAAGTAAGAGGACACACTTTTCTTAGTGAAAAACCGAGCAAAGTAAAGCCCAGCTACTGCAGGGAGCGGAGTAAACTGCAAGATAAACAGAGAATGTGAAATTCAATTTAGTTGCAATCAAATTCTCATTACAGGAAAGCTCAGGGAACTAAAAATCATTGAAAGTGAAATACTTACCAGAAGCGGAAACCCTACAACGATAGCTCCTGCAGAGCTCACAATCACAGCCAAAGCTGTGAAAAAGGCTGAGCTAAGAGCACTCGAGATCATTCCAAGAACAGAAGCACCAGCGCCAGCAGCACCTCCGAGCATTGTTACGGTCACCAGAAGGTAGTTCAACGGAGGGGGCACTTGAATCCCAAAGGAGCGGAAAACAACTCTAATCTCCAAACAGATCACAATAATGACCATGGCAATGGCTCCATTCACAATCCGAATGCTCTGCAGCTGATGGGAATTCTTGGTAACCCACCATAGACCACCTCTCGTTGAGGCGTAAAGCTGGAACAGGAAAGGGATAAAGAAGAGAAGCAGCAAATCGGAAACTGAAGCAGCTGATGAGAACACCACAGAGTAATGTGAAGCCACGTGAAAGAGATGCGGCATAAACATTAGATTCAGTGAAAGGAAACAGCTCTCGAGAGGTCCAAGGATAAAGTTATCATCAGGGACCTCTCCTCCATGGTACTTAGCTTCCTGCTTGGTCTTGAATGAAGAAACCCTTGGAATACCGAAAACCCAGTAGAAGACGCAGGCGAAGACGAGGAAATAGTATGAAGAGTTGTTCATCCCGACGGCGGAAATGGTAGCCCAGGCGAACAAAGAGGAGGCAGTGAAGGGGACGCAGGCGAACAAGAGGCGCTCGAGAGCGACAACAATGGAAGGATTTTCCAGCTGAAGCCACTTGAACCGGAGGGAAGTCCAGCATCCGATGAGGAAAGTGGTCTCGGAGCAGAGAAAAGCAGCGAGCAGGCCGAGAGGGACGGAATTGAAGGAGGAAATGAGAGAAGAAGAGAAGAAGAAGGAGATCTGAGCTGCGATCAGCGACATCCATATTCCCAAGAAGGCTCCGAATTTGACGTTGAGGGAATCGACGATGTATGATATGAGGAGGCCGATGGTGAGAGTAGCGACAACCGGACCGCCGCCGAGGTCGAGGAGGAAGGCAGCACAGGGGACAAGAGCAATGGCGATCCTTCCGCTGTAAGCGAAGGAAGAAGGAGAGAATCGAGAGTTGCTGGATCTCGAGGTAGCAGGAGTTCGATCGATGAAGTTTGTGGAGGAGGCAGGGCTCGTGTGAGGGGAGTAAGAGGGAGAAGACAAAGTTGGTTCACTGGAGGAAGAGGATATATGCGGCCGGAACAGCCGCGGCTGCAGCTCCGGTGGCATCATCGTCGCCGGAATTTTGCTTAGAAGAGAGATTGATGGCGAATATCTCCGTGCAGTGATGATGGAAGATGGAAGGATCTGTGTGTTGATTTCGCGGAAACGGTGACGTGTCCGGAAGAGCAGCAGCCCTTGGATCTTACTAGTGGGGCCCTCCGATCCTCTTAGCTAACGTAGGTCCGCACTGTCGTTAAAAATAGTGGCTCTATCTAAGCAAATACACTGTCGTTTCGTCGGTCATATGAGTGAGGAATGACAAGTGAGAACGAACACACGAGCTCCGACTACTCCGTCCGACTCGCTGCTTATTCTTTTCCGTGTTTAAGCTTCTGAACGATTTATTTAACATGAACAACAGCAAAAAAAAAAAAAAAAAAAAAAAAGATTTTTATTCGTTGTGATGGACTTATATGATGATGTTGTTACAAAAAAAAAGATGTTTTATCTGCTGGAATGCAGCTCCCACGATGGAGTTTTCCGGCTAACAAACTTGGATTCTTGGAAACAACCGTAGCCTCCAATGTACTGACTTGCAGAAAGAACTGCCTCGAGAGAGGAAGCAATTCATGAGCTTGTCCAAAGTGCCACGCTTAACAACCTTAATCTCAAGTTTTTATTTTGTTTTTGGGTGCAACCTTAATCCTTAATCTCAAGTTGTCCAATGTTTTTATCATTCTCTCGTCCTTTTCTGTACACAGCGTCGAGAGACTCCTCAGTGGCGAAGCAGCATTCTTCTAAAACGCCGGGGATGGACTCGAGCTGTGCATCCTTTAATTTGCTCCCAATAGAGCACCTAGTGTCCTGGGAACGACGAGGAATCCACACGGATAGTGAAATCTTATGAGCATTAGGTCATGTGGCTCGAGCAGGAGCTAGCTTCGCGTTTGTCACTGCCTTGAGGAGGTCTTCTTCGATGCTCATAATCGCTTTCTATCATCCCACGAATTGAATCTGTGGGGGCATTGTTGTAGAAACCAGTCACTCCTAAGACATCCCCCAAACGGTACCTACACAAACCTGTTAAAACCATGTACACATCTTGTGAGAAACAACATATACATATTTCACACACTCTAAAGAAAACAAATAAATTGTCTATTTTGTCTTTCATCATTTTCTCCGGCAGAGACTTTGCAATAAATTTCAAAACGACATTTCTTTTGGAAGTAAGAACTTACCCCAAAACGTTGTAATTAACAACAGGTTCATAGTCATGGCCAATTTTAACATCGACAAGATCGACGACCAGACGATTTTCTGTGGGATCATGACCAGCTTCTTGATGGTCTTTCTCGACCTCTACGAACTCGAAATACGTCATACTTGGAATGACAGTGTAGGACACATCACAAGGCTTGCACAAAGGATTGCAATCGAAACCAAGGAAACATTCAGAGCTGCCACAGAGATTTTGCTCTGAATTTGCTTACAACACCCAAAAGCTTTGAAACTGTTTTAGTAATCCCAGGTTCAAATGGCAGAAAAGCTTTTGCTCTGCATCTGTAGAGATTTCGAGATTCCATATATAGGTACCTGGACAGGAGAACAATGATGGGTCGGTCACAGATGAGATCAGAGGGCTCTCCAATACCGATATTCGTCGTAGGTCACAACTGGTACGTTATTCTTGAAGCTCTGCTTATCGACTTGACCGTTGAGGAAACCTCTAAGGCACTCGGTTTGAGCATTACGTGAAAGTATTGCTTCCAGCACGGAATCTTGAATCTGCTTTCACATACGACCAGAAACTTCGAAGTCATATATTGGGGACAACGTGCATTAGATTTTGTGCTGAGGAACCAAGGCCTCGTAGACAAGCCACTTGTGTTTGATGTTGAGATCCTTCAAAATTATGACATGGATATCGCCTACACTGTGACCGTATATATTTATGATGTGTATACTTTAATCGGGCACGGTTGTGTTCAAACCAAGGCAAGTTTAGCAAGCAAAAGAAGGACATAAACCAAACTGTGTTCCTTGACAACCAAAACTTAGCTTTTACCAATTTTTTCTGACCAATTCATTCAGAGTATTATACACTTTCAACTTACTCATTGTCTAAAACCAAACTGGAATCTGGGCTGAACATTTCTGATATCAATTTTACTAATTAGTCAACCCAATGAACTATGTATAATTTTCTTATGGAAAACTAAACTAATAACTATATATGATGATCGACATACTTGGCGTGCCTTGACACCGATTTTATTAAGACAAGCGGCGAAAATCCTTGTAGACAAGCACTCTCGAAAAGAGACTAAGTAGTCTCTACTCTCTAGTTCTAACTGTCAACTCTTTCATCATGGCTATCTATGCCTTTCAGGAGTTGCTCCAGAATAGTTTGTTTTTTTTAAAAAAAAAACAATGCATGTACGTAGTAGACTCTGGAATATTACCGAACTCAACAAAGATGGACATTTATGAGGCTACTCAAAATAGCAAGAACGAAGCAGTTTGTGTTGCGAATTCTACAAGTTAAAGAATGCATAATTCAGTCATTGGTGTGACTTGTGAGACGCCAAAGAAGGAAACTTTGAGACCCCTCTGTTTCTGTTCCAAAACGCCGTCGGTTTATAACAAACGAATTACCAATGATTGAATTTGACCCGCGTTAGTTGTTGTGACAGGATTTTATGGTTCACATACATCTCATATCCGGTTTAATGATTTCAGTTATGTATGTTTAATTAGAAAAAAATTCTGATATGCCACAAATCAGTGAACCGGTTGCCAAAATGTCATAACAAAATAATTAATTTCTTTTCCATTTCTTTTTAAATGAAAAACTAGTAAAAGTCATTAAAACCTAGATAAAAGTTCACTTATTTACGAATTGAACCAGGGTTATGCCCGAAAACCCGCAAACCCGATCCGAATTTAATGGATATGATAGAGTAAAAATCCCTAAATTCACTATGTCGGTTTTTAATTGTTGTGTGTAAGAAATTTCAAATCACAAAGGGAAATCGAAGAATCTCAGCTCAATCTCAACGGATACTGAAATTCTAGAGTGGAGAATTGTAGAGTGAAGCTTCGAATTAAGTCCAGCAATGGTGGTTTTGAGAAACAGCAAAGTAACGACGGAACCGCCAAAGACGACGGAAACGGCAGAACCGTCGAACTCCACAGAAATGGCGGAACCGACGAAGTCAACAGAAGCGGCGGAATCGCCGAAGCCGACTGAGGCGACAGAACCGTCGAAGATGACCGAAGCGGTGGAACCATCAAGGCCGAAGAAACGGAGGCGGAACTGTCGAAGCCAACAGAAGCGGCGATTTCAACCGATGAATCTCCGCCGATAGAAGAAACGGAGGTGACAGGAGAAGCGGAAACCAAGGAAGCAAATCCCAATGCAGAAGAAGCCCAAACTGAGGAGAAGATGAACTCAGAAGAAGATGAATCGGAAAAAGAAGATGAATTGGAAGAAGAAGAAGAGCACGAAGAAGAAAAAGAAGAAGAGGACAAGGATTTGTCTGGTGACCAACTAGAGAACAAGGTATAATATTTGAATCTTGTTTATTATGTTTACTTGGATTCTGAGTTTGATAATAGAGAAGAGAATGATTATTCTGAGTTTGGTAATCTATTCGACTAAGTTCAACTAAGTTCGAATATACAATAGTTGAACTGTTATCAATGCAAATTACATTTCGGTGCTGTAATTTTGTTTGAACATGCAGGATGAGGAGTATAATGATGATAATGATGATAATGATGACAATGATGGCGAGGAAAATCGACAATCTCCACAACAGCAGGAGCAGGAAGAAATTCCTCAACCGGATCAAACCCCACCGGAAGAACCACTTCAACCGGAACAAACAGAAGACGCTGAAGCAATGCCTTCAGATGCACATGTCTCTTCTTTTGCACCGGTCATGGTAATGTATATTTTTAGAAATTCAATTCCGCAAATAGTTTGAATGCAAGTTCGAGTAGGTTCGGGTAAAAGTATAATTAGTAACACTACATTGTTTGACTTGGCGGCAGGTTGATGATGAATATATACCACTGCCACCAGAGAAGTTTTACTTTCGTCCAGATCAGTATAGAAAGAGTTGTAGGATATCATCGAGGTGTTATGTGAATGATACGGTCAAGGACATCAAGAAATTCCTCAGGCGTTGGAATGGTTTTCTAGTCATCCTCAGTTTAAGCATATCTTTCATATGCCTCTGGTGGAAAACCGTAAATCAAAAGGATTTTGGATGCTTCTTCTGCACCTAGCTTGTACTGATAGTGACAGAGAATTATGGTTTGTGGTTAATGGAGTAGGTACTCCATTAAGGAGCATGCGCTGCTGAGTGGATTGGATTGTCATGACTACCCTAGCAACTATGGGGAGCTGAAGGACAAGGAAGCCGGCGATTTCAAGTTTGTTGAAAAGTGGTTCAAGAGAAGGACCAATATTACCATAGCAGATGTGAAGAAGAAGCTAGGGAAAGTGAAGAGCGCTGTTAACAAGAAGAAGATGGCTGCGCTATATTTCTTAACCAATGTCTTGAAAGCGAAGTCCAAATACAAAGGAAACATAGAGCCATTCTTTCTCAAAGTCGTGGATGATTTGGACTTGTGTGAAAAATTCCCTTGGGGCCGTTTGACCTTTGATGATTTGGTAGATGAAGTTAAGAAAGTAGCGAAGAAGTTCAAGGGAGGCGTCGTCAACGAGAAGGATTCATGGACCTTTTCTGGATACATTCTTCCTATTGAGGTAATTCTTTTAATTATTTTCCTTAAATTTACATGGATAGGGTCGTGATATTGTAGTACTCTCTATGTACAGGCTTTTGCGTTGAGTGCATTCCTGCGCTTGCTCGAACCTTTCGAGAACCTGTTCATGCAGAGAGCGACTGTCCAAGGTTGTGCAAGCACAATTTCAAAGCAACTTACATGAAAGGTTATCCACTGTCCGAGATAAACGAAGCAATTGGGAGCAATAGGGTGAGTATTTGTCATCATATAGTGTACTTTATTTTATCTTAATTGAGCAAGCTTATCATGAGTGTATTTAATGTGTTCATAATCGCAGGATATCATAAGCATCTTGGAACCAACCTCAGAGGAGGAAACCCTTATGGAGCGCATCATAGACCCTAGTTGTGATGATGGGATTGGCTCCGTGGATCATTTAGTCGACCTTTGGAGAGACCATTCTAATCGTCCAGAAGAAGAAGATATGGTGGGAGTCTCTGTACAAGATTGACTTGGCCGGCAGAGGTATCACCGAGTTTGCAAATGAAGTACCAATGCAGGCACCTGACAACGGTGGATCAGTTCAGGGAATGATGGAAACGATGAAAGCTTTGATCGAGGAAGCAACAAAGAAGTTGGAGGATAAGATGGATGATGTTACCTCAGAGATTAAGGCAATGGTTGGGGACTTAGATGAGAGACTTGATATGGTTGAATGTTATGTCAATGAGCAACGAACCAAGAAGGCTCATGATAGAAGCGGAGCAAGTAGTTTTCCTCTAGGTTCTGCTTTTGGACTCCGGCCGAGAAGATTGTAGCAGGGGATATAAGTGAGGCGGAGGAGGAGGCGGAGGAGGAAGGAGGAGGAGGAGGAGGAGGAGCAAGTAGCAGAACCGCCAAAGAAGAGAAGAAAAGAAACTCCAGCAGAGAAAGAGAAGAGGACAATCAAACCTTCAGCTATTCTCTCATCTCCATATGTGGCTGGTCAGGCAAATAGAAAAAGAAAAAGCAAGACAAGTGGAAAAGGGAAAGGAGGTGCAAAGACCGTACAACACACGTAGGAAACAAGGATGAAGACGGCTCTGTGTTTAGGAAGTTATGTATTGTGTACTATCTCTATGTTTTATGACTTTGGATTGTGTACTATTTCTGTTTTTGAGTTTGGTACAACTATGTTTGCATAGGTTCAACTGTGTTTTTGGATGGTAATACTATGGAACAATTTGCATAGGTACAACTGTGTTTGCATAGGTTCGACTGTGTTTTTGGATGGTTAAGTGTGTTTGCAACTTGACTTCGTGTTTGAATTGTAATGTTTTGATTTGTTGTTGACATGAGTTGCAAAGACATAATGAAAAGACATATTGCAAACATAGTTAAAACATAACTAAAAGACATAATTAAAACATAATTAAAAGACATAGTTTGCAAACAAAGTTTACACAAATCTTAAACACAACTTAAGAAGACCTCTTAATAGTTTGAAAAACAGAGGTCTTCATCCGCAGCAACTAAAACCAAATTGAAAATTTGAAGGTTTTGTTACTTAAACCAAACTAAGAACCAAGCAAGAAGAAGTAAAAGTGCAGCAATCGCAAACGTGCTTCCACAGCTTTGTACTTCTTGTTGAAATCACCAATCACCAACTCCAACCTTGTAATCTCCGCTTTGCTCTGTTCATGTTCTTCCTTCAGGTCGGAATACGTTTCTCCGCAATACGCATGTCCATGATGATGAATGTTAGCTCGCCGTCCTTCAGCTCCGAGATTAACTCCTCCATTCCGGCACGGTGGTGAGTTTGAAGACTCTCAACTTCCCCAGAAACCCGCTTGATTCAGAGTGAAGTATTTCTAACTCCTCTTCAATCACACGATCCCACCACTTCCGAATATGATAACCGGGTTTCTACAATCAAAAATAACAAAGTTCACCATGAATCTAACAGAACCCTAAACCCTAGAAAGAATTACACTAAAAGAACCCAAAAGAAAGAATTCGGAGACATGATTATCAACTAACCGCTCGGAATTCGCAGGAGAAGTATATTTTCCCAGGGTCTTGTTCGGTGCGAGACGTTTCCCTAATGACCCTTCCACCGCAGTAACAGTAGCTCGGCATACCGTACTCACCATCTCTGATGGTGTTTTCGTCGAGTGAGTATGAAGAGGACGATGAGGTTGCAACCCAACTGTGAGGTCCCATCTCAGAAAATGAGAGAGAGAGAGAGGAATCGAAGAGAGGAATTGAAGAGAGAAAGGGAAAAACCTAAGCGAGAGAGAGAGAGAGGAGAGAGAGTGAGATCGAGAATAAGAACCCTAGAAATCAATTTGGGGAAACTCTGATTCAGTTTCTTTTTCTCCTTCTTTTAAAGTATTACCAAATAATGAAAATTGCGGCGGAAATATAAAATATATAAAAAAAAATAATAAAATTAAAAAAGATTCCCGCTTACTTTTCCCGCCGGCGGAAAAGTTAAAAATTTGCAAAATTCGGAAAAAATGGTCATAGTTGTACTCATGCCATTCGTCGAACCAAAATTAGTCATAGTTGAACATCTGCGAGTTTTGGGTTTTTGTAGTAGAACCACACCAATGTGTAATGGTCAAGTTGAACCAATGATAGTTCATCTTATTTTATCATTACAAACATATTATGTCAAAATTTTAGACAAAACTCGTTTTCTTCTTAATTTGAATCACATCATTGACACATTACCTACATATTCCATATATTGTATAGGGTGCTTGATGACTAACATGCTTATCCAGTATATAATTTTTTTTTTTCAATTTTTGTTCTTTCTATCAAATAAGTAGACATAAATATGTTTTTTTCTTAATTAACTCCTCTACATTGCATATCATAAATATATTCACTAAACATTTGCCGTTCGTATATAATTCGAGCCGAATAGTCGAACCTATGGGAGCTAGTTGTACCAAATGTGTACTTGAAACCAAAACACGTCCACATTCAGACGTCTACATTCACAGACGCAATGAACATTCTCTATGCACGCGGGAACCTGGCAGAACCATATCAGAACCTATACACTTACATGTTGTCGAACACTAATTCCATAACCTTTACCATATTAGAATACAAACCCACATTATTTACATACTTGAACCTACTTGAACCTTGTAGAACCTTGTTCCGAAATTTTGATAATAAAAACACTGAATATTAGTACATACTTGAACCTGTTAGAACCCATCAGTACAACTTCAAGTAACACACTGCAGACAACATGACTGCAACATTGTTCACACAAACTTCATACAACATAATTAAAAACAAATTCAAGCGGTTAAAGCAAGCCAATTCAAATCCAAACAACATAAATACCAAATCCAAACAACAGAATTGCAATTGTTACTCGTTTGGAGGTTTAAAAAAAAACACCCAAATCCTGATGAGGCTTACACTTGTTACTCGTTTTCTTCTTCTTCTTTTTACGACTTTCTCCTTCTGATGGATGTCGTTCTTCTTGGTTTCTTCCTCTTTTTGCTGTGTAATCAGGAGGATAAGCGAACAATTTCAGAACATCCTCCGGGATTGCCCAAGTTGAGATATGGGGCACTGTATAGATCGTTTTCACATATGCTCGTGCCCATGTCTCAACCAAATAGTATCTGGAGCACAAATCATATACAGAAAGAGTCGACATTCTTCCATCCTTCTTTATCTTTGCCATGAGTGCGGCAATTGCATGGACACACGGGTACTTGTCAATGTCAAACATTCTACACACGCAAGTTTTGCTCGCCAAATCCACAAGACATACCACACCATCTGAACCAAATACGTCGAACAGAAATTCCTGACCATTTACCTCCCTGACCGTTAAACGCTTAGCTATTGGACATCTTTCGTGAAGAACATTCTCCACAAAAGGCACAACGACCTTTGTACTTGGCATTGAAGCGCATTCGTTCCTATACTTGTTGGACCAAAAAGCGAATTTCTCTATTATCTTATCAAGCATTGGTAAGAGAGACAACTTTCTGTCTTTCCTAAACACACTATTCATAGATTCGCAAGAATTGCTGGTGTCTAAGTTATACTTTTCTCCTTCAAAAATGCACCTTGCCCACCTTTCCACATCTATCTTGTCAACCAAAAACTTAGCACACGCAGGATACAGCTTCCTGAACTCATCAAACTCCTTTTTAAACTCAGACCCAGTATAAGCATGAGCGCATTTGATGAACTTATCAACAACATCGTCTTTCTTAACACCTTGCTGAGCATGCCCTTTTACGTTCTGAGCCAGATGCCAAATACAGTGTACATGGCGAGCCAATGGATAGACCTTCGAGACTCCATATATGATGCTTTTATGTCTGTCACTAACAAAAACGAGTTCAGGATCATCTGGTACAACAGCTTTCAGGTTTTCCAGGAACCATGGCCAACTACTATGATTTTCGCTATCAATTATCCCAAAGGCAATAGGGTAATGGTGATGATTAGGATCTTGAGCAGTGGCAAACACAAGCTGTCCACCATATACAGTCTTCAGAAACGTTGCATCCACAACTATCACTTTCTCATCCATTGAAACCCTTCAATGCTCGCTCCCAAAGCAACAAACAGATACTCAAACCTGTGCAAAGCATCTAGTTGCACATTCGTTTTGCTTCCAGGATTTTCCTGCTCCAGCATGTACAGATAAGAAAATAACATCTTGTAGCCTTCTTCAGGAGTGCCTCGAACATCACTAACGTGTAGTTTTTTTCCTCTCAAGCCGTTGAGTATGACACATTCACACCAAGTCTACGGTGAACAACATCGACAATTGTTTTTGGAACTGGTGTGTCAAACTGACCTGGATAGTCTTCATGCAAAACCGATGCCACTAATCGTGGGTTGCCTCTCCTTCGAGAGCTGTTACTACTTTCAACAGCCCGTGAGCAGTTGTGCTTGTTCCAGTATTTTCGGACACTGAAAAAATCTGATCCACCTTTCCTCGCAGCATATATATACCAATTACAGCCTCCGCTCTTCTGAGTGCACCTTAGGATAAGTCGGCCAGTGTCAGACTTGTAAGTGCGGACACCAAAACAATGCTTGTGTGAAGCTCTGTCAACCAAATCTTGCAATGCCTCCTTTGATGGAAATTCTTGTTTTATTTCAAGACCAATACCATCTTCCCATTCTTCAGCCAACTTAATTTCTTCTACAGGACGTGAAAGCTCAAAATCCTCATCAAAGAAGTTTAACCCATCTTCCTTACTATCTGGTTCTGGACGCTTCTCGTTGCCATCCTCTTCTTTACCATCAGACTCAACCTCTTCGATATGTGGCTCTTCAATATGTGGCTCTGGCTCCTCAACATGTGGCTCTCTGAATATGGTAACGACACCATCACCTCTGTCATTTGGAACCGACTCCTCCTCGTAATTCAAACCAAATGAACTTTCTGCATCCGTTCTAGACAGGTGGTCGCTCCTATGATTTGCTCTGTTCGTGTTCTTGGTTACCTCCACATGCAAAATCCTCCTAAATCCCAGATTATCAATTGTCGTTAGATAAGCAAATAGGTCTTCATCATCAAAAATGTACATCTCTCTCGCAGGATTATTTGACATTGGAATGTAACTCAATTTCAGCAGCGGCTTAGCTCCATCTCTTGCAATCTTCCTGCATATCTTATCCACAACCGCCGAGTACGTAATCTCCTCCAAAGATGAGATCTTGAATGTTATAGCGCAAGTGGGATTCTTTGAAACCCATTTCAGTTCCTCTTCTGCATAATGACCTCCGTGGTCGAAAAATATGTTTGTGATGATCATGCTCATTGTTACCCTGCAAATATAATGAAAATAATCAATTCCCAATTACAAAACATCTCACAGTTGTACTACGTGTACCAGTTGAACTTTTACTACCATTACTTTTTAAAATGCAGTTGTACCTATATGAACCAGTTGAACCACTTAATCAACTAAGTCCCATTTGTACCACTCGTACCAGTTGTACCATCTCTGCAGGTTCCGATCTAGTTCAAATACAGTTCACTCGCTGCGATTCACAAGCTACATTACTCAAAAAGCTTAATCTACCGCCTATTCTATCAATGCATGTATACCATTGCAATGCCTATACCAATGAACCACCCAATGAACCAATTTATCCATGCACCAAACAAATTAGAAACTCACTTTCAATGGACTTGAAGCTTCAGCAATGGTCAAACAAACGAAAAGGGAACATCCACTGTCTACGGAGGTGAAAGAGGAGGCGGAATAGGTATAGATGAGCTCAGGTCGAAGAAGATTTCGAGTTCAGTGAAGATTTTGAGTGAGAGAAGCGAGCTGAGCTTCGAGAATTCCGACCACGGTTTCCGATTTCCGAAATCCAATCAATTGGATTGTTTTATTTTCTTTTCTTTTTTAATTATTTTCGATTTCTTTTTTTTATTTTAAGTTATTGTTTTCATTAAATTTGAGAAAGGTGAAAAGTAAAAGGTGAAAAGGAAGAAGGAGGGAGAAAAGAGTAATTGCACATCATCTTGTGGCATTAGATCATTTTTGGCACACGAGATTAACTTTCGCCAAATTGTGGCAAATCAGCCGCGCGCTCGTTTAACTATTAAGGATTTTATGGTTCACATATATCTCATATCCGGTTTAATCCTTTCTCTGTTACGAGAATCAATCAATCAAAATTACAAAGCAATTCTCAAATCCTTGTAGACAAGCACTCTCGAAAAGAGACTAAGTAGTCTCTACTCTCTAGTTCTAACTGTCAACTCTTTCATCATGGCTATCTATGCCTTTCAGGAGTTGCTCCAGAATAATTTGTTTTTTCTGGAATATTACCGAACTCAACAAAGATGGACATTTATGAGGCTACTCAAAATAGCAAGAACGAAGCAGTTTGTGTTGCGAATTCTACAAGTTACACGGCTAAAAGAATGCATAATTCAGTCATTGGTGTGACTTGTGAGACGCCAAAGAAGGAAACTTTGAGACCCCTCTGTTTCTGTTCCAAAACGCCGTCGGTTTATAACAAACGAATTACCAATGATTGAATTTGACCCGCGTTAGTTGTTGTGACAGGATTTTATGGTTCACATACATCTCATATCCGGTTTAATGATTTCAGTTATGTATGTTTAACTATTAAGGATTTTATGGTTCTGGTTCACATATATCTCATATCCGGTTTAATCCTTTCTCTATTACGAGAATCAATCAATCAAAATTACAAAACAATTCTCAAATCCCTCTCTCTGTTAATCATCATCATCATCATCATCAATCTCCATTGAATCTCTGTTTCTTTCTAGATTTTGATTCCCAATCTCCGGTGAATCTCTGGATTTCCCAGTTTTACTGTTACAGTTGTTGTACCTGACAAATTCGTGTAATAAAATCGAGCGTTTCTCTTTCATTTGTCTCTAAAATTTTCGTCGACCATGACGAATTCGGGTTACAAAGCACGCGAACTTCGATCAAATTCCGTCGTGGGTTTCTCTGAAATCAGGCGTAAGCAAGGGCAAGCCGAGAATCTTCATTTGGTTTCCTTGTCGAAGCATGAAGCTCAACGAAGCATTTGAGTTTTTCCAAGAAATGGATAAAGCTGGGGTCTCCATCAGCCCGTATTCTTACCAATGTCTCTTCGAGGCTTGCAGAGAATTGAGGTATTTATACCATGGGAGACTTCTGCACGACCGCATGAGAATGAAATGTGAGAATCCTTCTGTGATTCTTCAGAACGAACTCTGTGCTTCAGATGTGCTGCTAGTGTGGGAGCTTCGAAGATGCAGAAAAAGTGTTAGATGAAATGACTGAGTTAAACTCTGTTTCTCGCGTAACGATGATATCTGCTTACGCCGAGCAAGGTCTTTTGGATAAAGCTGTTGGTTTGTTCTCGAGAATGCTCGAGTCAGGAGACACGCCTACTTCTTCCGTGTTTACTACAACTCTTGAAATATTTGGTAAAGTCTAGTCCTTTAGGTAGTGGTAGACAGGTTCATGCTCATGTTATACGTGCTGGGTTATGTAGCAACGCATCTATAGAGACTAGGATCTTGAACATGTACGTGAAATGTGGTTGGTTAGTGGGTGCTAAGCTAGCGTTCGATCAGATGGCAGTGAAGAAGCTGGAAGAGCAAGAGATGCTTTGAAACTGTTTGTGGATTTGTTAAAGGAAGGTCGAATGGGACAGTTTTGTGTTTTCAGTTGTGCTTCTCTTAGAGAGCTTAATTCGCTTGCCCAGATTGCCCTGAGTTTGCAAAGCATGTGTCATTATCCGAGATTCTAGGAGGGGCAGTGCTCTTGCAACGATTACTGGTGATCTTTAGTGTCTGTATCATTCTCGTTTATCAGGCTGTAGATACTTTAAATTCGATACTAATCCAACAAGAATGAGTCTGCAAATTAACAGCAGCTGAGACCGTGCAAACGTGAATATGTCAAAAGTAGTGTATTTCCGTTTACAAAACTGGATTAACATGTTTCCTGACTGCAAAGTATTAGAACCACTCAGGGAAAAAGCCGAGAAACAAAGACAACAAAACAAAAAAAAACGAAAACAAAAGCAACTGAGTTACAAAAGAAGGCCGTTACGAACTCTACGTCTGGTCTGGTGGTCTAGCTTCCTTGCATGTCTCATACTCGAGCGTAAGCTTTGATTCTAGTAATAGAATACAAGGCCGTTACGAACTCTACGTCTGGAATAAACGGCTGTGATGAAAACAAAATTGTTAGTCTTCTACGAATCAATACGCATAAGCAAAAAGAACACTTAAGACAAAATTGTTAGTCTTCTACCTGGGGTAGGAGCGACACTCATCCTGTCCCACAGCCATGAATTATTAGAGAGCCCTACATACCCAACTTTTGCAGTACTGAGAGCAGCGATAAACACTGTGTAACCGTTGCGTTGGAGCATTCTCACTGTGGAAGAGTAGTCTGAATCGGTCGATGCAAGCAAGACGTTGTCGGCCAATCGGTCTTCCAAAACGAGTCTCTTGACCTGTTGCAGCATTATTCTCTCGGCAACGTCATATGGCCTCTCAAAAGGGAGACTAGGGTTGGAAGAAGGCTGAACAATATTAGGACAGGCAGGTGCAGCGCAGTAACGATACCGGTGTGGTGCATCGACGAGTATGCAATGCATTTCATTAGCGAGTTGGTGTTGATACGGTTGGATAAAGGGCAGATTCAGATTTCCCACTAGAAGGTGCGTATCAGAGAGTCTGTACCTTCTGTCCAAGAGTTGCAGAGATGCTTCAACATTGTCGAACACTGCTAGCGTCTGATTACGTTCAACTCTCGAATTTTCGATATCCCACAGAAGGTTAACAGCATGCGGATCCGCTGTATTTAAGAATAAAAATCGGAACTTAGACAGAAAATTCAAAATGCAAGTGAATTTAACAGCACATCTAATTGATTAATACCTGGACTAGCCATAGGTTATGGAATTAAAGACCTAGATTGATCAGAAAAGGAAAACTGAGTTAAAACAGATCAAAGTACATCAAGCGTTTACTGAGAAATAGAGCACCAGACAAATAGAGCACCAAACAAACTTACCCTGAAGATGTGAGTTTGTAAACAGAAGATGTCTCACAGACTTGGTCGCTGCTGCCGCAAGAGCAACGCTTCGTCGGATTTGTACCACCAAATCGATTTAGGGCTAGGTAGGAGAATATAGACAAATGTGTTTTACACAAAAAGACGTCGTCGTTTAAACGCGAGTCAAATGGGAAAAAACAAAATTTTAAATGGGCTATGTCCAATTAGTTGTTGCACTTCTAATTAATACTTATAGTCAGTCATATATATTAATAAAAAAAAATAGTTGGGGCAAGTGGCTTTTGCTTCCTTGTTCATTTAACCATTTTTTTTAATATAAATTTTCTTCTTTCTTCTTTTAAGTCTTCCATTGCAAGAAAAATAAATTTATCTTAACCGAAGAACAACTCAAAGTAAGTTGAGAGAAGACACATCTCCAACTTATGTTTTACTAACGATGTAAGCAAAAGTATAGAAATTTGATACGATCTCTAATCTAAGCATTCGGTCAAAGAACTAGGCTCTGTATAACTCTAGTGAAGTGTGTACCTCTTTAGCTACTATTAACAATTGAGATTGCATAGCGACAAAATATTTGAAACTCACCTAAGTAACGCCTGATTGTGCAAGGTATCTTACGTTGTCGAAGCTCCTTCATTGCAATCTGTGAGTCATACTCAAAGTACTTTAAACACTTTTTCCTCATATTTCCAACTAGCTCACATCCAGAAACAACAAAAACAAAAAATCTCTTACCTCAAGCGGATCAGTCTCACCCTCCAGCTCCACCATCACAGGAGCAGTCATGCTGTATCAACCCCAAAACAATAAGCAAATGGACTAAAAATAGCAGAACAGAACAGAGCCTGTTTTCTTCAATTGAAATAAAGTGATTGCATCCGAGAATTAGAGCTTGGAATTAGACATACTTTTATAGTCGGAAAAGGCTGGAATTAGACCTGATCTGGAGAGCACGGATGCCGAGAATCCGAGATATCATCAGTTTCCTACATCTCCACATGATCCTCTACTCCTTCCTAATCAAAACAATTCATCAGAAATTGCAAGTGATAAGCATTTAAATGTCTGTATCATATAAAGAAGGGAATAGTAACAGCTTACTTCAATCTCTGGCTCTGTTGGCTCGTCCTCGTACCTACAGGACTAATCGTTTCACCTACTTCAACATTTTGAAGCATCAGATATATGAAGAGAGCGCATTAGAACATAACATAAACCCACTTCAACTATACGCCAAGTTTCACTCAAAATTCAAGTGATTTGCAGCTCCAAGAGATGAGTAACGCATGAGTTTCAGTATCTAGCAGAGACAATGTGTCATGAAATCATAATTAGCATGATTTATAGACAATCAAACTGTGTGATGCAAATAACAGAATTGTATAATGTGAAAGACTACTCTTCTCTTCGAAATCGAATAAGATCTATAGCTTTTACAACTTCAGCAAGTTTCGATCATTTATAACTTTTACTGATTACTTCAATTTAGATGTCAAACAGAACGCTCTCAGCTACTCCGCACGATTCGTCAACAAGAAAAGAAACAAACAAACAATTATCATATAATGGATAGAAAGAGAGAAAGTATCCCAGGTCCTCGACATCTTGGTAATCTTCGTCCGCCATGGATTTAAGATCGGATCTCGTTGTCGTGGAAGAGAGTTCTTCGATGGATACCGGACGAGAGAGAGAGAGAGAGAGAGAGAAAGGTTGTTTGTTTACTTATTTTTATTATTATAAATTTAACTGACCACGAAACAAGTGGCACAAGGACATTTTCGTCCAAAAGATTCCAGAAAACTATTCTCCTAAATTCCTAATAGATAATAACTAAAAAATGTGATTTTTAGCAAATCGAAATTTCCTCTTTTTTATAACCTTTTATAGGAGGGTTTGGAACTTTTGGATAATATCCCCTAATGAGATTTTAGCTATTACTCTAGTACGAGTGTACTACTACTTTTCATACATTTTCTCAATATGATTAAATATGAACACAAACCAAGTAGTACGTAGTAGCTTCTGTTGTTTGACTTTGCTGCATAGCAGCCACTGTCGGTTCAATGTCAGGTTTTCTCTACAAACAAAATCCATCCCGTTGTCCGCACCCAGAAAATAGTGGCTCTAGCATCTTCCTTTGATTGAAGAGTTTGTGGTACACGGTTTAGATGGACATCTTCGTCCAAAAAATTATAGGGTTTGGTTAATGGATAACTAAAAAATTGTGATTTTTAGCAAAGTCAAATCACCAAAAGAGAGACCATTCTACCTAAATTTCCTATTTGTATAAACTTTTATAGGGTTTGTTATCTTAAGAAATCAAACAACCAAAATATACCCAGTGACGGAACTATAAATTTCCTATTAGTATACCATTTTGGGATATAGGGTGTAGAAGTTTGGATAATATCCCTCGGTGAGAAGAGCGATTATTACTTTTTATAGATTTTCTTAATATGATTAAATAAAAGGGAATAAACATAAACGAGTAGTAACAGCTTCTTCTGTTGTTTGACTTTGCTGTAGCCAATGTCGGTTCAATGTTGGAGTCATCAACCATTAGTGGAGACTGGTAAAAAAATTGCAAAACAAATTGCAGTGACGCATTGTACAAGGCTACAAGCCCTTCAGTGAGATTTATGTCTTCCAAGTTCCAAACCAAGCGATGTTTTCAAAAGTAATATATGTAATTGTATCAAGAAACATCATGGTTCATCTCTTGAACGTTTTTAAACTATGCACAAAACAACTACATTATCGATACTTTGATTCCCCAAGAGATAAAGGCGGAGAGAGTAAGCTAAATGCAAAAACATAACATACGCGCTCATTCCACTCAGGTTGCTACTTGCTTCTGAAGCTGTGTCATCGTCAAGGTCAATTACTGACCGTTCCTCGGATTTCAGCTTTGCTGCAAGCAGCAATCGTCTCTGCCGAACAGCTAAATAGCGGGTCAAATATTTTGCTACTTTTTCTATTGATTCTTTGAATTCACTTACTAAACCACTAGCACACTCCAGAGCAGAACTTTTCACTGAGATTACACCTTCTTCTGTATGCATAAACGCAACCCTTAAAGCCTCTTCCCATTCCCTCGCATTGATAAGCAAACTAATTCCACCGCTTATATCTCCGCAGTATTCAAGAGCTATTTTTGCTGCTTCCCCCGGTTTACCAAGAGCATTAACCTCTTCGCAGAGTTCGTATGCCAATTTCAAGATCTCATCTTTATCTAATTTCATCAGCGCCCCCACTCTGAGTACCCCACTCCAATCAACACATTCACGATACGCCTTTGAAGCCTTTTCCAGCCTAGAGCAACATAGGTACGTAGTAGCGGCATCCTCAAAACGTTTTTCATCTGTGAGATGATCTGCCCAAGCCTCAAGAACCGCTTGTTTCTTTTCAGGATCAGTAATTAGCTGGAGGCCGAGAGGGAAGAGTTGAGGGTTCTTCTTCATTAAGTTCATGCTATCAGGAAAGTAGCCATCCCCTGCTGATACAATGCTCTTAAGAGCACTATCAAAACGTTGCAACTTAATGTCAATGTTGAAATGCATCAGAGCTTCAGGCATTCTTTCCAGCTCCTGAAGATAAGGTAGAAATTCTTTTGGATCCCGTTGGGAATTGAGTGCCACAATAGCTGCAAGGTTCAGATCATAAAGACCTAAGGCAGCTTCAAAGACCGCTTCAGCATCCAATAGCCACAGAAGGTGTTTCAAGGCTTCTTCTGCAGATGGACAAGACTTTTTCCTTGAGTCATCAGATGAGTTTAGCAACTCCATTTCACGAACAGATTTTATCCTCAAAAGAGATTCCTCAATAGCTGGCGGATCACTTCGCGCAAGAGTGGTCAAAATACAGAGTTCCCTTGACGGACTCTCTGGTATCTGTTCTTCAAGTGCTTTCCTAATTGCCTGTAGAACTGACGATACCTTGTTGTCGCAAAGATCTTTCACTTGTAAAACGCTGTCTCCCTTTTTGGAAAAGGAAAAATTCTTGTAAAGTGTCTCTGTAACATCTTCATTCTTGATGGCACAAACAAATTCTGTAACGTGGTTCAGATTGTTTACTTGTTTAACAAATTCCACAGCTGATTGTAGAAATGCGTGCCACCCATACAGATCCACGATGACATTAAAGTTGATTCTGTGACGCCTTACCAAGTTTAATGCATCTTTGAACCGTTGCTGAGCTAACGCATTCGTAATATAAGGGAAACACGAATGCTGTATGTTTAATGCAAGTATGGCCGTTTCTCAACTTTTATTCTCAGTGGCATTCATGCTTTGGGATGCTATTCAGAAAACTGTTTCAGAAAAAAAGATCAACACATGTCGGCCCCAAAATCAATCGTGAGTACTTGGATGGAGTGCGTATTCTTTCGAGGTGTAAATTACGTTGAGTTAACAGAGACAAAAGTTTTAACATAAGAGGAAAAGCAAGCAAGAATCATATATGATACAAAACCATCCACATAGTGATGAAAGCAAAAAAACAAAAAAAGATTTGCATAATTAAATATCATACAAGTTGAAAACGCTTGAAAGGGGAAGATAACTTTGCATAATCAAAATACAGAGATTTCAAATCCTCGGCTTTGGAAGTAATCCTCAGGATAACATGGCTGAGCATCTGGGTTGATGACTGTTTCAGGTTGTGCTGAGACAACACAGAAACCTCTGTGTTCTAAAGTTTTACGAAATCTGTTGAAAGTGCCGTTTTGTTCCATTTCCTCCTTGTTTGATGAGAGCATCAGCAAATTTGCTGTTGTTGCAGCATCCATGACTGATACAGAGGCGGTAAAGAGAGCTATAATCAAGTTAAGCCTTGCTCGTTTACCTCCTGAAATAATAACATCAATAGATTATAATCACAGCAAGCTCCAAAAACGGATAACAAAAAAGAAAGAGAGAAAGATGGTTTTTTATTGACCTTTGAAAGGATAGACAAAAAAATCGAGTTCTCTCAATTGGTCAATCAATTCAGGCGACCAAGTATCCTCAGCACCGTAAAGCCAGATCTGCAAATCACCAAGGAAACCTTCCTTTGTAATAGCTGATTGGATTTGCTTCCCAATCGAAAGAGGATCGAGATTCTCAGGGATTGAGTAATCTGACATGTCCCATAAGACATAAGTTTCACGCACTGCACAAACACAAAACGAAAACAAATCAAACAATCAGGATGAAATCTAATCCAGATCATAGACAAAATATACTAGTACGACAGATTGATTAGATCCAGGTCAACAATTTCGAGCAAGGGATACATCTTACGGAGCTCGCGACGGGTGGTGATCACGGGGAACAATCTGGACATGGTTTCGTCGGAGTTCTCAAGAACAACTCTCTCAAGTGACGGAAGTGGGGGGCCTGCACAAAACGGAAAACGCAAATTACAAATAACAAGAGCAGAGATACACATTATTATATCATGATGATTCATGAACAAAGGGATACATCTTACGGGGGAAGGGAGGTGGGGGTAAGGAGGATCGGGGGATGGAAGGCGGGGCAGGCATGCGGACGGGAGGCGGAGCAGGCATGGGGACGGGACTGGGGCCGGACTTACATTCACGCGCTGCACATAAAACAATTACTACAAATCAACAACAGATCCAGATATCACACATATCATATACAATTTCGAGCAAAGGGATGCATATTACCGTGATGGCGTCGTCGGATAGGGCGTCGGATAAGGGAAGACATGGTTTCGTCGGAGATATCAAGAGACCCTGCCAATGAAGAGTTATTTGTTCAAACACCCGATTCAATTTTATGAAAGAGACTTAGGGTTATACATGAAGCTCTCAATTGGCGGACTGTTGTCCATGGCAGATCAAACAATTGTATCAAAAAATTATCAGCCAAGTTACGAATAACCAAGAGCAGATACAAATTATATAATGATTCATGAACAAAGGGATACATCTTACCGGGGAAGGGAGGTGGTGATTCATGAACAAAGGGATACATCTTATGGGGGAAGGGAGGTCGGGGTAAGGAGGATCGGAGGAAGGGAGGCGGGGCAGGCATGATTTCGTCGGACTTACATTCACGCGCTGCACACAAAAAATAACTACAAATCAAGTACAGATCCAGATCACACATATCATATACAATTTCGAGCAAAGGATGCATATTACCGCGATGGCGTCGGGGTGATTGACGGCGTGATTTACGGTCAGAACCGGAAGACATGGTTTCGACGGAGATATCAAGAGACCCTGCGAATGAAGAGTTATTTGTTCAAACACCCGATTCGATTTTATGAGAGAGACTTAGGGTTATACATGAAGCTCTCAATTGGCGGACTGTTGTCCATGGCCCAAGCCTAGTTCGCAAGTGTTTGGGCTCAATTTTGTAATAGTCTACCAAACTAACCCATTATTATGTATATAAAATATAATTATAATAAAGTTGATTTATACGTCAGTTTGTGCACAAATACTATAACCAAACACATCAATGTTGAAATGGTCTAAAAATAAGAATTATAACCACTAGTTGAGCTGAAAAGGAATAGTTAAATCTTGCAAGTTCTAGTTGCACTGTGCATTAACCAACGCAAAGACACAATTATTCTACATGCCCACAACATAAACTTTATAACCTCGTTACCGTATGACTTTATTCTGCTTCCAGCTAGGTTTACAAGCAATGGAAGTTTTGTGACACATTTCATCTAAAGGCTTCAGGGTGAAGGTGTTGCGGGTCATGGTGAAAGGTAGACATGGTTAAAATTAACTTCATAAGTCTCACTTTAAGCATTTCATGCTGCGAATTCATTGTATAATGAAGGATGTGGGTTAATTTGAGACAAAAACAAGTCTTTTTGATATACAGTACATTGTTTTTGTCTTGTTGCGTGAATCAGATTCCATCGATTTCTTGGTAGGTCTCAATAGAAATGATACCAAAGAACACCACTCATCTATCCAAGCCTTTAGATTACTTTTTATTCTACTTTATTCATAGTTATGACACACCAAAAAAATAGGAAAGTATTATAATTTTGGAGCTTTCTGAACCTCATATTGTGGAGGTCCTTGATTCCTGTGAAGCAATCAATGACCTTTGTGTCTCTCATTTGCCAGCACGTTAGCAATAGGCTCTTGACTCTTCCCGTCCAACATCAACAACGAATCTCGCAATGGTTTTTAATTTCACCAATTGTTGAACAAACATTAACTAGAGTTCTAAATCTTGTTCATGTAGGTTGGGATTTCTCCCCAATTGAACGTTCTTCAAAACTTTGAAATAATAGAAGTTATAAAACCTGAATAGATTTTATTGTCCTTGGCATAACTAGTTCAAAACAAGAAATCAAAAACAATTATAATAAGAAAGAAAAACAAAAGACGTCATGATTTTGTTATTTATTTTATAAGAAAATCAGCTTCATACTTACTATATTTCACACATATTATGGGGGTGATTTTTCAGTAATTTATTTTGTGATTTTGTGAATTATCTTATAAGAAAATCAGCTTCATACTTTCTATATTTTACACATATTTTGGGGGTGATTTTTCAGTAATTTATTTTGTGATTTTACGAATACACATCATTAGGTTCTTAAAATATGTTGCTGATCTATCCTCATATTTTTCCTCAAGCATCTCTACCATGTGAAAGTATACCGAAGTCCAATTGTTCAATAAGCTCACAAAGCCCAATTAGTCAACAAGGCCCATGTCTACAGAAAGATGGTTCATTTACATGGGAAAGCAGAGGAAGTTAGTAAGAGCACAGTACGGAAGAATGGAAAAGCAGAGGAAGTAAGAGCAGGTAGCTCAGAGATCCCACTACACAATTAATACGACCCTCTCTTGTTTTTGGAGTGTGGTTTGATGATTGACAGATGTCACTAGATCCTTTAGTGTGGGAAAACCCTAGAATCTTCTCTAGCTGTATAAATAGAAATCATCTATGTAAGAGGCAGGGATTGTCAATGAAGAACATATTTTCTCACAGATAAAAGTCTCTTTCATTTATTCACACCATGGCCCCCCGTTCCAAAAACAAAGGGTCCAAAAAAGGACATGGTTCCAACGCAGCTGCTTCCACCTCCAACGTACCTATTTCCACCTCCAACGTACCGGAAGAACCTGCTCCCACCGAAGAACCCCCAATAGCTACAGAATTTGTTGATGTGTACTGGGACCTCAACACCTGTCCTCTGGCATATCCTGCGGATGGTATAGTGGGAAGGATCGAAACGGCTCTTAACGAGGTCAATGCAAATTCAAACTCTCTACGATACGCTCTTTCCGATACAAGAGTTATCTGTGGAAATGTTAACGCATTGAGTAAAGAGGATTGGGATAGTCTTCAATCTTATGGTTTCAAATTGGAACCATGTGAAGATAGACATGCTTATTGCAACTCTCATAACCCAAACAGAAGGAAGCCCGACGATCCTCCTCCAGATCTTGAGTTGGAAGTGCATTCTATCGATCAGGCACTCAATTCCCCACATACAAACATTTTGCTAATCTCTAGCGATTACCATTTTGGGAAGTCAATGAACATCAACTACAAGTATTGCTACAAAATTTTCTTAGCACTCTCCTGGGCCATACAAGGAACCGACTACAAAAAGCATGGAAACTATGCTTGGATCTGGGAATTGATGCATTTTGACGGATCTGGTCTGTTTTACGCTAACCCCAATCGCTGAAAGCAACCGGTGGATGGAGGTTGGAAAATTAATAATCTAATAGGTCCTCAGGTACGATTTTAAATTGTAGTAAGAAGAATAATAGTATCTCTATGGTGGATTCCATGTATTAATATCTTATTCTGTTCTGCTTGTTATTAATAATGTCTTCTGTTTTTCTGTAACCCCCGGAACCGTATTATTCTGTTATGTCTTTTGTGTATTATGGTGTTAATTGTATCTTCCTACAACAGTTATTTAAGAGCAGAAAATCTCCTGTTTACGAGTTTCATTTGATTCTTTACTACGATTTGTTGGTGTATCTTTGCAATTTCCAATGCTTCAAATGAGAAACAAAGACAAAAAAAAAAAAAAAAGAGGGAAAACAAAAACAATTGTTTCACAAATTCTGTTACAAGCAAAGAGCTGAAGCATAACTAATCCTGAGCCGCAGAGTACACAATCCCAAAAACTCCCAGAAGCCGAGCCTGAAACACGTCGGTTATCACCACTGCTGCAAAGCAAAGTGGCGCCGTCAGCATCGGCGACGCGTCTGTGTGTTTACTGGTGTAACTCCACACGTACCTGTTGAATATTATGTGATCAGGTGCTGTTCTTCACTGCAAATAGCCATTCACGCCCTCCAATCTCTACTCCCAACCTGTGTTTCCATCGTACCAAACTTCTTCCCATACAGTGTATCAAGAGAATAACGCCAAGTACGTTGATATCGCTAGTGTAACCGGGAAGTATTAAGCATATCGCAAAGCACATGATGGTGGCTACGTTACCAACCGCAGGCATCCACGCCGCTCCATCCTCTGACATTTTCTCTACTGCAAAGCTTTGGATCGAGGTGGCTCGGTGTTGCTTGCATCAACCTTATCCCTTATCCGTGTCGGGAAACATCCCTTCACCCGAGCGCCGCCTTGGATGGTTTTTGACTGACCACTCCTCTCATAGACTTCCTCAAGCAAAAGCGAAGCGAGCTCAAACTTAATCAGAATTAACATGCATCCAGTTGCCACTACCAATACCAAACTTCTCTTAGCTGACTGCAAAAAAAAAAGAAAAGAACCTCTCTCTTGAGTATTTAAACTCTTAAAATCAAGACCTGAGTTCCAGCACGACTACAAGTCCACAACTAGATACAATCTTACTACACCATGGAGTTTAAGTTGAAGTTGATAGCACAACGTTCAAGAACAGCTAAGTAGAGCAATTATAAATATACCTTTTTAGTTCATGCTTTAATTTGAGTCCATGATGTAACCTCTGATATTAATCACAAACTCACAACATGTTAAATGACCTCATAGGATCCCAGAACTAGAGACTTGCTAAAGAAATGCTTTAAGTCCACCTAAGAATCTTTTCGGGGAACTCTTTCTTAGACAGCAACGATAAACATCAAACAAAACAATAAGCCAAAAGTATAACAGACATACCAGGACATGTGAAAAGTGGAGGGCAACAATTGGTATACAGGCCAGACCAATTCAAACGATGGAGAAACCAAGAAGCAAGCCATCAGACGGAGGTCTTCCATTCCACCACTGTAGAGCATCAAATATCATTTCCCGGCAAAACCAAACAGAGACATCAACCACTACAGCATGAGCATAACCTTGCCATGACATCATTTTAGAGGCAGATTTCGACTTGTCCCTGGAAATTCCACCAACAAGGGTAAAATAGTATCAACCTTAAAATTCAAGATGAGATGATACTTGTAAAAGTTAAAGATGAGATGATACTTGTAAAAGCTAAAATGCCATAGTACATACTTGTATAGCAGTAAGGGAGGGGAAACAGCCAGCAATAGAGCTGCAGACACCAATACATTTGATTTTGATGACAGGAAGAGCATAGCCAATGTTTCTGAATACAGACTGGTCAAGATCCATACTGCCTTCTGTCCAATTCGGTGATTAGCAAATAGTCTTCTCGCCCCAGCCAATTCAACAAGCGTCGTCAAAATAACCATGTAGCTAGGGTAAATCACATCGTCTTCCATTCCATAATAGTATATGCTTGACTAATTGAAAAAGCGGTCCTTAATGTAACACAGCAATAATGCGTGGGCCGCCACACCAGCTTTAGCCAGGAAGTGAAATTCTAGCGGGGAGAAGAACAACACCATGGCTATGATAATGGTAGCCACAATAAGCTTAGAGAACTATTTGGGGAACATGCCGGCTAACCATATGTTTAAATCCCAGTAATTATGCATTACGAACCATACTACCATCAAGCTTCCAAGAGCCACAAATGCAAAGTAAGAGGACACACTTTTCTTTGTAAGAAACCGAGCAAAATAAAGCCCAGCTACTGCAAGGAGCGGAGTAAACTGCAAGATAAACACAGAATGTGAAATAAAATTAGTTGCAATCAATTTTTAACTACAGGAAAGTTCAGGGAACTAGCAATAAAAATGGACATTTACGAGGCTACTCAAAATAGCAAGAACGAAGCAGTTTGTGTTGCAAAGTCTACAAGTTACACGACTAAAAGAATGCTTACACACAAAAAACCAGAGGCAAACAACAAAAACAAAACATATTCATCAAACCAACAGCTAGCAGGAAAGGATACTCAAGGTACGAAATTAATCAACAGTTTAAGGAAATAAAAACCTGAGATGCAATTCCTTGATAATGCTCAACTCCTCAATCTCAGATGCATTAGAAACACCACAACTCACAGCCTTCTCTTCTGCTTTCACTTGTACCAAATCCAAAGTTTAAAAATATTTTAAATTCAAAATTTTGAATAATAACAGAGAAGAAAGGAAAGAGCTTTCAGCATTTCAAGGCGAAAGAACAATGACCGGACTTTCTTCCGGAGATGTCAGATTCAATTCCGAAACTTCCCTCATTCTCTCTGCGGGCGCCACCGAAGATCCGACAAACTTCATCACGCACGTGAATCTCTTCGCGTCTACCTCCGTCTCCTTCAACGCGTCTGTCTTCTTCTCTTTCAAGACAGCTCGTACAGTGCTTTTAAGGCATGAGCCTGAATCTCTCCTTGTACAGGAGCCATCTCCAATGGATAACAAGAATTTCCTCGGGCTTCTCAGTGCAGCGAAATCGACACGATTCGGAGAGATCGGTAGCGTCGGCGAGTTTCGGTGGCGGGTTTGCGGCAATCTGGTGAAAAGGTGCATTGCTAACTGCTAAGACACCGCCATCGGAGAAGAAGAAGGAGAAGGCCGAGACTCGTGTTGTTGATATTGATAGGTTTTGAAACAACAAGAGGAGAAATCGTACAGCTCAATTCAGTCATTGGTGCGACGCCAAAGAAGGAAACTTTGAAACCCTCTGTTTCTGTTCCAAAACGCCGTCGGTTTATAACAAACGAATTACCAATGATAATTTGACGCGCGGTAGTTGTTGTTACAGGATTTTATGGTTCACATATATCTCATATCCGGTTTAATGATTTCAGTTATGTATTTCGGTTTAGCAAGCACTTATACCGTTATACGTAATCTTTTCTCTATTACGAGAATCAATCAATCAAAATTACAAAACAATTTTCAAATCCCTCTCTCTGTTAATCATCATCATCATCAATCTCCATTGAATCTCTGTTCTTAGAGCTCAGTGATAGTCTTCTGGATTCTCGGTGAATCTCTGGATTTCCCAGTTTTAATGTTACAGTTGTTGTACCTAACAACTTCGTGTAATAGAATCGAGCGTTTCTCTTTCATTTGTCTCTAAAATTTTCGTCGACCATGACGAATTCCGCTTACAAAGCACGCGAATTTCGATCAAATTCCGTCGTGGGTTTCTCTGAAATCGGGCATGAGCAAGGGCAAGTCGAGAATCTTCATTTGGTTTCCTTGTCGAAGCATGGGAAGCTCAACGAAGCGCTTGAGTTTTTCCAAGAAATGGATAAGGCTGGCGTCTCCATCAGCCCGTACTCTTACCAATGTCTCTTTGAAGCTTGCAGAGAATTGAGGTCTTTATCTCATGGGAGACTCCTGCACGATCGCATGAGAACGAAATGTGAGAATCCTTCTGTGACTCTTCAGAACTCCGTGCTTCAAATGTACTGTGTGTGGGAGCTTCGGAGATGCAGATAAAGTGTTTGATGAAATGCCTGAGTTAAACTCTGTTTCTCGCGTGACGATGATATCTGCTTAGGCCGAGCAAGGGCTTTTGGATAAAGCTGTTGGTTCGTTCTCCAAAATGCTAGAGTCAGGAGACAAGGGTACTTCTTCCGTGTTTACTACACTCTTGAAATCTTTGGTAAGCCTAGTGCTTTAGGCATTGGTAGACAGATTCATTCTCATGTTATACGTGCTGGGTGATGCAGCAACGCATCTATAGAGACTGGGATCTTGAACATGTACGTGAAATGTGGTTGGTTAGTAGGTGCTAAGCTAGTGTTTGATCAGATGGCAGTGAAACTGAATTTTGGCAAGCAAGTTCATGCCAGCGTTGCTAAGCTTGGAATGGAATCTGAAGTCTCGCTTGGAACTCCACTCGGTTATTTTTACATCAAATGTTCCAGCTTCGAGTCTGCTTGTCATACATTCGGAAAATCCGTGAACCAAATGATGTTTCATGGAGCGCAATCATTTCTGGATACTGCCAAATGAGTCAATTTGAAGAGGCTATCGAGGCAACATTGGTGGCCAGGTCCACGCAGATGTTATAAAAAGAAGTCTGGTTGGATCTCAGTTTGGAAAAAGTGCTCTGTATTTGAAATGCGGATGCTTAGATGATGCCCGCGAAGTCTTTGAGTCAATGGACAACCCCGACATTGTTTCTTGGACAGCTTTTATATCAGGTCATGCCTACTATGGAAACGCCTCTGAAGCTCTGAGATTGTTTGAGAAAATGGTGAGTTGTGGCATGAAGCCAAACTCGGTTACATTTATTGCGGTTTTAACCGCCTGCAGCCACGCAGGCCTTGTTGCAGAGGGCAAGCATTACTTGGACACGATGCTTCGGATATATAAGGTGGCTCCGACTATTGACCATTATGACTGTATGATTGACATTTATTCACGTGCGGGACAGTTAGACGAAGCTCTCAAGTTTATGAAGGATATGCCTTGTGAACCTGATGCAATGAGCTGGAAATGCTTTCTAAGCGGGTGTTGGACTCATAAGAATCTTGAACTGGGTGAGATTGCTGGTGAGGAGCTTCGCCGACTCGATCCAGAAGATACAGCTGGTTATGTTCTACCGTTTAATCTGTATACGCAGGCTGGAAAATGGGAAGAAGCTGCTGAGATGATGAAACTAATGAATGAGAGGATGTTAAAGAAGGAACTGAGCTGCAGCTGGATCAGAGAGAAGGGTAAGATTCATCGGTTTATAGTGGGTGATAAACACCACCCACAGACTCATGAGATCTATGAGAAGCTCAAGGAGTTTGATGATTTTATGGAAGGTGATGTGTTTCAGTGTAGTATGACAGAGAGAAGAGAACAGCTTCTTGATCATAGTGAGAGGCTTGCCATCGCGTTTGGACTGATATCGGCCAATGGCAATGCCCGTGCACCTATAAAGGTGTTCAAGAATCTCCGAGCATGCCCAGATTGCCATGAGTTTGCAAAGCATGTGTCCTTGGTTACAGGGCATGAAATCGTCATCCGAAGAAGGTTTCACCATTTCAAGGAGGGGAAGTACTCTTGCAACGATTAGTGGTGACTACTCACTAGTGATCTTTAGTGTATGTATCAGTATCATTTATCAGGCTGTCGATACTTTGAATTGGATGAAAACGTGGATATATTATATGTCAAAAGTAGTGTATAACGCAATTCTTGGGTTTACAAAACTGGATTAACATGTTTCCTGACTGCAAAGTATTCGAACCACACAGGGAAAAAGCCGTACGATATACAATACTGTTAAAAGCTGTGGTAACATGACTGTTCTGGATTCCTGAGGTGCAAGGTCATGACTACTGGTTGGACCTGGAGGCTTCCCACAATCTACGTTCTATCCGAAGCTTTCTTAGCTCTGTTATCCCTTGCTCAACTGAAAATTTGAACCAACAACCAGTTTAGTAATTGTCTAAATGGGTACTCCTCTTTTGGCTAAAAGGAATTTGGTAGGATAGACTGTCACTGTACCTTCCATGGCGTCATGTGAAGATGGAGAGTGTGCACTCCTGCCGATCCAGAATCTAAGACGTTGTCTCGCAATGTCTACTTCTATGCCTAGGGACAGTGCTCTTCTCCAAAAGTACGTGAGCCAAGCCTGCCAAAAGTTCCATATGATTTAGTTCCAAGGAATACATACAAGAACAGAAAACATTACAGAAGGGAGCAGAACAAGCACAAGCCCATGAGAGAAAGCGAGAAAGAGGTTGTGATTCTGTACGTCCTTGAAGAGAATATCTTCCGACTCTTCTGGACTCAGTTCTACAAAGAACAAAAGGCCAATGACAGAATTAACAAGAACTGTCTGCACTCTTTGTTAGAGTAGTCTATGAAATGTCAACATAGAATACTGACCTTATATTCATGTACTTCACAGTCCTAATTATATCAGAAGTTTGTCATTGTAACGTTGTTGATTATGCTTGACTCCATAGTCCATATCATGAATTTCATAAGAGATTGTTGATTCCTTTACTGACCTTGAACATCAGTCCTAGAAGCTAAATAAATTTACCAAGTGCTCCATAGACTTAGGACCACCTGCTGATTTTAACTCCGGTTGTATTAATATCTTAATATCTCTATGGTGTTCTCCATGTATTAATATCTTATTCTGTTCTGCTTGTATCTTGTAATTTGTTATTTGTACTGTTGTACAGCTGTTATTTAAGAGCAAAAAATCCGGTTTGTAAGAAGAGTTTAAACGCATCTTTGCAATTTCCAATGAACAAAAACGGAATACAAAAGCAATTGATTCACGAAATCTGTTACAAAAGAAGGTCTGGTCTTGATAGAAAATTCACAAAATCTGTTACAAAAGAAGGTCTGGTCTTCGGCTAATTACCAGAGAGAGAGCATTGGGAAAACAAAAACAATTGTAGCTCCTTGCATGTCTCATACTCGAGCGTAAGCTTTGATTCTAGTAATAGAATAGACGGCCGTGATGAATTCTACGTCTGTAATAGACAGCTGTGATGAAAACAAAATGTTAGTCTTCTAGGAATTACTTAAATCAATATGCAAAAAGAAGACTTAAAATTAAAACGACGGACCTGGTGTAGTAGCGACGCTCATCAGGTCCCAAAGCCAGGCATTATTCGACAGCCCTACATACCTAGGTTTTGCATTACTCGAAGCAGCTATAAAGACTGTGTAACGGTTGCGTTGGAGCAGTTTCACCGTCGAAGAGAAGTCCGAATCGTCGGATGCAAGTAAAATGTTGTCACACAATCGTCTCTCAAAGATAAGCTGCTTTACCTGTTGAAGCATAATTCTGTCGGCGACATCATATGGTCTCTCGAAAGGGCGTGGAGGGTTCCATGAATGCTGAACAACATTGTTACAGCCAAGTTCACCGCAGTAACGAAACCGGTGTGGGGCATTGACCAGGACGCAGCCATGATCTGATCTTAGCTCGTGATGATAGGGTATGATATAGTCCAGATTCAGATTTCCTACGAGTAGCTTAGTCCGAGAGAGATAATACCTCCTGTCCAAGGTTGTCAGAGAATTTTCAAGGTTACCGAACACCGAGAGCGTCTGATGAGGCTGAACCCTCGAACTCTCTATATCCCACAAGAGAGTAGTAGCATAAGGATCACCTATATTCACAAAAAAAAAATCTGAACTTAGATGAAAATTCAAAATCCAATTGAATTTAATAACACGTGTAACTGAATAACCTGGATTATCAACCAAAGCCAAAGCCGCCATAGTTATGGTACCAAATAGAAGACCTAGATCCATCCACAGAAAACATCAATCCGATCCGTTACAAATCAAGCACCAGACAAATACAGCAGACATTTTATTTTTTTCAGAAACTTACCCTAAAGATGTCTGATAGAGTTTAGATCTAGCTCAGAGAGTGTTTGTAAGTAGAGAACGAAGAGAAACTGATTCGTACAATTAGAAAGTGCAAATTCCGATTACAAGTCTCGATCTCATCTCGATCTCGACGACGAACTCATCACGCTCGTCACTAAGCTCGCAGTCTCACAGATTTACAACCAGAAAATGCATAAGAATAAGAAATGAAAGCGACAAGATTTAAGCAACTCTCTCTAACAGCAAAGCCTCTGAGTCCATTAGAGTCTTTATTCTTTCTTCTATTGACCCCCAAACCCTCTGAATCAATCCGAAAGTCCCTCTGTTTCTTCCAAGACGACAGAAACACTCGAATTTTATAGGGAAATTAAAAAATTCTGATTCGAATTAAAAAAAATAGTTGGGCAGTGGAATTTAAGTGTTGAGATGCCTTGTTGTTTACAAGTAAGTGTTCTTAACCATTTTTTTTATATAAATTTTCATCTTTCTTTTTTAAGTCTTCCATTGCAAGAAAAATAAATTTATCTTAACCAAAGAACAACTCAGAGTAAGCTGAGACACATCTCCAAACTTATGTTTTACTAACGATGTAAGCAAAAGCATAGAAATTTGATACAATCTCTAATCTAAGTATTCGCTCAAAGAACTAGGCTCTGTATAACTCTAGTGAAGTGTGTGTACCTTTAGCTACTATTAACAATTGAGATTGCATAGCGACAAAATACTTGAAACTCACCTGCCATCGGGTAAGTAACGCCTGATTGTGAAAGGTATCTTACGTTGTCGAAGCTCCTTCATTGCAATCTGTGAGTCATATTCAAAGTACTTTAAACACTTTTTCCTCATATTTCTAACTAGCTCACATCCAGAAACAACAAAAACAAAAAATTTCTTGAAAAAGGTGGAACAGAGTAAGCACCTCAAGCGGATCAGTCTCACACCCTCCAGCTCCACCATCACAGGAGCAGTCATGCTGTATCATCCCCAAAACAATAAGCAAATGGACTAAAAATAGCAGAACAGAACAGAGCCTGTTTTCTTCAATTGAAATAAAGTGATTGCATCCGAGAATTAGAGCTTGGAATTAGACATACTTTTATAGTCGGAAAAGGCTGGAATTAGACCTGATCTGGAGAGCACGGATGCCGAGAATCCGAGATATCATCAGTTTCCTACATCTCCACATGATCCTCTACTCCTTCCTAATCAAAACAATTCATCAGAAATTGCAAGTGATAAGCATTTAAATGTCTGTATCATATAAAGAAGGGAATAGTAACAGCTTACTTCAATCTCTGGCTCTGTTGGCTCGTCCTCGTACCTACAGGACTAATCGTTTCACCTACTTCAACATTTTGAAGCATCAGATATATGAAGAGAGCGCATTAGAACATAACATAAACCCACTTCAACTATACGCCAAGTTTCACTCAAAATTCAAGTGATTTGCAGCTCCAAGAGATGAGTAACGCATGAGTTTCAGTATCTAGCAGAGACAATGTGTCATGAAATCATAATTAGCATGATTTATAGACAATCAAACTGTGTGATGCAAATAACAGAATTGTATAATGTGAAAGACTACTCTTCTCTTCGAAATCGAATAAGATCTATAGCTTTTACAACTTCAGCAAGTTTCGATCATTTATAACTTTTACTGATTACTTCAATTTAGATGTCAAACAGAACGCTCTCAGCTACTCCGCACGATTCGTCAACAAGAAAAGAAACAAACAAACAATTATCATATAATGGATAGAAAGAGAGAAAGTATCCCAGGTCCTCGACATCTTGGTAATCTTCGTCCGCCATGGATTTAAGATCGGATCTCGTTGTCGTGGAAGAGAGTTCTTCGATGGATACCGGACGAGAGAGAGAGAGAGAGAGAGAGAAAGGTTGTTTGTTTACTTATTTTTATTATTATAAATTTAACTGACCACGAAACAAGTGGCACAAGGACATTTTCGTCCAAAAGATTCCAGAAAACTATTCTCCTAAATTCCTAATAGATAATAACTAAAAAATGTGATTTTTAGCAAATCGAAATTTCCTCTTTTTTATAACCTTTTATAGGAGGGTTTGGAACTTTTGGATAATATCCCCTAATGAGATTTTAGCTATTACTCTAGTACGAGTGTACTACTACTTTTCATACATTTTCTCAATATGATTAAATATGAACACAAACCAAGTAGTACGTAGTAGCTTCTGTTGTTTGACTTTGCTGCATAGCAGCCACTGTCGGTTCAATGTCAGGTTTTCTCTACAAACAAAATCCATCCCGTTGTCCGCACCCAGAAAATAGTGGCTCTAGCATCTTCCTTTGATTGAAGAGTTTGTGGTACACGGTTTAGATGGACATCTTCGTCCAAAAAATTATAGGGTTTGGTTAATGGATAACTAAAAAATTGTGATTTTTAGCAAAGTCAAATCACCAAAAGAGAGACCATTCTACCTAAATTTTGTGTCAAAGACACAGACAATTCTCTTAAATGTTCAACTCCTCAAAATTGTACCCAGTTCGTTTCTTGTTGTTCTATAGCTGTTGTTTAAGGTTCTGTTAACTCAACGTAATTTACACCTCGAAAGAATACGCACTCCATCCAAGTACTCACGATTGATTTTGGGGCCGACATGTGTTGATCTTTTTTTCTGAAACAGTTTTCTGAATAGCATCCCAAAGCATCCCAAAACAATTACTAACAAACCAATCTTAGTGATCGTATTCTTTCGAGGTGTAAATTACGTTGAGTTAACAGGTGTAAATCCGGCTTAGGAGTTTTAATCGATCACTAAGATTGGTTTGTTAGTAAGAAGTAAGAACTAAGAAGACCATAGATAAAGTTCTGTAAGCCTATCTTTGCAATTTCTTATGCATCAACTGAGAAAACAAAGACAGAAAAAGAAACAGGCAAAACATATTGCTGCCTAGGATATCACTGTCACATACTGAGCCGCAGAGTACACAATCCCTAAAACTCCCAGAAGCCGAACCTGAAACACGTCGGTTATCACCACCGCTGCAAAGCTAAGTGGCACCGTCAGCATCGGCGACGCGCCTGTGTGTTTACTTGCGTAACTCCACTCCTCTCATAGGCTTTCTCACGCAAAAGCGAAGTGAGCTCAAACTTAGTCAGAGGCGCTACAAGAATAAATATCGCTGCATAGAGATGTTCTTGCACCTTCACAGTATTTCACTCTAACACAAACGCCATTAACCATGGCTTCTTCCGTCCTAGGAATCTGAACACTTGGTGTTTATCTTCCATCCATCAGCTAATACTGTTGTATCATATACGAATTTCGTGGAACAGTACCAGGATCTCGTGCAGATGTGAAGCAGAAGAGGATCAATACCTATAAGAACCAACCACGTGATTCAGAAAAGCAAGAAAAGTAAAAAGCCTGAATGCCACGGAACAATTGATAGAACAGGAGAAGACACGGTTTAAATTTCTAAGCCGGAGGTAAGAAGCGAACAAAAAACATCTTAGGCTATATACTCAAGTTATATATTTTTACCTAAGCAGGATCCATCGCAGTGAGTTAAACTCTGATGCTTCGTAAATATAACATTTTCCCACCACAAAACAGCTGAAAATATGTTGTTGATAACCAGACTGAACAGCAAGCAAACGAGAAACAATAAATATACAGGACTATCAGATGGGCATCAGAGAAGACATACATAAATAGTGAATAGAATTGCTACAATCAAGATAGCACATACCTGACTGTAGGGTGAGATTCATGGGGAAGATGCCATGCTACCTATACACACAACAAAAAGTGACCTTGATTCTGGTCCAAATATCAATCTCCGACCAAGGATGAATTTCTGCAAAAGAGAAAGGAAAGAGCAAATCAAGATTATATAGACAACTTTTTTTGGTATTAGCACTCTTGAGTTTATAACATGAACAAGAGTCAAGCATTCAGGACCAAGCGATTGATTATAAAAGATATAATAACAAATTGAACAACAATCCCATCCCTTTAAACCATCAAATCAACATACACTGCTTATGAATCCCAAAACAACTAATTCTCCAAAGTAGTTTTATTGAAAATGGTTGTAGACCCATCAACCCCTTGCGATCTCATGTCTTTCGCATATGAAGCACAAAATTTACCAAACTATCAACTCGCTATGAGCAACAAAAAAAAAAATGTACTAAAAACATTCAGCTCTACAACATTAGTTTACACGTACCAAAGTGAACCAGTTGCGTAACCAAGACTATGCTACACAACGAACTGGTGGAAAAAAAAAACTATTTTTCTGGAAACAACTCAAGAAACAACGCATACAAATGAACTAAAACACAGTCACGTTCACACCAAAACATAATTCAGATAAATGCATCAACAAGCAAAGAGAAAACACACAAAAGCAGACAAAAAAAAAATCCCAGGCTCAATCGCTCGATGACAAAGAAAAAAAAGACTTACGATGCTTCCTTTCCAGCCTTCGAATACCCGTTTTTTCATGGAAAGAAGAAGTGGTCTCGAAGCAGAGAAAAGCAGCGAGCAAGCCGAGAGGGACGGAATTGAAGGAGGAAATGAGAGCAGAAGAGAAGGAGGTCTGAGCTGCGATCAGCGACATCCAGGAGTTCGATCGATGAAGTTTCTGGAGGAGGCAGGGCTCATGTGAGGGGAGTAAGAGGGAGAAGACAAAATTGGTTCACTGGAGGAAGAGGATATATGCGGCCGGAACAGCCGCGGCTGCAGCTCCGGTGGCATCATCGTCGCCGGAATTTTGCTTGGAATAGAGATTTGATGGCGAATATCTCCGTGCAGTGATGATGGAAGGATCTGTGTGTTTCGCGGAAACGGTGACGTGTCCAGAAAAGCAGCAGCCATTGGATCTTACTAGTGGGGCCCTCCAATCCATTTAGCTAACGTAGGTCCGCACTCAGAAAATACTGGCTCTATACTATCAAAACGCTGTCGTTTCGTCAGTCATGTGAGTGAGGAGGATGAACAAGACAAGACTAAATAACTGCAAAATATCAAGAGTCACCACCATTCCATGTCAGCCCCAAAAGCCAAAATCAATCATGAGTTCTTGGATCGAATACTAACCCAGTACATACATATTGTGTCTTGTTTTCATAGGCCCAACGTTACGACTCTCTTGCACAATGCACATATGACCACAAATCTTCTTGGGGGACAACGTGCCGTAGATTTTGTGCGGAGGAATCAAAAGCCTAATCATAGACAAGACACTTCTCTTAAATGTTCAACTCCTCAAAACTGTACCCAATTGATTTGAAAATCGTCAGTCTACACTGACCGTATATATTTATGATGTGTATACTTAATCGGCACAATTGTGTACATTGAGCTCAGTCTATGTCATAAATGTTTACCTTTCATTACAAGCTTTGATGAATTGTACCCATGTGGTAGCATTTTCTTGGAACAGCTCGTTTCTAGGGATGTTAAAAGTCTGCCACTTAAAATTTTTTGTACTATTCAAATAAAGCGTAAACAAATTCTGATAAATATTTTTGTAGTCATATATTTATATATATTATGACATTTTCATTTTTATTCTGATTCTGATTGGAATAAAAAATAATACAAGTTGGGAAGTGAATTTTGCTTATGTTACAAATAAGTCTTCAATCATAAATCAGCACACAGTAACCGTAAGGATGTCGATAGTTTGATGATTTATGAGTCACACGTTTACACTTATGGCAAATACGACGCCTCATTGTTGCATCCACCAGTCTGCAAAATCGCTGATTTATCAGTTTACTTCGATGAGGTTTGATAAACTTGAGGTTCAGGTTTCCAGTGAGCAGTTTGATGAGAAAGAGATAAAATTTGCTGTCTATTATTTTGAGTGAGTTTTCCACATTGTCAAACAAGTCGAGAGTATGACTAGGATCATCAACTCCCGAGTTTTCGAAACATGAGGATTCTCTAAATTAAGAACAAAAAACACTTAAAAGTTATATGAAATTAAAAATTCAACTGAATTTATCACATGTAATTCACTTAATACTTGGATCCTCAACTTCAGAGACTTTTCAAGGTAAACTGAGTTACAGTTATTCCCATAAGTTTGCTTAGAATTGTCATAGAATTTGCTTAGAATTATGCACAAAGTTTGTCCGAAATTACCCAATAAACAATATTATTGAAGATTCAATGGTTTCTTAAAAAACTGAAAAACTAAAAGTTTGATAATAATTTTCCCACTGTTTCAAAAGCTGAAAATTTCAAATAAGGTTGAAAATTCTATTCCTGATGAAAATAAATGATTTTTTTGTCGATTTTTGGTTATTAGACGTGATGGTGCTCAGCAACAAAAAAAAATAATGGATTACTACATGTCTGATTCTGGTTATTATTGTAGTCATATATATCAAGACATATTCATTTTGATTCTGATTCTGATTCGAATAAAAAAATAATAGTTTGGAAGTGGACTGTTCATCTGTTACAACTTACAAATAAGTCTTGAGATGCCTTGTTAATTTGGGTATTAGCATCTTCCTTTGATCGAAGAATTTGTCGTACAGGGTTTAGATGGACATCTTTAGCGCTAGACATCTTCGTCCAAAAAATTCCAGAAAACTATTTTGCTAATAGATAACTAAAAAATTGTGATTCTTAGCAAAGTCAAATCACTAAAAGAGACCACTCTACCTAAATTTCCTATTTGTATAACCTTTTATAGGGTTTGAAACTTTTGGATAATATCCCCTAGTGAGATTAGCTTTTCATAGATTTTCTCAATATGATTAAATATGAACACAAACCAGTAGTATCGGCTTCTAATGTTTGACTTTGTTGTATAGCCAATGTCGGTTCAATTGTCAGAGTCATCATTAATGGAGAGTTGGAGACTGTAAGATAAAAAACAAAAAAAACAAGTTGCAGTGAGCAACTGTACAAGCCTTTCAATGAGATTTATGTCTTCCAAGTTCCAAACCAAGCGATAGTTTCAAAAGTAATCAGCATCTATATAATGTATAAATAAAGAAACATGAGTCCTCTCTTGAACGTTTAAAAAATTATATGCACACAAAATGGGAGTCCACGTGCAATTAATGCAAGTCTTTATCTACCATTTACCAGCTAGCTCCGTCTATTTAATTCCATCTTTCAATTTTAAGCTACTGCATTTACACATTTCTCTAACTAATCCTCAAACATCGTTTTCTTCTTACGGATTTTGTTTTAATCAATTATTTCCTTTATATTCTTCAACCATTTAGTTGTAAGCTCTCTCGCTATTTATTTCGTCACTCTAAAAGATTCCGAATTTCCATGGTTTTATGAGAAAAGAGTTCGAATATGGGTGTCTCGGAGATTAAATCCCCGGGGAATGTTGCCGAGACGCCGGGAGGTTGTTCGAGCTCGTCGGTGCATAGGAAGCAGTTGAGTGTGTACTTCATAGAGTCAGATCACAGACGTCTTGCTCTTGGCCGTGGCTATACCGGAGGAACCACTCCGGTTAACATCCGTGGCAAACCCATCGCCAATCTTTCCAAAACCGGTGGTTGGATCGCAGCTTTCTTCATTTTTGGTAACGTTTTTCTTCATCAAATTGGAACAAATGATAATAACTCAATCGTCACATCACCGCTTCCAGCTTACGTTTCCAATTTGGTTGCAATCTTCTTTAGGAAATGAAATGGCAGAGAGAATGGCGTATTTCGGACTATCAGTGAACATGGTGGCGTTCATGTTCTACGTAATGCACAGGCCTTTCGAGAGTTCATCGAACGCAGTCAACAACTTCCTCGGCATCTCTCAGGCCTCCTCTGTTCTCGGAGGGTTCATAGCCGACGCATACTTGGGCCGATACTGGACTATTGCCATCTTCACCACCATGTATCTTGTCGTAAGTACTCTTCAGTCCCGATTTCGCTTTGGTTTACTTGATATTTGGTATTCACAGTAAAATTTTCCTCTGTTTTGCCTGTGAGAAGGGGTTGATCGGAATAACACTAGGCGCAAGTTTGAAAATGTTCGTACCAGACCAGAGCAACTGTGACCAGTTAGCATTGCTCTTAGGAAGTTGCCAACCAGCCAAATCCTGGCAAATGCTTTATCTCTACGCGGTTCTCTACATAACCGGATTCGGAGCTGCCGGTATAAGGCCATGTGTTTCCTCCTTTGGCGCTGACCAGTTTGATGAGAAGAGCGCAAACTACAAGACGCATTTAGACCGTTTCTTCAACTTCTTCTACCTATCAGTCACTTTAGGCGCAATCATTGCCTTCACTTTGGTGGTGTATGTTCAGATGGAACATGGTTGGGGTATGGCTTTTGGCACCTTGGCCATGGCTATGGCCATTTCTAATGCTTTGTTCTTCGCCGGTACACCGCTCTATCGGCATAGGTTGCCTGGTGGTAGTCCCTTGACAAGAGTGGCTCAGGTCTTAGCCGCAGCTTTCCACAAACGAAATAAAGCTTTTACAAGCAGCGAATTCATCGGTCTTTACGAGGTTCCGGGCTTGAAATCTGCCATTAATGGCAGTCGCAAAATCCCTCATACTGATGATTTCATGTAAGTGACTGTGTTCTTATTGGCAACAACGTTTCAAAACTTTTGATGACATTGTGTGACGCATGCAGATGGCTAGACAAGGCGGCGCTACAGTTGAAAGAAGATGGAATGGAGCCGTCTCCATGGAAGCTATGCACAGTAACACAAGTGGAGGAAGTGAAGATTCTGATAAGACTGATTCCAATCCCAGCATGCACTATCATGCTGAGTCTGGTCCTCACAGAGTATCTAACACTCTCAGTGCAACAAGCTTATACGCTGAACACACACATTAAACACCTAAAGCTTCCAGTGACATGCATGCCCGTCTTCCCAGGACTCAGCATTTTCCTCATTCTCTCCCTTTATTACTCTGTCTTTGTCCCTATCACCAGACGAATCACTGGCAATCCCCATGGTGCTTCCCAGCTTCAAAGGGTACTACTACTAACTTTGTCTTTGTTGTCGGTTTAAGGAGTTTTGAGTTCTTAATTATGTCCATCTCTCTGATCATGTACTTTGGATATAGGTTGGGATAGGGCTAGCGGTTTCAATAATTTCAGTAGCTTGGGCTGGACTCTTCGAGAACTACAGGAGACATTACGCGATACAACATGGTTTCGAGTTCAGCTTCTTGTCCCAAATGCCTGATCTATCAGCATACTGGTTACTAATCCAGTACTGTCTCATCGGGATCGCAGAGGTTTTCTGCATCGTAGGGCTACTGGAGTTCCTTTACGAGGAAGCACCTGATGCTATGAAGAGCATTGGTTCCGCTTACGCTGCGTTAGCCGGAGGGTTAGGGTGTTTTGCCGCCACCATTTTGAACAACATCGTCAAGGCTGCGACGAAGGACTCGGAAGGGAAGTCGTGGTTGTCGCAGAACATAAACACCGGGAGATTCGACTGTTTGTATTGGTTGCTCACGCTTCTGAGCCTTTTGAATTTCTGTGTTTTCCTCTGGTCAGCTCATAGGTACAAGTACAGGGCTGTTGAAACTGAGGAAGACAAAGAGTAGAGCATCTCTTTGACTTTATAATTTTACACACTACCATTGCAGTTTCTGTGTTATGTTCTGTTCTGTTCTGATATGTCTCTCTATGAGAAACAACACTAAGTTGTATGTATCTTCGTATAGCTGTTTCCGGAACTTTGGATTATATCCACTGGTGAGACTAGCTATGTGTTACTTTTTCACAGATTTTCTCAATGAAGACAAACCAGTAGTATATTATTAGCTTCTGTCGTCTGACATTTTTGTATCTTGTATAGCCAATGTCGGATCAAAAGAGTCATCATTGCAAAAAAAAGTAATCAATATGTAGATTCTAAGAAGCATGATCTGCACATAATATGGGGGCTTTACGTGCAATGCAAGTCAGTATTGTATTAGTATAGTAATTAGCTAGCAGAGACATACATCTTAAATATATGTCAGCAGTGCAAGGCCCAGCCCAATAAGATCCTTTATAAAAAGAGACGCAGAGCGACGAAGTCTCTCTCATATTCTAAACCATGGACGAAGAAAGCGTGTGGGAAACCCAGCAATTTCCGCTGACTTTTTACAAGGGTAAGTAAGATCTCTCTATGTCTCTTTCTATCTCGCTTGGAAATTGTTTGTCTAAGATCTAATGTATTGGTAATTGCTGTTAATTGGTGTAGAAGGTGAGAGTAAGACATGTGTGTTTTGGGATTTGAACGATTATCCAATCCCTAGTGGGATCAATCCTGCTTCCATGTGTGAGAGTATCAAAGATGCTATTTGGAAACAGGGCATAGATGGGGAGGTTTCAATTCAGGCTTATGTTGATGTTTCCGAGAGTACATTGTCGGAACGTGAATATTCGGATGCTGGATTCCAAGTCGAAGTCTTTCACGAAAGTGAAGGTGAATTCCTGATTTATACTCGTCTTTTTCTCTAACCAAATAATATTGATATACTTAACTTACTTGCACTTTCTACCTTTGCAAGGGGGTAAACATACGAGAAACTGTTCCATGCTTGCTGACATGACCATGTGGGCATTGGATAATCCCACACCATCCAATGTGATTCTACTCGCAAAAGTGACGGACGACACCTTGGCTGGACTGTTAAGATCTTCCTGTCCCAGGATTTATGGTTGTTTATTTTCCCGATATCTGAGGGTCCCTGCTCGAACCGATTCCTCGTTTTTAACTAGCATATTCGATCCAGTACAAGGAAGACGAAGACGACGGAACAGAATACCGTAGCAAATTCTATTAATATAGTTCCGAGTTGTAACGTTTTTGTTATTGTCTATCTATGAGTTTTTGGAACATAAACAACTTAACATAAAAACATAAACAAGTGAACAAGACTTGTCAAATATTATACTCCAAGTCTCCAACCATATATAAAAGCATACAACGTAAGATATCTCTTGCACCTTCAAAATCCAAATGAAGTAGGTCAGCCTAGGCTTCAGAAGTGATCTGCTCAGTTTCTTGGTTGATGAGTGTCTGAGGGTTTGCTAAGACAACAAAGAAATCTCTGTCTAGTAAAGTTTGACAAAATCTGGCGAATTTGGGGTCTTGTTCGATGTACTCCTTAAGTCCTTTATTTTCCTTATTTTCTGAGAGTAACAGAAAAAATCATGGACCACTATTGTGTTTAACGAGACGAGAACACCAGCTATATTCATGTTAAGTTTGGTACGTTTAACCCCTATAATAGTAAGTACATACATAAACATAACGGAAAAACTTAGTTACAGTAAGCAAACAGACAAACATTAAAAAAAAAGATAGTTTTTTATTAGGGAGAGTGCACAATTTTGAACAACATCGTCAAGGCTGCGCGAAGGGCTGTGTTTTCCTTTGGTCAGCTCATAGGTACAAGTACAGGGCTGTTGAAACCGAGGAAGACATCTCTTTGACTTTAAGTTTAAACACACCATTTTCTGTATAGCTGTTATGGGAATGTTGCATGATACCCCCAATAGCTTCTGTCGGATCAATATATAATGGAGACTGCAAAAAAGAAAAAGTAATCAATATATATATATATATATGTGTGTGTGTAAATTTCAAGAAGCATGAATGCATGATTCCTTTCTTGAACGTTTCACACAATATGGGACTTTACGTGCAATGCAAGTCAATATTGTATTAGTATAGTAATTAATTAGCAGATACATACATACATCTTAAATATATGCCAGCAGTGCCAGGCCCAGCCCAATAAGATCCTTTATAAAAAGATTGACGCAGAGCGACAAAGTCTCTCTCATATTTCTAAACCATGGGCGACGAAAGCGTGTGGAAAACCCAGCAATTTCCGCTCACCTTTTACGACGGTAAGATCTCTCTATGTCTCTCTTTCTCTCGCTTGGAAATTGTTTGTCTAAGATCTAATGTATTTGTTAACTGGTGTAGAAGGTGAGGCTGACACATGTGTGTTTTGGGATTTGAATGATTACCCGATCCCAAGTGGTGTCCATCCTGCTTCGATTCGTAGGAGAATTCTTCATGCTATTCGGGATCAAGGTATTGTTGGGGATGTGTCAATTCACGCCTATGTTGATGCCTCTGAACGTGAATATTGTGATGCTGGATTCCAAGTCGAAGTATTTCCCAAAAGTGAAGGTGAATTCCTGATTTACACTCGTCTTTTTCTCTAACCAAGTAATATTGATAACAAGTTGATATACTCATCTCATCTTAACTTGCACTTTCCACTTTTGCTGGGGGTAAACATACAAGAAACTGTTCCATGCTTGCTGATATGTCCATGTGGGCATTGGATAATCCCACACCAGCCAATGTTATTGTACTTGCAAAAGTAACTGACGACTCTTTGGATGGAGAAGTTAGAGCTTTTTGTAGCCGGATGTATGGTTATTCAGCCTCCCGGAAGCGGAGGGTTCCTGCTCGAACCGATCCTACGTTTTTGACTAGCATATTCGATCCAGTACAGAGAATACCGTAGCAAATTCGATCATAGTGCCGAGTTGTAACGTTTTTTGTTATTGTCTATCTATGTGTTTTTGGAACATAAACAAGTGAACATAGTAATGAGTCATTGGACAGTCCACATGGGAGTCTATTCACAAAAAAAAAAGCATATTGGCTTGACTTATTTTCATTAATAAACTTGAATTAAATAAGCTTGTATATATAAAAGTTAAACTTAAATCCTTGACCGTTTCATTCTTTCAAGTTTCAACACAGTGGAATTTTTAGCATACTCGATAATTTGGACTAGTTTATATTAAGAATTGAGAATTTTCTTAGAATTGCAACGTTGGTCTGGTCAGATCATATATCAACATCCTTAAGATATTCTCAATGCCAAAGCCACAAGACTCGGCGATCGCCACCGTTTCCATTTACATGTCAACACCAAAATCAATCGTTTTCCTTTTTTGTTTGTCGGCCAAATTTTCACTAAAAAAGCCAAATAAACATGGGCTGGGCTGTTACAAGTGATTTACGGCAAATACGATAAGACCAGTTGATTGACGGCAAAGAAACAACGCCGACCTAGTTCTCCGATAAGAAAACCGTGAAACTCTTTTGAAATCCTTCAAGTATCCCTTGTCGTTCCGAAATAACTGTATATTACATCGTGATCATCCGACGAAACCATGGACGAAGAAAGCGTGTGGCAAACCGAGCAATTCCCGCTGACTTTTTACAAGGGTAAGTAAGATCTCTCCATGTCTCTTTCTCTCGCTTGGAATTTGTTTGTCTAACGTACATCTAATGTATTGGAAATTGCTGTGTATTGGTGTAGAAGGTGAGACTAAGACATGCGTGTTTTGGGATATGAACGATTACCCGATCCCACGTGGTGCCGATCCTGCTTCGATTTATAAGAGTATCAAAGATGCTATTTCGAAGCAGGGCTGTGATGGGGATCTGTTCATTCAGGCTTATGTTGATGTTCACAAGAGTAGATTCCCGGAACGTGAATATTCGGATGCTGGATTCCAAGTGGAAGTCTTCCCCCGAGATGAAGGTCAGATTGAAACCCTAATTTTTTTTTTTTTTTTTTTTAACCCTAATTTTTTCTCTAATCAAATAATATCGATAAGTTTGATTTACTCATCTTACTTACACTTTGACACTTGGACACTTTTTGCAGGGGGTAACCATGCGAGATATTGTTCCATGTTTGCTGACATGAGGTTGTGGTCATTCGCTAATCTTACTACACCGTCTAATGTCATTCTACTCGCAAAAATAACGGATGACGACATGGCGTTTCGTTTAAGATTTATGTGTAAAAAAATTTATGGTTATTTCTGCTGCACAGATCGGAAGTTACCTGCTCGAAGCGATTCCTCGTTTTTGACTAGCTTGTTCGATCTATAGTACAACCACAAGACGACTCACTGAAGCATGTCTCAGATCGCAACATATCAACAGCGGGATATGCAGCCAAATTCGATCTTAGTTCCGAATCATGATACATCTAGGAAAAAATTCACAAACACTATATAACTCATCAAGTTTTTAGATTTAACTCCTCTTTACTCTGTAATTTTCTATGCCAAATCATGTCTGAGCAAGATATATATATATATTGATATATAGAAATGTGTACATTTTCAATGTTTTTGGATGCAAGTAATTCATCAAGATCACATTAATTAATAGGTTAAAAAAATATTAAAACATTATCTAATAATATTGAATACTAGCAGTGCCAGGCCCAGCCCAATAAGATCCTTTATATACGCAGATAGAGAGCGAGAGAAAGCACAATCATAAGTTCAAAAAAGTTTCTCTCATCCGCATTTTTGGGACAAAAGCTTTTGTGAACAAAGTACATATCCGCAGTTCTCCGACGAAAGCATGACCGAACAAAGAGTGTGGTATAAACAGCAATATCCGCTGACTTTTTACAAGGGTAAGTAAGATCTCTATAAGCCCAATTTAGATTCCTATCAGCCTCGCTCGAAATTGTTTGTCTATGATCTAATAATGTATTGGTAATGGTTGTAGAAGGTGAGACTAAGACATGTGTGTTTTGGGATTTGAACGATTACCCGATCCCAAGTGGTGTCGATCCTGCTTCGATCATAGAGGCTATTAAGAAGTAAGGTTGTCATGGGGAGGTTTTAATTCAGGCTTATGCTGACAGTGACATGGATACATTGTCGGATGGTAGATATTCACAAGTCCAAATTTTTCCTCAAGGTTAATTCATAATTTACACTCTTTTTCTCTTATATCGCGAATATTGATATATATATTCTCACTTTTCACTTTCGCAGGGGGTAAATATGCGAGAAATGCTGCCATGCTTGCTGACATGACGTTGTGGGCAATCAATAATCGCACTACACCAGCAAATGTGATTCTACTCGCAAACATTACGGACGAAATCTTGGCTCCACGTTTTAGGAGTCTGTGTATGAATATTTATGGTTACTTCTTCTCCAGAGAACGGAAGGTACCTGCTCGAAGCGATCCCTCGTTTTTGACTAGCATATTCGAAGAAACAAAGCCATGTAATGAGAGCTGAAACGTTTTAATTATTGTCTATCTTTAATATTTATGTGTTTTGTGAACATAAACAAGCGGACTTCCATTTCTTTCTCCGACCATATCATCATCATTTAGATATTTTAAATGACACAAGACTCAACAATCTTTCTTTGATTAACATCCTTCACCACCATTCCATTTCCATGACACCCCAAAATCAATGTGGAAACCGGTGGTGAATATGGACGTTGAGTGAACAAGGATGAACAAAGGAAATATAAGCAACAGACTTGAAATATTATAAAAGTATATATAAAAACAGATTTGTTATAATATTACACTCGGATCACAATTCACAAGTTAAGAAAAAAGCTAAAAGAGGGGAGGTATCTAGCAGAATCAGAATCCAGGCCTCGGTATCATGGTTATCAATCAGTTTCGGAGTAAAGAGGCTTAGTATCTTCAATGATGAGTTTCTCGGTGTGTGCTGCGACAACTACGAAACCGTAGTCTTCTAAAACATTAAGAAACTTACAGAATTTGGGGTCTTGTTCCATGTCCTTGATGTTTTCTGAGTATAAGAAAATTTGATGGATCATTCATTGCGAATAACAAGGCCAGAAAATCAGCTATTAACATGTGAAGTCTGGTCCTTTTATTCCCTGGAACAGTAAGCATTACATACATCAATACAAAAGATATTACAATTTACAGCGTAAGAAAAGAAAAAGAAAAGAGGTTTTTCCAAGTGACCTTTGTATTCGTAGGCTTCCATTCCGGCTTCCAAAAATGTGGTACGCACTTCAGGAGACCAAGTGTTCTCAGGAGCGTAAACCCAGACGGACAATTCCCCATAATAACTGCTTCGATTTGCTCGTTAATCGAACAAGGATGAAACTTTCCAGGGTTTGAGTAACTCGACATGTCCAATACAACATATGTTTTACGCACTGCACGAAACAACAAAACGGAAAACGAATCAAACAAAATACGAAAAACCAATATCAGATCAGATCTAGATCAAAGAACAATTTCGAGCAAGGGAATACATCTTACTGAGGACGGAACGGGTGGTGGCCTTGGGCAACAGGTTTGGTGCATAAGAAGCGTGTGTCTTAAGAAATCTCTTAGATTTCAATAGAGCGTTCCATTGCTTCGATGTTGATCTCCATCGTGCTACAGATTCAATCGGAACCCTAAAGAGTATCTGCTCTACCAATTCCTCCGGAAGGCTTATACACTCCATCGATGCTTGTGACTAAATCACTTTGCAAATCAAATGAATATTTTCCAATTGTAATGAGATATGGAGGAGGCAAAAAAGAAGGAGAGATCTTATGCCGAGAAAATACCTAATTCCCAATTATATATATCTACATCTCTTTAAGTTTAATCAAACCATTTATGTGTTCTGTTTACGTGTTATTCTTTTTTGGAAAAACAACACTACTTCCTAGTTTTCGTTTTTTTGTTTAAGAGTAGAGCAAACAAATCGGTTTACAGTTTCATTCGAATACTCTAGATAGATATTAGATGGTATCATAAAAGCATACAAGTTAAAAAAAAAAAAAGCTTGAAAAAAGGAAGATATCTTTGCATAATAAAAATACAGAGGCAGTTTCAAATCCTCTCGCTTGGCAAGTAAGCTTCCGATTTGGTGGGGACCAGCAAACTTCGCGGAACATCTGGGTTGATGAGTGCCTCAGGCTGTGCTGAGACCACACAGTAACCTCTGACTTCTAACATTTTACGAACCCTGGCGAATTTGGGGTCTTGTTCCATTTCCTCCTTGTTCGATGAGAGCATCAACAGATTTTTTGGAGCATCCATCTCTAATACAAAGGCGAGAAAGTAGGATAGAATCAAGCTAAGTCTGGCTCGTTTAACCCCTGAAATAGTAATACATCAATAGATTATATAATCCCTCCAAAAAAATAACAAAAAAAAGAAAGAGAGAAATATGGTCTTTTATTGACCTTTTAAAGGATAGACAAAAAAATCGAGTGCTTCCAACTGGACAATCAATTCAGGCGACCAGGTATTCTCAGCACCGTAAAGCCAGATATGCAATTGCCCAAGATAACCTTCGTTTTCAATAGCCGATCTGATTTGAATCCCAATCGAAAGAGGATCGAAATTTTCAGGGATTGAGTAATCCGACATGTCCCATAAGACATATGTTTCACGCACTGCACAAACACAAAACCGGAAAACGAAGCAAACAATCAGGATGAAATCTAATCCAGATCATAGACAAAATATACTAGGTACGACAGATTGCTTAGATCCAGGTCATATATCATGAACAGTTTCGAGCAAGGGATACATCTTACTGGGCTCGCGACGGGTGGTGATCACGGGGAACAATCTGGACATGGTTTCGTCGGAGTTCTCAAGAACAACTCTCTCAAGTGACGGAAGTGGAGGGCCTGTACAAAACGGAAAACGGAAAACGCAAATTAGAAAATAACCAAAGGGGCAGAGATACACATTATTATATCATGATTCATGAACAAAGGGATACATCTTACTTACAGGGGAAGGAAGGTGGGGGTAAGGAGGATCGGGGGATGGAAGACGGGGCAGGCCTGCGGACGGTGTACGTTATTTCGTCGGACCTACATCCACGCCCTGCACACACACAAAACAATTACTACAAATCAACAACAGATGCAGAGATCACACATATCATATACAATTTCGAGCAAAGGGATGCATATTACCGCGACGGTGTGGTTTACGGGTCCTGACACAGGGAGGCATGGTTTCGACGGAGATATCAAGAGGAGACCCCTGCGAATGAAGAGTTTATTTGTTCAAACCCCCGATTCGATTTTATGAGAGAGACTTAAGGGTTATACATGAAGCTCTCTCTTGGCGGACTGTTTTCCTATTTTGAAACTGAGCAAGAAAGACAATTTAGTATTTTTGCACTAATAAGTATATATATCGTATTTTTGAAACTGAAAAAAAAAAAAAAAGAGATGTCTTTAAAGTTTATACACGCCAATTTTGGGTTCTGTTCTGACTTCTGACTTCTGACTTCTGACTCTAGTCTCTATGCAAGAGTAGAGCATAAACTCGTGTGTTTGCCTTTGATCAGCTCATAGGTACATGTACATACAAGTAGAGCATCTCTTTTAAGTTTAATCAAACCATTTCTGTGTTCTGTTTATGTATTATTACGCTTTTATGGAAAACAACGGAACTAGTTGTATCTTCCTAGTTTTTGTTTAAGAGCAAGGAGCAAACAAATCGGTTTACAGTTTCATTCGAACTGTCTAATTAAATATTAGACTCCAATCATAAAAGCAAACAAGTTGAAAAAGGGAATATCTTTGCATAATCAAAATACAGAGACAGTTTCAAATCCTCAGCTTTGGGCGTAAGGACAGATACTCGGATCACATGCGGAATGATCAGGCTGAGCATCTTGGTTGATGAGTGTCTCAGGCTGTGCTGAGACAACACAGAAACCTCTGTCTTCTAACATTTTACGACATTTGGAGAACTTGGGTTCTTGTTCCATTTCCTCCTTGTTTGATGAGAGCATCAGCACATTTGTTGGAGCATCCATCATATATACAAAGGTGAGAAAGGTCATTATAATCATGTCAAGTCTCGCTCGTTTAACCCCTTTAAAAGGAAAGACTTTGAATCGGACTTGTTCCAATTGGTCAATCAATTCAGGCGACCAGGTATTCTCAGCACCGTAAAGCCAGATTTGCAATTCCCCACGATAACCTTCCTTTGTAATAGCCGAATGGATCTGAATCCCAATCGAAAGAGGATCGAAATTTTCAGGGATTGAGTAATCCGACATGTCCCATAAGACATATGTTTTACGGACTGACACAAACACAAACACACAAAAAAAAAGAATCAAACAATCAGAATGAAATATAATCCAGATCATAGACAAAATATACTATGTATGTACGACATCTTACTGCGTTGGCGGCCACGGGGAACGGGGAACAATCTGGACACGGTTTCGTCGGTGTTCTCAAGCACAACTCTCGGAAGTGGGGGCCCTGCACAAAACGGAAAACGGAAAACGCAAATTACAAATAAACAAAGAGCAGAGATACACATTATATCATGATTCATGAACAAAGGGATACATATTACTTACAAGGGAAGGGAGGTGGGGGTAAGGAGGAGCGGGGGATGGAAGGCAGGGCAGGCATGCGGACGGGAGGCGGAGCAGGCATGGGGACGGGACTGGGGCCGGACTTACATTCACGCGCTGCACATAAAACAATTACTACAAATCAACAACAGATCCAGATATCACACATATCATATACAATTTCGAGCAAAGGGATGCATATTACCGCTATGGCGTCGGATAGGGCGTCGGATAAGGGAAGACATGGTTTCGTCGGAGATATCAAGAGCCCCTGCGAATGAAGAGTTATCAAGAGGCATGGTTTCACGTACTGCACACACACACACACAAAATCAAATTTATGTGAAAACGAATCAAACAATTTCGAAAAATCAAATTTATATAGAGCGAGCGAGAGAGAGAGCCGCCGAGAATGATCTAATTCCCAATCGTTTTTCCTTTTTTTTTTGTCGGCCAAATGTTCATCAAAAAGCCCAATAAACATGGTCGGTCACATGTGATTTCCGGTTTACGAGTTTTATTCCATCATTAGCTAGGATTGGTTTGTATCTTTGCAGTTTCTTATGCATCAACTGAGAAAACAAAGACAGAAAACGAAACAGGCAAACATTGTTTTAACATATTCTGTTACAAAAAAAAGGGCCCGAAATACACTAATCCTCTCCTAAATATACCTCAGCCCTTTGATATATTGCTGCCTAGATATCACATACTGAGCCGCAGAGTACACAATCCCTAAAACTCCCAGAAGCCGAACCTGAAACACGTCGGTTATCACCACCGCTGCAAAGCTAAGTGGCACCGTCAGCATCGGCGACGCGTCTGTGTGTTTACTTGTGTAACTCCACACGTACCTGTTGAATATTATGTGACCAGGTGCTGTGAGTATCAGGAGAGCGATGTTCTTCACTGCAAAGAACCATTCGCGCCCTCCAATCTCTACTCCCCAACCTGTGTTTCCACCGAACCAAACTTCTTCCCATACAGTGTATAAAGAGGACAACGCCAAGTACGTTGATATGGCTAGTGTAACCGGGAAGTATCTCTGCTTATCGCCGAACCCGGATAAGAGATCAGAGTCTTGGTTCAGGAGAAGCAAAATTGGAGCCAGGAAGAATATCGCTTGGCTTGAACCGCCTGAGATGTGGATGTTGAGGATTAAGCATATCGCAAAGCACATGATGGTGGCTACGTTACCAACCGCAGGCATCCAGGCCGCTCCATCTTCTGACATTTTCTCTACTGCAAAGGTTTGGATCGAGGTGGCTCGGCGTTGCTGCATCAACCTCATTCGCGACGGGAACATCCCCCGAGCGCCGCCTTGGGTGGTTTTTGACTGACCACTCCTCTCAGAGAATTTCTCACGCAAAAGCGAAGTGAGCTCAAACTTAATCAGGAGCGCTACAAGCATAAATATCGCTGCATAGAGGCCTAGGAGAGATGTTCTTGCACCTTCAATGGCCAACATGGTCGTGACTTTCTTATCCTCCTCCCTTGCATCCCAACCCCACGCAACATTATCGCTGAAAACGTTTTTTATTCTGACCTGCCCTTCTAACAAATATGTCACTGGAAATAGAGCCACGAGAAGAGCAAACACCCAGGGTAGCAGCTTTGTACTTGAGGCAGATGGGAAATGGGTGAAGATGACAAACACTGAGGCACACACCATTGTTACAACGATCAGGGCGTGTAGAACAGCAGCTTGTAGAAAGAACTCTGCAGATATGTAAAAACCGAGAGCTAAACCCATGGCGACGGAGTAGAATGCTCTCAATTCTACCACGTATTTGATTGGGATAAGAGATGTGGCAGCCGCAAGAATCAAAAGGAGTGCCACAATAAGCAACCAAGACGGCCAAGTCGGTTTGGATGCCATGAATCCGTAGATGGAGATGTCATCAGCTGACTGACGAGCAGCCTTGATCATTTCTGAATGGTAACTCCACGTCATAGGCATCGGTGGCTGCATCAGAATAAACATGCATCCAGTTGCCACTACCAATACCAAACTTCTCTTAGCTGACTGCAAAAAACAAGAAAATTCTCCTCATCAGGAAAAAGCAGGACTAAACCATCTCTTTTCAGTATTTAAACTCTTAAAATCAAGACCTGAGTTCCAGCACGACTACAAGTCTACAACTAGATAGAGTCTTCCTACACTATGGAGTTTAATGGAAGTTATAACACAACGTTAAAGAACAACCTTTAAGTGGATGTAACCTCTGATATTAATCAACAGACTCATAACATGTTAAATGACCTCATAGGAACCAAGAACTAAAGGCTTGCTAAAGTCGACCTAAGAATGTTTTCGGAAAAAAAAGTATAACAGACATACCAGGACATGTGAAAAGTGGAGGGCAACAATTGGTATACAGGCCAGACCAATTAACACGATGGAGAAACCAAGAAGCAAGCCATCAGACGGAGGTCTTCCATTCCACCACTGTAGAGCATCAAATATTGTTTCCCGGCAAAACCAAACAGAGACAGCAACCACTACGGCATGAGCATAACCTTGCCATGATTTCATTTTAGAGGCAGATTTCGACTTCTCCCTGCACATTCCACCAACAGGGTAAAATAGAATCAGTGTTTAAAATTCAAGATGAGATGATACTTGTAAAAGTTAAAATGCCATAGTACATACTTGTATAGCAGTAAGGGAGGGGAAACAGCCAGCAATAGAGCTGCAGACACCCATACGATTGATTTTGATGACAGGAAGAGCATAGCCAACTTTGCTGAATACAGACAGGTCAAGATCCATACTGCCTTCTGTCCAATCCGATGATCAGCAAATAGTCTTCTCACCACAGCCAATCCAACAAGCGTCGTCAAGATAACCATGTAGCTAGGGTACATCACATCGTCTTCCATTCCGTAATAGTATATGCTTGAGTAATTGAAAAAGCGGTCCTCAATGTAACACAGCAATAACGCGTGGGCCACCATACCAGCTTCAGTCAGGAAGTGAAATTTTGATGGGAGAAGAACAAGACCAGGGATGACCATGGCTATGATAATGTTAGCCACTATAAGCTTGCAGAATGATTTGAGGAACATGCCGGCTAACCATATGTTCAAATCCCAGTAATTATGCATTACGAACCATACTACCATCAAGCTTCCAAGAGCAACAAATGCAAAGTAAGAGGACACACTTTTCTTTGTGAAAAACCGAGCAAAGTAAAGCCCAGCTACTGCAGGGAGCGGAGTAAACTGCAAGATAAACAGAGAATGTGAAATTCAATTTAGTTGCAATCAAATTCTCATTACAGGAAAGCTCAGGGAACTAAAAATCATTGAAAGTGAAATACTTACCAGAAGCGGAAACCCTACAACGATAGCTCCTGCAGAGCTCACAATCACAGCCAAAGCTGTGAAAAAGGCTGAGCTAAGAGCACTCGAGATCATTCCAAGAACAGAAGCACCAGCGCCAGCAGCACCTCCGAGCATTGTTACGGTCACCAGAAGGTAATTCAACGGAGGGGGCACTTGAATATACTTCCCAAAGGAGCGGAAAACAACTCTAATCTCCAAACAGATCACAATAATGACCATGGCAATGGCTCCATTCACAATCCGAATGCTCTGCAGCTGATGGGAATTCTTGGTAACCCACCATAGACCACCTCTCGTTGAGGCGTAAAGCTGGAACAGGAAAGGGATAAAGAACAGAAGCAGCAAATCGCAAACTGACGCAGCTGATGAGAACACCACGGAGTAATGTGAAGCCACGTGAAAGAGAAGCGGCATAAACATTAGATTCAGTGAAAGGAAACAGCTCTCGAGAGGTCCAAGGATAAAGTTATCATCAGGGACCTCTCCTCCATGGTACTTAGCTTCCTGCTTGGTCTTGAATGAAGAAACCCTTGGAATACCGAAAACCCAGTAGAAGACGCAGGCGAAGACGAGGAAATAGTATGAAGAGTTGTTCATCCCGACGGCGGAAATGGTAGCCCAGGCGAACAAAGAGGAGGCAGTGAAGGGGACGCAGGCGAACAAGAGGCGCTCGAGAGCGACAACAATGGAAGGATTTTCCAGCTGAAGCCACTTGAACCGGAGGGAAGTCCAGCATCCGATGAGGAAAGTGGTCTCGGAGCAGAGAAAAGCAGCGAGCAGGCCGAGAGGGACGGAATTGAAGGAGGAAATGAGAGAAGAAGAGAAGAAGAAGGAGATCTGAGCTGCGATCAGCGACATCCATATTCCCAAGAAGGCTCCGAATTTGACGTTGAGGGAATCGACGATGTATGATATGAGGAGGCCGATGGTGAGAGTAGCGACAACCGGACCGCCGCCGAGGTCGAGGAGGAAGGCAGCACAGGGGACAAGAGCAATGGCGATCCTTCCGCTGTAAGCGAAGGAAGAAGGAGAGAATCGAGAGTTGCTGGATCTCGAGGTAGCAGGAGTTCGATCGATGAAGTTTCTGGAGGAGCAGGGCTCATGTGAGGGGAGTAAGAGGGAGAAGACAAAGTTGGTTCACTGGAGGAAGAGGATATATGCGGCCGGAACAGCCGCGGCTGCAGCTCCGGTGGCATCATCGTCGCCGGAATTTTGCTTCGAATAGAGATTGATGGCGAATATCTCCGTGCAGTGATGATGGAAGGATCTGTGTGTTGATTTCGCGGAAACGGTGACGTGTCCGGAAGAGCAACAGCCCTTGGATCTCACTAGTGGGGCCCTCCAATCCTCTTAGCTAACGTAGGTCCGCACTCAGAAAATACTGGCTCTATCTAAGCAAAAACACTGTCGTTTCGTCAGTCATGTGAGTGAGGATTGAGTTTATTATTTATCCACCGATTGACAAGTGAGAAAACACGACGACTACTTCGTCGACCATGTCTATTATTTATCCACCGTGTTAAGCGTCTAAACGATGATTTAACAAGAACAAAAAAAAAACTAATTTTATTCGATTTAAAAAGACTTCTATTCGATTACATTTTTTTTTGTATGAATTCGATAACATATTTGTTACGGGGTTTTATTTTTTCTTTAATTATTATTTTCCCCTCTGCCTCAAGTCTCACACATTATGATGTAACGGTGGTTTTATCTGCTGGAATGCAGCTCATGTATCTCCCACGACGGAGTTTTCCGGCTAACAAACTTGGAAACAACCGTAGCCTCCAATATCTTCGAGGCTTCTTCACTCGTCACCGACCTTGGCGTCTTGTACTGACTCACGGAAGAGCCTCGAGCCACGAAGAAATCCATGAGCTTGTCGAAAGCGCCACGCCTAACAACCTTAATCTCAAGCGGTCCAATGCTCTTATCATTCTTTCGTCCTTTTCTGTACACAGCGTCGAGAGACTCCTCAACGGTGAAGCAGCATTCTTCCAAGACGTTGGGGTCAGGCTCGAGCTTTGCATCCTTGACTTTGCTGCCGAGTTCCCAATAGAGCACGTAGTGTCCTGGAAACGAGGAGGAATCCACACGGCTAGTGAAATCATGAGCATTAGGTCATGTGGCTCGAGCAGGAGCTTTCGCGTTTGTCACTGCCTTGAGGAGGTCTTCTTCATAGGTCTTGTCTGTGTCGATGCTCAGAATCACGTTCTGTCTTCCCACGAATCGAAATTGTGGCGCATTGTTGTAGAAACCAGTCACTCTTAAAACGTCCCCCACGGTACCTATACAAACCTGTTAAAATCATATATACAAACATCTTATGAGAAACATCATATACAGATCTTTGACACACTCAAAGAAAACAGTTAAAAGTTTTGTCTTTAATCATTTTCACTACCAAAGACTTTGCGGTAAATTTTAACTTGACATTTTTTTTCATGAAAAGACTTGCCTGAAAAAGTTGTAACAACAGGTTCATAATAATTGCCAATTTTAACATCGACAAGTTCGACGACCGCAGGCTTCTTTGTGGGATCTTCTTGATTTTCTTTGTCAACCTCTAAGAACTCGAAGTACCCCATACTTGGAAGGAAAGTGTACGACACATCACAAGGCTTGCACAAAGGATTGACATTGAAACTAAAGAAACATTCAGAGCTGAGGTAAGCCATTGAAATCAAAGGAAGGCCTCCGCCATAGAATTCCAGCATCAGAACGTACTGTGCCATGGAGCCGGTCACAATGGTTTCGATGCATTTTGCATTTGGCCATAGTCTCCTCACTATAGCCTCCCATGATGTTTTCTTGCATTCTTGCTCGATCAGGCTCGCTAGTTCTGGATTTGGAGCGGTGAGGAACTTACCCATCCCTGAAACACAATGGGGGTCTGTGATCCAGTCGCTGAGCCGGCCAGTCCTTATGTTGGAGCATAACTCATCCCAGTGATCTTCCAAGAAGTTGATTACTTTGAGGAAGGAAGAAGCAAAAGGTGCACCAAGGCGAGCCACATCGTCTCGTTGTAGAAGCCCACAAAGCAACTGGCAATACATGCTCTGAGTAGTGTCTGCACAAGTCGAAATCGCATGCGGGCTTGTGTTCATTCGATCCCTGTAAATCATATAAAACATACAGTACAGAAACTGTATAGCAACACCAAGGAGCATGTTCACACTAGAAGAAAGAGTGCACATATAACGTAATGTGGAAGCAAAGGTTTTTATTGATTTACCAAAGAAGTGAGTTGGTTGGATTCATGCTTTTCATCAAAAGACAAGTGATCATAGTCCTGACCATCAAGCCTGATGCAGTCTTGCCTTCTCGGTTCACGAAATGAAACTTGAGAGATTTCCCTTCGCTAAGCCCTTCTATGTGCCTACAAACAGAAACAGGTTCTGGTTTTACTTTCTCTTTTCGGTATCAACAAAACAAGACTCAGCTTCGGAGTTTGGAACTCTTACGTATCGAGCAGAGGAGCAAGGAGAGATGAAAACAGAGTCCTCTGTTCCATTTCCTCTGCTGTCAAAGGAATCAACTTTGGCACTCCTCCTGACGTACCCGTGCTGCAACAACAACAAAACAATCGCTTCCTCAACTATGTACATATTCTACACTTTCATTTACCATACACTTACTCAAGATTAACAAACGCCTGAATCTCTAGATTAATAAACGCATGTACAAATTCTTTCGAATCTTACAGTTGACTTTAGAACACCAAAAGCTTTAAAATAGCTGTAGTTATCGAGACTCAAAGGTACCTGCACACGAGAACAATGATGGGTCGATCACAGATGAGATCAGAGGGCTCTCCATTAGCGATACGATCGATATAAGAGCGATAATATTCGTAGGTCACAACTGGTACGTTCTTCTTGAAGCTCTGCTTATCGACTTGACCGTTGAGGAAACCTTTAAGATACTCTGTTTGAGCATTACGTGAAAGTATTGCTTCCAACACAGAATCTTGAATCTGCTTTGCGTTACTGGTCACATCCTCAAGAAGTGACATGCAAGCTTTTGGGTCTGTTGGATCGAACTTTGGCAACATGTTTCCTTTGACAAGCAAAAGTTTTGTTCTAGCGAAGTCAATGATCTCTCTGTGAGATCCAATGTGAAAAGCAACTTGCTGATTTCCTTTCACCCAATAATATTTCACTACGTGTCAAAATTGGCGTGGCAGAGCCAGTCGCCCAGTCCCATGTGATCGACGTGGCAGAGTCCAACCGGGCCCATCGACGTTCGAATCTAAATTGCCTCGTATATTAATTTCAAAGTTGTACTAGTTGATCTTGTTTTTACTTCCAAAACAAATGTCGTTTTAAAACTTATTGCAAAGTTATTGTGTTGAATTTATTCGATTAACATGACTAGAAATCTTTGGACGTATATTCGATTACATATACAGTATGTTGGCTTTATTTTGTCTTTAATTATTATTTTCCCCTTTGCCTCAAGTCTCACACATTATGATGGTTTTATCTGCTGGAGTGCACCTCATGTAGCTCCCACGACGGAGTTTTCCGGCTAACAAACTTGGAAACGACCGTAGCCTCCAATATCTTCAAGGCTTCTTCACTCGTCACCGACCTCGGCGTCTTGTACTGACTCACGGAAGAGCCACGAGACAAGAAGAAATCCATGAGCTCGTCGAAAGCGCCACGCCTAACAACCTTGATCTCAAGCGGTCCAATGCTCTTATCATTCTTTCGTCCTTTTCTGTAAACAGAGTCGAGAGACTCCTCAACGGTGAAGCAGCATTCTTCCAAGACGTCGCGGTCAAGCTCCATCTTTGCGTCCTTGACTTTGCTGCCGAGTTCCCAATAGAGCACGTAGTGTCCTGGAAACGAGGAGGAATCCACACGGCTAGTGAAATCCATGAGCATTAGGCCATGTGGCTCGAGTAAGAGCTTCGCGTTTGTCACTGCCTTGAGCAGATCTTCTTCGTAGGTCTTGTCCATGTCGATGCTCAGAATCACTTTCTGTCTTCCCACGAATTGAAATTGTGGCGCACTGTTGTAGAAACCAGTCACTCTTAAAACGTCTCCCAAACGGTACCTATACAAACCTGTTAAAATAATATAAGCAAACATCTTGTGAGAAACAACATATACATATTCTTGACACACTCAAAAGAAAACAATTAAAATGTCTATTTTGTCTGGATTCATTTTCGCTAACTAAGTCTTTGCAATAAATTTAAATTGACATTTAACGTTTCAAGTAAAGACTTACCAGAAAACGTTGTGACAACAGGTTCATAATCATTGCCAACTTGAACATCCACAAGATCGACGACCACAGGCTTCTTTGTGGGATCATGACCAGCTTCTTGATGGTCTTTGTCCACCTCTAAGAACTCGATGTACCCCATACTTGGAACGACAGTGTACGAAACATCACAAGGCTTGGACAAAGGATTGACATTGAAACCAAAGAAACATTCAGAACCGCCGTAAAACATTGAAATCAAAGGAAGACCTCCGCCGTAGAATTCGAGCATTGGAATGTACTGTGCCATGGAGCCAGTCACGATGGCTTCGATGCATTTAGCATTTGGCCATAACCTCCTGACTATTGCCTCCCATGATGATTTACTGCATTCTTGCTCGATCAGGCTCGCTAGTTCTGGATTTGGAGCGGTGAGGAACTTACCCATCCCTGAAACACATTGAGCGTCCGTGATCCAGTCGCTGAGCCGGCCAGTCCTTATATTTGAGCATAACTCATCCCAGTGATCTTCCAAGAACTTGATTACTTTGAGGAAGGAAGAAGCAAAAGGCGCACCAAGGCAAGTTACACTTTCTCGCTGTACAAGCCCACAGAGCAATTGGCAGTACATGCTCTGAGTAGTGTCTGAACAAGTCGAAATCGAATACGGGCTTATCTGTATTTTGTCCCTGTTAATCATATAAAACCACATGAAGATATAAAGTAATGTACTAATGAGAGCAAATATTTTATAGATTTACCAAATAAGGGAGTTGGTTGGATTAAGGCTTTTCAGAAAACAAGTGATCATAGTCCTGACCATCAAGCCTGATGCAGTCTCGCCTTCTCGGCTCACGAAATAAAACTTGAGAGTTTTCCCTTCGCTAAGCCCTTCTATGTGCCTGCAAACAGTAACAAGAATGGGTTTGTTTCTTTCACTTTCTCTTTTCCGTTTCAATAAACAAGACTCAGCTTGGATTTTGGAACTCTTACTTGTAGAGTAGTGGTGCATAGAGAGATGCAAACAATATCCTCTGTTCCAACTCCTCTGCTGTCAAAGGAATCAACTTTGGCACTCCTCCTGACGTACCTGAGCTGTAAAAACAATTAAAACAGTTCGCTTCCTCAACTCTTTACATATTCTACACTTTAATTTATTTAATTGATTGAAGATTAACAAACGCATGTCCAAATCTTGCATATAACTTTACAGCACCAAAAGCTTTGAAATGGTTGTAGTTATCACAGATACACATAGCAGGGAAAAAGCTGTAGAGATTTCGAGATCTGAAAGGTACCTGGACAGGAGAGCAATGATGGGTCGATCACAGATGAGATCAGAGGACTCGCCAATAGCGATACGATCGATATAAGAGCGATAATCTTCGTAGGTCACAACTGGTACGTTCTTCTTGAAGCTCTGCTTATCGACTTGACCGTCGAGGAAACCTTTAAGATACTCTGTTTGAGCATTACGTGAAAGTATTGCTTCCAACACAGAGTCTTGAATCTGCTTTGCGTTACTGGTCACATCCTCAAGAACTGACAAGCAAGCTTTTGGCTCTGTTGGATCGAACTTTGGCAACATGCTTCCTTTGACAAGCAAAACCTTTGTTCTGGCGAAGTGAATGATCTTTCGATGAAAATGGAAGAATAGTAGACAAAAAGACTTTGAAAGAGAAAATGGAGAAAGTAGACAAAAAGACGTGGCTGGTGGCGACATGTGCCGAAAACATCTGGATGCTTCTCTCGATTGACAACAGATATTGTTATTTTATTCTCTCAATTTTTTCGAAAACTGGATTTTCACGAAGAATAGTAAACGAAATTTCTTTTGAAGGATGAGAAGAAAAATCAAACATATTTAATAAACCAATGATGAGCTGGAAGAAGACCCTTCGCCGGAAAGTGAAATATGTCGCTTCTGCTGAATCCACTCCAAAACAAGCAATCAACGGCACCATTCTTCCTACTCTAGAGAAACTTAACTCAAAGTCATATCTAACTGCCCCGTCAAGGAAGAGCAAGAGCGATTAGGGAAATCGATTAAAAATCTTTCCAGATTGGAGAATTAAAAGGAGAGAGAGCACTAGAAAGACACTGTAACATCCGATTATAATCGGAGCATAAAGGGAAAAAAAACTCGGAAGAGAAATCGGATAAGAAGGATGATCAATTAGCTTGGGTTGATTGGAGAGAGCAGAATGCAAGAAAGATTTCGAAGTAGGCGTCCGAAAATCGAAGAATATCATCACCGATGACTTGTAGAAGCTCGCCGGGTTTTCGATTCGCTGGAGGCTTGCGGTGGCGCACAAGTCGGAATCGCTGTATTCCGTGTAAAAGTGAGATCCAGTGTGAAAAACAGTTGCTGTTTTCCTTTTAACCAGTAATATTTAACCACGTGTCAAAATTGGCATGGGAACGACGTGGCCACGTGACGTGGACGGGACATCGACCTTGCTTTTTTTTTTTGGTGAATGGACATCGACCTTGCTTGTTGATCTTGTTTTTACTTCCAAAACAAGATATTATTATTCGAATACATATTATTTCCAAAACAAGATATTATTCGATTACACAAGGTAAGATGAAGTAGTGAAAATGTTTTTGGGTCCATAGATTCCCCTCTGCCTCGAGTCTCACATACTTAAGTAATAAGGCGGTTTTGATTATATGGTGGAATGCAGCTCCTTTAGCTCCCACGACGGAATTTTCTGGCTAAAAAAGTTGGAAACAACCGCCGCATCCAATATCTTCAAAGCTTCTTCATTAGTCACCGACCTTGGCGTCTTGTACTGACTCACGGAAGAGCCTCGATCCACGAAGAAATTCATGAGCTCGTCGAAAGCGCCAGGCCTAACAACCTTAATCTCAAGCGGTCCAACGCTCTTGTCGTTTTTCCTAAATCTTCTGTACACAGAGTCGAGAGACTCCTCAACGGCGAAGCAGCATTCTTCCATAACATCGGGGTCGGGCTCGAGCTTTGCGTCCTTGACTTTTCTCCCGAGTTCCCAATAGAGCACGTAGTGTCCTGGAACCGAGGAGTAATCCGGACGGCTAGTGAAATCTACGAGCATTAGGTTATGTGGCTCGAGTAAGAGCTTTCCGTTTGCCACTGCCTTGAGGAGGTCTTCTTCGTAGGTCTTGTCCGCGTCGATGCTCAGAATCACTTTCTGTCTTCCCACGAATCGAAATTGTGGCGACTTGTTGTAGAAACCAGTCACTCGTAAAACATCCCCCAAACGGTACCTATACAAACCTATAAATATCATATAGCATCGTTACACCTTGTGAGAAACAACATTTTTTTTGGAAAACAATTATTTTGTCTTTAATCGTTTTCACTAACAAAGACTTTGCACTCTATCTTAAATCGGCATTTATTTTTTCAAGTAAAGACTTACCACAAAACGTTGTGACAACAAGTTCATAATCATTGCCAATTTTAACATCCACAAGATCAACCACCGCAGGCTTCTTTGTAGGATCATTACCAGCTTCTTGATGGTCTTTCTCGACCTCTAAGAACTCGAAGTATGCCATGCTTGGATTGACAGTGTAAGACACATCACAAGGCTTGGACAGAGGATTGGCGTTGAAACTCAATGTAGCATTCAGAGCTGCCGTAAAACATTGAAAGTAGGGGAACACCACCGGCGTAGAATTCCAGCGCTGGAACGTACTGTGCCATGGAGCCGGTCACAATGGTGTCGATGCATTTCGCATTTGGCCAGAGTCTCTTCACTATTCCCTCCCATGATGTTTTCTTGCATTCTTGCTCGATCAGGCTCGCTAGTTCTGGATTTGGAGCGGTGAGGAGCTTACTGATCACTGAAACACATTGAGCGTCCGTGATCCAGTCGCTGAGCTGGCCAGTCTTTATGTTGGAGCATAACTCATTCCAATGATTTTCCAAGTACTTGATTACTCTGAGGACAGAAGAAGCAAAAGGTGCAGCAAGGCGAGCTACGTCTTCTCGTTGTAGAAGCCCACAAAGCAAATGGCAGTACATGCCCTGAGTATTGTCCTCACAAGTCGAAATCGCAAGCGGGCTTATCTGCATTCGATCCCTGTAAATCATATAAAACACACAGTAAAGAAACAGTAGAGCAACACCAAGGAGCTTGTGGGAGCAGAGGTTTTAATGATTTACCAATGAGACTGATTTACGGTTCTCAAAACGCAAGTTACCATAGTCCTGACCATCAAGCTTGATGCCGTCTCGGTTTCTCGAGCCGCGAAGTAAAACATGAGAGTTTTCCCTTCACGAAGCCCTTCTATGTGCCTGCAGACAGTAACAACTAGAGGTTTTTATTTTTGTGTTTCAGGTATTGTCAAAACAAGATACATCTTACGAGTTTGGAACACTTACTTGTAGGGTAGAGGTGCATAGAGATATGAAAACAACAGCCTCTGTTCAAATTCCTCTGCTGTCAATGGAATCAACTTTGGAACTCCTGATGAAGTACCCGAGCTGCAAAAACAGTCGCTTCCTTAACTCTCTATCATATTTCGATACTACAGTTTAACATACACTTATTGATGAATCTTCCATTTATACAACACCTAAAGCTTTAAAATGGTTTTAGTTATCATTTCAAGCTGTAGAGATTTCAAGACTTAAAGATACCTGGCCAAGAGAACCATGAAGGGTCGATCACAGATTAGATCATAGGGCTCGCCATTAGCGATACGATCTATATAAGGGCGATAATCTTCGTAGGTCACAACTGGTACGTTCTTCTTGAAACTTTGCTTATCGAGTTGACCGTTGAGCAAACCTTTAAGATACTCGGTTTGAGCATTACGTGAGAGTATTGCTTCCAAAACGGAATCTTGGACCTGCATTGCGTTAGTGGTCACATCCTCAAGAAGTGACAAGCAAGCTTTTGGGTTTGTTGGATCGAGCTTTGGCAACATGCTTGCTGCTTTTTTTAGTAGAGACTTGGAGAAAGTAGACAAATGATGTGTGGTATGGCCAAAATGTGCCGACATTTTATACATGAGTTTACGACAGCTAGCTGATTCTTTTTTACTTTTTCCATTTTCGGAAAAGGTTTTTCTTGTTTTTTAGTTTTCTGTCGGCAATTGCATTTAGCAAAGGATATACGATTTTTTTCTTTTTTTGAAGGATGCGAAGAAAAGTCTAAATAACTTATGGTGATGAGCACTACGCGTAGATAATAAGCTTTTATGGAGAAAACCACACTGAAAAGGACTTTTGTCCTCCACCTCGAGCGATCTTTTTGTCCCATTCTCTAAATTTTTGAGCGATATACACTCATCTTTATTGCAAAACACAAACTTAAACATTGTGGGGTATGACCGCGTCAGAAGTTATGTGGTGCAGAAGGAGTTTTAGATTTTGCACGATGTTCGCATGTTGCAAATTGATATCCCATTTATAGCATCTTTTAATAATGTGAGTTTCTGTTGCGGACAACAACAAAAAAAAAAGTGAGCTTTTGTTAGATCATAAGCGTTATAAAATAATAATAATCGTGTAGAAGCTTAAACATTAGATTATTTGCATTCAACTTGGCAAATCAGGAAGTAAACTCGAAAATCTCTCCAAAAACTCCACCTTTCTCCTCTGCAGCCTTTGAGCTCGAAAATTCTCCAAAGAGAAGACGGTTGCACTCTTTAAACTTGATTTTAGGGATTTCTCCACTAAACCGGCCCAAACCAAATCACTTAAATTGAACTGACGAAATTCCCAATTTTTGGTTTATGGATGTTACAAACAACATGTGGATTAAATCGAAAAGAAGGAACAAAAAACCATATTACAAATAATAAAAAGAAAGTATAATAAGATAAGTGTTATTTCATCGAAAAGAAAACATGATAATGTTAGATATTTAGTATAATTAAGGATATAAATTATCCATTTCTATCACAGTTTGCAACAACATTGCATACTTTGGCCAGGACCTACACACGAGCCAACTTTATACTTTCCACCCTTTACACAAAGGTCTCGACAATGATCAACAACGAATATAGTATTACATGGTTCTATGCAAAAAATATATCAAAACCTGTTGTTCACTGCACAAATACAACCAAGTTCATTAACATAATTTTATTGTAATAAATACAACCATGTCGAATTAAAAAAAAAAAAACATATAAGCATACCTATACACATAATGACATAAACTACTAAAATGATTAAAATAGATGAAGAATAACAACATACCCGATGAGCTCAAAACGGTGGAGCTGGATACATGTTGCGAGTACCACTACAAGAAAAAAAATCACAAAAGCTTTTGTCATCTTCATTATTCTTTTTTCTTACAGTTAACTTTATAATGAAAAAAAAGTCTATAATTGTTGGACCCAGATTCCACACCTGGAATCTAGCCCGTAAGGGCCCATTACCTTGATCCAAGATTGAAGTCCAGGCCCACTCAAGCCCAGCAAGAAGACCTCGAGCCCACCAAGCGACTCCCTCGTAAGCCAGTTAACTGCCATCCGAGCTATTCCGGTCGACGTAAAGACGAGCTCCAGCTCGATCAAGGACCAGGTCGGCACTGCGAAGAAAGACGAAGTCAAAGAAGATCTCCTTCAAATCCGGTCTGGTCCGAGATCACCGGGATCGTTAGCTGCACGTGGCGAGATACGCGGAGGTGGATCGTAGCTGATTCTGGAGCTATAAAAGGAGCTTGAAGCAGTCGGATCAGAGACATCTTCTTCCGATCATTTAGACCTAATTACTATCATACTTTCCTTGTATTTTCCTTTGAGCTTAGTTCTTTCTCTCTTCTGAGAATTCATTGTAACCATTTTCATTCGTTTAATACAATTCCGTTTAGCCAAATCCTTGCTTACGATTCATTCGACTTACATCAAAATCTAGCCCTAAATCTCCCTAAGTTTCTTCCTTGCAAAACCTATAAATTTCGAGTGTGGTTTTCATAGCCCACATTTTGGCGCCGACTGTGGGGAGGAAACATAGATTTTCTTACACAAGGGTCGAACCTAAGCCAGGTAAGAGCGAAAATGGATACTATCCGGTCGCAAACCCAGGGATCTAACTCCCAAAACTCGATCCCATCGGATCAGATCACCTCGAACATCAGTAGCAGCCAAACTGCTGATGCATCGAGAGATCAGATCGCGTCGAATGTTGGCAGCTTAGCACTCCACCTCGCGTGGAACCAGTGGTGATCAATCTCACCACGCCGGTAGCAACCCCGAGCCCGATTCTACCGAATTCGGGTTCGCACACCATCGAGAGACCTCTCTCTCGAGTCTGGGTCAGATCGGAAGATCTCCCAACAACTATGACTCCACAGAGTCGGACTGTTCCTGTCCGACCTGCATCGGCGACGCAAACTCCTCCGCGAGCTAGTCTAGATGATCTGGCACAGATCAAGCAGCTTCTCACTAACCTGGTAAACGGTCAGCGCGACCACGAAACCAGGCTGGAGAGGCATGAGAGACGCCTTGCTGAATCTCGAAACATCACTAGCCCGCCTCCACGGACTCAGCTCGATTTTTCGACAATCTACGCATCTGGCGTACCTCAGGCGCAATTCGTTACGCCTTCGCGACCTCAAGTTTCTCAGATTTTCGGTCCACGGCCGAGCTCGCCACCTGTTGGCATAAACAATACGAGCTCGCACCCAAGCGAAACGAGAGCTCAACCGAACGTTCCTCTCTCATCTCCACCCCCAGGGCCACCTGGTACCGATCCAGCTAGGCCTAGGTGGTTTGGCGCTTCAGCTTTTGCCTCGAGCTCGCATGCAATGCCTGAGTTCGAGAATCAGCTAGGCGCAACATACGGTTCACAGCCCTCCGCAACAGCGCGAGAGCACGTGAACGGGAGTTATCAACAATTCCCCAGCTCGACCGGTCAGCCCAGTCGAGCTCAATTCCAAAGAGCTAACGATTTCACGAATCAAGCTCCGTTCTATCCGATTCCAGCTAATCGGAACCCAGCTGATCCACGTAATCTCGTCGACAGTGAATCTTTCGAAAGATTCCAAGATCGCACAGACCTCGCGTTTCAGCATATGAGCTCGATGTTTCATCAAGCAACAAGCTCAGCTCCTGATATCGACAGAGTGATTAAAGAGTCTAGACGAACTCCTTTTTCACTCAGGATCAAAAGTACCTGTATTCGAGATACCAGCAATCTGCGTATCCCGGAATACTCTGGTAACAGCGATCCGAGAGCTTACATGCGAGCTTTTAACCTCGTCGTATCTCGAGTACCTTTCTCTCCAGAAGAGATAGAAGCAGCCTACTGCAGGCTCTTCGCTGAGAACCTGATCGGACCAGCTCAAGAATGGTTCTCAACGCTGGACGAAAACTCAATCGATAATTTCGATCAGCTCCAATCAGCCTTCCTAAAATAGTATTCAATCTTCATCGAATCTAAAATCACGGAAGCAGACCTTTGGAGACTTTCTCAAAGTCCAAAGGAATCACTTCGATCTTACATTGACAGATTCAAATCAGTCAAAGCTAAGATCACAAACCCTAATGAGGCAGTAGCTCTACTTGCCCTCAAAAACAACTTGTGGTACAAATCGAAATTTAGAGAAGAACTAACTGTTCAACCTACAATTTCACTAGATGACGCATTACATCGCACATCAGCATCCGCAACTCTCGAGGAAGACACAGCTCTCCTCAGAGAAAAATACCTCTAAGGGGAGCTCGCATATGCTCCACCAGGTGCTAAGAAAACTGCACCAGCTAAACCACCTTCACAGAGTAAAGGACAACATTCCTACTCTATCGAAACTTCAGCTCCCATAAAGAGCTCGGAGGAAGAAGAGAAACACTGCGATATTCATAATACAAACGGCCATTCCACAGAGGAATGCCGTGCTAAAGGCAAAAAGTCTAGCAAAAAGAAGGGAAAAAGCAAAACAGCTGAAACCGCGGTTAAGGCCGAACAGCCAAAACCCAAACCACTAAAAACTCCGACAACGCACCTCAGAAAAGAGAACGGGAAGTCGAGGTCGAAGCCCCTGATTCCCCTCCTTCTAACAGGAAAAGAATCGACCTAATCTTCGGAGAGCTCAGCCTTTGCGGCGGCTCAACGAGATCCGTGGTCACCCCCCCAGCCGCTCCTAGAAAGGCTACGAGCTCTAGCTCACACAGACCTCCTAGACTTGTTGGGGGGATAGAGCATTCTTACAGAAGCTCGCCAGTTACATCACCTATCTCCAGACCCGATACTAAGAGCATTGCGATCTCTTGCTTACGCAGACTTCACAAGCTCTCGGGGGGAGTAGAGCCACCTACCCCTAAACGAATTGACTTCATTTGCGGTGGCTCGAAGATGTGCAAAGACTCGATTAACTCGATCAAAGCACATCAGCGACGGGTCGAGTCATCTGGACAACCACGTCCTCTAGACGGACCTGATCACGAAATCAAATTTCGAGAAAGCGAAACACTCGCACTCGATAAACCTCATGATGATGCACTCGTAATCGAGCTCGCCGTAGCTGGATTCGAGCTGACTAGAGTCATGATTGATACAAGAAGCTCTGTAGATGTGTTGTTCTACGATGCTTTCAAACAGATGGGATTCGAAAACTCCGCACTCATAGGAGGCCGTACGCCCCTAACTGGGTTCGCAGGAGAAACGACCTATTCTATGGGAACTATCCAGCTCCCAATCAAAGCAGGTGGTATAACGAAAACAGTTGACTTTGTGGTCGTAGATCGCCCCACGCCATTCAATGCCATTCTCGGCAGGCCGTGGCTCTACACCATGAAAGCAGTTGCATCCACTTACCACCAATGCGTCAAGTTCCCTACACCTTGGGGAACAAAAACAATTCGCGGTTGCCAACGAGTTTCCCGAGATTGCTATATGGGCAGCTACTTGCTAGCTGAAAAATCGCCAGTATAGCAATTATAGAAAGAAAAGGAGCTCACAATTCGGCAGATCAAATATAGCAAAGATCCGACCGTCCGCGAACCTCGAAAAGACCTGGTCACTCAGGTTTGCATCGACGAAACCGACCCCGAAAGGCGCAATGGTATCGGAATCGATCTCGCAAAACCTATCCGTGATGAGCTGATCGACTGCCTAAAGGAAAACATCAACAAATTCGCATGGTCCACCGCAGACATGCCCGGGATTGACACTAGGATCACGTCTCACGAGCTGAACGTAGATCCCACGTTCAAACCCATGAAACAAAAACGTCGAAAACTCGGCCCAGATCGGGCTAAAGCAGTAAACGACGAAGTAGACCGACTACTTGATGCGGCATCTATGGGATGAGTACAAGTAATAATTCCCTAAGACAACTAGTGTTGCAAGTGCACAACATATAATTGTAGTATTTAGGGGTCGAACCACAAGGGATTGGATTTCACACATTACATAATCATAGAGTTTAAATGACTAAGCTAAATCAAAAGATGCAAGGGTTTGTGTTTGTTTAGAACACGCAAAAGAAATAACAATGCAATTCTATACAAGCAACATTATTGAACTATTGAAAACTCTTTTGAAAACATGAGCCAAGTCGATTGAAAAGTTTGTTAAAATCCGATTCTTTTGAACTCAAAACACTAAGGAAGGATTATTCCACTTTCGTGGTTCCAATCCCCTATGTCTCTTAAACCAATGGGCTCAGCTTTCGTTGGTCATTGTAGAGTGAGACATGCATTACATCCAAGTAATGATTGTTCACAAAACTCTTTAGGTCTACTTTCGTAGCCTAAAACGATTTGCCCATCAAATATTATGTCCGGAGATATAACAAGCTTTTGGAGAGTATATCAACCTAAAATCAAGTCACTAGTTAGCTACTCTAGCAACAAGCATTAAGCATAAATAAAGATGGAGAACCATAGGGTTTCCCCTTTTAACAATCGATTTTCGATGGCCATTATATCACGTCCTCATTGGAAGGATCCATAATTCAACAATGAGTCTTAGATAGTAGATGAAGTCTCATGAATCCTTAGAGAGAGAGGCGGCGGAATATAGACTAAACCACGCCTCACCCTTAGGGAGAAATCTCTACTTCTAGACTATATAAATTGAAACATGCAAGCTATATACAAATGCAAAAGAAGAAAAGAAAGAAGAAGGAGACCACCTAAGTGGCTCCGAACTTTATTGAATAAGTGTTTCTTGTTATGCGGCTGGTGATTCTTATTACAAGAGGCTAAAAGCAAGTATATATAGGTAGAGAGCGGGTCTAGGTCGGCAAAGTTGAGCGCGCGCAGAAGAGGAAAGTTTCCATTTCTCTTTAGCCGCTTGAGCTTGCTCTCCAAGTTCTTGAATGGGCCGCGTTCAGGCCAATGGAAGCTTCTGGATTGAGTTATGCTAGTGTCAAGATGAGCCAAGGCCTTGGGCGCGGTATCTCGGGCCTCTTGATCCATCAAAGTCTCCATGGGCTCTACTTAGGCGCTCGTCGGACATGTCTTGGTAGAAAATAAGTTCCGGTCCAACGAGTGATCCAAATGACCTCTTTCCACTTCGCCGCGGGTCATGACTCAAATATCTATCTTTCCATATAAGAATCATGACTTTTGGACGTCGGGAAGGCATGAATATGCGGTCGTACTTCGGATGCTCCGGTTTGGTCTTTAGCGAGAAATGTAGATTTTGGTGCTCTAGACTTGGGAACTTGGTGATTTGACTCTTTTTGCTCCATTTTGACTCTTCTTTGCTATTTTGACCTGAATGATGCTCAAAACCAGAATATACAAGAAAACTACCTCTTGGGCATAAAAACCACATTATTTGTATTAAAAACATAGTGAAAACCTTGATAAAAACATGAAAGATATGGGTATCACTACTCAAGGTTGGCTCGATCAGAGAGGTGAAATACCCCGACTGGCTAGCTAATCCCGCAGTTTTCAAAAAGAAAAACGGAAAGTGGAGAGTCTGTATTGATTTCACAGACCTTAATAAAGCTTGTCCAAAAGATAGCTATCCACTTCCTCATATAGATCGCTTGGTCGAAGCTACGGCTGGTCACCAGCTCCTATCCTTCATGGATGCGTTTTCTGGGTATAATCAAATCAAGATGGACCCAGAAGATCAGGAGAAAACAGCTTTCATAACAGACCGAGGTACTTACTGCTACAAAGTAATGCCATTCGGGCTAAAAAACGCAGGAGCTACATATCAGCGCCTCGTAAACAAAATATTTGCCGATCAGCTCGGTAAAACAATGGAGGTGTACATAGACGACATCCTGGTCAAATCCTCAAGGGAAACAGACCACGTCGCACAGCTCAGGGTATGCTTCTCCATACTTAACAAGTACGGCATGAAGCTAAACCCGACTAAGTGTACATTCGGAGTTCCGTCTGGCGAGTTCCTCGGTTACCTAGTAACTGAACGCGGAATCGAGGCGAACCCGAAGCAAATCTCTGCCCTCTTAGATATGCCTTCTCCAGAAAATACTAGAGAAGTACAACGGTTAACCGGTCGAATAGCAGCCCTTAATAGGTTCATTTCCCGATCAACCGAAAAGTGTCTTCCATTTTACCAGCTCCTCCGAGGAAATAAAAAATTCCTCTGAGACGAAAAAATGCGAAAAAGCTTTCAAACAGCTCAAAACCTACCTCAGCGAACCTCCTATATTGGCAAAACCAGTAGAAGGAGAACCGCTATACCTTTACATCGCAGTCTCGCCTGCAGCAGTCAGCGGGGTCTTCGTTCTCGAAGAGCTAAACGAACAAAGACCAATCTTTTATGTAAGTAAATCCCTGATTGATGCCGAGACTAGATACCCAGCTATGGAAAAACTTGCCTTAGCAATAGTAATGTCCGCTCGCAAGCTGCGACCTTACTTTCAATCACACACAATCGTGGTGATGACCTCGCAACCATTGCGAACTATGCTACATAGTCCAAGTCAATCTGGACGACTTGCTAAATGGGCTATCGAGCTCAGCGAATACGACATCGAATATTGAACTAGAATCTGTGCTAAAGCCCAGGTACTAGCTGATTTCATGATCGAGCTGGCACCGGAAGCCAACAACGATACCACCCTCTCTAAAGTTTGGACACTCTTCGTAGATGGAGCCTCGTCCAAACAAGGAGCTGGCGTCGGAATCAAACTCACATCTCCAACCGGAGAAGTGATCGAACAATCGTTCAGACTCGGATTCGTCGCCTCTAACAATGAGGCCGAATACGAGGCACTCATAGCCGGACTCCGACTCGCAATCGGGATCGGCGTGAATGAGATCAACGCATTCAGCGACTCCCAGCTCGTTACTATCCAATACAGCGGCGAGTATGAAGCAAAAGAGGAGCGTATGGAAGCTTATCTCAAAGTAGTTCGAGATTTAGCTGGACAATTCAGTAAATTCGAACTAACTAGGGTGCCTAGGGGAGAGAACACTTCGACTGACGCCTTAGCTGCTCTCGCCTCCACTTCGGACCCAACTGTAAGACGTGTGATTCCAGTCGAAGGCATAGATAAACCTAGCATCGACGTCGCACTCAAGTCTGACAGTATAAACGCAATTACCTCGCGCCCGTCTACTCGTTCTCAAACTAGACAGTCCCAAGATCCGGGACCATCTAACCTGGAACCTGATTCCGAGGAAGAAGAACCTGTCCAAGATAGGCAAAAAACAAGGTATATCGATTCGGACTCTTCGCAAAATACGCAAGATCGATCGGAAGATCGAGATCACCTCGATATTCCCCTTTCGAACGAAGTGAGGTTCAGAGTCCACCTATGTACCTTCAATTTCTTACTTCGCAAAAAACCAATCGAAGTCTGCAGCATCCAAGCATCAAGCGTAGTGTTCTAGCAATCGTAGAACCGAAGACCCAGAGACAGCCCGAAATCTAACACGAAGCCGAGCCATCCAGACGGACCTGAAGTTCACGATTAGCTCGGAACACTATCGGCGAAGCGACAAAACCAAGACAAACTTCGAAAGGTAATAAATTCCATCTCCAAAAGCCGAATAAGAAACACATCGACCGAAAGACCGGAAAACAACTCCGCAAAGCGCGAGCTACTTCAGTTTGCCAAAGAGCTCGAAAAATAATAAACACCACATTTAGCTCAACCCATGCGATCGACGAAAATTCGCCTAAGTGTCGAATCGATCTAATCGTCCCGAATTGGACTTGATTCGACCTAAAACTATGTTTAGCTCGTTCCACGCGATCAGCCAAAACTAGTAAAATTTCGCCTAAGTGTTGAATCGATCTAATCATCCCGAATTGGACTCGATCCGACCTAAAACTATGTTTAGCTCGTTCCACGCGATCAGCCAAAACTAGTAAAATTTCGCCTAAGTGTTGAATCGATCTAATCATCCCGAATTGGACTCGATTATTCGACCTAAAACTACGTTTAGCTCGACATACGATCGGCCAAAACTAGTAAAAATATTCTAAGTGTTGAATCAACCTAAAGGGATTGATTCGACCTCCGACTAAAGTACATCTTGGCCCTGGTCTCTCGACCGGCCAAAACATTTAGTCGGAAAGCCTCAAACATTTTAGCAAGTAAAACGCGAGCTAAAACGAAAGTTGCACAACAATTTGAGCAAAATGCGCCTAAGGCAAAACGCCTAAGGCCAAAACATTAAAAGCCCCCGCGGGCAAACAAGTTTGTGGATAAAAGCCTTCCCAGGCACCAAATCCGAAACACAAAGCGTAAAAACCCCGCCGGGCAACCAAGTCTTAAAATAAATTGAAAAAGGAGTAGAGATAGAAAGAGGTCGACCAAGAGCTCAGTCCTCGACGGTCATCTCTTCAACTTCCTTCTCTCCCTCTTCGTTGCTTCCCTTCTCTTCGGCGTTCGTCCCGAACGGGTTCAAGCCAACCGGAATGTTCGTTGATGGGTCGATCTCCATGCGCGCGACCGAGTCCTCCGAAACCACGGGAAGGTTGAACTTCCCGATCGAGAAATCGGAGACTTGGGCCACCTTGGCTGCTTCGGCCACCTCATCCTCGAGCCCCCTCAACCTGGCGAGCTCTTCCTCCTGGTTGGTCGCACCGGAGATCAACGACATAAGGAGATCGATGTTGGATTGGAGTTCGATCTGATCACCTTCCACCCTCTTCTCCTCGAACTTTGCCTTAGCCGATTCAAGCACTTCCCGATGCTTCGTGACCATCCCCCTCCGACCTGCGCGGTTGGCACGGTGATGATAAGGTTTTGTGTGTGGATGTGAAAAGATATGAAATGAGATGAGTGGAATGCAATCAGTGGTATATGATGAGGTGGTAAGATGCAAACACAAACACAGTCAACAATTCCCTTTAACCATGATAGTTGATGTAGTACAAAGGGTTATCAATCCAAAATGGGAAACTTGTCACTCTTTGAGAATATGAAACAACCAGAAAGTCAAGCAAGCAGTTAAAGATTTGAAGTAACACTAACAACCTAAATAAAATGAAAAGCAGTGCAATAAAAGTAAAGAAAGCAGTGAAGTGTCAGCTCGACCAAGAGCTCGAGTCGAGTCAGAGCAAAGTACCAGCTCGATCGAGTTTAGGGACGAGTTGAGACAAACAAAGCTAAAGGTGACGACTTTAACAAGATAAAGAGAGAATTAGGGTTCAAGACAGGGTTTTGCAATCAAAGGAATCTACACTTAATCAATCTAGCTCTTAAAACTCCTTGTATCAAGGCTTCTCTTGATATTGGGCTTCTCAATGCCTAGCCAACCCTTTCCCAAGGTGGAGGCTATCAACCAAGGAATGATCTCAGAAACAGGGGGTTAGCCAGTGAGAATCAAACCTTGGAGGCTATAGGATCATTGCCCAAACTAATCCATCCAACCCCTTAGACCTCTATGTCTAGAGCAAGAGATATTGGAGCTCTTAGTGGATCTTTTCCAGCGAATGCTTTCGTGTGGGGAGTCGCCTAAGGACTTACAAGCCAGGGGTAGTGGTCATGTAGCCTTAAGATCTATCCAAAAGAGAGAGAATCTAGATTAAGACCATAAGCTAGAAGGATTAAGCATATGAAACCTCTAATCTATCCCATCTCAAACCCCAATGGGTAACTACTCACTAACATGAATGTAAACACAAGCAAATGCAATAAAAGAGACATCATAAGAAAGAGGAGATGAAATTAAACAACTTTTATTGAAATAAGCAAGTGCAAATACAAGAGAGATTATCCAGGATCTAGGATTCAAGAAGCAAGAGCTTCAAGAACACAAAGAGAGGATTAGATCTCTAAAAAGTAAAAGACAATAAATTAAAGAACTAAAAAATTAAGTAAAGCTTGTTTTTTCGTGGCTAGAGCCTTTAAAACAAGATTAGGTTTAGGGTCAAAGGAAGTCAAGGGGGAAGCAACATTTTTCGGGTTTGACTTTGACTCCTCAGCTCGATCGAGTTGAAGCTTGGCCGGTCGAGTTGAGGAACTCGACCGGTTGGTCGAGTAACTCGATTGGTCTTCAAGATGGCTTCTCCCTTCTTCACTTTGCGATCCAGTTGAGCTGTCCGTACATGGGGCAGACAGAGTCTTTCCTTCCTCAACTAATCTCCAGTGATAGGCAATGTTCCAATTAGCTCCAAATGACCTGATTAAGACATCAAACGTGCACATGTATGCAAATGCAAGCCTAAAACTACTATGTATGCAAAAGAAGGGAAAACATCAAGAAATGATGCTTTGGGTGAATGAAACTATGCAAAAGATGCATAAAAGAAGGGCTAAAACCATGTAAAATGCAAGTACATCACACGGCGAGCTACGTTGTCCTTCTCGGCGACGAGTACCTGGTTCTCCCGGCTAAGGCGAAGCGACTGCGTCAGCGCACTCGAGCTCTCCTTCTGCAAAGCCGCCATCTGCTCCTGATTCTGGGACAGCTGGCGCAAGAGATCGGCCTCCCTGGTCTCGAGCTCTTTCACACGACCCTCCTACGAGGTGTGTTTCTTCAAGAGCTCACCCTGACGAGCTACCCGCTCGTTCGCCACAGAGAGATCGGAGGTCAACTTGGCAACGAGCTCCTTCACCTGATCGAGCTCTTTCTGCTGAGGCGCGTCTCTGATCCTCGACTCCAGGCGGGACACCAACATGTTACGAGCTGCCACAGCCTAACAAAAACAAAAAAATTCAACCAAGGCCAAAACACAACAAAGACTCTCGTCTAAAGTTTTGACTAGGGAAACAGTTCATACCCTCCCACTCGCAGCGCACGTCGCGATGTAGAGCTCCTTCTCAGACATCTGGTTCAGGGACGGGAGCCGGCATCCGACGGGCTTGAAGTGGAGGTGAATGCGAGCTGTTCCCTCCTCGTCGTCCTGAACGGGGAAGCCTTTGGAGTTCTCGTACAGCCAGTAAAACGGCGGCTTTCCCCCGCTCCCGTTCGAGGCAGTCGGGCCGCCCTCGCGAGAACGAGTCTCTCCATCGTCACTCCGAGCTCGCTTCGGCGCCTGCCTCGAGTGACCTTGATCCGAACTCCGAGTCCGATCGGAGCTCACATGAACCGTACTCAGAGAGGGACAACCTCTCCTTCGGCGGTCGCGTCGACCTGGTCAACCACCTGGTCGGCAAGGGCAGGAGACCCCACCGCGGGCTTCGAAGCCATGGCCTCCTCCACGGCCGTTACGAACTCACCGGCACGAACTCGACTTCCACCTGAGGAGGCGCCCTTGGCACTCTTTGCGGTCCGGGATCTGAGAGGTTGACGACGGGTCATCTTTGATCTGCGTGAGAGAGGAGGAACGGAAGAAGCAGAGCTAGAATCCTGAACCGACCTAACCGGAAGGTCAGCTGGAAATCGCATAAACAGCTAGTCATAAAGAGTTCGTAAGTAAATTCCAGCTGATTCAATAAAGATTATTACCTGGAGGAGGAGCAGGAGGAGAGCTGAGAACTCGTCCGGATCCGATCCGGGAAAATGTATTCCAGTTCACCTTCTCCCTTCTCAGTCGCTCAACGAGGTAATCGATCGACGGGCTGCTTGGTACTGGATCAACGACTGCAAAAAAAAACAAAGCAAAAACACATATCAAATCGAGGAATTTCTCAATAATGACGAGGTATTCGTCTATCCTAAGCGGAACTCGGCCTAAGCTAACCAACGCTAGTCGCCCAAACCGTCGGAAGGCGACCTAAGTCAAAGTCGCCATCGAGGCCTCGTTGACCCGGAAGAAAAACATCTCGTCAGACCACCCGGCATCTCTTTGCGGGGTGTTCGTGAAAATCCGCCGATTTGGCCTCGGCGAGAATAGAACGAGCCGGGGAGCCTCGGGTTACTCTTCACCGAGAAGAGCTTCCGAAGATCTCGTACGCCGAACGATATGTCCTCCTCACGGGCTCGGACGGCGCATCCGATAGTGTGGCGGACGAGGCTCGGATGCATCTGAGGGAACGCCATCTTCAGATGGGCAAGTACCTCCAACAGAAAGCGCGGAATTGGGAAAATCATCCCGCCACTCTCGAAGTACGAGACGTAGGCGCAGCAGAAACCGGGGCGAACATGCTCCGGATCTTCGCCCTCGGCCGGAAGGGCAAGCTCGATCTCCTCAGAGACCTCGTAATCACGCCGAAAAATGTCTCGAGACTCGGCGTCGAGAGTTGGAGAATGCATGATTACTCTACCGTACATCTAGTAATCTGATCTTAGAGAAATAGAACCACGACAGTGCTGAATCTAGATCTCAAAACTAGTATTTGGTGAGCAATAGATCATAGCCAACGAAAGCTGAGTTATGGTTTATTGTGAACAATTGAATCTTGATCACCTTTAATGCATGTTTGCAATTCTAATAGCCAACGAAAGCTGAGTATATTAGGTTGTTTTAAACATAGTGGTTGGAGCCACGACAGTGGAAAGACCATACACTAGTGATTCATGTTCAAGACGGCTCTACACACATCCCATGCAACTATCTTTTCATCATTGCTCCATATGATTGTCCTTTGCCTAACTCTTGTTTTAAATTGTTTACAACCTCACTCACATTTCTTTTGTTTCACTTTCTCATTCTAGGTCCAAAACCATCTCATATTGCGAGCTAGCTACAAACCAATCTCACAAGGTGTTAAGCGAGAACACTTCCTCCTCGTGTTCGACCCCGACTACAACACGGCTGTGCACTTGCAGCTCATTAGTTGGGTTTATAAATTGTGAAAATTTGAGGCAATCTAAACCCGCCATCAAGCTTTCTGGCGCCGTTGCCGGGGAGGAGTTGCTTTTCCTTCACACCTCTTGATTGATTTCAAGACTAGCTCATCTCATCTTTCACTTTTCTTTGTTTTTGTTTTTCATAAAATCTTAAAAACTCATAAAAATTTTACTTAACTCTCTCTTTGTGTGTTTCTAAGGTGCATGACAAGAAGGTCCAATCCAAATACAACCATTGAAGAAGATCTTGACATTGACCAACTTGAGCGCACACTTAGGCGACTAAGAGAGAAAGAATGAATCCAGGCGGAGAAGGCGCGCCAAATAGGCCACACAACCCGCCCGACCAAGAGAGGAGAGCCAATGATCCTCCTAATCCAGCAGAAGCTAGAGCTGACCAGCCAGCACCGGCCAGAGACGTTCCTCCACCCAATCCGAACGCGCCCGATGCAGCTGAGCCGCTACAGCCACCTCTTAACCCGCCGCGACCACCACCGGCGTTTGCAAATGGACATCATCGTCACGGTGACAACCAAGGGATGCCTCAAGACCAACCTCACGCACCTCCAAGGAGAGTGCCAAACGCGCAGCATCCAAGGCACCAAACTATGGGAGACTTTGATTCGTCCGATGCTTTCTTTATGGATCGGAATCCAATCCGACCGCCTCTACCTCCAAGGAACGATTTTGAGATCAAACCGCAGATCATTGCCTTGGTGAAGCAAAACCAATTCCATGGTTTGCCCACTGAGCATCCTCTTGATCACGTCGACACCTTTGAGGAGATATGTAGCACAACTCGTGTTAATGGAGTATCGCCGGATTACTTCAAGTGCAAGCTATTCACTTTTTCTCTAAGTGACAAGGCGCTAAGATGGGTAAAATCTTTACCACCTCAGTCCATTACAACATGGAATGAATACAAGGGAGCTTTCTTGAACCAATTCTACACTAAGCAAAGATCCAACTCTATAAGGAGCAAGATTTCTGGTTTCAAGCAAGATTCAATGGAGTCATTCTATGAAGCTTTGGAGAGATTCAAAGAGTATACAAGAAGCTGCCCTAACCATGGCTTTTCAGAAGGTAACCTTTGGAACATCTTTTACAATGGGATTGATCATAAATACAAGCTTTCTCTCGATACCGCGAGCAATGGTAATTTCATGACCAAGTCGGTGCCGGAGGCAAAGCTTTTGATTGAGAATCTCGCTGCTAGTGATGCCAATGCATGCCCTGACTACAATAGAAGCGTGAAGACCACGAGCTCATCAGAATCAGCTCAAATCTCGGAGCTAAGGAACATGGTCTCACAACTACTTAAAAGCCGACAAGGAGTTCACGCCATTGAAGATGCCCTAGCCACAAATGAAGACACTCTTATGGATTTCATGAGAGATGGCACTGAAGAGAATCTAGAGGAAGTCAACTACATTGGAGGAAACTATGGGAATAGAGGATTCAATCCACCATTTCGCGCGCATCCAAACCTATCATACCGGAGCAACAATGTGGAGAATCCAAATGACCAAGTCTACCCCAATCAAGGAGCGTATCAAGGAGGCCAATACCAATCCAAGCCACAACAAGTCTATCCAAGAGGGATGTACCAAGTGAAGCAACCATTCACTTTTTCTCAAGAAACAAATCCAACCCAAACCGGAGAGAAGGTTGACGTGGCGTTGAAGAAATACATGGAGGAGCAGAGATTGATCACCAAGAACCTATATGAGAAGCTTGATCACATGTTTGGTGATCTAAGCAGCAAGTTTGGGTCTCTCTCTACTCACGTTCAAAAGCTTGAGGTGCAAATCGCTCAAACAGCCGAGGCGGCCAAGAAACAAAATGAGGTAAACACTCAAAAATTTTGTAGTGTTGTCTCATCTATAGATGGCACAATTGTTCCTACACTATCTCAAGGGGAAGAAGAAGAAAATGAGCCTAAGGAGAGGCACAAACCGGAGAGATACAGTTGGGAATCAAGAAGAGCTTACAAGAGAAGACTTGAAGGCAAGCCACTACAAAAACAAGAAGATCCGGGGAAGTTTGTGATAACTTCAAGTATCAATGGCATTCAACTCCATGATTGCCTATGTGATACTGGTGCTAATGTGAAAAACAATTCGGTCGAAGAAAATCTCAATTGGCCCGAGTGGATTTGAAGAAATTCAATCCGGACATTTCTCTCGGCCATGACGCGCACAAGGAGACCAACTCGGCCAACTCCTAAACGGCGTGACCGAAGTCCACCAAACTTCACAGGCGACCATAAAATCACATTTTGGTCGGCAAATCCAAAAGATAGGACGGAGAAATCATCACGGTCATGAGATAGACGACGGAGCTCATTCTGGCCGATGGCGCGCAAGCAATATGGCCGACAAACCAAATCACGGCATAGGCGCGCCAACCGGTTGGAAAACTCTTCCTTGAGCTTAACTAACACTTTTATGCAGGAAGAAACGAAAAGGAACGAGCCAAACTTCACATGGCCAAGGAAACTCCTTCCCGGAGCCGACTTGACCATTTTGTGAAGGAAGTCTCAATCCGCTCGTTCAAATGCTCCCAAACTTCACCAGAGGCATAAAATACCAGGTTGGTCGATGAAATTTCAATATAGGTCATGAAATTTTTGACGGTTTGTTCTGTAGTTCACAGCACCACATTTTGGCCGACCGAATATACCAATCTCGGCCAAAACACAAACCGGCGGAAACCAAGGCCTGAAATTAAAAACTCACCGACCAATATTGCCTAAAGAAGTGTAGAATGACCCAAACCGGAACTGATCTTCATTATAAATTGGTCGACATTTGGTAACATCATCCTAAACCTTTTTCTTTTCAATTTTTCATTTGAACTTCATGTTATGCCTCTCTTAATCCGATTTGATTTCACCGGGACGGTGCAAGTTAAGTCTGGGGGGATTACTAACAATGTTTGTTCATTTTGGCGTTTTCATTTGCATTTTTTCCCTTTTATCGAGTCGTTTTTATTGAGTCAAAATTTTTGTCGAGAATCATGACCTTATCTTGGATCTAACCATGGTTGTACTAATGTTTAAGTGACCATTGAGCAGTTCTTGGCAATACATCTTACCACAGGTGCACTATGAGTTGATCGATCTACCAAAAACGCCTACATCTCTAAAGACTTGAGAAGGATCCATCTTTGACTCCGCCCTTAATGAACTTAATCTTCTCAGCTAGGGGCTTGGCATACAAATGGCATGATTCCTCATCCTCTCCATCAAATGAAAAAGTCTTAGTGAGTTCGTGCTTCCCTCTCTCTCCCCTTCAAATTTAAAGAAAAAGCGTAAGGTCCAAGTAACCGGGGATTCGGTGGCAAACACCATCAATACTCGCGTCTATGGAAGGCCTATGAATCCAAGCAACCGGGGATTCGGTGGCAAACACCATCAATACTCGCGTCTGTGGAAGATCCAAGCAAAACCTCTATAATAAAGAGAAGGAGTTGAATAAAAAAATACTTCGCTACCCTAAAAAAGGGATGAATCAACTCAAAGAAGTGAGAAGAGAGAGAGGAGAAACATGGAGTAAAAAGACAAGTGCCAAACAAGGGGATGAGTAAGAGTCTAAAGCCGGCTGATCGATACTCCCTAGTTGAGACCACACCTTTAGAAATGAAAGGAGTCAAGGGTGGCGAATTGGATTGTCCAAGGAGAGGTGGACCGCTTTGGGAAAATCGCAAAACTCATGGTATGTACTTTGTTCTTAATTCAAAACTTGCCAATGCTGTTTCATGTGGATTACTAAAGCATAAGTCAATTTGGATTTCCAAAAGATTTGAGAGTTCTCACGTTTTCAAACCTCTTTTCCTGCTTAGTTTGCTTGGGGACAAGCAAAAGGCTAAGTCTGGGGGAGTTGATATCACCATATTTTACATGATTTTACTATATAATTACTATGTTTTCAAACGGTTTTTGCAAGATTCTTTGCCTTTAGAGGTAGTTTTCTTGTATTTGTGGGATTTGAAGTCTTTGTAGGTGAAAATCAAAAAGGATGCAAAAAGGAGTAAAAGAGCCCTAAATCAAGATCCATGCAAGTTTCCAAGTCAAGAAGATCATTTTATCTCCAAGTGTTAGTTCTCGCTAGCGCGCAGAACGAAGCTTCGGAAGTTTGGCCGCGCGCGGAGGAGTTCCCGACGTCCAAAAGTTACGATCTTGATATGGAAAGATAGATACTTGAGTCATGCATCACGTCGAAGTGGAATGAAGCCATTTGGATCAACTATGAGGCCGAACTTATTTTCTACCGAGACATGTCCGGTAAGCGAGCAAACGAAGCCCATGGAGGATTTGGAGTGTCTAATGGCCCGAGCAGCAGCGCCAAAGGCCTTGATCGAATAGAGAAGAGGCCTGGCTAATGTTTGGAGCTTTCCTTGGTACAATGTCGGCCCATACACGACGTGGAGAAGAAGGCTTTGCTCACGGGAAACTTTCCTTTTCCGGCATGAAGAAAACCCTACGCGACTTCGCCCATATATACATGTTTTTAGCCGCTGAAGAAGAGAGTCCGAAAATTATCAAAGAGTGTACGTGTGAGAAGAGAGTTCAGAGGAGAGAAGCCCTAGGAGATCGTCCAAGAAGAAGGAGGCGCCGCTCAACTCTTGTTCTTTCTTTTTCATTGTTTCCATTTCTATAAACTTGATTTAAGAGTTTTCAAGGGAGAATCCGACTTTGTTCATCAATAGAGAAGCTTTCTTCATCCCTTTATCTCTTTTAATACTTGCATAATGTTTACAATCATGCTTTGCTTGCTTGTTTGCATCATGGCCGAGTAGATCTCTTAGTTAGGCCGAGGAGATCTATGGTGGCCGTGATGATTTGATTGTGTTGCAACTTATTGGGATTTATCTTATGGATCTTCACCTTTACTTGAGCTTAATGCATGATTACTCTACCGTACATCTAGTAATCTGATCTTAGAGAAATAGAACCACGACAGTGCTGAATCTAGATCTCAAAACTAGTATTTGGTGAGCAATAGATCATAGCCAACGAAAGCTGAGTTATGGTTTATTGTGAACAATTGAATCTTGATCACCTTTAATGCATGTTTGCAATTCTAATAGCCAACGAAAGCTGAGTATATTAGGTTGTTTTAAACATAGTGGTTGGAGCCACGACAGTGGAAAGACCATACACTAGTGATTCATGTTCAAGACGGCTCTACACACATCCCATGCAACTATCTTTTCATCATTGCTCCATATGATTGTCCTTTGCCTAACTCTTGTTTTAAATTGTTTACAACCTCACTCACATTCTTTTGTTTCACTTTCTCATTCTAGGTCCAAAACCATCTCATATTGCGAGCTAGCTACAAACCAATCTCACAAGGTGTTAAGTGAGAACACTTCCTCCTCGTGTTCGACCCCGACTACAACACGGCTGTGCACTTGCAGCTCATTAGTTGGGTTTATAAATTGTGAAAATTTGAGGCAATCTAAACCCGCCATCACATGGAGTCCTACAAGGAGCTCACTTGTGAGTTTTTGGCATCGATGAGGTATCACAATATGATGAGCTCGATCGAGCTGAGTTGGACCAAGGCTGGGGATGGACATAACTTTCTTGGCAAAGGGAGAGAAGAAGATGGTGACCTTTAGGCAGCTTGAGATACTGTTTGGGTTCACTATGGAGAAGGTAACCTATGGAACATCAAGGAAGAAGAACTCCAAAGAGTATGGGCTACAATCGCTGAAGAGGGGTACTCTTCCTCAAGGTCCAAGGCTGCTCAGATCAGGAGCCCAGTGTCCACAAGGCTCTTGCCAACACCTTCTTTGCAAGGAAAGCCACTGGACAATCAATGAGGGAGAAGTGAAGCTCCTTGACATGGGAATCAAGCCCATCATCTCACGCACAAGGATGGGAAGAAGATCAGAGGAGATAGGGCACACGCAGGGAACTCATGCCTCTCCTTGAGCAGCTCTCTCCTACAAGTCACAGCTTACAACACTAGGCACAAAGAGGAAGAAAGCTTAGTGTTGGAGGGTCATCACACCATTCTTTGTGCAGCTGGAGTCCAATGGACAAGAGAAGGTCTACTCCACCAGGTTGGATGGACATCAAGTTTTGCAAGACCAACCTCCTCATTGAGCACAAGGAGTTGGATGGGAGATTCCAATTCAAGTTCACACATCCATTGGCTGGCCCTCCAAGCTTCTCCTGCCCAACCCTGAGCTCACCACAGTGTAGGGGAGAACATTGACTTCAGACCCCCTGTGTACACATTAGTTGGGCATGAGGATGATTTGCGAGAAGAGGAGCCTGAGCTCGATCGAGCTGAGGATCGAGCTGAGGATCAAGCTGAGAATGAATTTGGGTGAGCCTGAGTGCTACTATTTTGAGGAGTATGAGGCTCCAAGGATGAACCCCTCTGTTGTGGCTGCCCACAAGAGGATTGGACTTCTCCAAAAGTTCAACAAGTGGCAAGGGAAAGCCAAGAAGATGCAAAAGTCCATGGACAAGATGGTGAGCAAGATCAAGAAGTTTGGAGAAGAAGGTTTCTGGTTCTTCAAGCAAGAAGAAGAAGTCACCCAAGGCCCCACTTCCCTAGGAGTAGATCACTCCTCACCACTCCAAGGAGGCTCCCTGCCCAAGAGCCTCACAGAGCCTCTTCTTTCGAGCCAAGGGAAGGAGAAGACAACTCACGCAGAGAAGGAGGAAGAGTTCCAAGGCCAGACGCTCCAGCTCGACCACCGGACTCGATCGAGTCCAAACAGAGGAAACTCAACTCGATCGAGCTGAGGTCGAGTTGACCTGGAGGAGCCCCTGTTTGAGAACCCTGGATTCGAGTACGATCCAACCTACCAGGACTTCCCAGACCAGATGGACCCCTACGCAGTTCGAGCAAGCCAGCTCCACCAAGGCCAAGGGAGCCACACACATTTGATGAAGAAGAAGAAGAGGAGCCACAAGCTCGATCGAGTGAGCGAACCCAGTCGAGTGGAGTGCTCCTGATGGCCGTCCCATCTCCAGACCACGACCTAGCCTCCCAGTTCTTTGGGGGGCACTGAGGTATCCAAACACCAACCCTTGTATATACCATTTCATATTTTCTTGCATTTGTTTTTTTTTCTTGGTTTTGCCCTCTTGAATCTTTCACTAAATTTTTCTCACACAAGGGACTGTGTGATTTAAGTTTGGGGGAGGGTTCAAGAGATGATTTAACCTTGTTTTCTTTGTTCTTAGTTTTTCATTTATCTTTTGCATAGAAAAACCAAAAAAATCATAAAATTTTCAAAAAATCCAAAAATATTTTCATCTTTTTGCATTCATATTTGTTAGACTTGTTTAGGATTGCATTTTTCACTTGCATTGTTGATTTGACTTTGAAAACTTGTCCATCTTTTGCGATTTCTTGAGTGCCCTGTTTTTAGATTCTTTTGTGCATTAGGGTGAGATTGATTGAGCAGCAAGAACCATGTTTATCTTGATCATATCACTGCATGCACATCTCATTCAACCATTGCTGTGATTTGATGCATTTCCCTATCTATTTGAACCATAACTTGATCTTTAATTACCAATGCTTGCATTTGATTTCAACTCATGGCTACCACATACATATCTGGACATTCTTTACCTATTTTCATATCCCTTTGCTTGTCCAGATAGCTGATCTCTATCTTTGAGACAGTTACCACACCTTAAACCTAAGCCTTTTCATTTCAAACCCCTTATTATCTCTTGTGCGAATGTGAGAACCTTTCTTGGCTTTGCTTAGCATAAGGTGTTGTGTTTAAACCGGCAGGGGCAGTAGTTCTAGTTGTCTAGTTCTCTTGGGATTGTTTTCAGGCTAAGTTTGGGGGTGCCAACTCGAGCTCGATCGAGTTGGGTGTAAAAACCAGAAAAGTGGTAAAAGTTGGGAAAAACCAAAGGAAAAAGAGTTTAGTTAAGTCCAGGGAGTTGGCAGTGTTAAAAAGGGTCTAGTAAAGGTTTGGGAAGTTAAAAAAGGAAGTAAAAAGGGTTCTAAGTAGAATGAAAAGAAGGCAAAGCCTCAAGTGTCAAAAAGGAAAGAAAAGTTCCCTAAGTGTTTAGAAAATCCCAAACCGCTAGATGTTACCTCAAGAAGCCTCTCCCTAGGAAGTTCTTAAAAGAAAAGTGAGCAAAGCTCCTCAGTTTCAAAGGCGAAATGCCAAAAAGGGTAGTTAGGATTTTGTTCTAAAAAGCTCTAAGTGTTGAACTCGATCGAGTTAGGATTAGGCGGCTCGAGCTGCTGTTCTTGCATCATCTTTGGTTCTAACACTTAGCCTTCTGCCAAAGCAAAGCCACTTTCTTGAGAGATCCCTGTTACTAAACCACCATACAAAAGAGACCCTCTTTGTCTCTTAACCCATAAACCCTTGAAACCAAATGAGTTGATTGATCTTGCATGTTTTTGGTTCACTGTTTTTGCTTAATGAATGTTAAAGGGATTTGCTGATTTGAATGCATTGTTTGAGTGACTGTGAAGTGGGATTGATGTTGATAAGCATGGTTAAATCTTAATGAATATCTCTCACCTTGTTGCATTCTAGAATCTCTAAGTTGGACATTTAGCAAATCGCTTTTGAGGACATGTTTTTAAGTGTTGAATCAACTTGTTTTCAAACCTCATCTCTTTCTTGTTCTATTTGTTTGCTTGAGGGCAAGCAAAGTTCAAGTTTGGGGGTGTTGATGTACTTGCATTTTACATAGTTTTAGTACATCTTTTATGCATCTTTTGCATAGTTTTAGCATCCATTAGCATCATATCTTGTTCCTTTTCTCTTCTTATGCATTCATGTAGTTTTAGGTTGCATTTGCATACATATGCATGTTTGGTCCTTTGAAATAGGTCTTTTGGAGCATTCTGGAGCATATGGGACGTGAGGAGCATGGAGGGACTTGGCATGGACGCAGCTCAACTGGATACGCAAAGGAAGAAGGAGAAGCCATCTTGAAGACCAGCTCGACCACCACTCGACCAACCGGTCGAGTTCCTCAACTCGACCGGCCAAGCTTCAACTCGATCGAGCTGAGAAGTCAACAGTCAAACCCGAAAAATGTTGCTTCCCCCTTGACTTTCCTTTGACCCTAAACCTAATCCTCTTGTATTTAAAGGCTCTAAAAGCCACGAAAAAACCACCAAGCTTTAGATTATTTTGTTTTAGTTTCTTTAATTTATTGTCTTTTACTTTTTAGAGCTCTAATCCCATCTTTGTGTTCTTGAAGCTCTTGCTTCTTGAATCCTAGATCCTGGATAATCTCTTTGTATTTGCACTTGCTTATTTCAATAAAAGTTGTTTATTTCATCTCCTCTTTCTTATGATGTCTCTTTTATTGCATTTGCTTGTGTTTACATTCATGTGTAGTGAGTAGTTACCCATTAGGGTTTGAGATGGGATAGATTAGAGGTTTCATATGCTTAATCCTTCTAGCTTATGGTCTTAATCTAGATTCTCTCTCTTTTGGATAATCTTAAGGCTACATGACCACTACCCCTGGCTTGTAAGTCCTTAGGCGATTCTCCACATGGAAGTGATGGAAATCGCTGGAAAAGATCCACTAAGAGCTCCAATATCTCTTGCTCTAGAAATGAGGTCTAAGGGGTTGGATGGATTAGTTTGGGCAATGATCCTATGGCCTCCAAGGTTTGATTCTCACTGGCTAACCCCCTGTTTCTGAGATCATTCCTTGGTTGATAGCCTTCACCTTGGGAAAGGGTTGGCTAGGCATTGAGAAGCCCAATATCAAGAGAAGCCTTGATACAAGGAGTTTTAAGAGCAAGATTGATTAAGTGTAGATTCCTCTGATTGCAAAACCCTGTCTTGAACCCTAATTCTCGCTTTAGCTTGTTAAAGTCTGCCTTTAGCTTTTTACTTCAACTCGACCCTAAACTCGATCGAGCTGGTACTCTGTTCCACTCGACTCGAGTCCTTGGTCGAGCTGTTGCTCTACTGCTTTATTTATTTACTGCATGCATTATTTTCATTAGGTTGTTAGTGTTACCCTTCATTACTGCTTGCTTGACTTCCTTGTTGTTTCATATTCTCATAGAGTGACAATTTCCCATTTTGGATTGATAACCCTTATACTATAATGACTATGATGGTTAAGGGAATTGTTGACTGTGTTTGTGTTTGCATCTTACCACCTCATCATATACCACTGTTGCATTCCACCACATTTCATATCATATTTCACATCCACACACAAATCCTATCATCAGGTATCAAAAGGCATGTTTTATCGGTGAGGTTAAAGTGTTTAAGGGTTACCAGATACGCCGGAGGATGCATGATATCGCCCAAAACAGCAAGAGAGAATGGTTCTGTTGATAGCCACATTTCCCAACCACTTCACTCCTCAACTCCTTGTATTTTGGATTTTATCCAGAACAACTCTAACTCCCAATTCGCCTTGATCTGTAGTACTCCTTGGAAATTTTCGGTCGAGCTTGAGCACGTAAGCTCGATCGATGGGCAGGTCGACCCGATCCGATCCGTTTCCTGATCATTGAGAGGAACAGATCCCTCTCTGTGATGTCGGTATCAGCAAGGTATGGCTTGAGGCGTTGACCGTTTACCACGAAATGTCCACCTGACTTATCCCATAGCTCAAAAGCTCCATATGGTCTGACTTCCTTGATAACAAAGGGCCCATGCCACCTTGATTTCAGATTTCCAGGAAATAACTTCAGCCTAGAATTAAACAGTAGGACTTGATCTCCTTGGGAAAAGTTCATTTTCAGGATCTTCTTGTCGTGATAAGCTTTAGTCCGCTCCTTGTAGATTTTCGAACTGTCATAGGCCAGGTGTCTAATCTCGTCAAGCTCCACCAACTGCATGTTCCTCCTCTCTGCCGCAGACATGTCATAGTTCATATGCTTTACTGCCCACGCAGCCTTGTACTCTAACTCAACAGGCAGGTGACAAGCCTTGCCATAGACTAGGTTGAACGGTGTCGTACCAAGAGGAGTCTTGTAGGCAGTTCGATAGGCCCATAGTGCATCATCTAACTTTGCAGCCCAATCCTTCCCAGTTGTGCCTGCAGTTTTCCGAATGATGTTCTTGATCTCTCTGTTGGATAGCTCCACTTGGCCACTCGTCTGGGGGGTGATAAGGAGTCGCCACCTTGTGCTTCACCCCGTGCCTCTTCAGAAGATTATCAAAAGTTCTATTAATGAAGTGAGAACCTCCATCGCTTATAACAACTCTTGGCACGCCAAATCGAGGGAAGATCACTGACTTGAACATCTTCAGAACGACCTTTGCATCATTAGTGGGACTGGCCAAAGCCTCTACCCACTTATATACGTAGTCGACAGCCACCAAAATGTATAGGTTTCCATAGGAAGATGGGAAAGGTCCCATGAAGTCAACTCCCCACATATCGAAAACCTCTACTTCCAGAATGAAGTTATGTGGTGATATACCTCTATTTTACATACTTTTTATGCTATTTTACTATGGTTTTCTAATGGTTTTCTAGTGGATTCTTGTGTTAAAAGGTAGTTTTTATGGATTTATACTGCAAAGAGTCATTTTAGGTAAAAAGGTGCATTATGGAGCAAAACAGAGGATTTGGACTTCAAACCAGTTCAATGCCACTGCATCAACTTTGGATGGAGCTAGAAAAAGATCTACTCAATGGATTTCATCAAGACCAGTTCCCTGCGTGCTCTGATTGAGTTAACGCAAGTGGAACGGCCTCATTTGGATGAGTAGAAAAGGAGTTATAGCCAAAAGAGTGAAGACTGGTCCAGGCGCTCTATCGAGAAACCGCGGCCAAGCCGTGCAGACGGCCGGCCGAGGAACGAATGTTCCGCGGTCGGCCAAAGTCCAAACCATCCGTCCATGTCTCGGCCAAAGTTCAATCCATCGGCCGATCACATCACGACCCGGGAAGCAATGTCCCGCGGTCGGCCACGCAACCACGAATGCCGCGCACGACCATGCCGCGCGAGCCGGGAAGCAACGCCTCGCGGCCGCGCGACCTACTCACGTACCACGCCGATGCGCCGTCCGAGCCGGGAAGCCACGCCCGCGTCCGGCCAAGAAACATCGGCCAATCTTCACCGTCCGACCACAGCCGGCCGACCAAATCATCCGGCCACGACCGTTCCGATCGGCCACGACCCGATCCGGCCGACCGTCCCGACCGACCGTCCGAACGCCGCGGTCGACCCGAAGCCGTTTTTGAAGCCCAATCCGCACAATTCAAGCCCAAAGCCGGCGCCGACTTAGCAGATTAGGTCTAGCCGCTTTTCATACTTAGTGCATTATAAATACTTCTTTTTAGCCTTGTAACTCAAGAAGGAGAGAGACCACATTATCTTTACATCTTTAATAAAGTTTTGCTTGCTTTTACTTTGTTCTTGCTTGTTCTCTTTCTAGAGAGGATTCGAATCTCTGTTCTTATGAATATGAATTCGTGTTCCTTCTCTATGTCTGAGTAGTTTACTTGTTAAGTGATAGGAAGTCAAAGGATAGCATTCATGTATGCTTGATGATTGATCACAATTAGGGTTTTACTTATAATCTCCATCTTTGCTTATACTTAATGCTTGTTGTTAATCTGGCCAATTAGCATATGATCTTAGGTTGATTTGAGCCTCGAAAGTGCTGTATCATTCGCCTGAACTAGTATTTGGTGGGCAACCTCTTTTAGACTGCGAAAGTTGATTTACTTGTAGGTTGTGAACAATTGAACTTAATCGAACTAATGCTTGATTTAATCACCTAGGGACATACCAAAAGTTTAGCGACTAGGTAGATTAACAAAGGGGTCGGAGCCTCGACAGTGGAATGATCATACCATAGTGTTTCAAGTTCTAGATTGGCACCTAATTGCAGTAACCCTAATTGATTGATTTTGCTTCTGAATTGCTTATCTTAAGACTATCCTATTGCTTAGCCTCTTCTCCTATTGATTTCATTTCTTATTACTTGCATGCCTTTACTTTACTGCACTCAACCAACTTCATACTTTTGCCCTAGCTCGATCTCAATCTTATAGTTTGTAGTGTGCAATCTGGTCCTCGTGTTCGATACCCGTTTACTACTTCTGACCTGTGCACTTGCAGAATCAGGGATAGGAAAGGGAAGACCTGATGATCCCGCGATCATGTGACATCTCATTTCTCTTACTGATGTTCCCCTGTCTCTGGCATACATCACACTTAGACACAAATCTGTGTGCATCTCGGAACATGGTGGGCCACCAGTAGCCAGCTTGTAGTGCCTTGGATACAGTCTTGTATGTGGCGAAGTGTCCAATATAAGACGAGCTATGGCAGTGGAACAAGATCCCACGTATCTCCTCATCAGCTACACATCTCCTGCAAACTCCATCGGTGCAGTGCTTGTATAGGAATGGTTCATCCCAGAAATAGTGCCTAATATCTCTCAAGAACTTCTTCTTCTTGTTCCCTACAAACCCCGTAGGTTCATGCTCAGCAGCGAGGTAATTGGTTATCTCTCCAAACCACGGGAAACTGCGACGGTCAACAGAGTTGCAGCTCACAGTACGGTCTCCGTCATCTCTAGTCGATCGATCTCTGTCACCTGCGCTCGATCGACTTCCATCATCTGCGAGCAGGGCTCGCCGTAATCGATCACAACAACTGCGTAGACGTGCTCATCAGGTAGGCTGTCGTCTAGAGGGACGTCATCATCGATCTTCATCCTTGACAGGTGATCAGCTACACCATTGTCAATCCTTTCTTATCCTTGATCTCCAGATCGAACTCCTGAAGCAAAAGAATCCATCTCAAGAGTCTCGGCTTCGCATCCTTCTTCGTCAGCAAGTACTTCAAGGCAGCGTGATCAGTATGGACAATCACCTTCGATCCAACAAGATAGGACCGAAACTTCTCAAATGCAAACACCACTGCCAATAGTTCCTTTCTCAGTCGTAGGGTACTTGCACTGAGCTTCATCAAGTGTGACTGGCGTAGTAGATCACGTGCAGCTTCTTCTCCTTTCTCTGGCCCAGAACCGCTCCGACAGCATAGTCACTAGCATCTGTCATGACCTCGAAAGGAAGGTTCCAGTCAGGAGGTTGGACAATTGGAGCACTTACTAGAGCTCCCTTGATCGTGTGGAAAGGCCTCCAAGCATGCACTGTCAAAGTCGAACTTGACCTCCTTTACACAACAGCAGCGTCAAAGGTCTGGTGATCTTGGAGAAGTCCTTGATGAATCGCCTGTAGAACCCTGCATGCCCCAGAAAGCTGCGGATTCCCTTGACAGAATTTAGGCGGCTGTAGACTCATCATCACCTCGATCTTCGCTATATCACCTCGATTCCCTTCTCTGAAATCCTATGTCCCAGCACGATCCCATCTCTCACCATGAAGTGGCATTTCTCCCAGTTCAGCACAAGATGTCTCTCCTCACACCGCTGCAATACCCTGCACAGATTAGACAAACACACAGCAAAAGAGCTTCCATAGACAGAAAAGTCGTCCATGAAAACTTCCATTATGTCCTCAATAAGGTCAGTGAAAATAGACATCATGCAGCGCTGGAACGTCGCCGGTGCATTGCACAGTCCAAACGGCATTCTGCGATAAGCATAAGTGCCATATGGACATGTGAATGTCGTCTTCTCCTGGTCGTCTGGGTGGATGGGGATCTGAAAGAAACCTGAGTAACCATCTAAAAAGCAGTAGTATGGATGGTTAGCCAATCTCTCAAGCATTTGATCAATAAATGGGAGAGGAAAATGATCTTTGCGAGTTGCAGCATTCAGTTTGCGGTAATCAATGCACATGCGATGACCAGTGACAGTTCTAGTGGGTATCAGCTCGTTCCTATCATTTTTAACAACAGTTATACCACCTTTCTTAGGAACTACATGCACAGGACTGACCCACTTACTATCAGATATAGCATAAATTACACCAGCATCTAGAAGTTTCATTATCTCTTTCTTGACAACATCTTTTAGATTCGGGTTTAACCTCCTCTGATGTTCTACAGAAGTCATCGATTCATCTTCTAGATGTATTCTATGCATGCAAAGATCAGGAGAAATTCCAGGAATGTCATCTAGCGAATACCCTATAGCTTTTCTATACTTCCTAAGCTCACAGAGAAGCAAAGCAAGTTCAACATTGTTCAGCTCAGCATTCACTATCACAGGGTATGTAGAGTTAGGTCCCAGAAATGCATACCTGAGCCCCGCAGGGAGTGTTTTCAGCTCGAGCTTAGGTGCACTCGACTCGTGATATATCCATATCTTTCATGTTTTTATCAAGGTTTTCACTATGTTTTTAATACAAATAATGTGGTTTTTAAGCCCAAGAGGTAGTTTTCTTGTATATTCTGGTTTTGAGCATCATTCAGGTCAAAATAGCAAAGAAGAGTCCAAAATGGAGCAAAAAGAGTCAAATCACCAAGTTCCCAAGTCTAGAGCACCAAAATACATTTCTCGCTAAAGACCAAACCGGAGCATCCGAAGTACGACCGCATATTCATGCCTTCCCGACGTCCAAAAGTCATGATTCTTATATGGAAAGATAGATATTTGAGTCGTGACCCGCGGCGAAGTGGAAAGAGGTCATTTGGATCACTCGTTGGACCGGAACTTATTTTCTACCAAGACATGTCCGACGAGCGCCTAAGTAGAGCCCATGGAGACTTTGATGGATCAAGAGGCCCGAGATACCGCGCCCAAGGCCTTGGCTCATCTTGACACTAGCATAACTCAATCCAGAAGCTTCCATTGGCCTGAACGCGGCCCATTCAAGAACTTGGAGAGCAAGCTCAAGCGGCTAAAGAGAAATGGAAACTTTCCTCTTCTGCGCGCGCTCAACTTTGCCGACCTAGACCCGCTCTCTACCTATATATACTTGCTTTTAGCCTCTTGTAATAAGAATCACCAGCCGCATAACAAGAAACACTTATTCAATAAAGTTCGGAGCCACTTAGGTGGTCTCCTTCTTCTTTCTTTTCTTCTTTTGCATTTGTATATAGCTTGCATGTTTCAATTTATATAGTCTAGAAGTAGAGATTTCTCCCTAAGGGTGAGGCGTGGTTTAGTCCATATTCCGCCGCCTCTCTCTCTAAGGATTCATGAGACTTCATCTACTATCTAAGACTCATTGTTGAATTATGGATCCTTCCAATGAGGACGTGATATAATGGCCATCGAAAATCGATTGTTAAAAGGGGAAACCCTATGGTTCTCCATCTTTATTTATGCTTAATGCCTGTTGCTAGAGTAGCTAACTAGTGACTTGATTTTAGGTTGATATACTCTCCAAAAGCTTGTTATATCTCCGGATATAGTATTTGATGGGCAAATCGTTTTAGGCTACGAAAGTAGACCTAAAGAGTTTTGTGAACAATCATTACTTGGATGTAATGCATGTCTCACTCTACAATGACCAACGAAAGCTGAGCCCATTGGTTTAAGAGACATAGGGGATTGGAACCACGAAAGTGGAATAATCCTTCCTTAGTGTTTTGAGTTCAAAAGAATCGGATTTTAACAAACTTTTCAATCGACTTGGCTCATGTTTTCAAAAGAGTTTTCAATAGTTCAATAATGTTGCTTGTATAGAATTGCATTGTTATTTTCTTTTGCGTGTTCTCAACAAACACAAACCCTTGCATCTTTTGATTTAGCTTAGTCATTTAAACTCTATGATTATGTAATGTGTGAAATCCAATCCCTTGTGGTTCGACCCCTAAATACTACAATTATATGTTGTGCACTTGCAACACTAGTTGTCTTAGGGAATTATTACTTGTACTCATCCCATAGATGCCGCATCAACTCGCTCCAAGGGCTGTTGACGGGACTCTCCTGAGGTGGAGTCGATCGATCTGGCATCTGTTTCGATCGATCCTCCTCGTCCTCCAAGCTCATGTAACGCCACCAGTCTCTCCATCTTGCCGCTTGCATCCATCATTTTCCCGAAGCCATCGGCTCCTCATTCAGAAATCATACTCTCCTTCGGCTTTAGTCAAAGCTACCTCCAGAGGGTCGTCAAGAAGCATCTCCTCACTCACTTCGTCCACCAAGTTTGAGCCATCTTCAATCACATAGGTTTGCCCATCTAACATTGGCTTCTTGAGGAGTTTGTTCATTTCGAACCTCATGACGATATCTCCCAGATGGAGATCAATGATTCCTCCCTTCACATCAATGATTGCACCAGCTGTGCATAGGAAGTTTCGCCCTAATATCAGTGGATCTTTAGGTTCTTCGTCGAGCTCAAGGACACAAAATCCGCTGGAATGAGTGTATTCACATCCTCAAGTATACCGACTGGGAACTTAGTCGATCTGTCAGCGAAAACCAAAGAACTTTCGTGGGTTTAAACTTGGTGTATCCCAGTCGCTTGGCCACAGAATACGGCATCAGGTTCACTCGAGCCGAGATACAAAGAGAGCATGCGAAGATCATGTGACCAATCTGCACTGACAAGACAAATCTTCCTGGATCGCTCCTCTTCTTTATCACCTTGTTCTTGCAGCACAGCGCTAGCATACACGTTTTCCTCCTCAGCTACTTTCCCAGATATCAGCTCCTTCATGTACTTCTTCAAGCAGGAATCATCTGAACAGCATCAGACAGAGGCAGCTTCACAGTCAAGTCCTTCAACATCTCCTTACACTTTGCTTCCTCCAAATCTTTTCTGGACTTCTTTCCGTGGAACAGGGTAAGGCACCTTAGTGTGTAAGCTCTGGCTGGAGCAGTCTCTGCAGCTGCAGGAGTAGGTGGTCGGATCGTGGGTTCCTGAGATGACGAGGCGTCTCACAGCTTGATCGACTCCGCTTGCAGCTCGATCGACTGTTCCTCGTTGGTTCTCGTCGACTTTCTCCTTGCCTGACCTTTTAGGAGGAATCGCAGCAGGTAACAGCTTCCTCCCACTTCTCAGCTCAACTTGTGCAACATACTCATTCCTGGGGTTCGTCTCTCCTTTCCCAGGAAGGGTTCCATGAGGTCTCTTCACTGCTTCAGCGGTTTGAGCTACTTGGACATCCAGCTTCTTCACATGAGTCCACACAGCCTCGTACTTCCCATTCAGATCGTTGTACATGGTGTCTATCTTCAAGTGTGTCTCCGCAGTGGACTTCTGCTGGTTCATCAACATCTGCTGCATCATACCCTTAAGCTCATCGTTCGGTTGTTCGATGAACTTGAAGGTTGTTGCTGGTTGCTGAACTGCGCCTTCTGTTGGTTACCACCTTGAGAACGGTTCTGGTTTGGGGCAAAGGTCTTCTCCTGGAAGCTGTTGGGGTAGCTCTTCTGATAACTCTGCTGGTTCTGGTTCGATCGCGGCGGATAGACCTGATCCTGAGGATTCTCGACGTTGGTGCTCCTGTAGGACATGTTCGGATGGTTCCTGTAGTTCGAGTTGAAGCCACGGTTCTGCGCAAAAGCTTGCCCATTCACATAGTTGACCTCCATCTGATCATCTTCATCCTCTTCTCCTCCAAACTCTTGAGAGATAGGTGAATCATCATTTTCGTCAACAAAATGAACAGACTTCTGTTGCGCCTTCATCAGTAGATTCACTTTGGCCGTGAGTTCCTCAATTTTCTTCGCTTCAGCACCGCTTCCTTTGACTGATACAGTGCTCACTGTTCTGTCGTACTCAGCGTTCTTGTTGCTAGAGCTCGCTGCAAGATTCTCGATCAGCTCGAATGCACCTTCTTTGGACTTAGTCATGAAATCGCCATTGCTGGCTGAGTTCAAAGCATTCATGTAGTCCCAGTTGACTCCATCATAGAAGATGCTCAGGATTGCTCGTCAGAGTATCCATGATGAGGACACTCTCTTCGGTACTCCTTGTATCTCTCCCATGCTTCGCAGAAAGCTTCTCCATCATACTGCTGGAAAGATGCGATCTTGTCCTTAGAGCTGCATTCTTGGCTTCGTGTAGAAGTGGTCCAGAAACGCTGCTCTAACTTGGGCCCATGAAGTCAAAGACCCAGGTGGTAATGACTTCAGCCAGCGAGATGCTTTGTTGGCAAGTGAGAACGGGAATAGCTTGCACTTCAGAAAGTCAGCTGGTACTCCATTCGAGCCAGTCGTGCTGCATATCTCCTCAAAGTTCTGATATGGTCCAGGAATCTCAGCAGGTAGTCCATGGAAGAGTGATCCTTGACTAGAGCGATCATGCTCGGCTTGATCTCAAAGTCTTGCCTCTGAACGTTTGGAGGGACAATCGCAGACCGGTTTTGATAGAAGGTATGCGGGTTGTCCTTGTCTCCAATAGGCAGCACGTGGTTGCGGTTCTCTATCTTGTTGAGCCTTCCGCATCTGCTCTATCTGCTGCTGGAGTTGCTGCAACTGAGCAGCCATGTTCGGATTGCCGTTATCGCCCATATCGGCTGGATTAGGCCTTTGTTGTCTGTTTGCTCGTTCTACTCTCGCAAGTTCTGCGTTGGACAGGATGAGAAGATCTTCGTTGCGGTTGCTCCGTCGAGATCTAGTGTTCATGCACCTGAAACACACACAAGAAAAACGAGAGAGAACAAGTTAGTAAATCTTAGACTAGATTTTAAATCAAGAATCAAAGGTAACGAATTGGTCCCCGTCGCAACGGCGCCAAATTTGATAGTCTAAAATAGATCCTTTTCTCTACTGCAAATATACAGTGATGAAGTTGTAATATAAAGGATTCGAAATCCAGAGGACCAGCGTTACACTATGAATCTAGGAGATTCAAAACAGAGCTAAGACAAGATGATTGGTTTTAGTAACAAGTGAAAGATGTAAACGTTGATGTAATTCAAATAAAACAAGCACTAGACCAAGGCAATTCGCAGGAGATTCACGGTTAACAACCAAACAACTATTCAGGGCACAGATAAAGAACAGGTCTCGAACTCAAACAAAACAGTATGTCAATTCACTGTCGCGATATTAACAACTTTGCTAACAACCTAGATGTCTAAACTGTCGTTTGAATCTAGCAATTGATGACAAGCAATGCGCACAGGTTCGATATGTTCACGAATCGCCTTAGCATCAACTTTCGCAGGCTAAGGACGATTCGCTCACCACAGTTCGTTCTAACAACCTATTGCACTTTTGATGAACAGGTAAATCTGAGATCAGAGATCGAGTGATCAATCGATCTAAGCAATAAGTTAACAGTGGTGAAGACAGTATGACAGCCCTATCTGTATTCAAGTTCAGTTAACACATGAATCCCTTTGAAAAACCTAGATCTAGCAGGGTGACTACTCAGACATGACGAAACAGAAACATACAATGAAAGAAAGTCATTGAATCAAATAGAAATATAGCAAACAAGAGGGTTCAGAAATCTTCTCCAAACTGTGAAAACAATGGTTCGAATCCTTCTCCCTCAGAAACAATGAAAAACTCTGAAAAACGGCGTAGCCTAAACAATGGCTGAAAGTAGGTCTAAATAGCTCCGGGTCGAGCTCGGTTCAATCCGGTTTGCCACGGTTCGATCGAATCGGTTAGCACGAAGTCGATCAAATGGATGTGCATCTGAGCGGGACGGATCGAACGGCTGAGATTAGACGACGCATGCATGCATGGGATCGATCGAGTTGCACGTCGTACAATGGGATCGATCGATTCACCTCTCGTGTATAAGCAAGATCGATCTCCTCTTCTTGTATGAGCTCGATCGATCCTCCTCTTCTTGTATGGAACAGATCGACTGCTGGTCATCGCATAGGATCGATCGACCTGTGAAGTGAGTCGATCGAGTTCCTTTTTGCTCCGTTTGCCTGCTTTCGCCTGTTGTTGGTCCATGTGACCAAAGCTGTCCCTCGAACGTCTTTAGACCTGAAATGACTCGATAAAGACTAAAAGACTCGATAAAACTCGTGAGAATAAAGGTTAGAATGCGTCAAAAACGCAAGATATCAAGCAGCTTGGAAGGGCCAGCCGTAGGGTGTGGGAACTTGAATTGGTATCTTCCATTCACTTCCTTGTGATCTATGAGGAGGTTGGTCTTGCAAAACTTGATGTCCATCCAACCAGGCTCAGTAGCCTTCTTATCAGTTGGGTTCACGCCAGCAGCACACATGATAGGGGTGATGAGCCCTCCAACACTTAGCCGTCTTCCTTGTTGAAATTGAGTGTTGTAGGCCGTGGTCTTGTAGGTGAGGAGATGATCAAGGAAGGGCATGAGGTTTCCTGTGTTGGATCTATCTCCCTTGATCCTCCTACCATCGCTTGTGTGTGAGAGGATGGGCTTGATTCCCATATCAAGAAGCTTGAACTCTCCCTCATTAATGGTGTCGGTTGCTTTCCTTGCAAAGAAAGTGTTGGCTAGTGCCTTGTGCACATACCTCAGCACTGGGCTCCTGATTTGAGCCGCCTTAGACCGTGAGGATGAGTACTCTCCTTCAGCGATTGTAGCCCACACACTTTGGAGCTCTCTTTCCTTAAAGTCTCATTGAGTTCCCTCTCCATAGTTGAAACCAAACAAGATCTCCAACTGCCTAAAAGTTACCATTCTTTTGACTCCATTAGCCAAGTGATCCACCCCAATCGTTGATCCAAATCGGCTCTATCCTCCTCATCATACATCTAGTATCTCATTGAAGCCAAGAACTCACAAGTGAGCTCCTTGTATGACTCCAAGTGATGAGAAAAGAACCTCCACAAGTGCATGTTCTTGAGTACCAACTCCACATCATTGAAGATTCGAAGAGCCTTCATAGTTTTTTCATGAGGGTACTTGGTTTCCACAAAGTCCATGGAAAAGAGAGCATTGTAGTGCTCTTGGAACATGGGAAGTTCATCCTCCATTGGCTCATCTTGGTTATTCTCATCAACCTCTTGATTAACCTCCTCTCCTTCTTCACTTGGAGAGCTATCACTTTCCTCCTCTCCATGATTGATCCCAATATCAAACTCTCCTTGCTCGCTCTCACTACTTATTGGGTCCTTCCTCTTCTTGGTCCTCCTCTCTTCCCTCAATCTATCACTCTCAGATTCCAAATCTTCCTGATTATAGCCCTCAGCCTCAGAAACTTCAATCCTTTGACTCATTCCTTCCAACTCGGCTTGCAACCTTTTCTTCTCTTGAATCGCATTGCTTGATTCACCCTCAACCATTCTCCTCTGCGAAGCACGGCTTCCCTCACTGCTTGTCATCCTTGTTATGCTTCTCTTCTACTAAGGTTCCTTAAATTCATCAAAGGTTACAAAGAATTAGAGTTGTAATGATCGATTCGGTCAACTCGACACACACGATCGAGTCAAAAAACTCGAGTGACAAACTCGATCGAGCTAAGTGAAAACAGAGTAAAACCGAATCTAAATACAGTATTAAGAGCTGGATAGGATGCTAAACAATCAAATTGATCTAAGAACAGCAAGAACTTGGAACAATAAGCAATTCAAGTGAAGACTATAGCATCATAACCAATACCAAACTCAAATTCAAAGGTTTCAAGCACATGCAACAATTTCATGGCAAAACTGAGGTGAGGTGAGGCAAGTTCACAAAATTATATAAGCAGGAGATGGATATGAAAGCAATTACTCAAGAACAAGTCCACAAGGGACACATGCAATCAAAATTCAAGAGAACAACAAGTGATAGATAGGAATCGAACTTAAGTATTTTGGGGGTTTAGGGTTCATACCTTGCTTGGATGATGATTGAACTAGAACAGTAGCTAGACACTAAAGCAATTCAAGATATTGAACAAGGAGGAAATCACAAAAACTTAAGAGAGGATGAGAGATTTTCGGGTTTCCTTAGAGAGATGAGAGAGATGAATGATTTTCAGAAATTTTTGAGTGTGGGAGAAAGAGATGGGTTGTGCGATCGAGTTATGGGGAAGAGGAAGTGTTTGAGATGTGTGGTGAGGATTTAAAGATGGTTTAAAGAGGGGACAAAAGCTAAGGGTTTTTCTGATCGAAATAGGAAAGTGGGGGACCAAAACTTACATGTGGGACCCACCCCCTTGCCTAAGGAATCGGTTAAAAATTTGAAATTCAAAAAAATTTATGTGTGTGATGTAATGATATGAATGTAAATATGAAATGAGGTGGAATGCAACAGTGGTAAATGAAGATGGGATGGTATGGTGCAAAACACAATCACAATCAATCAATTCCCTTAACCATCATAGTCATTGAAGTATAAGGGGTATCAATCCATAAGGGAGAAATGTTACTCTATGAATATGCAATCACAAGAAAGTCAAGCAAAGATAAAAGGAGGATGTAACACTAACAACCTAAGAAATGAAATGCAGTGCAATAAATAAAGAAAGCAGTAAAGCAAGCAGCTCGACCAAGGACTCGAGTCGAGTGGGAACAGAGTAACCAAGCTCGATCGAGTTGAGGGTCGAGTTAGCGTAAAAAGAGATAAAGGCAGGAACTTTAACAAGCTAATGCGAATATTAGGGTCTAAGACAGGGTCTTACAACTAGAGGAAGACTATACTTAATCAATCTTGCTCTTAAACAACTTGTATCAAGGTATCTCTTGATATTGAGCTTCTCAATGCCTAGCTAACCCTTTCCCAAGGTGAAAGCTATCAACCAAGACATGATCTCAGAAACAGGGGGTTAGCCAGTGAGAGTCAAGCCTTGGAGGCAGTAGGATCATTGCTCAAACTAATCCATCCAACACCTATGAACTCCATTTCGAGAGCAAGGTTTATTGGAGCTCTTAGTGGACCTTTTCAAGCGATTTCCAACACTTCCATGTGGAAAATCGCCTATGACATACAAGCCAGGGGTAGTGGTCATGTAGCCTTAAGGTTTGTCCAAAAGAGAGAGATTTCTAGATTAAGAACATAAGCAAGAGATTAAGCATAAGGATCCTCTAATCTAGCCCATCTTAAACCCTAAAGGAAACTACTCACTACACATGAATGAAAACACAATCAAATGCAATGAAATAGACATTAAAGAAAGAGGAGATAAAGATAAACAACTTTTATTGAAATAAGCAAGTGCAAATACAAAGAAATAACCTAGATCTAAGGTTCAAGAGCAAGAAGCTCAAGAACACAAAGAGAGGTTAAGAGTTGCAAAAAGTAAAATACAAAATTAAAAGAAAGCTAAAACAAAAATAAGCTAAAGATTGTTGTCTTTTTCGTGGCTTAGAGCCTTTAAATACAAGAGAGATTAGGTTTAGGGTCAAAGGGAAGTCAAGGGGGAAGCAACATTTTTCGGGTTTGACTGTTGACTTCTCAGCTCGATCGAGTTGAAGCTTGGCCGGTCGAGTTGAGGAACTCGACCGGATGGTCGAGTAGGTGGTCGAGCTGACTTCAAGATGGCTTCCTCCTTCTTCCTTTGCGTGTGTTGAGCTGCGTCCATGCACCAAGTCCTTCCTTGCTCCTCACGTCCCAAATGCTCCAAAGTGCTCCAAAAGACCTATTTCAAGGACCAAACATGCACATGTATGCAAATGCAACCTAAAACTACTATGAATGCACAAGAAGGGAAAAGGAACAAGATATGATGCTAATGGATGCTAAAACTATGCAAAAGATGCATAAATGAATAGGACTCGGTCGGACTAAGGAACCTCGACCGATTGGTCTAGGTGATGCTTCAAACCGCCATAAAAAAAGACAAGGGATTTTCCCACCACCTGTTCAGAACCACAACTTTGAGATCAAGCTGGGTATGATCAACCTTGTGCAGAACAAGATGTTCCATGGATTGCCAAGTGAAGACCCCATTGATCACCTTGATGATTTTGATAGGTTATGTGACATGACCAAGATCAATGGTGTCTCTGAAGATGCCATCAAGTTGAGACTCTTCCCTATGTCTTTTGCTGACAAAGCTCACCAATGGGAGAAGAGCTTGCCCCATGGCACAATCACTACTTCGGATGAATGCAAGAAGGCCTTTCTCCACCGGTCGCACAGCCAAGCTAAGAAGTGAGATTTCAAGCTTCATACAGAGGAACAATGAAACTTTTGCTGAGGCTTGGGAGAGGTTCAAGAGCTACACAAGTCAGTGTCCCCATCATGACTTCAACAATGAGTCTTTGCTCTCTACCCTCTATAGAGGTTGTTTGGAAAGGTATAAAGAGATGTTGGACACAGCCAGCAACGGGAACTTCCTTAATCAGACTGGAGCTCGACCGCGCACTCGATCGAGTTGGAAGCACTGATGAGAAAAGACATGGTTGCACTCAATTCGAAGTTGGACAAACTGATCCTGGCTCAATTCTCTGCTAAGCATGTCAATTATGTCTCTGGAAAAGCTCTAGTTAAGGATCAGGAAGGGGAGGAGAACCAACATGAGGTTTGCTATATTCAAAATAGACTAGGAGGCTATAGGAATCCTCACCAAGGACATTGATGTGGAGTCAGGTTTTACCAAACTCCTAGACCTCTGCAAGTGCACAGATCGCGGAAGTATGGGTATCGAACACAAGGACTGGCTATTGAGTACACTTTGAAACTATGGATTTTGGATCAAGCTAAAACAAAAGTATGATTGAGGTTGTAATGGTGAACCGAACTAGCAAGTATAACGAGGTTGTAAACAATAAGGAGGAAACGCTAGGTCATAGGGGCTATCGCAGAGAAGCAAGCAATGATCAATGAAACAATGATAGATGAATTGATTAGGGATGTTGGGATATTAAGAACCGTCTAGAACACAGATCACGAATATAAAACCATTCCACTTTCGAGGCTCCGGCTCCTTTGTTAATCTACCTAGTCGCTAAACTTTTGGTATGTCCCTAGGTGATTAAATCAAGCTTTAGAATGAATAGGTTCTGATACAGTTCACTAGATTATAGTAGATCAACTTTCGCAGTCTAAGAAACCTAGCTTGTCAAAGAATATGTCCGGCGAATGATACAACACTGTCGAGGCTCAAATCAACCTAAGATCGGATTACTAGATGCGCGGTAAAGCAATCAGCATTAGTTAAGTGCACAAGACGAGACAAAGACTCTATATAATCCCTAGCTAATCATTGAAATCAAAGATCATGCAAGCAACTCATTGAATAGTAACCCTAGCAACCTAACTAGTGGATTACTCAGACATGATCAAAGCAAACACACATAGAGATGAAGAAAACATGATTGCAATAAAACTTAGAGTAGGAAATCGAAATACAAGGGCGGCTCTCTTTTCACAAGAGGCTAAAAAGCTATATATATAGTGCTAGGTCTTTAGAGGCGGCTTAGGGTTAAGCCGGGCTTGAAAATATGTGAAACGGGCTTCAAAACGGGCTTCGGGTCGACCGCGGCGTTGGGACGGTCGGTCGGGACGATCGGGTCATGGCGTCGTACGATCGGAACGGTCGTGGCCGGACGGATTCGTGGTCGGCCGCTGTGGTCGGACGGATGAAGTTTGGCCGATGATTTCGGCCGGACGTAGTTCCCGGCTCGGACGGCGCATCGGCCGTGGTACGCGAGAAGGTTGCGCGGCCGCGAGGCTTGTTTCCCGGCTCGCGCGGCTGGTCGTGCGCGGCTGGCGTGAGCGGTTGTGGCTTGGCCGACCGCGGGACAGTTTCCCGGGTCGTGATGCGTGATCGGCCGACGGTTTGAACTTTGGCCGAGACTTCAGACGGACGGATGTGATTTGGCCGAGCGGAACATTCGTTCCTCGGCCAGCCGGACTGCGCGGTTTGGGCGCTGATTCTCGATAGAGCCGTCTGGACAGTCTTCACTCTTTTGGTTGTAACTCCTTTTCTACTCATCCAAATGAGGCCATTCCAGTTGCGTTGGAAAGTTAACTCAATCAGAGCACGCAGGGAACTGGTCTTGATGAAATCCATTGAGTAGATCTTTTTCTGGGCCCTCTTAAAGTTGATGCTTGTGCATGGAGCGGCTTGAAGTGCAAATCCTATGGTTTTGCTCCAAAATGCATCATTTCACCTGTTTAGACTCTAGACACTATAAACACAGTAAAACTACCTTTTTAGATAGAAAACCTGCCAAAAACCATTAGAAAACAATACTAAAACAGTATAAAAAGCATGTAAAATAGAGGTATATCAACTCCCCCAGACTTAGATCTTTGCTTGTCCTCAAGCAAAAAGAATCTAAATCCGTGAAAGAGGTTTGAAAACGTGGAAGCTCCCTTGCTCTTTTGAATATCCTGTGAAAGGTTCCTTTCCTGTATTCCACTATGAACATAGACAACATAAGGTTAGCTTCACATACACCCTGCAAGTTTAGCGAACAATACCAACCCAACTAGTCTCATCCAGCAATCCAAACTCTCTATTGCTAACCTCTTGCATAAATTTAAAGCGTGAATTCTTTATCAAGGGGACATCGATCAATTGAACTTGTTCTTACCCACTTGATCTTCTCCAAGATTGTCTTTAAGTGCAATGAGTTCTTTTCCTCTCTCTTTCTCACATCAGAACTTTGAAAGGTCAATTTCTCCCTACTTTTCTAGGGTATCATTTTATTTTTTCTATTGACCCTTCTTTCAACCACAGGATAAGTCTTTAGCTTGTTCCTTGTTTGACTAAGGTATTCCATAAGACATGAAGGTACAGACATATGCATTCCTCATGCTTACTTGTTTTCCTTGTGCTCTTTGAGCTTTTTCTCATAACATTACTTACCATTTGGGATGGGAGAGAGAGGAGAACTCTTTAAAGATTAGACAAATCTTATTGAAAATCAAGCAAGGAACTGTCGACATGTATGCCAACCCCCTTGACAAGAGTATTAAGATTGATTAAGGGTGAGGTTAACTCTAGATTGCTTGGTTACCTTAGAAATTTTGCTGAGCTAGCATGTCGATCCACTGTAAGAGCTTCTGTTAGGCTTGTGCCTTTAGCTGGTTTCTGCTCTAGGGTCATGGATTGTTAGCACAACACTCTCAATTCTCAAAGCAAGTTCATAACTTCCGGACTGGTTTTTGACTCAATAAAACTTTTTGAAAAACATGAAACAAAGTGAATAAAACATAAGAAAAGAAAGAAAAATGCATTAGTAACACAATAAAACTCCCCCCAGACTTAACTTGCACCGTCCCGGTGAAAGCAAATCACATTAAGGTGAGAGGTAATATTCAAAGTAAAAGAAAAATAAAGAAAAATTCATTAAAATGAGATAGGGATAGAAAATGGAGATTTGTAAGTGTCCATTGCACTAAGTACCACTTGAGATGACTATGTGTGGCAGTGAGAAGAACTCTCTTCCTCATCTATGGGGTCATCGCCTTCTGAACCAAGCTCTGAGTCTAGTGAGAACTCACCAAGGTCAGGCTCATATGGCTCTCTAGCGGTGGAAGAAGGGCGAAAGAGTCTCTCCGGTGCAATGTGGCGAACTACACGACTAGGCGTGAGATGAAGCGAGATTGGCATTCCACTATCTTCTCCAGCTTGTTAACACGGTCTAGAGCTTGGTGCGCGGCCATGCCAGTAGTGAGAACATGGCGTTCTTGGTGGCGGCGTTGAGTCTTGACTGCATGCTGAAGTGTGCGATAGGTGAGCATGGGGAATGATGGTTTCTCACTTGATGGAACATAGAAGTCTTCCTCATTGGGCTGGAAAGTGACAACTCCTGAGCGTAGGCTTGGGATGTCTTCATGTGGCAGCAAGACAAGGGAAGTGTTGGCTGGACCAATTGGAAACTCATAGCAAAACCGAGTTGGGTCTTTAGTCCAACGGTTTAGGAAGTGGATGTGCTGAAGAGCATGGAGATCCAAAGGGGTTGGCTTGGGTAGTGGCTCATAGTTGGGAATGTCAATCCCCACATGTTGTACTATGGCCGTGATAAGCCTCCCAAAACGAACACAAAGCTTCTTGTTGCCTTCCAAGTCTTGAGCTAGCTTCCTCACATTGATGAATGTCTTGGCAAGTAAAAGTCCAAGGTTGGCCTTGTACTCATGCTTGATGAATGGTGTGGTGAGGATGTAGAACTCATCAGTTGTGACCTTGTTGGCTTCTTGTTTGCATTGGAAAGTGGTGGAGATGAGGCGGTGCACATAGCGAATGGCTGGATGAGTGATTCTAGACACCTTTGACCTTGAAGGCAAGAATGGTTCATTGGCAAAGTGTGTCCAATCAGCAAAGGCAGCTTGTTTCCTCTTTGAGTTCTCCTTGAAGTCATGTGCTGTCTCATTGGGAAGTCCAAAGAGTTGGCATAGAGCTGAGATGGAGATGCGCCCATTGGCATCGCCTATCTTGAAGAGTAGGAGTCCATCACCAGCTGGTTGGTCTCCATTGTGGTTGGGAAAGGCAAGAGCTACTGTGGAGAGGAACTCCTTGGTGAGTTGTGAGTACTCACTACATCTAGCTTGAAGAGCTTGCTCAAGCCTAGCTTCCTTATGTACCATGTGACATCATCTCTTATCTTGAGAAGATCAAGGGTTTGGGTGTCCATCTTCACACATGGTTCGATGTTCACCTTCTCCATTGCCTTCTTGCACTTTCTTGGGTCTTGGATTTGTTCTCCAACAAAGGTTACAAGTGCCCAATCATCTTCTCCTCTTCTTGGACTCTCCACATGTTCTTGACTTGCATCAATGGAATGTGGTGAAGTTGGTATTGCTGCTCTTGCATTGGAGCTACTACTCCCTAGCTTGATTTGTTTCTTTGGTGGTTGCATGAATGGGTCTTCTTCTTCTTCATACTCTCATTTCCTTTTGTCTTTGCCATTGGGTACCTACAAGAGCAAATTCTTGGGAAGAGAATATGAGTTTGTGATTAATGCAAAAGAAGAATAAGCTAATTGAGTTGTAATAATGATATGGAATAATGGAACAACTCAAGGCTTAATCATGAATCAAAGAGACAAAATGGAAATTTCACTTTTTCAAAATTAATTTTCGGATTTTACTGTTCATCTCAAGATTATGGTGCTTAAAATCAAAATTTTTAGCAAATCAAGAGAAATTGAGTTTCTAATCCAAGTAATCACTAGATAAACTAATGAATTGAAGTATGCCTAAGCAATTTCACCTTTGAATGAGGGGTTTGGAATGCCCAATAAGTTTTGTGAAAAACTATTCAATTGTGAAATTAAACTTCAAATTAACTCTAAACCACCTAGGTTCCACCTAGCAAAGTTCATTACAAGACTATAAGGATGTAATTTCAAGTTTAGACAAGAGTTTAGACCAAACAAGAAACTTATTGAAATTTTCGATCTTGCATAAACATAGGATTAGAGTTAGAAGACATACCTTGTGTGTTGAAAAGTGAATAAGGTTGCAAGAGCAAGTAAATTCCAATTTAGAGTTATGAACAGTAAAAGTTTTGAAATCAAAACTCTTAGAGTTCCTCTAATGGAGTTTAGGGTTTTGGAGAAGAAAGAGAGGTTCTTGTTGTTTTCAAGGGAAAGGTGAAGTAAATAAGATCTAAATCCTATCAATTTTCCTTTTCAAATTCGAATTTTGATTGAAAACCGGTTTAAGTTGGTTTAGGATTGGTTAAAACCGGTTTGAATTAATGAAAAGGGGACTTACCTTGGCCGAGAAAAGTTTTGGGCCGATGGCCGAGGATTTTGTCGCGGTCGAGCGATTTGGTCGGCCAAATTCGTTGGACGAGAGATTTCGGCCGAGGCCGAGTATGTTTCCCGGATCGACCGGCACGGTCGGTCCGTTCCGATACAAAATTCGGCCGATCGCGGCCGTTTCTTCCTGGTTCGTGCGTGCTCGCGAACGGTTCTGTCGCGATAGAGTAATCCGGCCGAGCAGCCGTTCCTTCCCGGCTCGACCGTAACGGTCGGCCAGATGGAATTTGCTCGGCCAAAATTCTTTGCGCGTCCGCGGCCAATGTTTTGGCGCGGATTGTGTTTTCACACCTTTTTCTCCTTCTATCCTATCTTAAAACAAAGAAAACACAAAAGCAAAACAAAAACTAAGAAATTTAAAGAAAGAAAAGTAAAAGTACCTCATGGGTTGCCTCCCATGCAGCGCTTGTTTTAAGTCTTTAGCTTGACTGTAAGGCTTGGCGCTCAGGAGAAGATGGAGACAAGAGGCATCTTTGATCTGGTGGGTGATTCACAGCTGGATAGACAATCTCTCCATGAATGTCCCTTGGCACTACTGCCTTAGGAAAAAGCTTTAGAGTTCTTGTAACTTTCTCCTTGAATCCTTCTAGATTCTCATCAATAAGCTCCTTTGGGAATAGAAGCTTCATGTTGCGGCCAGACCTAGGTTTTCTAACCTTCCTTCTTGGCTTGGCCTCATCTTCAATCTTGGTGATCCCTTGGGCGGTTTTGGTGTAGGGGCCTTAGTCTTACTCCTTGCTTGTGTGGCAAGCTGCTTGGGCTTAGGAATGGGATCTTCCTTGACTGTATCTTCAGTTTCTCCTTCTTGGGGTGGCTTCAAAGTAACTTTCTCCTCTTGGACCATGTCAACAAAGAGTCTTTGTTGAACAAATAGGGAAAAACATACCCTTGCACCATCACATTAGGCACAAAGCCATAGGGGGTTTGTGAGAATGAATCAGCATAGTTGATGGAGATGGATGATGGCTGTATCTTGGTGAGGCCTATCTTGTCAGCTATCCTCTTAGACATGATGTTCACATTGGCTCCTGTGTCACACAAAGATTGCTCAAGAATGTTACCTTTGATGATACAAGGCACAACAAACTTTCCTGAGTTATCAGTCTTGGGGATAATCTTTGGAAAAGTCTTCTCTTTCTAGCTCGATTGGACTCTCTCTCTGGGTAATCTCTTCAGGCCAAATCATGCAATCAACAGTAGGTTTTGAAAGCATCCATTCTGGAACTTGATCTTCAAATCTTTCTTCTATGGCGGCTGAGTTGCAAAAGGACTTCTTGGATTCAGCTTCCTGTCTCTTAACAGCTTCCATAGTTTGAGTGACTTGAGTCTCTAGTTTCTTCACATGAGTGGCAACAGCATCATACTTGGTGTTGAGATTGCTGAACAAAGTGTCCATCTTCTCATACATCTCTTTGCTATTCCTTTTCTGGCCATCCATGATCTGTTGGAGGATTCCTTCAAATCTCCCACCTTGTTGGTTTGGAGGAGCTTGATTTGGTGAAGAAGCATATGGCTCCTTGGGCGGATATGATGTCTCTGCTCATACCCTTGCCTTGGCTGGAATTGACTTCCTTGAGATTGGTAAGGAGGTCTTTGTTGTTGTGGATACCTTGGAGGATACACTTGGTCTTGAGGATTCTCCACATTGGGGTTTCTATAAGACATGTTGGGGTTTGGGCGATAGCTTGGATTGTATCCCTTGTTCCCATAGTTTCCAATGTAGTTCACATCTTCTTCATTGGCTTCATTAGAGAAATCTCCCATGCATTCTCTTGATGGGTCTTCATTCGCATCACTCATCCCTTCTATTGCATTGATATGCTTGAGCTGTCCCTTAAGAACTTGAGCCATCATGTTCTTGAGTTCAGTCATTTGAAAAGAATCAGGGGAGCTAGTAGTGGTGCGGCTTGAGCGGTCATAATCAGGACAGTTGTTACAATCACTAGCTGCAAGATTCTCAATAAGAACCTTAGCTTCATCAACAGTCTTGGTCATGAAGTTTCCATTGCTTGCAGTGTCCAATGAAAGCTTGTACTTGTGGTCTATGCCACGATAGAAGATGTTCCATAGGTTTCCCTCATTGAAACCATGATTAGGGCAGTCCCTAATGTACTCCTTGAATCGGTCTAGCGCCTCATAGAAAGATTCATTGTTGGCTTGGCGAAAGTTGGAGATCTTGTTCCTTACAGAAACTGATCTTTGCTTGGTGTAGAAGTGGTTGATGAAAGCGGCCTTGTACTCATCCCAAGTGGTAATGGAGTGAGCTGGCAGAGACTTCAACCATCTTGAAGCTTTGTCGCCAAGAGAGAATGAAAAGAGCTTGCACTTCAAGTAGTCAGCAGAGACTCCATTGGATCTAGTAGTGCTGCAAATCTCTTCAAAGTTTTCTATGTGATCAAGAGGATGCTCGGCTGGAAGGCCATTGAATTGGTTCTGTCTAACCAATGCTATGATCTGAGGCTTGATCTCATAGTCATTCCTTGCAGGAAGTGGTGGATGGATAGGGTTTCTATCCGTGAAGAAAGCATCGGCAGAGTCATAATCTCCGATTGTTTGGACTCCTGCTTGAGGTTGCACATTCACATCTCCAGCAGGGTCTTGTGGATTAGGAGGAGGAGGAGGTGGATCTCGTCCTTCTTCATTGGCGCGCGCCACTTCAGCGGCGTGAGCGCGAGCTGCTTCGTCGGCCATCTCTTGGGCTTTTTGCTTCCTAAGTTAACTTCTCGAGCTTGTCTATCTCTGGATGTTCAACTAGGTTGTCCTTGTTGGACCTCCTAGTCATGCACCTGAAAAGATTCTAGGAAACAAACTAAATCAAAAGGGAAAAACAAATGCAAAAGCAAAAATCAAAGAAAAGAAATCAAAAACTAAAATTCAAAAGCAAAAGAAAAGCAAAACAGGAAAGGTTCTAGACTAGATCCTAGTCGAGTCAAAGGTACTGCTGCAGTCCCCGGCAACGGCGCCAAAAACTTGATGTGGAGTCAGGTTTTACCAAACTCCTAGACCTCTGCAAGTGCACAGATCGCGGAAGTATGGGTATCGAACACAAGGACTGGCTATTGAGTACACTTTGAAACTATGGATTTTGGATCAAGCTAAAACAAAAGTATGATTGAGGTTGTAATGGTGAACCGAACTAGCAAGTATAACGAGGGCAATGTGAAACAATGATAGATGAATTGATTAGGGATGTTGGGATATTAAGAACCGTCTAGAACACAGATCACGAATATAAAACCATTCCACTTTCGAGGCTCCGGCTCCTTTGTTAATCTACCTAGTCGCTAAACTTTTGGTATGTCCCTAGGTGATTAAATCAAGCTTTAGAATGAATAGGTTCTGATACAGTTCACTAGATTATAGTAGATCAACTTTCGCAGTCTAAGAAACCTAGCTTGTCAAAGAATATGTCCGGCGAATGATACAACACTGTCGAGGCTCAAATCAACCTAAGATCGGATTACTAGATGCGCGGTAAAGCAATCAGCATTAGTTAAGTGCACAAGACGAGACAAAGACTCTATATAATCCCTAGCTAATCATTGAAATCAAAGATCATGCAAGCAACTCATTGAATAGTAACCCTAGCAACCTAACTAGTGGATTACTCAGACATGATCAAAGCAAACACACATAGAGATGAAGAAAACATGATTGCAATAAAACTTAGAGTAGGAAATCGAAATACAAGGGCGGCTCTCTTTTCACAAGAGGCTAAAAAGCTATATATATAGTGCTAGGTCTTTAGAGGCGGCTTAGGGTTAAGCCGGGCTTGAAAAATAGTGAAACGGGCTTCAAAACGGGCTTCGGGTCGACCGCGGCGTTCGGACGGTCGGTCGGGATGATCGGGTCATGGCCGCTCCTAGTACGAATCGGAACGGTCGTGGTCGGACGGGTGAAGTTTGGCCGATGATTTCTTGGCCGGACGCGGGACGTAGTTCCCGGCTCGGACGGCGCCATCGGCCGTGGTACGCGAGAAGGTTGCGCGGCCGCGAGGCTTTGTTTCCCGGCTCGCGCGGCTGGTCGTGCGCGGCATGGCGTGAGCGGTTGTGGCGTGGCCGACCGCGGGACATGCTTCCCGGGTCGTGATGCGTGATCGGCCGAACGTTTTGAACTTTGGCCGAGACTTCAGACGGACGGATGTGATTTGGCCGAGCGTGAACATTCGTTCCTCGGCCAGCCGGTCTGCGCGGTTTGGGCGCTGATTCTCGATAGAGCCGTCTGGACCAGTCTTCACTCTTTTGGTTGTAACTCCTTTTCTACTCATCCAAATGAGGCCATTCCAGTTGCGTTGGAAAGTTAACTCAATCAGAGCACGCAGGGAACTGGTCTTGATGAAATCCATTGAGTAGATCTTTTTCTGGGCCCTCTTAAAGTTGATGCTTGTGCATGGAGCGGCTTGAAGTGCAAATCCTATGGTTTTGCTCCAAAATGCATCATTTCACCTGTTTAGACTCTAGACACTATAAACACAGTAAAACTACCTTTTTAGATAGAAAACCTGCCAAAAACCATTAGAAAACAATACTAAAACAGTATAAAAAGCATGTAAAATAGAGGTATATCAACTCCCCCAGACTTAGATCTTTGCTTGTCCCCAAGCAAATAGAATCTAAACTAGTGAAGAGGTTTGAAAACGTGGAAAATCCATTGCTCTTTTCAAGTGCAATGAGTTCTTTTCCTCTCTCTTTCTCACATCAGAACTTTGAAAGGTCAATTTCTCCCTACTTTTCTAGGGTATCATTTTATTTTTTCTATTGACCCTTCTTTCAACCACAGATAAGTCTTTAGCTTGTTCCTTGTTTGATAAGGTATTCCATAAGACATGAAGGTACAGACATATGCATTCCTCATGCTTACTTGTTTTCCTTAGGGATGGGAGAGAGAGGAGAACTCTTTAAAGGTTAGACAAATCTTATTGAAAATCAAGCAAGGAACTGTCGACATGTATGCCAACCCCCTTGACAAGAGTATTAAGATTGATTAAGGGAGGTTAACTCTAGATTGCTTGGTTACCTTAGAAATTTTGCTGAGCTAGCATGTCGATCCACTGTAAGAGCTTCTGTTAGGCTTGTGCCTTTAGCTGGTTTCTGCTCTAGGGTCATGGATTGTTAGCACAACACTCTCAATTCTCAAAGCAAGTTCATAACTTCCGGACTGGTTTTTGACTCAATAAAACTTTTTGAAAAACATGAAACAAAGTGAATAAAACATAAGAAAAGAAAGAAAAATGCATTAGTAACACAATAAAACTCCCCCCAGACTTAACTTGCACCGTCCCGGTGAAAGCAAATCACATTAAGGTGAGAGGTAATATTCAAAGTAAAAGAAAAATAAAGAAATTCATTAAAATGAGATAGGGATAGAAAATGGAGATTTGTAAGTGTCCATTGCACTAAGTACCACTTGAGATGACTATGTGTGGCAGTGAGAAGAACTCTCTTCCTCATCTATGGGGTCATCGCCTTCTGAACCAAGCTCTGAGTCTAGTGAGAACTCACCAAGGTCAGGCTCATATGGCTCTCTAGCGGTGGAAGAAGGGCGAAAGAGTCTCTCCGGTGCAATGTGGCGAACTACACGAACTAGGCGCGAGATGAAGCGAGATTGGCACTCCACTATCTTCTCCAGCTTGTTAACACGGTCTAGAGCTTGGTGCGGCCATGCCAGTAGTGAGAACATGGCGTTCTTGGTGGCGGCGTTGAGTCTTGACTGCATGCTGAAGTGTGCGATAGGTGAGCATGGGGAATGATGGTTTCTCACTTGATGGAACATAGAAGTCTTCCTCATTGGGCTGGAAAGTGACAACACCTGAGCGTAGGCTTGGGATGTCTTCATGTGGCAGCAAGACAAGGGAAGTGTTGGCTGGACCAATTGGAAACTCATAGCAAAACCGAGTTGGGTCTTTAGTCCAACGGTTTAGGAAGTGGATGTGCTGAAGAGCATGGAGATCCAAAGGGGTTGGCTTGGGTAGTGGCTCATAGTTGGGAATGTCAATCCCCACATGTTGTACTATGGCCGTGATAAGCCTCCCAAAACGAACACAAAGCTTCTTGTTGCCTTCCAAGTCTTGAGCTAGCTTCCTCACATTGATAATGTCTTGGCAAGTAAAAGTCCAAGGTTGGCCTTGTACTCATGCTTGATGAATGGTGTGGTGAGGATGTAGAACTCATCAGTTGTGACCTTGTTGGCTTCTTGTTTGCATTGGAAAGTGGTGGAGATGAGGCGGTGCACATAGCGAATGGCTGGATGAGTGATTCTAGACACCTTTGATCTTGAAGGCAAGAATGGTTCATTGGCAAAGTGTGTCCAATCAGCAAAGGCAGCTTGTTTCCTCTTTGAGTTCTCCTTGAAGTCATGTGCTGTCTCATTGGGAAGTCCAAAGAGTTGGCATAGAGCTGAGATGGAGATGCGCCCATTGGCATCGCCTATCTTGAAGAGTAGGAGTCCATCACCAGCTGGTTGGTCTCCATTGTGGTTGGGAAAGGCAAGAGCTACTGTGGAGAGGAACTCCTTGGTGAGTTGTGAGTACTCACTACACTCTAGCTTGAAGAGCTTGCTCAAGCCTAGCTTCCTTATGTACCATGTGACATCATCTCTTATCTTGAGAAGGTCAAGGGTTTGGGTGTCCATCTTCACACAAGGCTCGATGTTCACCTTCTCCATTGCCTTCTTACACTTTCTTGGGTCTTGGATTTTGTTCTCCAACAAAGGTTACAAGTGCCCAATCATCTTCTCCTCTTCTTGGACTCTCCACATGTTCTTGATTGCATCAATGGAATGTGGTGGTTGGTATTGCTGCTCTTGCATTGGAGCTACTACTCCCTAGCTTGATTTGTTTCTTTGGTGGTTCCATGAATGGGTTCTTCTTCTTCTTCATACTCTCATTTCCTTTTGTCTTTGCCATTGGGTACCTACAAGAGCAAATTCTTGGGAAGAAATATGAGTTTGTGATTAATGCAAAAGAAGAATAAGCTAATTGAGTTGCAATAATGATATGGAATAATGGAACAACTCAAGGCTTAATCATGAATCAAAGAGACAAAATGGAAATTTCACTTTTTCAAAGTTAATTTTCGGATTTTACTGTTCATCCCAAGATTATGGTGCTTAAAATCGAAATTTTCAGCAAATCAAGAGAAATTGAGTTTCTAATCCAAGTAATCACTAGATAAACTAATGAATTGAAGTATGCCAAGCAATTTCACCTTTGAATAAGGGGTTTGGAATGCCCAATAAGTTTTGTGAAAAACTATTCAATTGTGAAATTAAACTTCAAATAACTCTAAACCACCTAGGTTCCACCTAGCAAAGTTCATTACAAGACTATAAGGATGCTAATTTCAAGTTAGACAAGAGTTTAGACCAAACATGAAACTTATTGAGAATTTCGATCTTGCATAAACATAGGATTAGAGTTAGAAGACATACCTTGTGTGTTGAAAAGTGAATAAGGTTGCAAGAGCAAGTAAATTCCAATTTAGAGTTATGAACAGTAAAAGTTTTGAAATCAAAACTCTTAGAGTTCCTCTAATGGAGTTTAGGGTTTTGGAGAAGAAAGAGAGGTTCTTGTTTTTTCAAGGGAAAGGTAAAGTAAATAAGATCTAAATCCTATCAATTTTCCTTTTCAAATTCGAATTTTGATTGAAAACCGGTTTAAGTTGGTTTAGATTGGTTAAAACCGGTTTGAATTTAATGAAAAGGGGACTTACCTTGGCCGAAAAGTTTTGGGCCGATGGCCGATGGATTTTGTCGCGGTCGAGCGATTTGGTCGGCCAAATCGTGGCGAGAGATTTCGGCCGAGGCCGATCGTTTGTTTCCCGGATCGACCGGCACGGTCGGTCCGTTCCGATACAAATTCGGCCGATCGCGGCCTGTTTCTTCCTGGTTCGTGCGTCCGCGCGAACGGTTTTGTCGCGCGATAGAAATCCGGCCGAGCGAGCCGTTCCTTCCCGGCTCGACCGTACGGTCGGCCCGGTTGGAATTGCTCGGCCAAATTCTTTTGCGCGTCCGCGGCCAATGTTTTGGCGCGGATTGTGTTTTCACACCTTTTTCTCCTTCTATCCTATCTTAAAACAAAGAAAACACAAAAGCAAAACAAAAACTAAGAAATTAAAGAAAGAAAAGTAAAAGTACCTCATGGGTTGCCTCCCATGCAGCGCTTGTTTTAAGTCTTTAGCTTGACTGTAAGGCTTGGCGCTCAGGAGAAGATGGAGACAAGAGGCATCTTGATCCTCCAAGTCTTTTCTCCTTGCAATGAGTATCTGGTGGGTGATTCACAGCTGGATAGACAATCTCTCCATGAATGTCCCTTGGCACTACTGCCTTAGGAAAAAGCTTTAGAGTTCTTGTCACTTTCTCCTTGAATCCTTCTAGATTCTCATCAATAAGCTCCTTTGGGAATAGAAGCTTCATGTTGCGGCCAGACCTAGGCTTTCTAACCTTCCTTCTTGGCTTGGCCTCATCTTCAATCTTGGTTGATCCCTTGGGCGGTTTTGGTGTAGGGGCCTTAGTCTTACTCCTTGCTTGTTTGGCAAGCTGCTTGGGCTTAGGAATGGGATCTTCCTTGATTGTTTCTTCAGTTTCTCCTTCTTGGGGTGGCTTCAAAGTAGCTTTCTCCTCTTGGACCATGTCAACAAAAGAGTTCTTTGTTGAACACATAGGGAAGAACATACCCTTGTTCACCTTGTTGAAAGAGATTCTTTGATTGGGGAAATCAAATATGGCACCCACAGTAGACAGGAAAGGGGTTCCAAATATGAGAGGTCTATGGCTACTCTCTCTCATTTCCACAATCTGGAAATCAGTAGGGATAGAGCAATTTCCAATCTGCACCATCACATTAGGCACAAAGCCATAGGGGTTTGTGAGAATGAATCAGCATAGTTGATGGAGATGGATGATGGCTCTATCTTGGTGAGGCCTATCTTGTCAGCTATCCTCTTAGACATGATGTTCACATTGGCTCCTGTGTCACACAAAGATTGCTCAAGAATGTTACCTTTGATGATACAAGGCACAACAAACTTTCCTGAGTTATCTGTCTTGGGGATAATCTTTGGGAAGAGTCTTCTCTTTCTAGCTCGATTGGACTCTCTCTCTGGGTAATTCTCTTCAGGCCAAATCATGCAATCAACAGTAGGTTTTGAAAGCATCCATTCTGGAACTTGGTCTTCAAATCTTTCTTCTATGGCGGCTGAGTTGCAAAAGGACTTCTTGGATTCAGCTTCCTGTCTCTTAACAGCTTCCATAGTTTGAGTGACTTGAGTCTCTAGTTTCTTCACATGAGTGGCAACAGCATCATACTTGGTGTTGAGATTGCTGAACAAAGTGTCCATCTTCTCATACATCTCTTTATTTTCTCTTCTGGCCATCCATGATCTGTTGGAGGATTCCTTCAAATCTCCCACCTTGTTGGTTTGGAGGAGCTTGATTTGGTGAAGAAGCATATGGCTCCTTGGGCGGATATGATGATCTCTGCTCATATCCTTGCCTTGGCTGAAATTGACTTCCTTGAGATTGGTAAGGAGGTCTTTGTTGTTGTGGATACCTTGGAGGATACACTTGGTCTTGAGGATTCTCCACATTGGGGTTTCTATAAGACATGTTGGGGTTTGGGCGATAGCTTGGATTGTATCCCTTGTTCCCATAGTTTCCAATGTAGTTCACATCTTCTTCATTGGCTTCATTAGAGAAATCTCCCATGCATTCTCTTGATGAATCTTCATTAGCATCACTCATCCCTTCTATTGCATTGATATGCTTGAGCTGTCCCTTAAGAACTTGAGCCATCATGTTCTTGAGTTCAGTCATTTGAAAAGAATCAGGGGAGCTAGTAGTGGTGCGGCTTGAGCGGTCATAATCAGGACAGTTGTTACAATCACTAGCTGCAAGATTCTCAATAAGAACCTTAGCTTCATCAACAGTCTTGGTCATGAAGTTTCCATTGCTTGCAGTGTCCAATGAAAGCTTGTACTTGTGGTCTATGCCACGATAGAAGATGTTCCATAGGTTTCCCTCATTGAAACCATGATTAGGGCAGTCCCTAATGTACTCCTTGAATCGATCTAGCGCCTCATAGAAAGATTCATTGTTGGCTTGGCGAAAGTTGGAGATCTTGTTCCTTACAGAAATTGATCTCTGCTTGGTGTAGAAGTGGTTGATGAATGCAGCCTTGTACTCATCCCAAGTGGTGATGGAGTGAGCTGGCAGAGACTTCAACCATCTTGAAGCTTTGTCGCTGATGATAGGATTTTATGTGGATGTGATATGATATGAATGAAGGATGATAAGATATGAGGTGGAATGCAAACAGGGGTGAATAAAGATGAGATGGTGCAATCACAATCAATCAATTCCTCTTAACCATCATAGTCAAGTAGTACAAGAGGTTATCAATCCAAAATGGGAAACTTGTCACTCTTGAGAATATGAAACAACAAGGAAGTCAAGCAAGCAGTAATAGATTTGAAGTAACACTAACAACCTAAATGAAAGAAATGAAATGCAATAAAAGTAAAAAAGCAGTGAAGTACAGCTCGACCAAGACTCGAGTCGAGTCAGAACAAAGTACCAGCTCGATCGAGTTTAGGGACGAGTTGAGACAAACAGCTAAAGGTGACGACTTTAACAAGATAAGCGAGAATTAGGGTTCAAGACAGGGTTTTGCAATCAGAGGAATCTACACTTAATCAATCTGCTCTTAAAACTCCTTGTATCAAGGCTTCTCTTGATATTGGGCTTCTCAATGCCTAGCCAACCCTTTCCCAAGGTGAAGGCTATCAACCAAGGAATGATCTCAGAAACAGGGGGTTAGCCAGTGAGAATCAAACCTTGGAGGCCATAGGATCATTGCCCAAACTAATCCATCCAACCCCTTAGACCTCTATTTCTAGAGCAAGAGATATTGGAGCTCTTAGTGGATCTTTTCCAGCGAATGCCATCACTTCGTGTGGGGAATCGCCTAAGGACTTACAAGCCAGGGGTAGTGGTCATGTAGCCTTAAGATCTATCCAAAAGAGAGAGAATCTAGATTAAGACCATAAGCTAGAAGGATTAAGCATATGAAACCTCTAATCTATCCCATCTCAAACCCTAATGGGTAACTACTCACTACACATGAATGTAAACACAAGCAAATGCAATAAAAGAGACATCATAAGAAAGAGGAGATGAAATTAAACAACTTTTATTGAAATAAGCAAGTGCAAATACAAAGAGATTATCCAGGATCTAGGATTCAAGAAGCAAGAGCTTCAAGAACACAAAGATGGGATTAGAGCTCTAAAAAGTAAAAGACAATAAATTAAAAGAAACTAAAACAAAATAATCTAAAGCTTGGTGGTTTTTTCGTGGCTTAGCCTTTAAATACAAAGAGGATTAGGTTTAGGGTCAAAGGAAAGTCAAGGGGGAAGCAACATTTTTCGGGTTTGACTGTTGACTTCTCAGCTCGATCGAGTTGAAGCTTGGCCGGTCGAGTTGAGGAACTCGACCGGTTGGTCGAGTGGTCGAGCTGGTCTTCAAGATGGCTTCTCCCTTCTTCCTTTGCGTATCCAGTTGAGCTGCGTCCATGTGCCAAGTCCCTCCATGCTCCTCACGTCCCATATGCTCCAGAATGCTCCAAAAGACCTATTTCAAAGGACCAAACATGCATATGTATGCAAATGCAACCTAAAACTACATGAATGCATAAGAAGAGAAAAGGAACAAGATATGATGCAATGGATGCTAAAACTATGCAAAAGATGCATAAAAGATGTGCTAAAACTATGTAAAATGCAAGTACATCAACACCCCCAAACTTGAACTTTGCTTGCCCTCAAGCAAACAAATAGAACAAGAAAGAGATGAGGTTTGAAAATAAGCTGATTCAACACTTAAAAACATGTCCTCAAAAGCGATTTGCTAAATGTCCAACTTAGAGATTCTAGAATGCAACAAGGTGAGAGATATTCATTAAGATTTAACCATGCTTATCAACATCAATCCCACTTCACAGTCACTCAAACAATGCATTCAAATCAGCAAATCCCTTTAACATTCATTAAGCAAAAACAGTGAACCAAAAACATGCAAGATCAATCAACTCATTTGGTTTCAAGGGTTTATGGGTTAAGAGACAAAGAGGGTCTCTTTTGTATGGTGGTTTAGTAACAGGGATCTCTCAAGAAAGTGGCTTTGCTTTGGCAGAAGGCTAAGTGTTAGAACCAAAGATGATGCAAGAACAGCAGCTCGAGCCGTCTAATCCTAACTCGATCGAGTTCAACACTTAGAGCTTTTTAGAACAAAATCCTAACTACCCTTTTTGGCATTTCGCCTTTGAAACTGAGGAGCTTTGCTCACTTTTCTTTTAAGAACTTCCTAGGGAGAGGCTTCTTGAGGTAACATCTAGCGGTTTGGGATTTTCTAAACACTTAGGGAACTTTTCTTTCTTTTTGACACTTGAGGCTTTGCCTTCTTTTCATTCTACTTAGAACCCTTTTTACTTCCTTTTTTAACTTCCCAAACCTTTACTAGACCCTTTTTAACACTGCCAACTCCCTGGACTTAACTAAACTCTTTTTCCTTTGGGTTTTCCCAACTTTTACCACTTTTCTGGTTTTTACACCCAACTCGATCGAGCTCGAGTTGGCACCCCCAAACTTAGCCTGAAAACAATCCCAAGAGAACTAGACAACTAGAACTACTGCCCCTGCCGGTTTAAACACAACACCTTATGCTAAGCAAAGCCAAGAAAGGTTCTCACATTCGCACAAGAGATAATATGGGGTTTGAAATGAAAAGGCTTAGGTTTAAGGTGTGGTAACTGTCTCAAAGATAGAGATCAGCTATCTGGACAAGCAAAGGGATATGAAAATAGGTAAAGAATGTCCAGATATGTATGTGGTAGCCATGAGTTGAAATCAAATGCAAGCATTGGTAATTAAAGATCAAGTTATGGTTCAAATAGATAGGGAAATGCATCAAATCACAGCAATGGTTGAATGAGATGTGCATGCAGTGATATGATCAAGATAAACATGGTTCTTGCTGCTCAATCAATCTCACCCTAATGCACAAAAGAATCTAAAAACAGGGCACTCAAGAAATCGCAAAAGATGACAAGTTTTCAAAGTCAAATCAACAATGCAAGTGAAAAATGCAATCCTAAACAAGTCTAACAAATATGAATGCAAAAAGATGAAAATATTTTTGGATTTTTTGAAAATTTTATGATTTTTTTGGTTTTTCTATGCAAAAGATAATGAAAAACTAAGAACAAAGAAAACAAGGTTAAATCATCTCTTGAACCCTCCCCCAAACTTAAATCACACAGTCCCTTGTGTGAGAAAAATTTAGTGAAAGATTCAAGAGGGCAAAACCAAGAAAAAACAAGAACAAATGCAAGAAAATATGAAATGGTATATACAAGGGTTGGTGTTTGGATACCTCAGTGCCCCCCAAAGAACTGGGAGGCAGGTCGTGGTCTGGAGATGGTAGACGGCCATCAGGAGCACTCCACTCGACTGGGTTCGGCTCACTCGATCGAGCTTGCGGCTCCTCTTCTTCCTCTTCTTCATCGAAAGTGTGTGTGGCTCCCTTGGCCTTGGTGGAGCTGGCTTGCTCGAAGCTGTTGTAGGGGTCCAGGGTCTGAGAGAAGTCCTGGTAAGGCGTTGGATCGTACTCGAATCCGGGTTCTCAAACAGGGGCTCCTCCAGGTCAACTCGACCCTCAGCTCGATCGAGTTGAGTTTCCTCTGTTTGGACTCGATCGAGTCCGGTGGTCGAGCTGGAGCGTCTGGCCTTGGAGCTCTTCCTCCTTCTCTGTGTTGTCTTCTCCTTCCCTTGGCTCGAAAGAAGAGGCTCTGTGAGGCTCTTGGGCAGGGAGCCTCCTTGGAGTGGTGAGGAGTGATCTACTCCTAGGGAAAGTGGGGCCTTGGACTTTCTTCTTCTTGCTTGAAGAACCAGAAACCTTCTTCTCCAAACTCTTGATCTTGCTCACCATCTTGTCCATGGACTTTTGCATCTTCTCAATGGCTTTCCCTTGCCATTTGTTGAACTTTTGGAGAAGTCCAATCCTCTTGTGGGCAGCCACAACAGAGGGGTTCATCCTTGGAGCCTCATACTCCTCAAAATAATAGCACTCAGGCTCACCCAAATCCGCACTTCCTGGACCTGATCCTCAGCTCATCCTCAGCTCGATCCTCAGCTCGACTCAGCTCGATCGAGCTCAGGCTCCTCTTCTCGCAAATCATCCTCATGCCCAACTAATGTGTACACAGGGGGTCTGAAGTCAATGTTCTCACCCCTACTACTGTGGTGAGCTCTGGGTTGGGCAGGAGAAGCTTGGAGGGCCAGCCAATGGATGTGTGAACTTGAATTGGAACCTCCCATCCAACTCCTTGTGCTCAATGAGGAGGTTGGTCTTGCAAAACTTGATGTCCATCCAACCTGGTTCAGTGGCTCTCCTATCAGTTGGGTTCACTCCAGCAGCACACAAGATAGGAGTGATGAGCCCTCCAACACTTAGGCGCCTCCCTCGTTGATGTCTAGTGTTGTAGGCTGTGATCTTGTAGGTGAGGAGATGATCAAGGAAAGGCATCAAGTTCCCTGTGTTGGATCTATCTCCCCTGATCCTCTTGCCATCGCTTGTGCGTGAGAGAATGGGCTTGATTCCCATGTCAAGAAACTCCCATCTCATTCCATCTGCATCTCACCCATCCCACCTCACCACACTTGCACATACCACCTGGCTTTCCCCACCAACCACCCCAGCCTGCACCTTCACAAGAGAATGAGCTCAAGGCAATGCTAAACAACTACTTCAAGGGCAAGCTGATGGGTAGTGGACACAAGCAAGAAGCTAGCTGAAATAAACTCCAAGATCGAGAATCTCAACACAAGGGTTTACTCTCTGGAGAATCATGCTTCTTCTGTTGCTGCTGCTACAAAGCAAGGACAACTACCTGGTAAAGCTATTCAGAACCCCAAGGAACAGTGCAAGGTCATCTTCACTCAAGAAGGACTTGTTGAAGAAGAGGATCAAGAAAGGGTCATTGAAGATTTTTGTTTACTGCTGAATGATGAAGAGATTGTTGCTGCTGAGGCTCCTGGAGTCCAGATTGATCAACCAGAAGTGCAGCACCTACTGTGGCCATTCACACTTCACCAGTTGAGCTCGCACAACAAGCTCGATCGGCAGCTCGATCGAGTCGAACTCTAGCTCGATCGAGTCCGACCTCTTCTGTCCGAAGCCTGTTTTGCTTGATCCTTACCAACCGGTTGCCGCTTCCTCGTCTCGCCTACTTAGTCAAGGTCACAAGGAAGTGATTCACAAGTTCAGAAGAGATCTCAGTGGGATTGGAATTGAGTTGCCTCCTATGGATAGCATGAGTGAGGCATTTGATCAAATGCAAATGGTCAAGGATGTTAGCCAACAGTGATAAAGTTTCAGAGGTCCTGAAGAGTCTACTCATCAGTTCAACCTGCTTACTTCACCCACTTTCCTACCAAAGGTCAAGGATCAAGGGAAATTCACTCTCCCTTGCACACTTGGGCATCTTGAGCTTGACAATGCCTTAGTGGATTCTGGAGCAAGCATCAATCTGATCTCTCTCTCCATGGCAGAGAAGCTAGGCATTGCTGGAGCCTTGCAGCGCCCTACTACTTCAATCATGTTTGGAGATGCAACTTCTAAGTCTCCTCTTGGAGTGTTCAAGAACTATCACTTGAAAATTGGAGAATGCATCATCCAAACTGATCTCACTGTGATGGAAATGGAAGAAGAGAAGGATCTACCTCTGTTATTGGGAACCCCATTCCTTAGTACAGTTGGCGCTTCAATAGACTTTCACAAGCAAGAAGTGATCCTTCACAAGGTGAATAGTTTGGTGTCATATCGCTTGCAGCCTAGAGGTTCAGACTTTTGTGCCACAATTGACAGTACCACTCTCAGTTCTAAGAGTCATGAGCTACAAAGGTTGTGAAGGAAAGGGTTGACAAAGAACCAAGAGTTGGGAAGGATAAGGTGAGAGAGGAGTTGACCAAGGATTGAGAAGCCACGTCTTGAGAGGGCTAGAGTTGAGAAACCACGTCTGATAGGCCACGAGCTGATAGACTTGTTCAAGCCCCTTGTGTGCTTGATGAAGAGAGCCTTCAAGCTTTGTTTGATGAGCCACTAGGAAGGGCTCTAAAAGAAGGGGAGGATGTAGCCTCTAAGGCAAGACCAGGTGATAAAAGAAAGATCCACCAGCTCAGGCCCCTTCAGTCAAGCCATCTCAGCTCACAATGACCTTGTTCCCCACCAAGTTTGAAAATGGGAAGATTGAGTACAAGATAAGGTACAAGGGGAGATCAAGGCCATTCTCTAGAGCCAAGGCCTTGGTGACTTCAGAACAGTCCAGGGACCCAACCAAGCTAAAGGAGCTTCTGTCTCAAGTCCTCACTATCACCCTTGATGGTGGGACTAGCTCAACCAATGCCTAAAAGGTAAAGGTCAAGCTATGGGACCTTAAACAAGCTCACTTGGGAGGAAGTCCCATGTTTATCCTTGTACATATTCTATTTATGCAATTTCTATCTATTTTATGTTTTAACCTTTCAATAAGTTAAGTTTAGGTGACAAAGGAGCCAGCTCGACCGACAGCTCGATCGAGCTAGAAACAGGGCAACTCGATCGAGTTCCACAACTCGACCAAGGTAAGTTTTTGAATTTCAAATTCTAACCGTTTTCTTGGTCAAGGGAGTGGGTCCCACAAGTGATTTTGGTCCCCCACTACCCTAATTGATCAGAAAAACCCTAGCTTTTGTCCCCTCTTTATTTCATCTTTTAATCTCAACCACACATCTCAAACACTCCCTCTTCCCCATAACTCTCTCTTCACCCAAGAAAAATCCGAAATTCTCTCATCTCTCTTAAGTTTTTCGATTTTCATTGTTCATCATCTTGATTTGCTTGGGTAGTTACTGTATCTTCAATTCATCATTCAAGCAAGGTACTTTAGTGAAGAAACAGTGTAACAAGATGACAAACAGTGAGGGAAGCGTGCTTCACAGAGGAGAATGGTTGAGGAGAATCAAGCAATGCAAGGGAGAGAAGGCTTAAGATGCAAGCCGATTTGGAAGAATGATCAAAGGATGGAAGATCTGATGCAGAGGAGTATGTCTACTCTGAGGAAGAGTCTGAGAGAGAGATTGAGGGAGGAAAGGAGAACCAAGAAGAGGAATGACCCATTAGTAGTGAGAGTGAGCAAGGAGTTTGAGATTGGAGTGAACCTTGTTCAAGAGGAGGAGATGGCTCTCCAATGAAGAAGAAGTGATGGACTGAGAGTGAAGAAGAAGGGAGAGGTGAATCGATTGGTTGATGAGAGTGAGCAAGAGAGTAACCAAGATGAGCCATGGAGGAGGCTGAGCACAAGAGAAGGAGGAAGCTCCCCATGTACCAAGAGCACTACAATGCTCTCTTCTCCATGGACTTTGTGGAGACCAAGTACCCACATGATGACACAATGAAGGCCCTTGGATCTTTGAGGATGTGGAGTTGGTCTCAAGAACATGCACTTGGCCAAGTTTTCTCTCACCGCATGGAGTCCTACAAGGAGCTCACTTGTGAGTTTTTGGCTCAATGAGGTACCAATGTATGAGAGCTCGATCGAGCTGAGTTGGACCAAGGATTGGGATGGATCACGTTCTTGGCAAGGGAGAGAAGAAGATGGTGACCTTTAGGCAGCTTGGATCTTTTTGGGTTCACTATGGAGAAGGGAACCATGGAACTCAAGGAAAAGATGAACTCCAAAGGGTTTGGGCTACAATCGCTGATGGGTACTCTTCCTCAAGGTCCAAGGCTGCTCAGATCAGGAGCCCAGTGCTTGAGATATGTGCACAAGGCACTTGCCAACACCTTCTTTGCAAGGAAGGCACTGGGACAATCAATGAGGGAAGTGAAGCTCCTTGACATGGGAATCAAGCCCATCATCTCACGCACAAGGATGGGAAGAAGATCAGAGGAGATAGGACACGCAGGGAACTCATGCCTCTCCTTGACAGCTCTCTCCTACAAGACACAGCTTACAACACTAGGCATCAAGAGGAAGAAAGCTTAAGTGTTGGAGGGTCATCACCCTATCTTGTGTGCAGCTGGAGTCCAACTGACAAGAGAAGGTCCACTCCAGGGTTGGATGGACATCAAGTTTTGCAAGACCAACCTCCTCATTGAGCACAAGGAGTTGGATGGGAGGTTCCAATTCAAGTTCACACATCCATTGGCTGGCCTCCAAGCTTCTCCTGCCCAACCCAGAGCTCACCACAGTAGTAGGGGTGAGAACATTGACTTCAGACCCCCTGTGTACACATTAGTTGGGCATGAGGATGATTGCGAGAAGAGGAGCCTGAGCTCGATCGAGCTGAGGATCGAAGTCAGGAGAATGAATTTGGGTGAGCCTGAGTGCTACTATTTTGAGGAGTATGAGGCTCCAAGGATGAACCCCTCTGTTGTGGCTGCCCACAAGAGGATTGGACTTCTCCAAAAGTTCAACAAGTGGCAAGGGAAAGCCATGAGAAGATGCAAAAGTCCATGGACAAGATGGTGAGCAAGATCAAGAGTTTGGAGAAGAAGGTTTCTGGTTCTTTCAAGAAGAAGAAGTCCAAGGCCCCCACATTCCCTAGGAGTAGATCACTCCTCACCACTCCAAGGAGGCTCCTGCCCAAGAGCCTCTCACAGAGAGAAGGAGGAAGAGTTCCAAGGCCAGACGCTCCAGCTCGACCACCGGACTCGATCGAGTCCAAACAGAGGAAACTCAACTCGATCGAGCTGAGGTCGAGTCGAGCTGAGGAGCAGTTTGAGAACCCTGGATTTGAGTACGATCCCACCTTACCAGGACTTCCCAGAGATGGACCCCTACAGTTCGAGCAGCCAGCTCCACCAAGGCCAAGGAGCCACACACTTTGAAGATGAAGAAGGAAGAAGAGGAGCCACAAGCTCGATCGAGTGAGCGAACCCGTCGAGTGGAGTGCTCCTGATGGCCGTCTCCCTCTCCAGACCACGACCTTGCCTCCCAGTTCTTTGGGGGGCACTGAGGTATCCAAACACCAACCCTTGTATATACCATTTCATATTTTCTTGCATTTGTTCTTTTTTTTCTTGGTTTTGCCCTCTTGAATCTTTCACTAAATTTTTCTCACACAAGGGACTGTGTGATTTAAGTTTGGGGGAGGGTTCAAGAGATGATTTAACCTTGTTTTCTTTGTTCTTAGTTTTTCATTCATCTTTTGCATAGAAAAACCAAAAAAATCATAAAATTTTCAAAAAATCCAAAAATATTTTCATCTTTTTGCATTCATATTTGTTAGACTTGTTTAGGATTGCATCTTTCACTTGCATTGTTGATTTGACTTTGAAAACTTGTCCATCTTTTGCGATTTCTTGAGTGCCCTGTTTTTAGATTCTTTTGTGCATTAGGGTGAGATTGATTGAGCAGCAAGAACCATGTTTATCTTGATCATATCACTGCATGCACATCTCATTCAACCATTGCTGTGATTTGATGCATTTCCCTATCTATTTGAACCATAACTTGATCTTTAATTACCAATGCTTGCATTTGATTTCAACTCATGGCTACCACATACATATCTGGACATTCTTTACCTATTTTCATATCCCTTTGCTTGTCCAGATAGCTGATCTCTATCTTTGAGACAGTTACCACACCTTAAACCTAAGCCTTTTCATTTCAAACCCCATATTATCTCTTGTGCGAATTGTGAGAACCTTTCTTGGCTTTGCTTAGCATAAGGTGTTGTGTTTAAACCGGCAGGGGCAGTAGTTCTAGTTGTCTAGTTCTCTTGGGATTGTTTTCAGGCTAAGTTTGGGGGTGCCAACTCGAGCTCGATCGAGTTGGGTGTAAAAACCAGAAAAGTGGTAAAAGTTGGGAAAATCCCAAAGGAAAAAGAGTTTAGTTAAGTCCAGGGAGTTGGCAGTGTTAAAAAGGGTCTAGTAAAGGTTTGGGAAGTTAAAAAAGGAAGTAAAAAGGGTTCTAAGTAGAATGAAAAGAAGGCAAAGCCTCAAGTGTCAAAAAGAAAGAAAAGTTCCCTAAGTGTTTAGAAAATCCCAAACCGCTAGATGTTACCTCAAGAAGCCTCTCCCTAGGAAGTTCTTAAAAGAAAAGTGAGCAAAGCTCCTCAGTTTCAAAGGCGAAATGCCAAAAAGGGTAGTTAGGATTTTGTTCTAAAAAGCTCTAAGTGTTGAACTCGATCGAGTTAGGATTAGGCGGCTCGAGCTGCTGTTCTTGCATCATCTTTGGTTCTAACACTTAGCCTTCTGCCAAAGCAAAGCCACTTTCTTGAGAGATCCCTGTTACTAAACCACCATACAAAAGAGACCCTCTTTGTCTCTTAACCCATAAACCCTTGAAACCAAATGAGTTGATTGATCTTGCATGTTTTTGGTTCACTGTTTTTGCTTAATGAATGTTAAAGGGATTTGCTGATTTGAATGCATTGTTTGAGTGACTGTGAAGTGGGATTGATGTTGATAAGCATGGTTAAATCTTAATGAATATCTCTCACCTTGTTGCATTCTAGAATCTCTAAGTTGGACATTTAGCAAATCGCTTTTGAGGACATGTTTTTAAGTGTTGAATCAGTTTTCAAACCTCATCTCTTTCTTGTTCTATTTGTTTGCTTGAGGGCAAGCAAAGTTCAAGTTTGGGGGTGTTGATGTACTTGCATTTTACATAGTTTTAGCACATCTTTTATGCATCTTTTGCATAGTTTTAGCATCCATTTGCATCATATCTTGTTCCTTTTCTCTTCTTATGCATTCATAGTAGTTTTAGGTTGCATTTGCATACATATGCATGTTTGGTCCTTTGAAATAGGTCTTTTGGAGCATTCTGGAGCATATGGGACAAGGAGCATGGAGGACTTGGCATGGACGCAGCTCAACTGGATACGCAAAGGAAGAAGGAGGGAGCCATCTGATGATAGGATTTGTGTGTGGGGTGTGAAAGATATGAAATGAAATGTGGTGGAATGCAACAGTGGTATATGATGAGGTGGTAAGATGCAAACACAATCACAGTCAACAATTCCCTTTAACCATTATAGTCATTATAGCATAAAGGGTATCAATCCAAAATGGGTGAAGTTGTCACTCTATGAGAATATGAAATAACAAGGAAGTCAAGCAAGCAGTAAATGATATGGGGGTAACACTAACAACCTAATGAAACAGTAATGAAATGCACTAGAGCAGCAGCTCGAGTCGAGTGGAACAGAGTAACCGAGCTCGATCGAGTTTAGGGTCGAGTTGAAGTAAAAAGCCGATAAAGACAGCGACTTTAACAAGCTAAAGCGAGAATTAGGGTCTAAGACAGGGTTTTAACAATCAGAGGAAGGCTATACTTAATCAATCTTGCTCTCAAACAACTTGTATCAAGGTATCTCTTGATATTGAGCTTCTCAATGCCTAGCTAACCCTTTCCCAAGGTGAAGCTATCAACCAAGACTTGATCTCAGAAACAGGGGGTTAGCCAGTGAGAATCAAGCCTTGGAGGCCATAGGATCATTGCTCAAACTAATCCATCCAACCCCTATGAACTCCATTTCGAGAGCAAGAGTTATTGGAGCTCTTAGTGGACCTTTTCCAACGATTTCCATCACTTCCATGTGGAGAATTGATATCACCATATTTTACATGATTTTACTATATAATTACTATGTTTTCAAACGGTTTTTGCAAGATTCTTTGCCTTTAGAGGTAGTTTTCTTGTATTTGTGGGATTTGAAGTCTTTGTAGGTGAAATAATCAAAAAGGATGCAAAAAGGAGTAAAAGAGCCCTAAATCAAGATCCATGCAAGTTTCCAAGTCAAGAAGATCATTTTATCTCCAAGTGTTAGTTCTCGCTGCGCGCAGAACGAAGCTTCGGAAGTTTGGCCGCGCGCGGAGGAGTTCCCGACGTCCAAAAGTTACGATCTTGATATGGAAAGATAGATACTTGAGTCATGCATCACGTCGAAGTGGAATGAAGCCATTTGGATCAACTATGAGGCCTAGACTTATTTTCTACCGAGACATGTCCGGTAAGCGAGTAAACGAAGCCCATGGAGGATTTGGAGTGTCTAATGGCCCGAGCAGCAGCGCCAAAGGCCTTGATCGAATAGAGAAGAGGCCTGGCTAATGTTTGGAGCTTTCCTTGGTACAATGTCGGCCCATACACGACGTGGAGAAGAAGGCTTTGCTCACGGGAAACTTTCCTTTTCCGGCATGAAGAAAACCCTACGCGACTTCGCCCATATATACATGTTTTTAGCCGCTGAAGAAGAGAGTCCGAAAATTATCAAAGAGTGTACGTGTGAGAAGAGAGTTCAGAGGAGAGAAGCCCTAGGAGATCGTCCAAGAAGAAGGAGGCGCCGCTCAACTCTTGTTCTTTCTTTTTCATTGTTTCCATTTCTATAAACTTGATTTAAGAGTTTTCAAGGGAGAATCCGACTTTGTTCATCAATAGAGAAGCTTTCTTCATCCCTTTATCTCTTTTAATACTTGCATAATGTTTACAATCATGCTTTGCTTGCTTGTTTGCATCATGGCCGAGTAGATCTCTTAGTTAGGCCGAGGAGATCTATGGTGGCCGTGATGATTTGATTGTGTTGCAACTTATTGGGATTTATCTTATGGATCTTCACCTTTACTTGAGCTTAATGCATGATTACTCTACCGTACATCTAGTAATCTGATCTTAGAGAAATAGAACCACGACAGTGCTGAATCTAGATCTCAAAACTAGTATTTGGTGAGCAATAGATCATAGCCAACGAAAGCTGAGTTATGGTTTATTGTGAACAATTGAATCTTGAACCTTGTAATGCATGTTTGCAATTCTAATAGCCAACGAAAGCTGAGTATATTAGGTTGTTTTAAACATAGTGGTTGGAGCCACGACAGTGGAAAGACCATACACTAGTGATTCATGTTCAAGACGGCTCTACACACATCCCATGCAACTATCTTTTCATCATTGCTCCATATGATTGTCCTTTGCCTAACTCTTGTTTTAAATTGTTTACAAACTCACTCACATTTCTTTTGTTTTGTTTTCTCATTCTAGGTCCAAAACCATCTCATATTGCGAGCTAGCTACAAACCAATCTCACAAGGTGTTAAGTGAGAACACTTCCTCCTCGTGTTCGACCCCGACTACAACACGGCTGTGCACTTGCAGCTCATTAGTTGGGTTTATAAATTGTGAAAATTTGAGGCAATCTAAACCCGCCATCAAGCTTTCTGGCGCCGTTGCCGGGGAGGAGTTGCTTTTCCTTCACACCTCTTGATTTGTTTCAAGACTAGCTCATCTCATCTTTCACTTTTCTTTGTTTTTGTTTTTCATAAAATCTTAAAAACTCATAAAAATTTTACTTAACTCTCTCTTTGTGTGTTTCTAAGGTGCATGACAAGAAGGTCCAATCCAAATACAACCATTGAAGAAGATCTTGACATTGACCAACTTGAGCGCACACTTAGGCGACTAAGAAGAGAAAGAATGAATCCAGGCGGAGAAGGCGCGCCAAATAGGCCACACAACCCGCCCGACCAAGAGAGGAGAGCCAATGATCCTCCTAATCCAGCAGAAGCTAGAGCTGACCAGCCAGCACCGGCCAGAGACGTTCCTCCGCCCAATCCGAACGCGCCCGATGCAGCTGAGCCGCTACAGCCACCTCTTAACCCGCCGCGACCACCACCGGCGTTTGCAAATGGACATCATCGTCACGGTGACAACCAAGGGATGCCTCAAGACCAACCTCACGCACCTCCAAGGAGAGTGCCAAACGCGCAGCATCCAAGGCACCAAACTATGGGAGACTTTGATTCTTCCGATGCTTTCTTTATGGATCGGAATCCAATCCGACCGCCTCTACCTCCAAGGAACGATTTTGAGATCAAACCGCAGATCATTGCCTTGGTGAAGCAAAACCAATTCCATGGTTTGCCCACTGAGCATCCTCTTGATCACGTCGACACCTTTGAGGAGATATGTAGCACAACTCGTGTTAATGGAGTATCGCCGGATTACTTCAAGTGCAAGCTATTCACTTTTTCTCTAAGTGACAAGGCGCTAAGATGGGTAAAATCTTTACCACCTCAGTCCATTACAACATGGAATGAATACAAGGGAGCTTTCTTGAACCAATTCTACACTAAGCAAAGATCCAACTCTATAAGGAGCAAGATTTCTGGTTTCAAGCAAGATTCAATGGAGTCATTCTATGAAGCTTTGGAGAGATTCAAGGAGTACACAAGAAGCTGCCCTAACCATGGCTTTTCAGAAGGTAACCTTTGGAACATCTTTTACAATGGGATTGATCATAAATACAAGCTTTCTCTCGATACCGCGAGCAATGGTAATTTCATGACCAAGTCGGTGCCGGAGGCAAAGCTTTTGATTGAGAATCTCGCTGCTAGTGATGCCAATGCATGCCCTGACTACAATAGAAGCGTGAAGACCACGAGCTCATCAGAATCAGCTCAAATCTCGGAGCTAAGGAACATGGTCTCACAACTACTTAAAAGCCGACAAGGAGTTCACGCCATTGAAGATGCCCTAGCCACAAATGAAGACACTCTTATGGATTTCATGAGAGATGGCGCTGAAGAGAATCTAGAGGAAGTCAACTACATTGGAGGAAACTATGGGAATAGAGGATTCAATCCACCATTTCGCGCGCATCCAAACCTATCATACCGGAGCAACAATGTGGAGAATCCAAATGACCAAGTCTACCCCAATCAAGGAGCGTATCAAGGAGGCCAATACCAATCCAAGCCACAACAAGTCTATCCAAGAGGGATGTACCAAGTGAAGCAACCATTCACTTTTTCTCAAGAAACAAATCCAACCCAAACCGGAGAGAAGGTTGACGTGGCCTTGAAGAAATACATGGAGGAGCAGAGATTGATCACCAAGAACCTATATGAGAAGCTTGATCACATGTTTGGTGATCTAAGCAGCAAGTTTGGGTCTCTCTCTACTCACGTTCAAAAGCTTGAGGTGCAAATCGCTCAAACAGCCGAGGCGGCCAAGAAACAAAATGAGGTAAACACTCAAAAATTTTGTAGTGTTGTCTCATCTATAGATGGCACAATTGTTCCTACACTATCTCAAGGGGAAGAAGAAGAAAATGAGCCTAAGGAGAGGCACAAACCGGAGAGATACAGTTGGGAATCAAGAAGAGCTTACAAGAGAAGACTTGAAGGCAAGCCACTACAAAAACAAGAAGATCCGGGGAAGTTTGTGATAACTTCAAGTATCAATGGCATTCAACTCCACGATTGCCTATGTGATACTGGTGCTAATGTTAATCTAATGTCTCTTGCACTTGCAAAAGATTTGGGATTCAAGGAATTCAAGAGCCCCAAGATAAGAGTCGAGTTCGCGGATCTATCGTGCATGGAACCTTATGGAATGCTTGAAGATGTCATGATGGAAATAGGGGGTCGATCGGTCCCAACTGACTTTCAAGTCATGATTTGGGAAGGCTCAAAGAGGAATCAACTGGATACGCAAAGGAAGAAGGGAGAAGCCATCTTGAAGACCAGCTCGACCGTCTACTCGACCAACCGGTCGAGTTCCTCAACTCGACCGGCCAAGCTTCAACTCGATCGAGCTGAGAAGTCAACAGTCAAACCCGAAAAATGTTGCTTCCCCCTTGACTTTCCTTTGACCCTAAACCTAAAACCTCTTGTATTTAAAGGCTCTAAGCCACGAAAAAACCACCAAGCTTTAGATTATTTTGTTTTAGTTTCTTTTAATTTATTGTCTTTTACTTTTTAGAGATCTAATCCCATCTTTGTGTTCTTGAAGCTCTTGCTTCTTGAATCCTAGATCCTGGATAATCTCTTTGTATTTGCACTTGCTTATTTCAATAAAAGTTGTTTAATTTCATCTCCTCTTTCTTATGATGTCTCTTTTATTGCATTTGCTTGTGTTTACATTCATGTGTAGTGAGTAGTTACCCATTGGGTTTGAGATGGGATAGATTAGAGGTTTCATATGCTTAATCCTTCTAGCTTATGGTCTTAATCTAGATTCTCTCTCTTTTGGATAGATCTTAAGGCTACATGACCACTACCCCTGGCTTGTAAGTCCTTAGGCGACTCCCCACACGAAAGTGATGGCATTCGCTGGAAAAGATCCACTAAGAGCTCCAATATCTCTTGCTCTAGACAATAGAGGTCTAAGGGGTTGGATGGATTAGTTTGGGCAATGATCCTATAGCCTCCAAGGTTTGATTCTCACTGGCTAACCCCCTGTTTCTGAGATCATTCCTTGGTTGATAGCCTTCACCTTGGGAAAGGGTTGGCTAGGCATTGAGAAGCCCAATATCAAGAGAAGCCTTGATACAAGGAGTTTTAAGAGCTAGATTGATTAAGTGTAGATTCCTTTGATTGCAAAACCCTGTCTTGAACCCTAATTCTCTCTATCTTGTTAAAGTCGTCACCTTTAGCTTTTTTGTCTCAACTCGTCCCTAAACTCGATCGAGCTGGTACTTTGTTCTGACTCGACTCGAGTCTTGGTCGAGCTGTTACTTCTGCTTTGTTTACTTTTGCATTTCATTTCTTTTATTTAGGTTGTTAGTGTTACTTCAAATCTATTACTGCTTGCTTGACTTCCTGGTTGTTTCATATTCTCATAGAGTGACAAGTTTCCCATTTTGGATTGATAACCCTTTGTACTACATCAACTATCATGGTTAAAGGGAATTGTTGACTGTGTTTGTGTTTGCATCTTACCACCTCATCATATACCACTGATTGCATTCCACCATCTCATTTCATATCTTTTCACATCCACACACAAATCCTATCATCACTTTTTAAAAAAGGTCTCCGGGAAAGGTAAGTAAGGGTGCTAACTCTATGATTGATTGGTTGATTGATTGTGTGCATGATTGCGTGTTTGTGTGAGTGGTAGAAATCAAGTAGGATAGTTCTAAAAGTGTTAGAAGAGAGAACCATAGGACACCTACCCTAGAGTTTTGGAAGCCGTTCGACCTAACCTTAGGAATTCGAGGACGAATTCTTTTAAGGGGGGAAGAACGTAATAACCCTGAAGCGGGATAAGAAGAATCAAGGAAGTCGATCAAGTGGAATATGGGATGTTTGAGTGGGAAACTCAATTAAACATGTGTTAAAAAGAGACATGTCATAAACAAGAGAAAGATTTTCTGAGTGGGACACTTGTCACAATGGGGGATTCTTGATGGATTTAATGAATCTGGCCTTATGAGGTGTCAAGTATAGAAGCAATCAGGAATTTTGTGGCGGGCGTGTGGCGGCTCTGGAGGAATTCAAGGAGCTTGTCTAGACGATGTGTCGTCGGGTTAAGCCTCTTCCGCCGCATGTGGAGGAGAACACCGCCACTTGTCGCCGGAAGTTTGACACTTGTCCTCCGAGGTGTCAACGGGAGAAAGAACTTCCAGCCACCACTATGTCTCCCTCTCCAGCCTATAAATACCCCTCCTTCACCCTTTAGAAACCTTTGTTCCACCAAACCTTAGTTTTAAAGAAGAGAGAGAGAAAGAAAGAGAGTGAGAGAGATAGAGAGAGAGAGAGTGAAGAGTGTCTTCCTTTGAGCTTGGCTAAGACCGTGAGAGTTAAGAGAGAGGATAGGTATTCAATCAAGGGGCGGGTAGCTGTTAGATCATTCAAGAAGTTAAGCTTAGAAGCCATCAGCCGATAGCACTGTGAGTTTTGGTGATGTGTGATTGCTTGCTAGGAAATGTTGTTAGATTGCGTGTTTATTTAATTGCTTGTGTTGAGATTTCTTGCTAGAATTCACTTGCTAGATTCTGTGATAGTTCTATTGCTTGTTGCATGTTGTGTTAAGAGTTATATCTTCTTGGATATAATTCTCTTGTGTGGTTTCTTTTGCATGAGAGTTTTTACTAACATCAACCGTGATTTTCAAAGAGTTTTCAAAGTGGATTTTTGGTGGTGTGATGTGGTGGTGGTTCTGTCTTCCTTTTATACCTCACTTAGGCGACGTACTGCTAAGTGGGAAGACTCGGAGAGACGGGATAGCAGCCTAGGGCCGAGTGCTATTTCACCTCATTTAGGCAACGTACTGTTAAATGAGAATACTCGGAGAGACGGGGTTGCTGCCTATGGCCGAGTATGAAATAGTTAACCCGGGTTGGATTCGTTTGTGAGACAAGACTCGAGTGAGCCGTGAAAACAAGGTCTTGCCGTAATGGGGCTGTCTCATAGACGAAACTTGGGTAGTGATGTTCTGTCTCGCGTGCCTGTGTGGCTGTGAGATGGGTGTTCACGGGGAAGAACTGAATGCACGGGAGTAGAAGAAGAAGTGGATGAGGAGGAGAAAGTTTTAGAAAGCGTTTTGAATTTACTAACCTCTAACTTTTGTTAGTTGTAATCTTTAATTGGTTGTGCATGTTCTTGTTTGATTGTTGCATGATCAGTTAAGGGTTACAATTAACATATTGCGTGTTGTGTGTTATTTTGGGTTTTGGGGTGGGTTTGTTATCTTGTTAGAGGGAGCCATTACTTGCTGAACGACTAGCGCTCAACCCCCTTTTTCTATTGCAGGTTACCATAGTGGAGCAAGGAACGTTAGGCCACCGGCGTAGTTTTTGTTGTCTTTGTAAAATAGAACGTTTTGGAAACATATGTATGGTCGTTTTGAGCAGTAGGCTCAGTTGTAAAAGTCTTTAAGTGTTTGGGATGTTTTGTGAAACCTTAATATATGAATAAAAGCTTACTCTCTATATTAACCGGTTTCATCTGATATTAGTCTTGTCCGGACTAACACAACTCTTGACTTGGGAACGGCTTGCAAAGCCTTAGGCCTTGGTCGAGAGGGACGGTATTGAGAATGGATCGACCGAGGCTTTGGATTTGTTCAAAAGACTCAGTTGGGCCGTACTCAATATCCGTCATTGTGACATTTCTGGCCCATCTATGTATAGATCGAGTCGGGGGTGTTACAAATGGTGGTATCAGAGCATGGTTCATGATCATGCGTTAGTGGGACTAGGTTTTCAAATGTTTTATCGAGTCAAAATGAGTCGCAAAGCAAACTTAGGAAGCTGGTACGTTCTTTGGTAGGTAATTAAATAGGTTAGAACTTACCCTTGGTGGATGATGCAGATGTCGGTGAGACGTTTTTCGTTAAGGAGCGTGGTGCAAAGATCGCTGGCGGGAGGAGGTGAACCAGTTCAGAATGATTCTTCTAGTTCAAGTTCAGCAACAGAATCAGATTGGGGGCCATCGGATGATACAGAGACAGAGTTGGATAGTGAGAGTGTGACATTATCACTTGAAAACGATGGTCAGTCAGAAGCAATAGAGTCAAGGCATACTTCTCCAGAGCAAAGAGAACTTGTGAACCAAGCGACAAATCCAATGTTGACGATGATGCATGATATGCTCACTTACTTGAAGGACGAAAGGCAAGCAGCAACAAATGGTACATCAGGAAGCTCGACATCTCCAGACTTCCTGAAGATCGTAACGATGATCAAAAATCTTGGATCAACACATTATGGTGGAGGAACAAATCCATTTGATGCTGATAGTTGGTTGCAAAACCTGGAGAAAAACTTTGCAGCCACTCGATGTCCTGAAGATTACAAAAAGGATGTCTCAGTATACTATTTAGAGAAGGATGCTGCAAGTTGGTGGCAACTATTGAACACTACTACAACAATCCAGAAGCGACATGGCGAGAGTTTCGTAAGGAGTTTACAAGAAAATATTTCCCACCGGAGACAAGAGATAGATTGGAGGCTCAGTTCTTGAGGTTAGAACAAGGGAAGAGAAGCGTCAGAAACTACGAGTTAGAATTCACAAGACTAAGGAGATACGTCAAATATGGCCAAGACGATGAAGCTGCGATAACAAGGAGGTTCATGCATGGGTTAAGACCAGAACTTCATAGTCGACTTCAAGTGGTAGAATACATATCTTATCTTGAGTTGGTGGAGAGAGCCGTAAATGTAGAAGCAGCCGTCATTGCAGAGGAAGAAGTGAAATCACAAAACCGCAAGAGAAGATATGATGGAGATACGCAAGGAGAACCAAATAATTAAGCAAAGAGAAGAGAAAATAGAGACGGACAGATGAGTGCTCCTTTAAGATCAGCTATAAAATGTTACACATGTGGAGAAGCCGGCCACATTGCGCGACAATGCCCAAGTAGGCACCAATACCGTCAACAAGTTCCTCCTCATATAATTTGTCATTCATGTGGAGAAAAAGGTCACTATTCGAACTTTTGTCCAAAGTTGCAACTCAACCAAATCTTACCACTTGAAGACCCTCATCTGCGACCTGCACCAGTACGCCCAGCGATCGAAGAACCAGCGCCAGCTCCAGTACGGCTGCCAGGACGAGGATTCCCTAGCTATATAGGTTAGATTTTAGTAAACCTTCATGACTTTTTAAAAAAGGTCTCTGGGAAAGGTAAGTAAGGGTGCTAACTCTATGATTGATTGGTTGATTGATTGTGTGCATGATTGCGTGTTTGTGTGAGTGGTAGAAATCAAGTAGGATAGTTCTAAAAGTGTTAGAAGAGAGAACCATAGGACACCTACCCTAGAGTTTTGGAAGCCGTTCGACCTAACCTTAGGAATTCGAGGACGAATTCTTTTAAGGGGGGAAGAATGTAATAACCCTGAAGCGGGATAAGAAGAATCAAGGAAGTCGATCAAGTGGAATATGGGATGTTTGAGTGGGAAACTCAATTAAACATGTGTTAAAAAGAGACATGTCATAAACAAGAGAAAGATTTTCTGAGTGGGACACTTGTCACAATGGGGGATTCTTGATGGATTTAATGAATCTGGCCTTATGAGGTGTCAAGTATAGAAGCAATCAGGAATTTTGTGGCGGGCGTGTGGCGGCTCTGGAGGAATTCAAGGAGCTTGTCTAGACGATGTGTCGTCGGGTTAAGCCTCTTCCGCCGCATGTGGAGGAGAACACCGCCACTTGTCGCCGGAAGTTTGACACTTGTCCTCCGAGGTGTCAACGGGAGAAAGAACTTCCAGCCACCACTATGTCTCCCTCTCCAGCCTATAAATACCCCTCCTTCACCCTTTAGAAACCTTTGTTCCACCAAACCTTAGTTTTAAAGAAGAGAGAGAGAAAGAAAGAGAGTGAGAGAGATAGAGAGAGAGAGAGTGAAGAGTGTCTTCCTTTGAGCTTGGCTAAGACCGTGAGAGTTAAGAGAGAGGATAGGTATTTAATCAAGGGGCGGGTAGCTGTTAGATCATTCAAGAAGTTAAGCTTAGAAGCCATCAGCCGATAGCACTGTGAGTTTTGGTGATGTGTGATTGCTTGCTAGGAAATGTTGTTAGATGGCGTGTTTATTTAATTGCTTGTGTTGAGATTGCTTGCTAGGATTCACTTGCTAGATTCTGTGATAGTTCTATTGCTTGTTGCATGTTGTGTTAAGAGTTATATCTTCTTGGATATAATTCTCTTGTGTGGTTTCTTTTGCATGAGAGTTTTTACTAACATCAACCGTGAGTTTCAAAGAGTTTTCAAAGTGGATTTTTGGTGGTGTGATGTGGTGGTGGTTCGGTCTTCCTTTTATACCTCACTTACGCGACGTACTGCTAAGTGGGAAGACTCGGAGAGACGGGATAGCAGCCTAGGGCCGAGTGTTATTTCACCTCATTTAGGCAACGTACTGTTAAATGAGAATACTCGGAGAGACGGGGTTGCTGCCTATGGCCGAGTATGAAATAGTTAACCCGCGTTGGATTTGTTTGTGAGACAAGACTCGAGTGAGCCGTGAAAACGAGGTCTTGCCGTAACGGGCTGTCTCATAGACGAAACTCGGGTACTGATGTTCTGTCTCGCGTGCCTGTGTGGCTGTGAGATGGGTGTTCACGGGGAAGAACCGAATGCACGGGAGTAGAAGAAGGAGTGGATGAGGAGGAGAAAGTTTTAGAAAGCGTTTTGAATTTACTAACCTCTAACTTTTGTTAGTTGTAATCTTTAATTGGTTGTGCATGTTCTTGTTTGATTGTTGCATGATCAGTTAAGGGTTACAATTAACATATTGCGTGTTATTTTGGGTTTTGGGGTGGGTTTATTATCTTGTTAGAGGGAGCCATTACTTGCTGAGCGACTAGCGCTCAACCCCCTTTTTCTCTTGCAGGTTACCATAGTGGAGCAAGGAACGTTAGGCCACCGGCGTAGTTTTTGCTGTCTTTGTAAAATAGAACGTTTTGGAAACATATGTATGGTCGTTTTGAGCAGTAGGCTCAGTTGTAAAAGTCTTTAAGTGTTTGGGATGTTTTGTGAAACCTTAATATATGAATAAAAGCTTACTTTCTATATTAACTGGTTTCATCTGATATTAGTCTTGTCCGGACTAACACAACTCTCGACTTGGGAACGGGTTGCAAAGCCTTAGGCCTTGGTCGAGAGGGACGGTATTGAGAATGGATCGACCGAGGCTTTGGATTTGTTCAAAAGACTCAGTTGGGCCGTACTTAATATCCGTCATTGTGACATTTCTGGCCCATCTATGTATAGATCGAGTCGGGGGTGTTACAACCCGGGAAGCTAAGACCCGCGGTCGGCCACGCCACAACCGCCCACGCCACGCCGCGCACGACCATGCCGCGCGAGCCGGGAAACAAAGCCTCGCGGCCGCGCAACCTATCTCGCGTACCACGGCCGATGGTTCCGTCCGAGCCGGGAAACATCGTCCCACGTCCGGCCGAGAAACCATCGACCATTCCATCACCCGTCCGACCACACCGGCCGACCATGAAATCATCCGGCCACGACCGTTCCGACACGGCCACGACCCGACTGTCCGGCCACGACCGTCCGAACGCCGCGGTCGACCCGAAGCCGTTTTTGAAGCCCAATCCGCACAATTCAAGCCCAAAGCCGGCGCCGTAGCAAGATTAGGTCTAGCCGCTTTTTCATACTTAGTGCATTATAAATACTTCTTTTTAGCCTTGTAACTCAAGAAGGAGAGAGACCACAATTATACTTTACATCTTTAATAAAGTTTTGCTTGCTTTTACTTTGTTCTTGCTTGTTACTCTTTCTAGAGAGGATTCGAATCTCTGTTCTTATGAATATGAATTCGTGTTCCTTCTCTATGTCTGAGTAGTTTACTTGTTAAGTGATAGGAAGTCAAAGGATAGCATTCATGTATGCTTGATGATTGATCACAATTAGGGTTTTACTTATAATCTCCATCTTTGCTTATACTTAATGCTTGTTGTTAATCTGGCCAATTAGCATATGCTTGGTTGATTTGAGCCTCGACAGTGCTGTATCATTCGCCTGAACTAGTATTTGGTGGGCAATCCTCTTTTAGACTGCGAAAGTTGATTTACTTGTAGGTTGTGAACAATTGAACTTAATCGAACTAATGCTTGATTTAATCACCTAGGGACATACCAAAAGTTTAGCGACTAGGTAGATTAACAAAGGGGTCGGAGCCTCGACAGTGGAATGATCATACCATAGTGTTTCAAGTTCTAGATTGGCACCTAATTGCAGTAACCACTACAAGAAAAAACAAGTATTGCTACCATTTTTTTGGTCACAATATCATAATATTTCGTCACAAAAACATTATTGTGACAAAATTGATACGAATTACAAAACGTAGCAATGAATTCGTCACAACTCATTTTTAGTCTCAAAAACGTCACAAACGTTTGTTACGATTGACAATGGTAACAATTCGTCATAAATTGTGACACAATTTAACAGTTACAGAAATGACACAATTGGTGACAAATTTTGGTCACAAACAAGCCACAAATTCTGACAAAAAAAAGGTAGCATGCTGGCCACGAATTATTACCATATTTTAGTCAATAAAGTGTAACAAAAATGAGACCAGGAAAATGTTACAAATATGTCACAATTAGTGACTAAATTATAGTCATAGAATAGTCACTATTTGTTTTTAATTGTTACCCTTTTTCTTACTAGATGTGTAACAAATTGTGACGAACTATTACTTGTCACCAATAAATATTCATCATTTTTAATTATAAAACAAAAGATAAAAGTTAAAATTATAAAAAAAACAATAATAAAATAGAAAATACTTAATTACTTAAAAATACAAAATATTTCAAAACAAAGAAAACTTACGAAAACAAATCCTAATAACATAACTTAAAAGAAATCCTAATATCATAACTTAAAAGGAAATCCTAATATCATAACATAACAAAACAAAGAAACACAAACTTAAACACAATCCTAAGCGAGCTTATGGAAACGTGAATGGTTTTGATGATGGAATTGGAATTAGGCATTTTGTCTTTCCAAACTCTCAAGTTTCTTCTCCAAAGCTTCAAGTCTCCTCTGAATTTGCAGATTCTCTTCACGGCTTTCTTTCAGCTCTGTTTCCATCTCTTGCATCCTTTGTGGACACATCTCTGGTTCTTCAAGTTGTGGTGCACTCGAAGAAGCTTCGCCAGCTAGTAAAACCTCACTACGTAGTGCTCCAAGTCCAAAGATGCCTTGGTTAGATACACCAGTAGCAGCCTAGAAGAAAAAAACCACAAATATATCGAAGTCAATCAACTAGCTACACAAGTCCAAAGTCTCTTTCACTACCATGACAATAAAAACGACCAAACAAGCAGCAGATTTCTAAAATGCAGCATAAGCAAATGAAGAATACTCAAAGAAATACAGAAATACTTTCAGCTAATGAAATGTAATTAACAAGTAAATGAAATGTAACCCTAATTGATTGATTTCTTGCTTCATGAATTGCTTATCTTAAGACTATCCTATTGCTTAGCCCTTTTCTCCTATTGATCTTATTCTCTTTTAAACTTGCATGCCTTTACTTTTACTGCACTCAACCAAACCTTATACTTTTGCCCTAGCTCGATCTCGAACTTATAGCTTGTAGTGTGCAATCTGGTCCTCGTGTTCGATACCCGTTTACTACTTCTGACCTGTGCACTTGCAGAATCAGGGATAGGAAAGGGGAAGACCTGATCCCGCGATCAAGTTTTTGGCGCCGTTGCCGGGGACCAATTCGCACCTACAAGCTCTTGCAAGAGAGCTAGTCTAGGGTTTCATCTTTTCCTTTTTGTTTTTGTTATTTTTCCTTTTCCTTTTGATTTGTTTTTCCTTTTTGTTTTTGATATTTTTCAGGTTTTCCTAGTTAGATATGGAAAGGATTCACAAGTCCTTGTTCCTATAAAGGCGATTCCACTTCGCCAATACCACCTCAAAGAAACCTCTTGGACGAACAAGAGATGTCAAGCCCTCAAGCACCACCACCTTCATGGGATAGTCCTCCAAAACTATCCTTGAAGACAAAGAAGAAACTTCTTCCCTACCTTGAAGCAGCCGACCTGGAGACGTCTAGCCAAGCCGCATCTTACAGAGAAGAACACCTTCTAGCCACACCAGAAGAGGAGATTGACCCTGAGCTGATCGAGTTCGTGAAGAGAGATCAATTCCATGATCTGTTTTCAGAGTATGCGCTGGAGCACATAGATCACTTTGATAATCTTTGTGATTCCTATGGAGTTTTTGACTTTGAGAAGAAGATGATGCTATTCAGCACATCACTAGCTGGACCAGCACTAGATTGGGCGCAGCATGAGCCACTCTCTACAATCGAGTCATGGATCGATTTTAGAGAAGCTTTCTTGAAGAGATTTGCAAGGACCACCTTTCAAATCCAAGTACAATCCACTACTCTCATCAGCTGGAGAGAGAGCGTGATGAAGAAGAATGGGGAGGCATACCACCCCATCCTGAAGTCTTGAATGAAGAGCTAATCAAGCATGTGGAGAGAACCCTTTCTACAATTCTACTTCAGAGTGTGCAAAGGAGCATCTATGCAACTTTGAGCAGCTTTGCCACGACTATGGACTTGGAGAAACCCCAAGAAGATACAACTTTTCCAACTACTAGCTGGACAAGCCAAAGAATGGGCTAAGTTCAATGCCCAACATGCTTTCAAGACTTGGAATGGATACAAAGGAGCTTTCCTCTACAGATTTGCTAAAGGTCCATTTATGTTCCACCACCACGCCCAAGCTATTCACAACACCATCCATCATCACCAGACATAAACAAGACACCACTTTTCCCAAGGAGAGCTATCAAGCTGCGCGCCAAACCAAGATTGAAGAGATGCTTCAAGAGTACTTGAGAAATCAAGATGAGAGTACAAAGAAGATGGAGAGAGAATCGATTTCATCCATGAGAGTCTTGGAAACAAATCTGAAGTCCTATTCAAGCAAGTGATCAAGCTTGATGAAGACATTAAGAAGTTAAGAGAGGATCATGATCGATCTCTGAACCTAGTTAACTTGATGTTGCTTCCAAATATCAAGAGTTGCTGAACAAGAGCATGAGAATTGAAGATACTAGCTATGGCAATAGCAAGCATCTTGGATCGATCTACAACCGCCTACAAGCCCTTGAAGGATCATCTCATGCCAAGTACAAGAGAGAGAGGAGTCCAACACCCAACCACCCTCCCTTTTATTGCAATGCCATCACAAGAAGAAGCAATACTCACCAAGTCCATGAGGACAATGAAGAAGAAGAAAGAGAGTATGAGGAACAACTAAATGATGAAGATGAAGAGCAGAGCATCGACATCAATGCTTCTCCAAAACAGAGCATGGATACACCTAGCCCTATTGACCCTCGTTTCTCACCAACACCAGAAGTCAAGCTTCTGACACTTCCAAGATTGGAAGCAATGCAAAGACCATCACCACCTACTGAAGAAGAAGATACTTGGCATATGATCCCATTGATCCCAACAAGATAAGCCCCATGAAGCTTAAAGAGTTCAATGCTAAGGTGAAATCACTTCCATTCTATGTCACTTTTGAAGAAGCTTGGGATAAGCATGATCTAGTGGAGTTCTTTTTCACAACTAGTGAAAACAAAGAAGAAGTACACAACTTTTCAGAAGGCACGATTTCCCCATTGCCCCTCATGCAGTCAATCAACCACCATCACCACCATCATCACCACCACCCAATGGTATGTCAATTCCATATCAAGAGAGAAGCTTGCTGAGTTCAATCAGTTTGTCCAAACTCTTCCAGCCAGCATGTCTTCCAAACAAGCTTGGCGCCACTACCCATTCACCACCTTCTTCCACAACTGCAGAGAGACACCTGAGGATATCAAAGAGCTTTTTGAGAAAGCTAAAGTTCAGCCTACCTTCAAGACCCTCTACAAGATTGAAGACCCAGGTCAATTCTCTATTCCCTGTCAAGTAAATGGTCATTACTTTGATAGAACACTATGCGATTCTGGCTCTTGCATAAACCTCATGCCAACCCAAACCGCCAAACTCCTTGGCATCACACGCTTGCAACCTGCTCAGATTAGTATTGGACTTGCTAACCATACTATAGCCAAGCCAAGAGGAGTTGTTGTTGATGTTCTTCTAGAGATTGGAGATATCAAGATCCGGTGGATTTTCATGTCATGAACATCAAAGGAGGATGTGACACACCATTGATACTAGGCCGACCCTTTTTGGCCACTGCTGGAGGATGTGACACACCATTGATACTAAGCCGACCCTAAACCCTAAACCCCAAACTTTAGAAATCGCAAATGATGAACAAGTTTTCAAAATCAAATCAATAATGCAAATGAAAGATGCAATCCTAAACAATTCTAAGAAATATGAATGCAAAAAGATGAAAATATTTTTGGATTTTTTTTGAAAATTTTATGATTTTTTTGGTTTTTCTATGCATATAAGAGAATGAAAAACTAAGAACAAAGAAAACAAGGTTAAATCATCTCTTGAACCCTCCCCCAAACTTAAATCACACAGTCCCTTGTGTGAGAGAAATTCATTGAAAGATTCAAGAGGCAAAAACCAAGAGAAATAAAAACAAATCAAAGAAAACATGAAATGGTATGTACAATGCAATGTCGCGGTCAGGAGAGGGCAGGCGGCCGTCAGGGACACTCTATTCGACTGGGTCTGTGCAGCTCGGTCGAGCTTGCTCTTGTTCTTCTTCCACCTCTTCATCCTCGAAGTGAGTGTGGCTCCCTTGTCCTTGGTGGAGCTCTGCTCACTCGAAGCGGTTGTAAGGAGTCCAGTGGCTCTGAGGGAAGTCTTGGTAGGGCGCTGGATCGTACTCGAATCCAGGGTTCTGGAACAGAGGCTCCTCCATGTCAACTCGACCCTCAGCTCGGTCGAGTTCACTGATCGGGTTGGAGCGTCGGCTCTTGGAAGTCTTCCTCTGCCTCTGCGTGTTGTCTCCTCCTTCCCTAGTCTCGAATGAAGAGGCTCTGTGAGGCTCTTGGGCAGGGAGCCTCCTTGGGGTGGTGAGGAGTGATTGATGATAGGATTTTACGTGGGTGTGATATGATATGAATGAAGGTGATAAGATATGAGGTGGAATGCAAACAGGGGTGAATAAAGATGAAATGGTGCAATCACAATCAATCAATTCCTCTTAACCATCATAGTCATGTAGTATAAGAGGTTATCAATCCAAAATGGGAAACTTGTCACTCTTGAGAATATGAAACAACCAGAAAGTCAAGCAAGCAGTAATAGATTTGAAGTAACACTAACAACCTAAATGAAATGAAATGCAGTGCAATAAAAGTAAACAAAGCAGTGAAGTAGCAGCTCGACCAAGACTCGAGTCGAGTCAGAACAAAGTACCAGCTCGATCGAGTTTAGGGACGAGTTGAGACAAACAAAGCTAAAGGTGACGACTTTAACAAGATAAGAGAGAATTAGGGTTCAAGACAGGGTTTTGCAATCAAAGGAATCTACACTTAATCAATCTAGCTCTTAAAACTCCTTGTATCAAGGCTTCTCTTGATATTGGGCTTCTCAATGCCTAGCCAACCCTTTCCCAAGGTGAGGCTATCAACCAAGGAATGATCTCAGAAACAGGGGGTTAGCCAGTGAGAATCAAACCTTGGAGGCTATAGGATCATTGCCCAAACTAATCCATCCAACCCCTTAGACCTCTATTGTCTAGAGCAAGAGATATTGGAGCTCTTAGTGGATCTTTTCCAGCGAATGCCATCACTTTCGTGTGGGGAGTCGCCTAAGGACTTACAAGCCAGGGGTAGTGGTCATGTAGCCTTAAGATCTATCCAAAAGAGAGAGAATCTAGATTAAGACCATAAGCTAGAAGGATTAAGCATATGAAACCTCTAATCTATCCCATCTCAAACCCTAATGGGTAACTACTCACTACACATGAATGTAAACACAAGCAAATGCAATAAAAGAGACATCATAAGAAAGAGGAGATGAAATTAAACAACTTTTATTGAAATAAGCAAGTGCAAATACAAAGAGATTATCCAGGATCTAAGATTCAAGAAGCAAGAGCTTCAAGAACACAAAGATGGGATTAGGTTCTAAAAAGTAAAAGACAATAAATTAAAAGAAACTAAAACAAAATAATCTAAAGCTTGGTGGTTTTTTCGTGGCTTAGAGCCTTTAAATACAAGAGGATTAGGTTTAGGGTCAAAGGAAAGTCAAGGGGGAAGCAACATTTTTCGGGTTTGACTTTGACTTCTCAGCTCGATCGAGTTGAAGCTTGGCCGGTCGAGTTGAGGAACTCGACCGGTTGGTCGAGTAGACGGTCGAGCTGGTCTTCAAGATGGCTTCTCCCTTCTTCCTTTGCGTATCCAGTTGAGCTGCTTCCATGTGCCAAGTCCCTCCATGCTCCTCATGTCCCAGAATGCTCCAAAAGACCTATTTCAAAGGACCAAACATGCATATGTATGCAAATGCAACCTAAAACTAACATGAATGCATAAGAAGAGAAAAGGAACAAGATATGATGCAAATGGAAGCTAAAACTATGCAAAAGATGCATAAAAGATGTGCTAAAACTATGTAAAATGCAAGTACATCAACACCCCCAAACTTGAACTTTGCTTGCCCTCAAGCAAACAAATAGAACAAGAAAGAGATGAGGTTTGAAAACAGCTGATTCAACACTTAAAAACATGTCCTCAAAAGCGATTTGCTAAATGTCCAACTTAGAGATTCTAGAATGCAACAAGGTGAGAGATATTCATTAAGATTTAACCATGCTTATCAACATCAATCCCACTTCACAGTCACTCAAACAATGCATTCAAATCAGCAAATCCCTTTAACATTCATTAAGCAAAAACAGTGAACCAAAAACATGCAAGATCAATCAACTCATTTGGTTTCAAGGGTTTATGGGTTAAGAGACAAAGAGGGTCTCTTTTGTATGGTGGTTTAGTAACAGGGATCTCTCAAGAAAGTGGCTTTGCTTTGGCAGAAGGCTAAGTGTTAGAACCAAAGATGATGCAAGAACAGCAGCTCGAGCCGCCTAATCCTAACTCGATCGAGTTCAACACTTAGAGCTTTTTAGAACAAAATCCTAACTACCCTTTTTGGCATTTCGCCTTTGAAACTGAGGAGCTTTGCTCACTTTTCTTTTAAGAACTTCCTAGGGAGAGGCTTCTTGAGGTAACATCTAGCGGTTTGGGATTTTCTAAACACTTAGGGAACTTTTCTTTCCTTTTTGGACACTTGAGGCTTTGCCTTCTTTTCATTCTACTTAGAACCCTTTTTACTTCCTTTTTTAACTTCCCAAACCTTTACTAGACCCTTTTTAACACTGCCAACTCCCTGGACTTAACCAAACTCTTTTTCCTTTGGGTTTTTCCCAACTTTTACCACTTTTCTGGTTTTTACACCCAACTCGATCGAGCTCGAGTTGGCACCCCCAAACTTAGCCTGAAAACAATCCCAAGAGAACTAGACAACTAGAACTACTGCCCCTGCCGGTTTAAACACAACACCTTATGCTAAGCAAAGCCAAGAAAGGTTCTCACATTCGCACAAGAGATAATATGGGGTTTGAAATGAAAAGGCTTAGGTTTAAGGTGTGGTAACTGTCTCAAAGATAGAGATCAGCTATCTGGACAAGCAAAAGGGATATGAAAATAGGTAAAGAATGTCCAGATATGTATGTGGTAGCCATGAGTTGAAATCAAATGCAAGCATTGGTAATTAAAGATCAAGTTATGGTTCAAATAGATAGGGAAATGCATCAAATCACAGCAATGGTTGAATGAGATGTGCATGCAGTGATATGATCAAGATAAACATGGTTCTTGCTGCTCAATCAATCTCACCCTAATGCACAAAAGAATCTAAAAACAGGGCACTCAAGAAATCGCAAAAGATGGACAAGTTTTCAAAGTCAAATCAACAATGCAAGTGAAAAATGCAATCCTAAACAAGTCTAACAAATATGAATGCAAAAAGATGAAAATATTTTTGGATTTTTTGAAAATTTTATGATTTTTTTGGTTTTTCTATGCAAAAGATAAATGAAAAACTAAGAACAAAGAAAACAAGGTTAAATCATCTCTTGAACCCTCCCCCAAACTTAAATCACACAGTCCCTTGTGTGAGAAAAATTTAGTGAAAGATTCAAGAGGGCAAAACCAAGAAAAAACAAGAACAAATGCAAGAAAATATGAAATGGTATATACAAGGGTTGGTGTTTGGATACCTCAGTGCCCCCCAAAGAACTGGGAGGCTAGGTCGTGGTCTGGAGATGGTAGACGGCCATCAGGAGCACTCCATGCAACTGGGTTGCCTCACTCGATCGAGCTTGCGGCTCCTCCTCTTCTCTTCTTCATCTTCAAAGTGTGTGGCTCCCTTGGCCTTGGTGGAGCTGTGCTTGCTCGAAGCTGTTGTAGGGGTCCAGTTGGTCTGGGAGAAGTCCTGGTACTGCGTTGATCGTACTCGAATCCAGGGTTCTCAAACAGGGGCTCCTCCAGGTCAACTCGACCCTCAGCTCGATCGAGTTGAGTTTCCTCTGTTTGGACTCGATCGAGTCCGGTGGTCGAGCTGGAGCGTCTGGCCTTGGAAGTCTTCCTCCTTCTCTGCGTGTTGTCTTCTCCTTCCCTTGGCTCGAAAGAAGAGGCTCTGTGAGGCTCTTGGGCAGGGAGCCTCCTTGGAGTGGTGAGGAGTGACTACTCCTAGGGAAGTGGGGGCCTTGGACTTCTTCTTCTTGCTTGAAGAACCAGAAACTTTCTTCTCCAAACTTTTGATCTTGCTCACCATCTTGTCCATGGACTTTTGCATCTTTCCATGGCTTTCCCTTGCCATTGTTGAACTTTTGGAGAAGTCCAATCCTCTTGTGGCAGCCACAACAGAGGGGTTCATCCTTGGAGCCTCATACTCCTCAAAGTAATAGCACTCAGGCTCACCCAAATCCGCACTCTCCTGGACTCGATCTTCAGCTTGATCTCAGCTCGATCCTCAGCTCGATCGAGCTCAGGCTCCTCTTCTCGCAAATCCCTTCATGCCCAACTAAGTGTACACAGGGGGTCTGAAGTCAATGTTCTACCCCTAGACCGTGGTGAGCTCAGGGTTGGGCAGGAGAAGCTTGGAGGGTCCAGCCAATGGATGGTGAACTTGAATTGGAATCTCCCATCCAACTCCTTGTGCTCAATGAGGAGGTTGGTCTTGCAAAACTTGATGTCCATCCAACCTGGAGTAGCCTTCTCTTGTTTACTCCAGCTGCACAGAGATAGGTGTGATGACCCTCCAACACTTAGCTTCTTCCCTTTGATGCCTAGTGTTGTAGGCTGTGTCTTGTAGGAGAGGAGCTGTCAAAAGGCATCATGAGTTCCCTGTGTGCTATCTCCTCTGATCCATCGCTTGTGCGTGAGATGATGGGCTTGATTCCCATGTCAAGGAGCTTCCCTCCTCATTGATTGTCCCGTGGCCTTCCTTGCAAAGAAGGTGTTGGCAAGTGCCTTGTGCACATATCTCAAGCACTGGGCTCCTGATCTGAGCAGCCTTGGACCTTGAGGAAGAGTACACTCCATCAGCGATTGTAGCCCAAACTCTTTGGAGTTCTTCTTCCTTGATGTTCCACTTTCCCTCTCCATAGTGAACCCAAACAGATCTCCAAGCTGCCTAAAGGTCACCATTTCTTCTCTCCCTTGCCAAGAACGTGATCCATCCCAATCCTTGGTCCAATCAGCTCGATCGAGCTCTCTACTCATGTGGTACCTCATTGAAGCCAAAAACTCACAAGTGAGCTCCTTGTAGACTCCATCGGTGAGAGAAGAACTTGGCCAAGTGCATGTTCTTGAGCACCAACTCCACATCCTCAAAGATCCAAGGGCCTCATTGTGTCATCATGTGGGTACTTGGTCTCACAAAGTCCATGGAGAAGAGAGCATTGTAGTGCTCTTGGTACATGGGGAGCTCATCCTCCTCTTGCTCTGCCTCAGCATCCTCCATCTGCTCATCTTGGTTTTTCTCACCATCTCCACTTGGAGAACCATCACTTCTTCCTCTTGGTTATTTACCCCAATCTCAAACTCTCCTTGCTTCACTCTCACTACTATAGGGTCATTCCTCTTCTTGGTCCTCCTTTCTTCCCTCAGCTCTCACTCTCAGACTCTCCTCTCAGAGTAGACATACCTCTGCATCAGATCTTCCATCCTCTGATCATCTTTCAAATCGGCTTGCATCTTAAGCCTTCTCTTTTTGCATTGCTTGTCTCACCCTCAACCATTTCCCTCTGTGAAGCATGGCTTCCCTCACTGTTTGTCATCTTGTTACACTGTTTCTTCACTAAAGTACCTGAAATGCATCAAAGATTACAAAGAATTAGAGTTGTAATGATCGGTTTGGTCAACTCGACACTCAGCTCGATCGAGTCAAAAAACTCGAGTGACAAACTCGATCGAGCTTGGGTGAAAACAGAGTATAACCAAACCTAATTCAAGTATTAAGAGCTGGAAAGGATGCTAATCAATCAAATTGAACCAAGAACAACTAGTAAATGGAACAATGAGCAATTCTAGTGAAAACAAGCACCTTAACCAATACCAAACTCAAATTCAATTTTAAGCACATGCAACAAGTTTAAAGGCAAAACAGAGGTGAGGTGAAAAAATAACAAGATTATAGCAGAGGCGAAATATGAGCAATTACTCAAGAACAAGTCCACAAGGGACACATGCAATCAAAAATCAAGAGAAACAAGCAATAGGAAATCGAGATGGGATCAAGGGTTTAGGGTTCATACCTTGCTTGAATGATGATTGAAGAATCAGTAAAGAACAAAGCAAAACAAGAAAGAACAAAGAAATCGCAAAAACTTAAGAGAGAAAGTTGAAATTCGATTTTCTTGTGGTGAGAGAGAGAGATGGATTTCAGAAAAATTGAGTGGGGAGAGAGAGATGGATTCGATCGAGTTATGGGGAAGAGGGTTGTTTGAGATGTGTGGTTGAGATTAAAAGATGAAATAAAGAGGGAACAAGAAGCTAGGGATTCTCTGATCAAATTAGGGTAGTGGGGGACCAAAATCAGCTTGTGGGACCCACTCCCTTGACCAAGAAAACGGTTATGAATTTGAAATTCAAAAACTTACCTCGGTCGAGTTGTGTAGCTCGATCGAGTTGCCCTGGTTTCTAGCTCGATCGAGCTATCGGTCGAGCTGGCTCCTTGACACCTAAACTTAACTTATTCAAAGGTTAAAAACATAAAGATAGATAGAAATTGCATAAATAGAGTATGTACAAGGATAAACATGGGACTTCCTCCCAAGTGAGCTTGTTTAAGGTCCCATAGCTTGACCTTTACCTTCTTAGGCATTGGTTGAGCTAGTCCCACCATCAAGGGTGATAGTGAGGACTTGAGACAGAAGCTCCTTTAGCTTGGTTGGGTCCCTGGACTGTTCTGAAGTCACCAAGGCCTTGGCTCTAGAGAATGGCCTTGATCTCCCCTTGTACCTTATCTTGTACTCAATCTTCCCATTTTCAAACTTGGTGGGGAACAAAGTCATTGTGAGCTGAGATGGCTTGACTGAAGGGGCCTGAGCTGGTGGATCCTTTCTTTTATCCCTGGTCTTGCCTTAGAGGCTACATCCTCCCCTTCTTTTAGAGCCCTTCCTAGTGGCTCATCAAACAAAGCTTGAAGGCTCTCTTCATCAAGCACACAAGGGGCTTGAACAAGTCTCAGCTCGTGGCCTATCAGATCGTGGTTTCTCAACTCTAGCCCTCTCAAGACGTGGCTTCTCAATCCTTGGTCCTCTCTCATCCTTATCCTTCCCAACTCTTGGTTCTTTGTCAACCCTTTCCTTCACAACCTTTGTAGCTCCATGACTCTTAGAACTGAGAGTTGGTACTGTCAATTGTGGCACAAAAGTCTGAACCTCTAGGCTGCAAGCGATATGACACCAAACTATTCACCTTGTGAAGGATCACTTCTTGCTTGTGAAAGTCTATTGAAGCGCCAATTTTCAAGTGATAGTTCTTGAACACTCCAAGAGGGTTCATCTCCAAACATGATTTGAAGTTGCATCTCCAAATGATAAACTCTTCCCAAGGGGTCGGCACTCTAGAGTTGGTAAAAGGGATAAGCCTTCATTCAACAGGCTGGGAAGCCACGAAGAACAAGGATATGTGGATTGAATGGCTGAACAGAAACTGCAGAAGGCTCCTGATATACCGGCGGATCGATTCTCTGGATATTACACACCAAAGGGGATCGACAGCTTGCTGGATATGACACACCAACAAGGAACGGAAAGAGATGGATTGAGAGACGCCACAAAGATCTGTGAAAGGATCTCTGATAAGTCTTAAACAGCCAGGAACATAGATATGACACACTATGAACATGGAGTTCCAAAAATAACAAGACATCACATCTTGAAGGAGAGAAACTTCTCTGATTTTTACTGAAAACAAACTTATTTTTATTCATGATTTTGGGTCTCTATGATATGATTATCATGTCAGTCGGTGAAGAAAATTATCTTGATATGGGCTGGATCTCAAGAAGAAAACCTCTCATTTGAAGCCCAAAACTTATCAAGAGAAGATTCATTTTCGAGTTCAAGTCTTGACAGCATTTATTGATGTGTATTTCTCTCTCTTACATGCAGTTTTGAGTCAAATTTCATTTTCCAAGAAGCTTTGCATGTTAGGCTCTTAATTAGGACGAAAATGGCTTGTAATTCTCTATATATAGAGGCTCAAAATCATGAATTAAATTATCCAAGTTTTTATTATCAAACCCCTTTCAAACTCTTGGATCACTTCTCTAACGTGTCAAATCTATTGAGAACCCTATTCACTCTTGGTGTGTAATATCCAATGAGTCTATAGCGAGCCCTGTTCACTCCTGGTGTGTAATATCTAGCGAGTCTTCAGGTTGGTGTTTTAGAGATCCTTCCGCAATCTCTGAATCAAACCATTCAACCATTCAACTCCTTCCATCATCACAGCTTCTAGCCAAATCTATCCAACCTCAACTCTAGAGTGCCCCATCCTTGGGAAGATCGCATCATGATTGAAGTAGTAGGGCGCTGCAAGGCTCCAGCAATGCCTAGCTTCTCTGCCATGGAGAGAGAGATCAGATTGATGCTTGCTCCAGAATCCACTAAGGCATTGTCAATCTCAAGATGCCCAAGTGTGCAAGGGAGAGTGAATTTCCCTTGATCCTTGACCTTTGGTAGGAAGGTGGGTGAAGTAAGCAGGTTGAACTGATGAGTAGACTCTTGTAGGACCTCTGAAACTTTATCACTGTTGGCTAGAACATCCTTGACCATTTGCATTTGATCAAATGCCTCACTCATGCTATCCATAGGAGGCAACTCAATTCCAATCCCACTGAGATCTCTTCTGAACTTGTGAATCACTTCCTTGTGACCTTGACTAAGTAGGCGAGACGAGGAAGCGGCAACCGGTTGGTAAGGATCAAGCAAAACAGGTTTGGGACAGAAGAGGTCGGACTCGATCGAGCTAGAGTTGGACTCGATCGAGCTGCCGATCGAGCTTGTCGTGCGAGCTCAACTGGTGAAGTGTGAATGGCCACAGTAGGTGCCTGCACTTCTGGTTGATCAATCTGGACTCCAGGAGCCTCAGCAGCAACAATCTCTTCATCATTCAGCAGTAAACAAAAATCTTCAATGACCCTTTCTTGATCCTCTTCTTCAACAAGTCCTTCTTGAGTGAAGATGACCTTGCACTGTTCCTTGGGGTTCTGAATAGCTTTACCAGGTAGTTGTCCTTGCTTTGTAGCAGCAGCAACAGAAGAAGCATGATTCTCCAGAGAGTAAACCCTTGTGTTGAGGTTCTCGATCTTAGAGTTTATTTCAGCTAGCTTCTTGCTTGTGTCCACTACCCCATCAGCTTGCCCTTGAAGTAGTTGCTTTAGCATTGCCTTGAGCTCATTCTCTTGTGAAGGTGCAGGCTGGGGCGGTTGGTGGGGGAAGCCTGGTGGGATATTCATTTGTTGTCCAGGGAAAGTGCCTTGTGGTCCTTGGTAATTGTTCTTTTGACCATACCCATGTTGTGGCACCTTGACTCGATCGAGCTGCTTGTTGTTGAGGATATACTTGGTCCTGAGGGTTAGCAACATCAGTGTTGCGGTATGACATGGCAGGGTTGGACTTGTAATTATAGTATCCTTTGTTGTAACCTCCTTGCCCATTGCTCATGTAGCACACCTCAGCAAATTGTGTATCCTCCCCTTCTTGGACTGGTTCCATCTCCTCAGCAGACACAAAGTTGACTTTCTTCATTGTGGACTGAGCTAGGATCAGCTTATCCAACTTCTCATTCAATGCCTTAACATCTTTTCTCAACTTTTCGTCTGACTCGATCGAGTGGTGGGTCGAGCTCCGGTTGGTGCGATCATACTCTTCTCCATAGCTTCCATTTGAGTTAGCTATGTTCTCCACAAGTTGCCAGCCATCATCTACATCCTGGTTGAGGAAGTTCCCATTGCTAGCTGTGTCTAGCATCTCCCTATACCTAGGCAAGCATCCTCTATAAAGAGTGGAGAGTAGTGATTCATTGTTGAATCCATGGTGTGGGCACTGACTTGTGTAGCCCTTTGAACCTCTCCCAAGCCTCTGCGAATGTCTCATTGTTTCGCTGGATGAAGCTGGATATCTCTCCTCTAAGCTTGGCTGTGCGACCGGTGGAGAAAAACTTAGCAAGAAAGGCCTTCTTGCATTCATCCCAAGTGGTGATTGTGCCATGGGGCAAGCTCTTCTCCCATTGGTGAGCTTTGTCAGCTAGAGACATAGGAAAGAGTCTCAGCTTGATGGCATCTTCAGAGACACCATTGATCTTTGTCAAATCACAAAGCCTATCAAACTCATCAAGGTGGTCAATGGGGTCTTCACTTGGCAATCCATGGAACATCTTGTTCTGGACAAGGTTGATCATTCCCAGCTTGATCTCAAAGTTGTGGTTCTGCACTGGTGGTGGAACAATCCCTTGTCTCTGTTGGTGGCGGTTTGGAGCATCTCCTTGACCAATCGGTCGAGTTTGCCTAGCTCGACCGAGTCCATTCCCAAAGGGTTTCCATTCCCCTCTGGTACGTCCATTGTATCAGCAACAAGCACCTCAGGTTCCTCTTGTACCCTCTGTGACCTCTGAACCCTCTTTCTACCCGTTGTAAGTCTAGCTCGACCAAGTCTTCTGTAGACCGACTCGATCGAGTTCGCATACACCTGCAAAAAGAGACAAAAACCCAGCAGTACAATAGAACAGGGGTGGTATAGCTTGATCGTCCAAGTGTGTTTGAAACTCAAATGCAACAAAAATATCCCAAATCGGCAACGGCGCCAAATTGATGATAGGATTTTGTGTGTGTGAATGATATGAATGATGATGATGAGGTGGAATGCAAACAGGGGTAATAAAGATGAAATGCAAACACAATCAATCAATTCCTCTTAACCATCATAGTCATGTAGTACAAGAGGTTATCAATCCAAAATGGGAAACTTGTCACTCTATGAGAATATGAAACAACCAGGAAGTCAAGCAAGCAGTATAGATTTGAAGTAACACTAACAACCTAAATAAAGAAATGCAGTGCAATAAAAGTAAACAAAGCAGTGAAGTGCAGCTCGACCAAGAGCTCGAGTCGAGTAGAGCAAAGTACCAGCTCGATCGAGTTTAGGGACGAGTTGAGACAAACAAAGCTAAAGGTGACGACTTTAACAAGATAAAGAGAGAATTAGGGTTCAAGACAGGGTTTTGCAATCAAAGGAATCTACACTTAATCAATCTAGCTCTTAAAACTCCTTGTATCAAGGCTTCTCTTGATATTGGGCTTCTCAATGCCTAGCCAACCCTTTCCCAAGGTGAGGCTATCAACCAAGGAATGATCTCAGAAACAGGGGGTTAGCCAGTGAGAATCAAACCTTGGAGGCTATAGGATCATTGCCCAAACTAATCCATCCAACCCCTTAGACCTCTATTGTCTAGAGCAAGAGATATTGGAGCTCTTAGTGGATCTTTTCCAGCGAATGCCATCACTTTCGTGTGGGGAGTCGCCTAAGGACTTACAAGCCAGGGGTAGTGGTCATGTAGCCTTAAGATCTATCCAAAAGAGAGAGAATCTAGATTAAGACCATAAGCTAGAAGGATTAAGCATATGAAACCTCTAATCTATCCCATCTCAAACCCTAATGGGTAACTACTCACTACACATGAATGTAAACACAAGCAAATGCAATAAAAGAGACATCATAAGAAAGAGGAGATGAAATTAAACAACTTTTATTGAAATAAGCAAGTGCAAATACAAAGAGATTATCCAGGATCTAGGATTCAAGAAGCAAGAGCTTCAAGAACACAAAGATGGGATTAGATTCTAAAAAGTAAAAGACAATAAATTAAAAGAAACTAAAACAAAATAATCTAAAGCTTGGTGGTTTTTTCGTGGCTTAGAGCCTTTAAATACAAGAGGATTAGGTTTAGGGTCAAAGGAAAGTCAAGGGGGAAGCAACATTTTTCGGGTTTGACTTTGACTTCCAGCTCGATCGAGTTGAAGCTTGGCCGGTCGAGTTGAGGAACTCGACCGGTTGGTCGAGTAGACGGTCGAGCTGGTCTTCAAGATGGCTTCTCCCTTCTTCCTTTGCGTGTCCAGTTGAGCTGCTTCCATGTGCCAAGTCCCTCCATGCTCCTCATGTCCCATATGCTCCAGAATGCTCCAAAAGACCTATTTCAAAGGACCAAACATGCATATGTATGCAAATGCAACCTAAAACTAACATGAATGCATAAGAAGAGAAAAGGAACAAGATATGATGCAAATGGAAGCTAAAACTATGCAAAAGATGCATAAAAGATGTGCTAAAACTATGTAAAATGCAAGTACATCAACACCCTAGGGAAAGTAGGAGTCATGGGTGTCTTCTTCTTCTTGCTTGAAGAACCAGAAACCTTCTTCTCCAAACTTTTGATGTTGCTCACCATCTTGTCCATGGACTTTTGCATCTTGTCCATGGCTTTCCCTTGCCACTTGTTGAACCTTTTGAGAAGTCCAATCCTCTTGTGGGCAGCCACAACAGAGGGGTTCATCCTTGGAGCCTCATACTCCTCAAAATAATAGCACTCAGGCTCACCCAAATCCGCATTCACTTGAGCGTGGTCCTCAACTCGATCCTCAGCTCGATCGAGTTCAGGGTCCTCTTCTCGCAACTCCTCTTCATGCCCAACTAATGTGTGAAGTGGAGGCCTAAAGTCAATGTTGTTACCTCCTACAACCGTGGTGAGCTCAGGGTTGGGCAAGAGAAGCTTGGAAGGGCCAGCCAATGGGTGTGTGAATTTGAATTGGAACCGCCCATCCAAGTCCTTGTGTTCAATGAGGAGGTTGGTCTTGCAAAACTTAATGTCCATCCATCCTGCTGGAGTAGACCTTCCCTTGTCCAAATGGACCCCAGCTGCACAGAGGATTGGCGTGATGACTCCTCCAACACTAAGCTTCCTTCCCGTTTGAAACCGAGTGCTATAGGCGGTTGTCTTGTAGGATAGTAGCTGGTCAATGAGAGGCATGAGATTCCCTGCATGGATTCTATCTCCTCTGATTCTCTTCCCATCCTTGGTGCGTGAGATGATGGGCTTGATTCCCATGTCAAGGAGCTTCACCTCTCCTTCATTTATTGTACCAGTGGCTTTCCTTGCAAAGAAGGTGTTGGCAAGAGCCTTGTGGACATATCTTAGCACAGAGCTTCTTATCTGAGCAGCCCTGGATCTTGAAGATGAGAATCATGGCTCAGCAATTGTAGCCCATACTCTTTGTAGCTCATCCTCCTTGATATCCCAATGGGTTCCCTCCCCATAGGTGAAACCGAATAGGATCTCCAACTGCCTGAAGGTAATCACCTTCCTTTCTCCCCTTGCCAAGAACGTGATCCATCCCCAGCCTTGATCCAACTTAGCTCGATCGAGGTTTTTGGCAGGTTTTCTATCTAAAAAGGTAGTTTTACTATGTTTATAGTGTCTAGAGTCTAAACAGGTGAAATGATGCATTTTGGAGCAAAACCATAGGATTTGCACTTCAAGCAGCTCCATGCACAAGCACCAACTTTAAGAGGGCCCAGAAAAAGATCTACTCAATGGATTTCATCAAGACCAGTTCCCTGCGTGCTCTGATTGAGTTAACTTTCCAACGCAATGGAATGGCCTCATTTGGATGAGTAGAAAAGGAGTTATAACCAAAAGAGTGAAGACTGTCCAGACGGCTCTATCGAGAATCAGCGCCCAACCGCGCAGTCCGGCTGGCCGAGGAACGATGTTCCGCGCTCGGCCAAAACCGTATGTCCGACTGAAGTCTCGGCCAAAGTCCAAACCACTCGGCCGATCACGCACGACCCGGGAAACATGTCCCGCGGTCGGCCAAGCCAAACGTCCACGCCACACCGCGCACGACCAAAGCGCGCGAGCCGGGAACAAGCCTCGCGGCCGCGCAACCCATCTCGCGTACCACGGCCGATGCATCCGTCCGAGCCGGGGAAGAACGTCCCACGTCCGGCCGAGAATTTCATCGGCCAATCTTCATCCGCTCCGACCACGCCGGCCGACCGCGAATCCGTCCGACCCCGACCGTTCCGACTCGGCCCACGATCCGACTGTCCGGCCGATCGTCCCGACGACCGTCCCAACGCCGCGGTCGACCCGAAGCCCTTTTGAAGCCCAAACTTATGTTTTCAAGCCCGGCTTAACCCTAAGCCGCCTCTAGAAAGACCTAGCACTATATATATGGATTTTTAGCCTCTTGTGAAAAGAGAGCCGCCCTGTATTTCGATTTCCTACTCTAAGTTTTATTGCAATCATGTTTTCTTCATCTCTATGTGTGTTTGCTTTGATCATGTCTGAGTAATCCACTAGTTAGGTTGCTAGGGTTACTATTCAATGAGTTGCTTGCATGATCTTTGATTTCAATGATTAGCTAGGGATTATATTAGAGTCTTTGTCTCGTCTTGTGCACTTAACTAATGCTGATTGCTTTACCGCGCATCTAGTAATCCGATCTTAGGTTGATTTGAGCCTCGACAGTGCTGTATCATTCGCCGGACATATTCTTTGACAAGCTAGGTTTCTTAGACTGCGAAAGTTGATCTATCTATATCTAGTGAACTGTATCAGAACCTATTCATTCTAATGCTTGATCTAATCACCTAGGGACATACCAAAAGTTTAGCGACTAGGTAGATTAGCAAAGGAGCCGGAGCCTCGAAAGTGGAATGGTTTTATATTCGTGATCTGTGTTCTAGATGGTTCTTAATATCCCAATATCCCTAATCAATTAATCTATCATTGTTTCATTGATCATTGCTTGCTTCTCTGCGATAGCCCCTATGACCTAGCGCTTTTCCTTTATTGTTTACAACCTCGTTATACTTGCTAGTTCGGTTCACCATTACAACCTCAATCATACTTTTGTTTTAGCTTGATCCAAAATCCATAGTTTCAAAGTGTACTCAATAGCCAGTCCTTGTGTTCGATACCCATACTTCCGCGATCTGTGCACTTGCAGAGGTCTAGGAGTTTGGTAAAACCTGACTCCGCATCAAGTTTTTGGCGCCGTTGCCGGGGACTGCAGCAGTACCTTTGGAACTCGACTAGGATCTAGTCTAGAACCTTTTCCTGTTTTGCTTTTCTTTTGCTTTTGAATTTTCAGTTTTTGATTTCCTTTTCTTTGATTTTTGCTTTTGTTTTTGTTTTTCCCTTTTATTTAACTTGTTTCCAAGACTCTTTTCAGGTGCATGACTAGGAGGTCCAACAAGGACAACCTAGTTGAACATCCAGAGATAGACAAGCTTGAGAAGCAACTTAGGAAGCAAAAGCCCAAGAGATGGCCGACGAAGCAGCTCGCGCTCACGCCGCTGAAGTGGCGCGCGCTCAAGAAGAAGGAAGAGATCCACCTCCTCCTCCTAATCCACAAGACCCTGCTGGAGATGTGAACGCACAACCCCAAGCGGAGCACCTACAATCGGAGACTATGACTCTGCCGATGCTTTCTTTATGGATAGAAACCCTATCCATCCACCACCACCTGCAAGGAATGACTATGAGATCAAGCCTCAGATCATAGCATTGGTTAGACAGAACCAATTCAATGGACTTCCAGCTGAGCATCCTCTTGATCACATAGAAAACTTTGAAGAAATTTGCAGCACTACAAGATCCAATGGAGTCTCTGCTGACTACTTAAGTGCAAGCTCTTTTCATTCTCTCTTGGCGACAAAGCTTCAAGATGGTTGAAGTCTCTGCCAGCTCACTCCATCACCACTTGGGATGAGTACAAGGCTGCATTCATCAACCACTTCTACACCAAACAGAGATCAATTTCTGTGAGAACAAGATCTCCACTTTCGCCAAGCCAACAATGAATCTTTCTATGAGGCGCTAGATCGATTCAAGGAGTACATTAGGGACTGCCCTAATCATGGTTTCAATGAGGGAAACCTATGGAACATCTTCTATCGTGGCATTGACCACAAGTACAAGCTTTCATTGGATACACAAGCAATGGAAACTTCATGACCAAGACTGTTGATGAAGCTAAGGTTCTTATTGAGAATCTTGCAGCTAGTGATTGTAACAACTGTCCTGATTATGACCGCTCAAGCCGCACCACTACTAGCTC